GTGTCCGTATGCCAGGCATGTCCCCTGTGTCTTCAACGTGCCGTCCTACCTAGTGCATGGTGTATTGCAGGACGCGATGGCACTCGAACGGTCAGAAAGCGGGACGCTTGCGATGCTGGGGCGTGAGCTAGATTCGAGTGGGGATTGATACTTGGCCGAGTCCTGATAATAGCTGGTTCCCTGTTCGTGTCGGTGAGGAGAAAACAGGGCGGCATGTCAATGCCAAATGGATGGGACGGAGGAACCATTGATGCGATAGATGGATGCGATGGATGCAGAGTGAGATGCAATGGCAGAGGGGGCACGAGGGGGTTGCGACTTTGCTAGGCGGAAGGGATCCACCGGGCGAAAATGGATGCCCGGGCAGAAGTCCGACAACGGGCGGGGGACGGGCGACCGACGACGGGGACGGGCAGTCGGGATGGGAAAGACAAAGACTGGGATTGGAGGGCGGAAGGATACGGGGGATTTGGGAAGGGGGGAGGGGGATGACAGCATGGGAAAAAAGCAGAGAATGCGAAAGATGCAGAACGGGAATGGACAGGTGGGCAATTTCCGATGAGCAATTAGCATCGGGCCCTCGCCTTCTGCGTTGTGGCCCCAGGTATCGGATGTATTGCCGTCGGAGCGTTCGAATACCTGTCCGTCCAGGTAAAGGCACAAAACGGCAAAAAAGAAAGGGGAGGGCCAAGAATGGAAAACTTGGAGAAACGGACACGGGAAGGGAACATTTGATATCGGGCGACTTGCGAGACAGTAACGAGATATGGAAGGGGGGGGGGGCGTATGGGAGGGACTGAGGGAGTGGAGGCAATTTGCCGCAAACTTGGAAATTGAAAATGGATTAATGGAAACGGTGAGGGCTGAGTTGGAGCTGCAGGCTGAATGAAGCACGAGATGGGAGACGGGGGAACGATGGAGGAGGTTCCATTCCAGGCTACCTCACGAAGTCACCCAAACGGTAAAACCCCCACGAGACCTCGCGTGTTGGGCACGCGCACGCCGCATCTGCTAAGGTATAGATATCTCTAACCCGAACTTGCTCTTTCCACGGGACCCCGTTTCTTGTCAACGCGGAAGGTATCCGTTCCTACACATGTTCATGCCTTCCGATGCATGCCGACCAAGGCAACGTACGTAGTAAGCTAATGTACCTAGGGCAAGAGCAAGGAACTCGTAGCACCTGCCGCATTCCTTTCCCGGGACATGCACCGTACACTGTGATGCGTCGACACCACAGGTCCCTCTCTGTGTCTTAGTAAAGCAGCTAATATCCAGCATGCCATCTGACGGCCTGCCAAACCTGGAAAGTTGGAATGGGATTGGGGGCTCACCTGAGAAAGGTGTTTATCGATATCTCACCGTTACTGGTGCAAACGGCCGCGTCTCCCAGGTTTCAAACTTGCCTGATTGCAATTGATCGTTACTCTGGGTGTAGGTCGTTGACGACGTTGACACCTGAGGATTTGTACGTCGAAACAGGTGACAGTAGGTGACAGTAGAGGGGCGTTGCTCTATGAGCGACACCAACCATGTCAATATGCAAAAGCTTGCGCTGTTGCCTTCGGCGACTTTCCGACATGATGCCTTGCTCTCATTTACAGTCTTCCACCAGAATCCAAGAGCAATGTTGACGGCATTACAGAAAACAACTGGGAATCAGCAGGTTGGGTTGAAGGTCGGCGGCTCATCATCACCTGTTGCTGGCAATGCTGGCCAGGCGTGCCAGGTGCACGAGTCGAACAGAGTTGGTGGAATAGTTCTAGGCCTTCGGGGCGACGGACAGAGTTTGAGCGAATGGACAGGCAAGCCGCAAAGTTGCAGAGCTGATAAACTCTGCTGTCCCGAGACCTGAGGAATTACTACTCGCCAAAGAGGCCCCACGCCGAAATGTCAGCTGAAATGGATGACGGGTACCTGACCGTTCGTAATGCTCGCCTACGTCATTCCCGAAAGCAAGTCCGCTCAGCAAGGGGGGTCGCAGAAAGCCACTTTGGCGAGGGATCATGCTACCTATTGTAGGTAGACATTTGCCTCCTCAGCGAGGATGACCTGAATTTGTAGAGCCGAATTGATGGAAATCCAAAAATAAATAACTGATATCAGCTGGGAATAGGCAGCGAGGCAGCCTTGCGATAGCTTCGCACAAGATGGCCATTTCAAAGGCTGGAACGGTGAATCACTGATGGGCTGCGTACGGATACACCAGTGGAAGAGAATTGACGTGGGTGAAAAAGACCGAGGGAGAGAGGGAGAGAGAGAGAGACGCGGCGGGCGACCAAGGCTCCCACACCAATTGATCGCAGGCGCGCGATTGGCTGGCCGGGCGGCGTCGAAAAGGGGTCCAGACTCGTCGACACTTGGGATGATGATGCTAGATTGCTCATCTACATGGCCCCTATGACGTCTGCACCTTGCCGACCCCACTTCCCAAATAAAGACAGTGAGATCTCCAAGTCTGGGAGCGAAAAGCCAAGGCCCAAGGTATAGGCAAGGTATCTCTACCCAAGGCCTTGGCCGCCCGTGTGTTGTCTTTTATGGCAGAGATGAATTCTGTATCCGTCTTCTTCAAGGTGATTGGTTGCTGTGCATCTCGACTGCGACGTTTTGTTGCTTCGGCAGCGGCGAAAACACCACACAGCATCATCGTAGAGGGCTTGCGTCCGGCGTCGAACCAGGGACGAGCATGTCAACAATGGAATTGGCCATGTCCAGTTTTCAACCGTTGTCTCTTGGATAGTGTGTGCGTGTTCGCGAGGTGGGTATCGCGGTCTCTGCCCTGCATTTCCGCGGCTATGGGGGCCTGCCCTGTCAATATCCCCCGGTTCTTCGTCGTCGGGAGAGTAAGTGTACGACGCAGCAGATGCTGGGTTCGTGAAGGTCACCATTGCCCGCTTGTTAGCCGGCGCTTGCGCTTGCGTTTGTGTGTTTCCGAGGTGGTGTCGTTCTGCGTTGCTTTTTGGTCTTCCATATCTCGATCTTGCAGGCAAACCCTTCTCTTCAAGCCCCTGCTTCCTTGTCCGGGGGCGTTTTCTTTCTTTTCTGGTCTTTTCCGTGGTTGGAGGATCCAGAGCAATGGTTCAAACTTCAAAGCCCAGGGAACAAACGGTACGTTTTCGGTACCTAAGGTGCGCTCACTGCCTTTGCGCCATAGCTCATCTCAGGAGGGACGCACAACCGAAGACTCGTCCAATGAGAGATGACAGAGCGACCCCGTCAAAGGAACGCCCCTGTTCTATGACGAGGTGGACGAGACGGCGAACCTGTGGGAATTGACTCGTGGTTTATACCGTGTTTATACTCTCCTGGCGCTCTCTCCAACGGTGCTGACAACCCTCTGGTAGACGAGAATAGAGTGCCTATTCACACAGTACTGAAATTCGTCCAATCGAGAGCACTCATCGTATTCTCACGCCGTGATCCATGTCTCGCACAGGGCTGATGTCAGGGTCTCCGCCGGCTAACCTCAATCCGCCGATCCCTCCCGTTTTGGACGACACACGACCTCATCAGACATGACACCCTCTTTTCTGTCCTTTCTTTCCCCCACTGTGCGCCATGCTCTTGTGCTGCCCTTTCTTCTGGTTTGCCCTCCAGCACCCGTGTCGTTAGAATTATTTGGCCATTGAAACTCAGACGCGCCTCTACGGATCCCGTATCGTGCTTACGGCGTCCGTTTGGGCCCAACAAGGACTCCCAAGGGCAGTCCGTGGGAGTGATTGTCAACAATGTGCTATCCTTTGTACCGCCGCAGGAGATGCGGTTCCGCAAATCTACTTTTGAACGATTCCAAAATGCTGAGAGACTTCGAGACCATACACAGACCCATTCGCCGCTGCCGCCACCGCGCATCGCCTCGCCTTAGCTGGCTTTAGCCATCTTCGTTTCCCAAACCCGTTGTACAGACCGATGAGAAGAGGTCAAACTCTTACAAGCAACATCAAGGCCAACCAAAAGTCCAAAGCAAACTACAAGGCGAAGAAAAGCGCGCCAGGAAAGAGAGACAGAGAGAGAGAGAACAGCAGCCGCGACACGCCAGACTTGTTTCTTTCTCCCACACCCAAATATCCCTCCCTGCTGTCAGCCAGGGGTGGCCCCCCCCTTCTTCCTCGTCTCGTTCGCATTCCCATTCCCTCCTCTCCAAGACCTGGTCCCTTTTTTCTTTTCTCCTCTTCCCTTCCCTCGTCGACTTGTTACTGCTCGCCTTGTCTTCTACACCCCCCCGACCTAGCAAGTCCTCCTTTTTCCTTTTCGTGCGCGCCTTTGGTTTCCCCCACTTGCAATTTGCCCAGTGCCCGATTCCTTGGACCTTGCCTGGTCACTTTTCGTCTCCCGCCGCCGTCGTGTCGTCCCGCTCCTGAGTCCCATTGCGCTTGCGCTCAACCCCGAGGTGCCTACGTACCATTTCCTATACTACAGACTATAGAGTACCGTACCCATACAGAGGTACTTCGTACACATATCAGCGCTCTCGACTGGTTCTCGGGACGCCGAACGCCACCTCCTTGTCCGGCCCCGTCAGCTCAGCCCAGTTCTTCCTCGACCACACCGTCCCGTGTTCCCAAGTGTACAGAGTCAGAGTAGCCGTAAGGTATAACCTCTCTCCTCCCTCGCCCTGGGCAGTTCTACACATGTAGAGTCACAACACAAGCAGCAAAGGCCAAGCACCCACCCCCCAGGTCCATACCGGGTTCAGATCGCCACTTGTGCCGTCACGTCAGAACCCCCCCGCAACCTTCTTTTCTCTCTAAAAGACCCCCCACTGCCTGTCCCTTCCCTTTCAAAGAGCCTCTTTCGCACACCCTCCCTCCCTTCCCATTCCCTCCGATCTATCTGAACCCTATCCGACCTTGCCTTAACCGTCCCGCCCCAACGCCGCCATACCGGAATGGCGCTTTAATTGTTGTCCAAGGTCTCCAACACTTGGCCGCCGTCGGAACAATACCTATCCTGCAGCATATCCGTGGCTCACACTCATCCTTCTTACAACTACACTAACCATGCTCGACAAGAGGAGCAACGACGGCGCAACATCCGTCCACTACACCATGAAGACTCCTCATTCAGCTCCCAGGCCCTCGCCTGCGCCTCGATCTTCCCATAGCCACTCGCACTCGCAGTCCAAACTCGCCGTCCCGCCCGCAAAAACTCCAAACCCTTCCACGCCCATGGCCTCTCCAAGAATGCCCTACTCTGTCGGCCAGTCCATGCCTCCCCAGAAGCTATCCCCGGCAAGACAGGCAGAGGCGAGAGCCGCGAGTCCAAACTACTTTGGCCTCGTTGTCGAGCAGTCAGTCGACCCAAGAGAATCTGCCTCTATGCCACGGGACAACTGGAGCTCCCCGACTTCGTCCGTCCGGTCTTTCGGCGCCGCGCTGCCCAAGCAGGTTCCCATCGATGCTAACCCCGACTATGAGGCCTTCAAACGACAAGCTGATCTTAACCGTGGTTTGAGCTTCAGCCTCTCTTCCTCTCACTTCCCGCAAGCTCCCCCGAACCCGACCACGCTCCGTCCTCGACCGCCGAGGTGGAATACCCATGCCAGCGATCACGCCCCTGACTTCTCGATACCTCGGGCGACGACGGAGCGAAAGCAGAGCAAGGAAGTTGACCAGCAAAGCCTGCACGACTCGGCTTACGCCTCGTTGGATTCCAAGCGCAACTCCGAGGCGTCGATCCAAACACCACAGATTCTCAGCCTGAACATGCCAAGATTCGAGTCGCCGATGCAATCTGAGTCGCCCTTTGAACGTAGAACGACGCTGTCAAAAGTAGAAGACCGTCATCCTAGGTTATCCATCTCGCAGAATAAACTTGACGCGCCAGCACCGAGCAATGCTCGAGCGAACCAGCCACGCGCCGAGACCTTGCCGCCGACCATGGAAAGCGGCCCCTCGTTGATAGCACCGTCCCAATTGAAGGACTTGATCGAGGCTGACGGCTCGGAGAGTGACTTGTTGCTTCTGGACCTGAGGGTGTCACAGCAGTATGCGCAAGCTCGCATCGAACGCGCACTCAATCTCTGCATTCCGACAACACTACTCAAGCGAGCTACCTTCAACTTGACCAAACTTCAGCAAACTTTCCAAAGCCCGGAGATGGAAGGGCGATTCTCACAGTGGAAGTCGACAAAGCACCTCGTCGTCTACGATGCGTACTCTGCAGAGAAACGCGACGCTGTTTCGTGTATGAACATGGTGAAGAAGTTCACGAATGAGGGGTACTCTGGCAACATGTATATCCTGCGGGGTGGCTTCAACGCTTTTGCTGACGCTTATCCCGATTTTGTGGATGAGGGGTCCGGCCCCCTTGCGAGCGGCTCGGCCCCGGCGATATCGAGCGACGGCAATCGGCCCGGCATTGCACCGGTCATTGGAGGCGTGATGCTGCCAATGACACAAAACAACGCCAACCCTTTCTTCTCCAATATCCGCCAGAATATGGATCTCGCCGATGGCGTCGGCCAGCTGGATATTGCCCGTCCGTCGGGTCTGGAGTCTCCCACGTTGCCCCGATGGCTCCGTGATGCCTCGAAGCCGAGCGATCGTGGCAAGCAAGTGTCCGACAAATTCCTCACCATCGAAAAGGCTGAGCAATCGCGGATGAAGGCAGCTTATTCCATGTTTAGCGGTAGCGAGAAGGATAAGGCTGTGCCACAGCTTTGTGGCATCGAGAAGGGGGGCAAGAACCGTTACAAAGACATTCTTCCGTTTGAGCACGCTCGAGTCAAATTGCAAGGCCGTCCTGAAGGGGCATGTGACTACGTCAATGCCAGTCACGTCAAGGCGTCTCGGAGCAACAAGAGGTACATTGCTACCCAGGGCCCGCTCCCTGCCACTTTCGAGGTAAGTATTCGCTATGATACCCGCGATATGTGCATGCAATACTGACGTCAGGAAGGATTTCTGGTCTGTAATTTGGGAACAGGATATCCGCGTCGTCGTCATGTTGACCGCTGAGTCGGAAGGAGGTCAGCTCAAATGCCACCCTTACTGGCAGGGCAGGGATTTTGGCTCGATCAAGTTGAAGCCGCTATCAGAGAAGAAAGTATCTCTGGACATTGACAAGCACCGCGCCAATCAGGGATCAGGTGCCCCTTCCATTGCAGCAGCAGCAGAAGCTGGCCGCCGCCGCGCACAAACGACGACTACGTTGGAGGCCTCAAACTCTTCCGCATCGCCATCGCCTCCACAATACGAGACGCCGCACGTCATTATTCGGAAGTTTGCCCTGTCCCACGGCTCACACCCCTTTGCGCCCATACGTGAGATCACTCACTTGCACTATCCATCTTGGCCCGACTTTGGAGCGCCCGCGCAGCCATCACACTTGCTAGCCCTCGTGGACCTAGCTAATGTGATGCAGCGGTCAGCGTTTCCAGTTGATACGTCTTCGATCAACAATTCTCGTGTGTCTCCAGATTCGGGCTCTATTGCCTGGTATGACGAGCCAGAAATGGATCAGAGAGCGAGGCCGATGCTGGTGCATTGCTCTGCGGGATGTGGTCGAACTGGTACCTTCTGCACTGTAGACAGCGTCATTGATATGCTCAAGCGTCACCGACTTGCCAAAACGACGACGAAGCCGGTTAGAAAGCGGGATTCGGACGGCGATATCAAAATGAGCGGGTCAGAGGAGTCTTCGCCTCGAGAAAAGACATTTGATTTTAATACCAGCAGCCGTCGCACGAGCGCCGATGTGCGACGCGGCTCTCCAGACAGAACCCCATTAGACACGGCGTGGTTAGCGGACGACAGCGACACCATGGACCTCATTCAAAAGACAGTCGAGGACTTCCGAAATCAACGACTAAGCATGGTGCAGAGTCTGCGTCAATACGTCTTGTGCTACGAGACCATTGTGGAATACGTCTGGAGATGGCACGAGAAGAGCTTAGGCTCTCCCAAGGGAGGAAGAGCACGAAGTGGAAGCTTGCAGCTTAGAGGGGACAACTAATTGTGGCGCGGCTTGCACAGGAAGACGGATGAAAAACCGAAACGGACTCGTATGGAATCATAAGGTGATACCCCCTTGGATGGCGGAAGGTGCCAGTATCAGCGAGTGGTGATGAAGCATTGTGCATTTTTCTTTTACGACAATAAGGCAGTATGGAGAACACCGGCCCGAGGTCCAGGGCCAATGGGCATAAGGATAGGCGTTTGGGCATTTCAAAGCATGAATTACGATGCATGGGGCGCTGATACTTGACTCTTGTGTCTGATAACGCCAGCACGTTGGGATGTTGACTGCGGTCAGTCCTTGGAGTTGTACATTAGAGGTGTTGAACGAATGAGAGAGTAGAGTAGAGTAGCAGTCACCGGGCTGCTCTCGATTGATCTCATAAAATCTGAGTCTGATAATGGTGTGAAGTGTATGTACGTCCCGTGTGAGACAATTTGTCCAGATGAGACGAGTAATATGCTGGCTTATCCACCTGCTGAACTTCCCCTTTTCAGACGTGTGATTTTTTGCTTGTCCCATTCTTCGAGCCACTGTCGGGACTATCTCAATAGATGGGTGTAGTTTGATAGCCCATCCTGCAAGGATCCAGCCTACCTCCCCGTCCCCCGATGCCAGCATTTCCCGCGAGATTCTATTTGATATCGTCGTGCTCAAACTAGGGTTTCTCCAAGGAAAAGGGATGGAACGACCAACCTGCAACAATAGACGTTTCCACAAGCTTATTTTTTGCACTTTATCTCGGGACGGCGTACTGACCTTTGAAATATTTTGCCCCCTATCCCCCAGGCTGTGCGCTCATCTCGTAACGATGTGCTACCTTGCATGAGCGGTGCTAGACGAGGGGGTAAGGAAAGTGCATACGGCCATTATTGACAAACGTTTGGTCTCCCTGGAGCTGAGTATGCGGGCGTGTGTGCGTTGGTCAAGGGCGATGTAAGGTCACTTTTCCCCGAACGTGACATCAATCTTTACCAGTGCCGGCCAGGGAGAAAAAACAAGGGAGGGAAATGTGATGAATGGTGCAAGTCATCGTGGCTGATTCCATGTTCTATGTAGTCGTACATAATTAGGCGTACAAGCGCCACATACGCGCGCAATGGGCGCAGACGCTGTTTCCACCACCGCCGCCGCCTCTCCTCCACCCCGTCCTCTCCTGCCCTGCCTGCCTGCCCAACTCCCGCCAGCCGAGTAAAGATGTCGTCGTCGATCATTGGTACTTTTTTGCTCTTCGTCCTCCAACGCGCACTTACTTCCAGAGCTTGCCGAGTGACACCTCCTTGTCGTCGTGCTTGTTGAGGATCTTGGCGGTGGCGAGCTCAAAGTCCTCCTGGGTGACGTGAACTCTTCGCTCGCGCAGGGCGTACATGCCGGCCTCTGTGCAGACACCCTTGAGCTCGGCTCCGGAGCAACCGTTCATCTTTTCGGCAATCTTTGTGAGGTTGATGCCTCTCGTCAGGTTCATCTTGCGACTGTGGATGCGGAGAATGTCGGCACGGGCCTCCACGCTTGGCGGGGGGAACTCGATCTTTCGGTCGATACGTCCGGGACGCAGCAGGGCGGGGTCGAGGATGTCGAGACGATTGGTGGCCATGATGACCTTGATGTTCTTGGTGGGCTCGAAACCGTCCAGTTGGTTGAGGAGCTCCAGCATGGTGCGCTGGACTTCAGAGTCGCCGCCGGACGACCCCTCCACACGGGAGGAACCGATGGAGTCGATCTCGTCCATGAAAATGATGGAGGGGGCGTGCTCGCGGGCCATGACGAAGAGCTCGCGGACCATGCGACTACCTTCACCAATATACTTTTGCACCAACTCTGAACCGGACACTCTGATGAACTTGCAATCGGTGTGATGTGCGACGGCACGGGCGAGCAGCGTCTTTCCCGTACCAGGGGGGCCGTAGAGAAGGACACCCTTTGGTTGTGCGATACCGAGGGACTCAAACAGCTCGGGATGCTTGAGACCCAGTTCGATGACCTCCTTGATTTCCTTGATCTGCTGATCCAGACCACCGATCATATCGTACGTGCTGTCGGGGACCTTCTCGACCATCATGAGGGAGACGAGGGGGTCGACGGATGAGGGGAGCATCTTCTCGAGCTTGTAGCTGTCGGAAAGCAGGGTTACCCGCTTGCCGACGGTGAGCTTTGTGATGTCGACATTGTCGGAGATGTCGACAACTGCGACCGGGTTAGTTTATTCACATTGCTGACAAGACTGAGGTTGAGGCGAGATGCAACAACGTGCATCGAGAGCAGGGCCGGCGAGCAAGTGACATACCGTATTTGCCTTCGGGATGCACCTTGACCAGGACCTTCTTCGTGCTCATGACCTTGACGACCTCGCCAACATAAGAACCGGGCTGCTGCAACAGACCCAGCTCTTCCCTCAGTAGCCTCACACGGGAATTGTAGTCGTTTCTTTGGGCTTCGAGGCGGCGGAGGACTGCTTGACCCTTGAGGATCTCGAGCTTCATCGCCTCGATCTTGTTCTGATAGTAGCTGTCCAGCGCCATCGTGATGGATGCCCCGAGGGTGGGGATGGAGATGAGTAGTGGTGGTGTTAACACCTTTGTTTTAAGTGTCGTCGGTGTGGAATTATCGGGGACCAGTGAGGGGAATCAATCGGTCGTCGGGGGCGGGGTCGTGATGGGTTGAATGATTGAGGTTGCCGGGGGTGGATTGTGTCGTGATGAAGGAAGCTTGTCGTTGTGGAAGCTCACAGATGGATTCGAAGTGACAGGGCTGGACGTCTGGCTGGCTGGCTGGCTGGCTGACTTCGTCGGTCGGTCAGTCAGCCGTAGCCCGCAGCAGGCAAACGACCGTCGACGCGTTCGACAGGCCATTGATCACGTGACGATCATCATTCCGGAAAAGCCAAGACCCTCTTTTCCAGTTCATGGAAGCTTGAGCTTGGACCTAAACAGAAGCTTAGGTAATGCAACTATCGGAGACGTAGATCTTCCGCGTCCCGGCGGCACGATCGATGGTCGGGGACAGGCTTGGTCCGTGTGTGATTCTTCTCAAGGTTGTTGCTGCAAGAGAAGGTGCAATGGAACTCTAAACGCGCGTGCAAGTATCCGTACGCCGTGCGGTGACGTTTGCTCTCCCAGTCAGAAAAGTGGAACACAGCACGAGATCAAAGCACATGTCGAACAACAGGGCGAGTGGAGCGTGGGAGATCGAATCATCGTAAAAGGATAGATAGCACAAGACGAGGCGCGAGATGCAGGTATTCAGACAGGCAGTGATAGCCGTGGAATACCGGTACCTATGGAAGGCTGAGGTCGAGGATAAGACGGGAGTGCTGATGAAGGGAACGGGGGGCGACGGGCCCCGATGGACGGGGACTTGAGGTTTCGAGGTTCGCCAGTCGCGGCTGATTTGAGGTACCCTGCGTGCCTGCGTAGCGGCGATTCTGAAGCACGCGGACGCTAGGCTGGTTCGGGACGATACCAGATATGATCCATGCTCCCGTCCACTGTCCGCTTCCACGCCGGCTTCACGCTGAACCTGAGGAACCTGCGTGTTTATTCCCCCCCAAGTGCACTTTTGCAAAGCAACGGTGGTCTCCACTTGGGAACCTGAGATAATCCTCCACCAAATTGCATGCCTCTGCATGATGCATCCTGGTGCACGATGTGCATGCACTCCGTACCTTGGTCCTATCAATCGCCCGCCAAAGGTAAGAAAAGTAAGTCGCAAGTGTAAACACCAGCCAAACCGGCCATGCCTGTTGGCAACAATGACAAACGAGGGATCTCCTGTCCATCTTCCCAAGTCTCTCGGCCCCGATGGCAAGCAAACTGCGGGGGAGAAGAAGAAGCCTCGCGGTGGTCCTCGCTCCTCTCTCAAGCCAACAGGTAGCAGCATCTTCCATGCTCCCCCGAGAGTCGAGTCGCCATCTGAGGCCATTCAAACAACACACATGACCGTCAGTTGGTGTTGCGACTTGGTCAACAGTGGGCAGCGCCTGACTCAGACTTTCACATTCCGTCCCACCTCCACTGCTCCCGAACAGGCTGTTGCAAGTTGCTCACCACCTCACCTTCACCTTGATTGATGTGTGCAAATCTGGGGGAGGAGAGACCCAAGCATTCCGCTCCTCGAGTGATCCTAGGTACCTCAGCTTACCTAGCACCCATCCGTTAGCTTCCATGGTACGAACGCCGTCCTCCACCACCACCACCACAAATTGCAGCATCGGGTCATCCATCCATCAATACTCCGTACTCGATAGATAGAAGGCACCCATTGTCTGTGTGTCCGTCCGTACCTTGCCCAGTAAACATTTCCGCCGCACGGGAATGGACAAGGCCGTCCTTTTCTTCTCGGACCCGATACTGCCCATCATCCCATCATCATTCTCATTCTCGTCCGCTCTCCTCTGCTCTGTCCCCGGGTTGTCCTTTTTTCCCATCGTGTGTTTGTGTTTTGGTCGAGGCCTAGCTTGTTTACACTATACTACCACCTAGGTACACCTACCTTACCTCACCTCACCTCTCTTCCCTGGCTCACCCATTGCATCGACCTTGCTTGATTCCTTCCGAGTCTCATTTCTAAGCAACAAACCTTCGGCTACCAGACCCGTCAGATATCCAGCTGGGGGGGGCCTCGACACCGACACCGTCACCGACTCCTCGACCCATAATCGGGCTCTCCGAGTAATCCTCACATTTCACACTGAGCTGAGCCCGAACCTGGACCTTAACCCAACCGCACCTCATACACTACTACCTGGCACAGACACACAACAATACAACCTTTTTTCCTTTTCCTCACATCATTTACCAGTTCGCCGTTCCAAGTCCAAGACAGCAACAGCAAAACACCCAGAACTCCAAGCTCGAAGCCACCGCGGGTTGCCGTCTCGTCCCGCGCCTGCACTGATAACCCACCTCTCCGGCAGCTTGCCAATCTCCTCCACCCATCTTGCTCCATCGTCCCCAAACAGCTGCGCGCTCTTTCGTCGCCCTATCGTTGTCGCCCACCATGGATCCCTCAACAGGGCCGGGCACACCGTCCCATCCGTCCCATCAGTCCCACGATAGCTCGACCACCGCCTCACCCACTGATACCCGTCATCAGCCCTCAAGGTTCGACACCTATGTCGCCTCCCGCGACGAAGGTCTGTCCGAAAGTTTCCAGTCCTTCCAGTCCACGGACACGGTGCGGAGGCGCCCAGAAGGTGGTGGCTACGGTACGTACGACCCGCTGCATGCCCAGAAGCCCAACGAGTCTTGGTCGTCCGAGTTACCGAGTGGCCCAACGCGAAAAAAAACCCCTGGCTGATATCATACCCCCGTGCGCTTGCAGGCTCTATACATACCCAAGATTCCGGTTCTCAGTACCTGGGCGATCCGTCCGCCCACGATCGATCGCATTCTCGCTCGACAACAACTGCTAGTGCAAGATCGCCCATGATGGGCCCAGAACGTCCCAAAGCTGCGAAGCCGCGAAAGCCTCCGATGCCCCGTCGACTGTCGACCAACCCATCCGCACCACACCGCGGGGAAGTGTTCTCCGTCGACGACGACATCAACGAGGTCGAGGCAGATGCGGCTGGCCGTCATCAGAGTCGTCAGGGCAGCACCGCCTTTGGCACTCGGCGCCGGCCGCAACTGGCGACGACTCTGTCGCGCGTTCAATCTTCCCGCAGCGACACTGGAGTCGATGATGATGACGATAATGATGAGGTCGAGGATGGTCCCCGAACACCCAGAGCTGACGAGGACGCTCCTGAGGATGCTGAGCGCGTTCCTTCGGTGCATCCTGATGAAGAGGATATTGATGCCGAGTCAGATGGTGACGTGAGCGACGCCGAGAGCTTTACGCTCAAGGATCGTCAGCAGGCCATCAACCAGACCCATCCCTTCGGCATCAGGCTGTGGAAGCCTGCATTGTACAAGAAGGATCGATCAGTACAGAAGAATGCCGAGGGCGATATCCATTCGTCTCCTGGCGGAAGAGTCCACAGCTGGCTTGTATTCTTCAACCTTCTTTGGACTTTGTTATTTGGCTGGTGGATGGCAGCTTTCTCGGCTCTCGGTGCCCTAGTTTGCTTCTTGTTCGCCGCAACTCCTAGCGGCAGGGAATATGGCAGAGTACTCTGGGGCTTGGCTGGCTACCTATTCTATCCGTTCGGCAAATATGTGCGCTTGGAGCAGGATGACGCCTACCTGGACGAGGATCAAGGTGAAGGACGAAGCATTTCCGAGTACGAACAATGGCAGAGTGGCGACCTGGAATACGGCCGCCTCTTCTTTGGTCCAGAGGGATCCGAACGCAGCCGGTCTATCGTTGGCCGCTCGCGGAGGAGCATCGACTCAGAACCCAGCGAGACTGACAGCCTCTTGGGCCGCTCTCGACGAGGAGAGCGAAGCGAGACACCACCTCAGATCAAGCGCCGTTTGTTCGGAAGAGGCCAGTGGAACATTGGACGCGTCGTCTTCTTCTTGTTCTTCTATCTCTTGCTGTCACCCTCGCTGATCCTGGTATCCTTGATCTGCTGGTTCCTCGTCTTCTCGATTCCCATGGGCAAGGTCACTATGCTGCTCTTTGACCAATTGCGCCGCCATCCATTGGCGCTCTCATTCGAGTCTGACATCGTTCTCGCCCGGACCGCTGACACGCCGCACTCGTCAATCTTGCTGTGTACATACCGCGCTGTCGGTATCAAGTACTGGAAGTACACCATTGACGGCACGAACGTGTTCTTGATCAACCTCATGGGAGTTGTCTTCTTCGTCATCTTCGACTATCTCGTTCTCGATCAAGTTCTCGATTTGAAGCTATTCATCACCTCACCAGCTTTCCTCTTCATTGCCGGCTTATTCTCCATCGTTCCGCTCGCTTATTTCATCGGCCAAGCCGTCGCCTCCATCTCGGCACAGTCTTCGATGGGAGTTGGTGCTGCCATCAATGCCTTCTTCTCCACCATTGTTGAGGTATTCCTCTACTGCGTTGCCCTGAGCCAAGGCAAAGGTCAACTCGTCGAAGGCAGCATCGTGGGAAGTATTTTCGCTGGTATACTTTTTCTTCCGGGTCTTTCCATGTGTTTCGGTGCTATCAAGCGCAAGACGCAGCGCTTCAATGCCAGGTCTGCCGGTGTTACTTCGACAATGCTGCTTTTCGCAGTCCTCGGCGCTTTTGGCCCTACGCTTTTTTACCAAATCTACGGCACTCACGAGCTCAACTGCTTGGACTGCGTCAATCACAGCGGTATAGGGGGCGGTCTGTCTCCTGTTGGTGACGGCCGCGATTGCAAGCGATGCTTCTTCTCCCAGACTCCGGCGCTGAATGATCGTTTCTACCTAGAGGCTGTCCGCCCGTTCTGCTACTTCTGCGCCACATTGTTGTTCCTCTCCTACACCGTTGGACTCTGGTTTACACTGCGAACCCACGCTGCGGTCATTTGGAACTCTGAGATCGACGAGAAGAAGCACGAAGAGGCGCACGCACACGCTCACGCGCATGCTCATACCAGACATTCGGGTCCTCACTCTTTTGCCGAGACCACTGGCACCTCGGTCGATGTCCGTGACTCTCATCTTTACAAACGCATCCTCGGCCAGTCACTGAAACAGGTTGGTCTTGCAAACAAGAAAGACGACAGCTCTCGTCAGGGATCTGTGACCGGATTGGGCTTGAGTACTGGAAATGGCAGCGTCAGCATCCCGCACGTCGTGCCTCCAAAGTCCAGCGGAAGCGATACAGTTCGCTCCACTGTTCACATCCCCGGGTTCTCAGAGGCGGAGAACAACGCCTTGGTTCGCGAGGTTGCAGAGATGGCAGCCACTGCGGCTACAATTGCCGCACGAGAGCGAATGCCTCGCAGGACCTCGGCCCTTCCCGCAAATGCGACTGTGGCTGCATCTCGCCCCCCGGCCCTCCGTACGGCTACAGTTGCGGACAATGAAGACCTCGCAGCGGCCAGCACTGCTCAAGTACCCCACGGTGGACACGACGCTCCCAACTGGAGCCGAGGCAAGAGTGCTATCATCCTCATGGGAGCCACTGTACTCTATGCCATCATTGCCGAGATTCTGGTGGACACTGTAGATGTCGTTCTCGAGGGCTTTGCCATCGACGAGAAGTTCCTTGGCATCACGCTTTTCGCACTTGTTCCCAACACTACTGAATTTTTGGTGAGTTTGCGCTGCGTATTTACACCATGATGTTGACTAACGCTCTACAGAATGCAATCTCCTTCGCTATGAACGGCAACATTGCGCTTTCCATGGAAATCGGTTCTGCCTACGCACTTCAAGTCTGTTTACTTCAGGTTCCAGCCCTTGTGCTGTTCTCCGCAACCTATGTCACCGCCGATCGATTCGAGGACGTCACTGCGCACACCTTTTCGCTCTTGTTCCCTCAGTGGGATATGGTGACCGTCATCATCTGCGTGTTCCTGCTTAGCTACATGTACGGCGAAGGAAAGAGCAATTACTTCAAGGGCAGCATTCTGCTGCTAAGTTACCTCGTAGTCATTGTGGGCTACTACTTTTCAGGGTATACCGAGGACGCCATGAGCGTAAGTCGTTTTGACGTCATGGGTTCCAACGGACAGTACTCGTCCATCAAGACTGTCGGCCGCCGAGTGAGCGGCGCCGTCCTGCAGTGAGGAAATATCCGCAAAGGAAGCGGAGTGTAGAGGGGTGATGATACCCAAAGAGTGGAAGACATCAATAAAGGATGGTAGAGGATCAGAGGTTCAAGAAACGTCGGTGTCAACAGGCAATATTGTCAGTTTTTCGTTCGAAGTGGGCATTGCATTATTTTGGTTTTCGCAGGCGGCTATGACGGGACGGACGCTGACGGCGTTAAGGAGAAGAAGAGTACATACCTAGATTACCCATTCGTTTCATCGCGGATCGTTCGCAATATACATCCCTAATGTTCAAACCCCGAAATCATGTTTCTTTGTGCCTGCCAATGCCTGGCCGGCCTCTCAGCGCTCTCCGTCGAATATCAGGTATCGCCGCCTTTGACCGAGCCTAATGATCGGTAGCGTTCCACTTTGGCTAAAACTAAGATGGCTAGATCTCTTGGCTACGACTGCAACCCGCAACCGAGATTCTTGATCTGAAGTGAAATACCTCCTCGCGTGAAGGGTTAGGTGACTTGGCTCCTGCCACGTCGACACATCTGCGGTGCGGATGTTAGCGCCGCGGCAGTGCTCCCGGACGATGGAAAGTTGATCTTGTCTTCAGGCCGGCACCAAATTCTGAATGGAATGATGTCCGTTGGCTAGCTTACCATGGATTTAACCTGCCGTGAGATGTTGTGGTTTGGGGGATTCGCCAGTGCGGGAGTTTGACCTCTGGAGTGTTATTGGGTGCTCTCGACAACGGTCAGTACCTTATTAAAAGAAATATTCCGTCTCTTGTTAGACCCGAGACGTCCGTGGCCAAACATCGCTTTTGACTGCTCCCGTCTTCCTTCAAATTCGGTCAACATGGCTCCCGCTGAACCCCGCCCGATTCCCTTCAAGGCGAAGGGCAAGACGCCTCAGTTTGAGGAGGAGAGGAGGGCTGGAGGGGATACATTGAGTGAGAGAAGTACCCCGAGAAGAAGCAGGTCGAGGAGCTTATGAGGCAATACAGCTTTCCAGATGTGAGTTGAATAATCTCAATTCTAGAAATCACGTCTTGTAGCTCTAGTTGGTGTCTTGCTCCTAGGTTAGCCGTCTCCGTTGCGGACCGTAATGTTTGGGTATATCGGCGCGCGGAGCTCGAAATGGCTGGCTGAGGTGCGGGCCATTGCGGACGAGAGCAGCGCGCCAGTGTAGAGGAGGGAGTATGTCTACTACATGCCGCAGGTGGAGAAGCAGAACGTCAAGTACAGCAGCGGGTTCTCGATACAGGAGATGCCTACAAGCTCGGCAATCTTGAAGTCGCGGGACACAGGCCAGGTGGTGCAGGGGGTGCAAGGCGTACTCGGGGGCGGGCACTGGCCGGTTCGGGTCAAGGTCAGCGGAGACAGAAGGGGATGTGTGGTATGAGGTGCCGTGGGAGAGGATGAGCAGCAAGTATTTTCCATGCTTGGAGGCTTTGGGCATCGATGCGGAGGGGGGCTTGGAGTTTTGCGTGCGGACGTGGGGTAATGTAATACGCAGCCTGCGTTTGTCCGGTCTGCTTGGCATGTGGTATGTTGCTTCTTTTGTGTCCATCCCCACGACTACGTGTTCCTCTGGTCTCACCCTCCTTGAAAGGCTCAGAGATACATGAGCGGAGATATAAGGGTGTTCATACAGTTAACCTCAAGGCTCTACAGGAGCTGAGACTCGCACATCGCGTCCTCGGCGCACCGCATCAACCTGTACAGCAGTAGCAAGTCTAGACCGGAGACGGCGGCCAGGCTGACGAAGCTTGAGGAGAACGGGATCCCGATTGTGCCGATTACGCAGCCCGCCGAGATTGACTTTGAGTCGGATGAGGAGTGTGAGAGGAACTTGGCGGCGCAGGAGGGCGGGATTCGACGGAGTGAAGGGGAATGTATTGAACATGGTAGACGGCTGTAGGATGGGGACAATTACTGGGTGCAAAATGAGGCGTTTTGTATCAATTTCTTTTTTATTTTTTTGTGGCGAGGACAAACCTATTTTCTGGTTTCCTGTTGCTCTCCATCTGGACGGTTTTTGGGCCATGTTTTGATTCTCCTTCGTAGAAGATACCCCGTCTTATACGCAGACTCGAAATAAACCCGAGGAGCTGTTGTGATGGTATGCTAGTTACTGTATTCTGTATCAATCTGGTGGGGTTTGCTAAGTGCCATCTGTTAAGCAGGTAAATGTAGGCAGACGAAGGGCAGCCGAAATTTGACTGCAGCATCGGAGACCGTCATCGTGCACAATCTACATAGATCGCTATGCAGAGCTTTGGGGTCTGTTTCCTACGCTTTCTTCTGATGCTCCAGTCTCATTCATTGGCTTTGCTGTCCTGCATGGACAGATCTCCTGTGGAAGGCCATGAGGCCATACCCGGGGGCCGTCAGTGTCGCAGTCAGGCCACTTTCTCAATGTACTTTTTACACCGCCTCTTCTCAAATGATGACGCTCGTCTCTCCTTATTGAAGGCGATACGTTATCCCGAGGCGGCTGATATAAAGCGTCCTGCACCCACCCTCCCTTCTATAGAAAGGCTTACTCAATTCAAACCAACTTCACATCATGTCTAAAGCAAAAAGAAATAGTTTGTTCTTCTTCACCTGATAAGTAGCTGACTGCGTCAGATATGGAGCTACTATTCAGATGGAACGCTCGAGGCAAAAACGGGCACGTAAACTCCAGATTCCGCCTCCCATAATTAGGCAACGTCTCGATCGAGTTGCTCCTTTTGATTCTTCTTCCCGCCTTGTTTAGAGACCCATCCAGTTCCCATTCACGCTTCCGCCCATACCTTCGAAGCCCGGCACGTAGCCATTCCCAAACATAGCCGAGAACTCGTCTAGCGCGGGCGGCATCGGCGACAGGCTCCCATCGAGACCAAAGAACGGCATCGCCGGCGGCAATGACGCCGTACCCTGCCGCCCCGCGCCGGGAGCAACATGGCCTCCTCCGCCTCCTTCTCCCCCGGAATGGCCGTGGGCGCCCCGCCACAAGCCCGAGGGGTGCGGCGGGATCGGCACCGCCGCGTCGTGGCCGTCCCTCTCGCTCCTCGTATCCCCTCCTTGCGCCGGCGTGTCCGTCTTCCACAGCATCTCCCACTTTTTGAAACGCGCATAGTCCGACTCCTTGGCGCCGGAGGAGCTGCCGCCGCCGGTGGTGCCGCCGTTGGTCTCGTCCGCCATGTCCAGCCGGGAGATGGCGCGCTCAAAGGCCTCAATGAGGGACATTTCCGACTTGGCCGACTCGCCGCCTGCGGACATTTCTCTCAGCATCGCCATGCCCTCGCGCAGCGCATCGCGGAGGCGGTCCGTCTTCATTTGCAGGCACTGCGTGATGATGACGAGTAGGGCGGCGCGGCAGGAGGAGAATTCCGTGTACGAGGCGCGGGCGAGGCCGACGGTGTTGCGGAGAAGGCGGCACGTTTCCACGACGCAGAGGGCCGCGTCGACGCAGTCTGCCACCAGGACGGCGCGGGGGTGGGTGGTTTTGCTGGTGGTGGTCGTCGTCGTAGTGCCGCCGCTACTGGTGGTGGTGGTGGCGCGGGGGCCGGGGCCGGGGCCGGGGGGGAGCACGGTGACGGCGACGGAGTCTGCGGGTGAGCCGGAGGAGCTCGCGGTGCTGCCGCGGGCCGAGTCGCGGGGGAATATGAAGGGTCGGCCGGCGAACATGCGGACGAGGCAGTATTCTAGCCTCAGGTGCATTGTCGGGCGGAAGACGGCGGGGCCGGTGGTGGGGTCTTTGATGAAGGTCGGCTCGGGGAGGCTGTTCCACCAGTTGTGGAGTTGGGCCTTCATCTCGACGAGTTTGGCCATGCCCTCGGGTATCTCGTTCTTTTCAAACGTCTTGAAGAGGGATCTGGGAGATGGGTTGTCAGTGAGAGGGAGGGCGTGAGAGGGGCATCGGAAGAAGGGATGACTGACATTTGGTGGGCTATTCGGCTGAGAGCGTTGTTGAGCTGTAGCGTTGCCAGCATGTGTGCCGTGTTTGGTGGTGCTGAACCGGGCCAGATCTCTGGCCTGTCGACCGGTAGCTCGGCGTCGACGTCGCTGGCTGCAATAGATACTGGCCGGCCATGGAATATGCCGATGCGCCTGCGAGACAAAAGTTATTTTGTAAAGTCAAAAGACGTGGATGGATTTGCTCACTTTTCTGTTGTGTAGGCTGTCCACCATACACGGTTCCTCGTCTCACGGATAACGGGATTGATGCCGTCCCCAGGGTGCTTCCGATGCATCCCGTTTTGTATCGCGAGCTTGACTGCCAGGTTGAGGTACACGTACGACAGTCCCGAGGCGTCGAGGGGTAAGGTGTAGAGGCCTATGAGGAGACAAGCCTGGACGCTCTCCAGCGACGATATCGTGATCACGTCTGGGACCAGCCGGCATGCCTGCTGGTAGAACATGATGCCGATAGTGTCCTCTGAAAAGGGGCTCGAATCGGCGGCGGCACTCGGCGGCCCGCCCCTCTCGTTCCGGGAGTCTAGGTAGGCATACTGCGTGCCAATGGCAAAGATGATGAGAATCATGCACACGGTACCGACATCTCGACGCGTCAGAGAGGCCGAGTTCTCGTACACCAGGTCCAGCCTGTCCATCAGCCAGTGGCGCTCGACGTAGAAGTAGCTGGTTTCGGCATGGTTGAAGAAGGCCTGGACGAGGAAGTCTGCGACATAGCGCGGGGGCAGGGATGAGAGGGACGCCACGGTGTTGGAGGGCGACTGGAGTTCTTCTGGGCGATAGTACTCCTTGAACTGTGTCTTGGGACCATCCGGGGCGTCCTACGAGACCGGATCAGCGGTTGCCCGCTTGGTAGAGGCTCTGCAACGAAAGGGGTTTGCTTGCTTACGTTTACACATTGTTCGATCCAGTGCTTTATCCGCATGGAGAAGTTCCAGTGCGAGAACTCACCGGAGTAGTCTGCTCGGGAGTCAATATTGGGCAGTCCCTTCGGATATGCTAAAGCCGAGCCTGTCGAGGGTCCGGAGAAGGGCAGGGGAGGGGAAGGGGGCCCGCCTTACGTGTGATGTTGTTCTCCAGAGGCTGAACTGTTATCTCGTCCACCTTGAACGAGTCGGAGCTCTGTGATTGCACCTCTGCCTCGGCGCCGACCTCCGTCTCCATGGTGACATCGGCTTCAGCACCGGCCCCAGGAGCCGCCTCCGGGCCGGTGCGTCGTCCCTTCTCCACAGACTCGGCCAAGGTCTTCAACGTCTCGGCGTCGAGTGTGCTCTTGCCGGTGTAGTGCGCAAGAAGCCGCTCCATGTAGGACATTCTCTGACTCAACTGGGAGTCATCATGCTGCGATGGGCGGGGCCTGTCATGATCCGTCATAGGCCTTGTCAGCCAGATTTGTAGGCGTAATGAATGAAAATGTGTCGTTATGAAGTGACTTCATGACAAAAGTGACATTAAGAAGGAAGGTTTAAAGGAAACAATACATCGTTACCTAGTCATGTTTTCAGTTCCGGGCTCATCCCGCGTCGTGGGCGTGAGGAACTCGCACTGCCGGCGCAGACGGGTGCACCGGCGGCAAGGGACTCCTCCGTCGCATTTTTCCTTGAGTCGCCGACATCCGTCACAGCTTGGTCGTGTCAGCATGAGGGAGATTCTCTCATCAAACAAACGAAACCGAATAATGAGAGTAGAAAAGAATGGGCTTCATCCTACGCTCGAACTGCCCGCTTCCGCTCCTTATCCGCCACGCGACGCTGCTTGTGTCGTTGCAGGCGCAGGCCGTCCTCGGGATCCATCTACAACTTGGGTCGCAATAACCGATAAGAAAACGGTAGAGAAAAGAGAGAGGGCGTTTGGATAACGCGCGGGCTGGGCGGATAGTGCCGATCAACAGGGCCAGCCGAGGACCCGGGCCGGTGGTGGAGGGCTCTCTCTCTCTCTCCCTCTTTCTTTTTCTCTGTCTGTCTCTCTGTTCTTCTCTGCGTGTATATTTAACTCTCCGCGGAAAGTGTTCCCCAGGTGACCCCGCCGTGACAAGTCTCAATTACGAGAGTCCGTGTTCAGAAAGGAAGGTCTGGCTCTGTTTCGGGTCTCTCAATGCCCTTGCAATTCCTCGGGCGGGTAAAGGCAGGGCGTGGGCAAGGTATGCGAGTGGATAAAGGGCAATGAGTGACTGCGGGTGAACGAGAGCGGTGGTTCTCCGAGTTTGTGTGTGAGAGGAGCTAAGAGAGGCTGCTAAGTCTACTCTCCCTCCACCGTCGCTGCCCATTTCCTTTTCCGAGGAGGGGGCGGGGAGGCAGAATTTCGGCGAAACCTGCGCCGCGGTCGGGGTGGTCGGAGGGGACGGACCCGCTTTCACAACCAAGACGCGGGGAAGCCGGCTACCATCCCGGTCGGAGCCGAAAGCTTGCATGAGGTGAAAACCCTTGAACCCAGAATCCGGAGCTCGCTTGACTCGTGGTGCGGAGAGAGGGGGAGGGTTTGATCATGGTCTAGATTCGACGAGTAAACAAAATGACTATTGTAGACGATCAGTGTCAAGAGATGCAAGTGGTGATTATTCGTCTTGAATGGGGAAATGAAACAAAGAAAAAGAGCGTTCTCGAGGAAATGAGAAGCTGTAGTATTGTATAGCATAGTCCAATCTCGTTTCAACTTGGCATTCTTGATTAATTATAACCGCAGTACAGATTTTGTTAGTCACAGCTTAGCCCTCAAGTCATCCATCCTCCTGTGAAGACTTGAGCGAGTCCTCCAGTGGGCTGTTTTCCCTCTCCATCCTCTCCTTTGATGTCTCCATGATACTCGCAAGACCCATATCCTCAAATTGAACACCATCACGGATCATTGACGCCACACCCTTTCTCGAAAGGAGAATCTCCGGCATGCCGTAGCCAGGAAAGCCAACGACGATTAATAGCCCCGGCTTCCCGCGGAGTTTTGGCCCGTTTGTGCCAGAAAATCTGCCTCGCGCCACCGACCACGATGATGCCGTCCATTCGGGGGATGAGGTAGTCGTTGATCCGCGCGTCGAAGTTGACTCCGTAGGTGTCGACGACCAGGTGTGGGCTATTGGGGCCGCGGGGCGAGGTGATGCGACTGCAGAGCCCGCGGACCGGTACGGTGCGGTCTTCGTACTGCGGGAGGACCTGGCCGTGTCGCCGTAGGTAGCTACGACTCCCTTGCCGGCAATGATGGAACCACGAGGAGTCTGTACCGTCCATCGACCGGCGGCATCAGGCGCAGATGAAACCGATACCACTGGCGCGTTGGCCTGTAAGTTCAATCCCTTCTCGAGGAGACGTCCCAGCAGCTGGTGAACCATCTTGGCAGGTCAAAGGTGTGCCGCCGTAAAGGAGAAGGCGCATTGCGCACCGTTCATTCCTGGAACCTGTATACGCATGATAAGTCAGCTCCATCACGGTACAGGAGGGAAACCAGAGACCCACCCTTTCGGCATCATTTCTGGGAGTGAACGCAACGCCCGTCAAATTGACAATGGACGGCGGTGACCGGTTGTTTTTGAGTGGGCCATGGCGACGCCTTCGAATTCGGCTCCGGCTATGATCACGGAGCCGTGGGTGGGGAGGTGGGGGGGAGGGCGTCCCAGATGGACGTGACAGGGTTGGGAACCGGGTATCGGTTCGTCGGCTTTGGCGCGGGCATTTTCTTTTTGCATGGCTGGATATAGGTAGGCTTGGACGGCTTCTTTTCACGAAGGAGGGGTAAAGGCACTGGACAGGCTAGAGTCGAGGCCCGGCTGATAAGCAATTCGCGTGGATTTCCTATACCAGCAGCGTTGAAGACAGGCGCAAGCAGGAAGATTCAGGGCCTATCCTTTGGCTGGAACGACCAACATACGACCGGCATGTTTCAATCAACAAACAGTGGCGGTTGAGACGTACCATTGAAAGCTGGATTGGGGGTTGATAAGAGTCAAATAGGTGTTGACGTCGGAAAAGGGAGATAAGCTGAATCGGCATGGGATCCATTCCCACCGATACCTCTGAGGGTCCAGCTCCGGGTGGATGCCAGCGCTTCTCGGGGCTTTGTGACGGAAAACGCGGCGAATGTCCGAGACCGGAGGCTGAGCCGGCGTCGGGGAGAACGGGACCGGCAATTTGCCGGTTGCCCTTTCCCCACTGTGACAAGCAAATCGCAGGCGCCCAGTGACATGCAAATATGCCCCGCGAATCAGCTACAGCCCACGGTGAAAATGATGTCTTTTCACAGCCAGAGAAATTGTACAATTGTCGGTCATTTTGTTCATTGTTGTGGAGTCTACACTCAGGATGCGAAACCGAGGACGACACAGGATCACTCCCTACGTCGTGCCCCCCCCCCCCCTCTCCGACGCGGCTATGATCTTCCACGCCATCTCCAGCAGCTCGGTCGCTATCACGTCCATTTCACCAAATAAATCCGTATCCGGCTCCCCCCCGGGCCCCCCCCCCCCCCCCCCCCCCCCCCCCCCCTCTCCGACGCGGCTATGATCTTCCACGCCATCTCCAGCAGCTCGGTCGCTATCACGTCCATTTCACCAAATAAATCCGTATCCGGCTTCCCATCGTACACGGCACACCACGCGCCCTTGAACCCGCTCCATTCAGCCGCCGATGCATCCCACATGTGCGCGGCAGCAAACTAAGCCATTCCTCCGTCGAAGCTCTCCAGCACGGGCTTGTAAACCCTAGGGTCAGGCTTGCCGTTGCCGTAGATGTAGTCTCGCTCCGCCGCCTCGATCCAGGCGAAACTCGGGAGTGTAGGTTTGTCGTTGTACTATGCGACTTTTGAGCCTCGACGGGTCTCAATGGCTCGGGGGGTTGTATCGTAGGCTATGCAGGTGCCCACGATGTCGAAGACGACGTGTTCCCTTGGTGATTATAAGGCGATTTGTGTGATGTATGTGTGGAAATAAGCGAGTATTCACTCAGCGACTTTGATAATGAGGGGATTGCTTTTGATAGGTATGGCGAGAATAATGATGGTGACTCTGGTCTTGAAGATTCGTATGCGTCCATCACGACCATTTCAACCATTGAAATTAGACGACCATCAAGCAAAAGGCTATAGATAGCTTCATCACCGGTACCCCATCGCCCTATCTCGGCGCCTGGGCCCGCAGGGGATGGGCGGGGATACCGCAACATGCCACGACAACCCCTCCACGCGGGGGTCAGAACATTCCGCCGGTCTCTGAGTACTATTAACGAAGCTATTCCTTCCACATCGCCTAAATAAATTACTTTAAAATATTCAGAAAATACCTAAGGTATGCCTTCATAACTAGAAAATTTATGTTGATTTTTTTCGGCTTGTTAGGATGTTGATAGGCTGACGAGAACAGAGAGAGCGGGTGAGGACCGGCGGAATCTTCTGACCACCGCGTGCCCTCTTACTCCAGGCTCCCCTGGGGGCTCTCCTGGTGGATCCGATGAGCCGGTTGCGTATCACTTGACGGGCGATCAGTCCGAGAAAGCATTCCCGAAAGAAACCACAGGCAATTCCCGATCTTGCATGATAAGCTACCAGCCGCCAGCCGCGCCACCTGTTGCTTCCGCCCGGTGGTCATCATCCTCCCGACTCAGACTGTGCGTTGCGGTTGTTAGTTTACCCAACAGTACGACAGAAGAAGTTCATTCGCCAGTCATCATTCATGTCCTCATTACTCAATTTCTCTCATTTTCAGAAGTTTAGCTCAAAGAAGGGCTTTATGTTTTCTAGGCCATCATCGGCTCTGTCATTATGGTATAAATAGGAAAAAAGCTTCCTAAACTGCAATCCCCCATTTTGGGCCTACCCTGGGGGCTGAAAATCCATGCTACGCTATCCGCCATTTTTTGTTTTCCCGTCCATGCCATGCTTTCGTGATACAATTTTACAGGGAAGAAAAAGTCTTCTCAAATGCAGAGATCAAAATAGGAACTAAAAACGTTTGTTAGACTTTTGCTCTTGTAGACTTGTTCAAAAGACGTACCATGTGCCTCCTCGAAGATGAGCATGGGGCGGAGACGGATCGTCTCCTTGCCGCAAGCACCAATGTTGACGCCGAGGCGCTTCATCGACCCCGTGACCGCCGAGGCGCTCTGGGTGTCGAAGGCGACGTAGGTTCCCTGGCCCTTGCCGCGGAGGTTCATGACGTGATCGGGGTACTTTTGGGCGAGCTTCTCCATCTCGGAGTAGAGGACCTCACCGACACGAGCCTACAAACATGTGTAAGTGGGAAAACCCCCAACAGGTTGCCATGGGAACACATACAGTTTGCTCCACGAGCTTCTTCTCACGAATCTCGTCAATGACCGCCTTGCAGACAATGACACGGGCGGCATCACCCATCCAGCTATAGGTTCGTTAGCGGCGATCAAGGATCATAACATTGCTCAGAAGCACTTACGTGTTGAACTGACGGTAAGCCTTGTCGGGGACCAGCATACGGTCGCCAAAGTAGTATCCGGCAGTCTGCGCCTTCTTGGAGAAGGTCACGATATCGGGAGGCGAGGTAAGGTTCCAGTGGGCGTGGCCCCAGAATTTTCCAGTCGCGCCGAAGCCTACCGATCACATGAGCACGACTGCATAGAGCGCCAAGGTCGGAGTTACTCACCAGTCTGGACCTCATCGACAATCATAACAACAGCATGCTTCTGCGTGATGTCGCGCAGACCCTGGAAGAAGGCGGGAGAGGCGTGGTTGTCACCGCCCTCGGACTGGATAGGCTCAACAATGACAGCGGCAACAGGGCAGTGCCAGCTCTGTATCAGCTCCTCAACCTCCTTCAAGCAGCGCTTCTCCTCGGCCTCGTTCTCGGCCGCATACTTGTCCAAGGGGTACTTTAGGGCGGGGAAGGAAGCCTGCGGCCAGTTGAACGAGGGGATGTCGAGCTTGTGGACGGCCTTGGACCGCGTGGTGGACAGACTGCCGAAGCCACGGCCGTGGAACGAGTTCTTGAAGCTCATGATGGCCAGCTCGGGGGAGCCCGGGGTGGTGTTGTGCAGGCAGGAGTGGATCTCCTCGTGGGACCACTCGGCCTCGCCGCGCTCACGGCGGCGGTAGAGCATGAAGGCGGCCTTGTAGGCCAGCTCGTTGGCCTCGGAGCCGGACTGCGCCGTGAAGATGTGGTTGAGCCCTTCGGGGGCGGCCTTCATGAGGCCGTCCTGGAGGAGGTCGTGCCAGGCGCCCGAGGGGAAGTTGCCGATGGCGGGTCTGTTGACGAGGGCGGAGATCATCTCGGGCGACTTGGCGGCCGCGATGAGAGTGGGGTTGTTGTAGCCAACCGGGATGGAGGCGATCTGGGAGTAGCTGTTTCCGCGGCGCGCGAGATTAGCGAGCTGTGGGGGTCGATTGGCCATGCCGGAAGATGATCGGCGGCGGCTCCGGGGGGGACCAACTTACACATCAAGATACTTGTTGCCGTCAACGTCGACGATGCTTCAAAGTCCTATTGTTAGTTCGACTTTCCGGCAGAACAGCTGTGGGATGCTGCGTACTAGTTTCCGGAGCTTTTGTCGTAGTCGACGACGAAGTGAATGGCACGGGCATCGAAGAAGGTGTCCAGCTTCTTGGCACTGGCCTTGGAGATGGGTCCAGGGACCTCTGTGGTGACCGAGTGCTCAATGACGGCGGGCATCTTGAAGGTCTGATCTTCTTTGAGCGACTAAACGGTGGTGATATTGTGGGCGTGGAGTCTTTGAGATGTGCGATGCAGTGTTTGTCGTTTTGTTTAAAGGCTGTTGAGGCTTGTTTTTTAAAAAGTATCTGATCATCAAGCGCAGGGAGTCGAGTATTTATCGTCCGAGAAGGTGCCCGAGAGCTTCCGTTTACCCCTCGATCTGAGAGCCGGCCACGATCCGACCGGTCTTCAGCCGGGCTCCATCCGGGCCCAGGCCTAGAGAAACGACCCCACCAAATCTCCAGTGTATCCAGCATGGTCCATTCTAAAAAAGACCGGTTGCGGCTCATGACGTACTGCGGCGTTGTTGGGTTGGGGGCAGAGTTTCAGTCTCATGGAATTGGTCTGATTTCTTGCCAATTACGGATAAGGCGGGCTCAAATCACAAGATGTGTTAAACCCCTCCGAACGCCCCAACCCCGGGCCCGGGCCGGTCCCACTCAAAACCCAATCGTCGTTCCCACACCGGTATCAAACACGCGGCGATGTCGCACTGCTACCAGGACCATTGCCGATTCGATACCATCGTGAAGGAGTTCATATAAATGGTCGGCCGCTCGAGGCTGTTCGGCTTGCGGCGGCAGATCTGTAGACATCAGACCACCTTTCTGCAGGAATCAAATCGAGGTGCATTATTTGTTACTAACAATGGCATCAGTTGCACACCAGGTGAGTGGGTCCGCCGTCAAAGGACATGAGCCCTTCGATACGCGTCATGGATTTGGTTACTGAGTCGATTGATGCAGTTAAAAGATGCTTTTCTTCTGAAGACATCATGCTACGTGAACGGGCAATGGGTTGGCGCCAAATCTGGCAAAGTCTTCTCAGTCGAGAGTGAGTGCAGTACACCACTACAGAAACATCTGAGTGAGCAGCCGATCTGATAACCGCATCAGACCCTTCAACTCTCTCTGAGGTAGCCAAATGTCCCGAATTCGACGACAAGGACACCGAGGCATCCATTCTCGCCGCCCACGATGCCTTCAAGTCCTTCCGCAAGACCCCTGCGCGGGCCAGAGCTCGCCTCCTCAGGAAATGGTACGACCTCATGATGGAGAACGCCGACGACCTCGCCAAGATCATCACCATGGAAAACGGCAAGCCTCTGGCAGACGCAAAGACCGAAGTCGGCTACGCCGCGTCCTTCTTCGAGTGGTTCTCCGAGGAGGCGCCCCGGATCTACGGCGACACCATCCAGGCGAGTAACCCCAGCTGCCGCCTCGTGACGCTCAAGGAGCCAATTGGCGTCTGCGGCCTCATCGCTCCCTGGAACTTCCCGGCCGCCATGATCACGCGCAAGGTAGGCCCCGCGCTGGCCGCCGGCTGTACCGTCGTCGTCAAGGCTCCTGCCGAAGCGCCCCTGACGGCACTGGCTCTCGCGGAGCTCGCTCATCGCGCGGGCATCCCCGCTGGCGTGGTCAACATCATCACGGCCCTGGATAACACTGTTTCTGTGGGAAAGGTTTTGACGAAGCACCCGATCATCAAGAAAGTGTCCTTTACGGGCTCAACAGGCGTCGGAAAGCTGCTGATGAACCAGTGCTCTTCAACACTAAAGAAGTTGTCCTTTGAGCTCGGAGGCAATGCACCATTCATCATTTTTGACGACGCGGATCTGGACGTGGCTCTCAAGGGCTTGATCGCGTCAAAGTTTAGAATCTCGGGTCAGACCTGCGTCTGTGCCAACCGGATCCTGGTGCACAGCAGCGTGTACGCAAAATTCTCGCAAATGGTTGTGGACGCCATCAAGACCTTTGTCGTTGGCGACGGGTTCGGCGAGAAGACGACACATGGACCCCTGATCCACAACCGCGCGGTCTCCAAGGTCGACGAGCACGTCAAGGACGCCGTGTCCAAGGGCGCCCGCGTGCTCCTCGGCGGTAAACCCCTGGCTGAGCTGGGACCAAACTACTTTGACCTCACCGTGCTGGCGGACATGAAGCCCGGCATGAAGGTTTGCTCCGAGGAGACCTTTGGTCCCGTGGCGGCCTTATTTGCATTCGATACGGAGGAAGAGGCCGTCGAGCTTGCCAATGATGCGGATGTTGGTCTTGCGGGATACTTCTTCAGCAAGGATGTGTCGCGGTGCTGGCGCGTGGCGGAAGCGCTGGAGGTCGGCATGGTCGGCGTGAACATTGGTAAGTGTCTTTTGAGAAGTACTTGATGGAGAGGGTATACTAAGTCGGCAAATTTAGGAGCTATTAGCGACCCAGCGGCACCTTTTGGAGGCGTTAAGCAGAGTGGATTCGGACGCGAAGGAAGCAAATACGGTATCGATGAGTTTTTGGTCACGAAGATGGTCATGACAGGCATTGAGTAGGGTAATTTCTTTCCATGTCATATCTTTAGAATAGACTATACCCTACGTTTTTTCCACAGTCAAGTATAGCTTGCCTTCAAAACTATCGGTGGTGAGAATCTGCAAGCGAATCTAAAGGCACCAAATAGAACTTATGTGATCGGCGGTCATTCTTCCTCTCTATGCGTCAAGCCTCGAGCTTAGCACTAGCTCTTTGAGCCGACGAATTGGGGGTGGTTGAATACCCATCATCGAGCCCTCACAATCTTGACCCCCCCTTCCTGTACTTATCTCCGAGTTTGATTCTCTCAAGAAGGTTCTCCGGCAAAATACCTTGATGTTGCCTTTCCCGCCAAGCTGCCCACTCCCTTGCCATTTGGAACTCCATCTCTTTCGCTCGCTCTTGTTCCACCTAGGCTCTATAAATCTTAATCCACTTGTTTATCTTGGAGAGGGTCTCGGAACGTTCGTCGCCGTGTACCTCTTTCACACTCTGGATCACCAGCTGCAGCTCTTTTGCCTCACCATATCGACCTTCCCAAGAGCAAGCGCAGGCCATGCGCGAGAGCGCAAAGCTGCCCAACTGTGACGACCCGCGCTTGAAAACATCTGCGAAGAGTCTGACGTTTTGCCGAAATGTGCTTTCCGCTTCACTCGACGGCTGTTGCAGGGAGGATCGGAGCGTAATTCAGCATAAGCAGCTAGCATGAGATCAGAGGGGATGTTCGTCACGTTTCTCCTTGCTCATCTCGTCTCATCTCGAATAGTCAGGATGCAGGATCTGGGCATTCGCCTATCGTCGAGTGTGGTACAAAGCTCCCCAACGACCTGAAGCGTTGTATTTACCCGCTTGCTTGCGATTTAGAGGCTTCCAAGTATGCGAGAAAGTCAGCAAGTGCCTTGAAGGTTGATCCGGAAATGCCGTCTCTATTTTGTGCAGGCTCGTATCCCAGACCGACCATACAGTCTTATCGTAAGACGATAGGTCCTTGAAGGTTTCGGCCTTCAACATGTAGTCTTTGTGCCGTCTGAAGTTTTTGAGATAAGGGAAACTGCATTCTGAGTAGAGTGATTGGTATTTCCCGTTTTCTCGTCGTCGGTAGCACTGGCTTGAATGAAAGTGCCTGCAAGATGAACCGCAAGAGCAAGTCTTTCCAAGTTGTCGCATAAACCCAGAGAAAGATTGTGGACTTCTTGAGCGACATCATCGGCACTTAGACCCATGTACTGCAGGAGGAGGGACTGCGCCTCGGACGCTTCCACATCCCCGACACTTATGAGGCTGCTTCCGGGAGGGAGATGCGAGTGACCCATGGTATCCCGACTCGTTCTAATGACATGCCGATGGAGTCTAGCTGGAATAACGTATTGTATACCGGTATCGAAATCATCAGCATCATCTACGATGAGAAGCCATTCGCCATAGGTGTTGTCATGGGTCTGTAGCCAATCCAATACAAGCTGTAAAACAGTGTCATCTTTGAGCAGGACTTGGTCGATCGTTCGTTGGTCTTGATCCGCTCCCATGCAGTGTCAGGGTTCGACCTCAGGCCATGCACGAAGACCAGACTCGCGCATCAGAGTCAGTGGGATATTCAACGCCCAAGAGTTCAGCTCATCATTACTCAACACCATTCTTGAATCGTTCAGATTCAAAGGATTCGACAGATATCAACTCATAGTCGCTTTTCGGAGGATAGTGAGGATTATCCCATGTTGGTACCCATCTACGAAGGATGGAATGTATTATTAATAGAACAATTTCTACACAGAAAACTTTGGCGCAGAATGAGGGAATCGGCGACAGCGAAGTAAGGTGATTCATGTTTTCAGACCTCCTTGGAGGGGTTTGAAGGACTGTTTCAGTTTGAGATAAAGTTTGCCGAGTAATTGAAGATGAGCACTTCGAAAAGGGATTTGGGAAACTTTCTTAACCCCCCCTTCTGTGACACTTCCTAAATAGAACATCGTTGCTACGTCTCTGTCGGCACTAAAAGTATGCGACTTGCTTTGTCTTGAACGATCAATCACTTGTGTGATTATGCTATGTCTTGTTTACGTTCGATTGTCAGCAGTAAAAGCTCTGGCCGCAGGAGAACTATAACAGTGCTATAGCCGCTACGGATACATATCGTGGCTATTATTAAAGTGGCATCAGCAGCCGGGTGCAACGTTTACCAGACCTGACAATCTGGTAGCGCTAGTGAGCGCGGATATTTGCGAATAATATCCGTGGTCGTTAAACAGCTTATATGTAATCGCGACGCCGCGTCATTGATAGAGACATTTCTAGTCTGTGAGTAAGTGAACCGGGCCGGGTCACACGGACCAACCGGCCGGGAGACAGTATCCACTTTTCAACGGCTGTATCGTCGGTATCCGGGATGGTACTGCCGATGGCTGCGCTGCCCAGGCAGTTTAACGCACCGTTCGTCATCTATCCTTTGCAACCGGAAAGAGAGAAAGAGACCCCTCACGATTGATTCTCCCAACTTGCAATTTGGTTTTTTTGTACCGGGCTGCACGGTAGGTATGTTTAGGATAGAAACGCGGGGGGAATTACAGTGGATGGGGTGGAACGTGCGAACATATAGTCGCCGTCGCAGTGTACATTCCGAGCTGCTTCGGTCATCCTTATTGAGTTCTATCAAACTCTAATGAGAGAATTACCGATAACAATGCGGGGTGTGACTTGCACACGCACGCTCATTACGCTCATTACGCTGGGCGAGGTGATCGCCGGTGTTACGGGCTAGGCACACTCCCCGGGCTCGTACTACTCATACTACTTGAGTGCAGCCAAGCTGCAAGTCCCTGACTTGTAGTTACGCACTTTTTGATGCGTAGTCTCAAGGTTGGGCGAATAGCTCAGTTGGTTAGGTGTGCTGGTTGTCACTGATGTTCACACACGTGAGCCTTTCCCTTCACAGCCAGCACCCAATAACAGATAAGACTTTAAATAGCATTAGTCCCCTTCCTGTTGTGCACACGGTGTGTTGTCTCCGTGATCGATGCTTTTGCTTGAATTGCGGTTGAGTCCAGGTCAACCTAAACAGCCCGTTCACTATGGCTGGCAATAAGATAGAAAAGCCTCAACCAGAGGTTTCCGATGCGACGGACACGGCCGAGGCGTACACTGAGAAAGCCACACTGTCCGAGCACGACTTGGAATTGGAACAAGCATTGGCGAACTATGCTCCAGACTCTCCGGAAGAGAAAGCCCTTGTGCGTAAGCTCGACTAAACCGTGGTAGATTTCTCTCCGCCGGCTCGGCTGCTGTTCAAAATTCAATACAGTAGCGACGTTCGAGTCATAATGGCGCGAGAGTAAATGCGATTGCAGGGGCTGACGTTGTGGTTCGTGCATTTCTTTTAGCGTATATCGACAGGCAGAATATCGTAAGTCTATCGCGGCAGATTACACGCAAGGGTATCTAAACTGACTGGTCATAATTTACAAAGGGGAATGCCAAAGTTGCTGGCATGGAAATTGGAAGCAAACCTCAGACGCAAAGACGACCGTTACGCTGCCCTATCAATGGGTGTATGTGCCTTAGTTTCATCTGCACGCTCGTCTCCGTGACCGTATCGAACACGAAGGTCGTGTATACCATGCTGTGATTCTGCATTGCCGGCCTGTACACCGCGCTCCCGCTCATACTTCATTGGACTTTCTAGGCCATTTCGCTCCCTGCGGAAAAGTCCGTCGTGGCGGTGGCCCTGGTCAGCTCCGCCGGCAATCTCTCGGCGGTCTATGGCGGCAGGCTCTGTCCCTCGTCGGACGGCCCCCGGTTCGTAAAGGGGTTTGCGGTCACGGGCGCCTTCACCGGCTTCGGGAACACTCTGGCGGCACTAATTCCCCTCATCTTCTCTCACCTTACCAAGGAAGGCAACACCAAGGTTGAGATGGAGATCTTGGGGCGCGAGTGAGAGTTTGTTGAGAACACGCGAGCCCCTGGTGGAGTTTCAAGTCGTATGAGCTGCGAAATGGCATTCTGGGCAAAACCAAAACGACTCCCGGGTCGGGACGCTGGGGGGAGGGAGGGGAATCGAGTTCGATTCGCCTCCATCAGCCTTGGAACGGCAAGGAGGGGAGGGGTGGTACCGAGGAGTTAATATAAATGTATGAGACGCAACTTTGAATGGTACCTGGACAATTGACAGAGCCGTGTTTTATGGAACAGCGTTCCCTCTGAAGAAAAAGAGTTGTGGATCTCAGGGAACCACAGGTTCAGGCTGACCATGATGATTGGAGGCTATGGAGCAGCCGGTTCGCTTATGTCCGCCGGTCTGACCGCTGCTGCCGTGTGTACATGTGTCCCGGCAAGCAGAGCCGAGATCCAATTTTTGATGGTCAAAGGGAACAGGTCGGGAATACTGGGTGCTGTTCCCACAAGAGTTTCCATCTCACCGGAAAAGGCGACCCTTTGAAGAAGTGACGGGAACCACAATTCATCGTCGTCATCCTTGTGGCTTGAAATCGGATACCTTTCGAGATGTGGCTTCTGTGGCTCCTCGATATGGGGTTCTCAAGTTCTTTGTGGGCTGGGCAGCCAGGGCTTGAGGCTCAATCTATTTCTTGGCATGCATATCCTGGTCCCTGGAACCCTTGCCAGGCCAATTCTGCCCAGGATTGGATCTGACCCCTGAATAGGCACGGATTGCGAAAAATGTTAAATTAGCCGCCTACTTTTCATATCAGCCTGTCCAACTAACCCGTTCGAGGTAGCCGCTATCCACGCCAACCTGGCTCAAAATATGAAGGAGAGGCAGCCCGCACGAAGCAGAAAATGGCGCGTGTTTTTTTTGTTCTGCCTTCGATTGACTTTCTCTCCCTCCACAGACCAGGTCCTTGAAAAAAGGTTTCTTGTTGCAGCACGGGGGAAACTGACTGCCGCACTACACACGTGTAACCGAAAAGTTAAAATGTAAATCCATGAAGGAGCTTGGGCCAAATAAATGGAGCCTGATGCGACTACAGCGGTTTATGCTTAACAGATCTTATCCCTTCTCAGGACGACATATTACATAGTATGTGACATTGTCACACGTAGAGTCGGAGACGGACCGAGGCTGGAAGCTTGTTAGCTCATTTTCTCAGACCCCTGATTTGTTCTGATTTATTGGGTCTTTGGTGTGAACAACTAAGCGTATTTGTCTGTGCTGCGGTGCCCACGTTGTTATTGTTGTTGTTCGTACGATTGCTGGTAATGCTAACAAATGCCAGAAATACGTCATCAAAAGGAAAATTCCAATCGTTTCATCGAAACGACTTATTGAGAGCCTAGACTGCATGTTGGACTACTTTCCCCAAATCTCAAATGTCCTTAGCGGCGGAAATTCATCTGGGCCAATGTTTGCACCTTGCAGACGGAGTGGATTTCCTCGCAAAAAAAAAAGAATGGTACCTCAGGACGCGAACTGCCGCCCGTGGACAGAGTACTGGCTAGGTAGTTTGGACACCCCGTGAAATCTTCCTGCAGCAGGTCCTACCAAGCTCCATCACTGGAAGTCTCTAGCCCCCCCCCCCCGGCAACCACACTTCCCCCTACGCGGCCCTACCAGCGGAGGTCTCTGGTCATCCTTTCATTGATGGAAGTGACGCCACATAGCGAGTGCGAGACTGTGCGCCAAGCCAAACATCTTTATCGACGGCCCGATTCGGATTGTGCCGCCGAAGCTATCACCACAACCCCGGGTCGGATGGGTGTGCCGTGGAAGATGAAGGGGTTACAGACCGCATCAGTTCCCCACGAATCAGTGGGGACTACCCACCACTCCGTCCCTCGAACAAGTCGGCTCCGGCACCCAACCCAACGCCATGAGTTCTCGGAAAGTAGTGTGGGTGGATTAAGCAATATTCCTCGGCCGAATACACAATTGGGGCCCTTGAGGGGCCTTCCGGAAGGGCTTGAAGGATTGAGGTGCCGTGAGATGAGGTCGTCGTCTGCCCTATTGCCGGGGAGGGGGGTTCGTTGGTGGGTTGGTGGTTAGGGGGCTCCCACCTTGTAAAGGAGAGGAGGACACGGAGCGCATGGATGAAGGGGTTTGAAGGAGCATGGCGGCGAACGGCACAGTTTCCAACAAACATATATCATCGTTCTTGAGCCGCGCTCTTTGATTTTGAAGATCTTTTTCTTACTCCAGCGGCTTTCGTCCTCTTGTCTCTCTTTTACATCCGACCAAACATATTCGTTCTTTTATTTCTCCGTTTTTATTTCTGCTTCTTCTTGCGAAAAGCCTTACAAACATGAGATCTGCTCTTCTGTCCGTGGCACTGGCTGCCTTTGCCCCCTTGGCCCTCGCCGCCGACGCCGTCTCTGGCGCCGCCGAGGGCTTCGCCAAGGGCACCACCGGTGGTGGTAACGCCAGACCTGTCTACCCTTCCACCACCGCTCAGCTCGTCTCCTACCTCACCGACTCCACCGCACGCGTCATCGTCCTGACCAAGACCTTTGACTTCCGCAATACCGAGGGTAGAACCACTGCCACCGGCTGCGCTCCCTGGGGTACCGGCTCTGCTTGCCAGACTGCCATCAACAAGGACAACTGGTGCAACAACTACCAGCCCAACGCCCCCAAGGTCTCCACAACGTACGTAGAGGATCATTTACATTCCATATTGTGTCATTTACAATGCTCATTCCTTTACTTAACAGCTACGACAACGCTGGCTTGGACCCCATCAAGGTCGGCTCCAACAAGTCCATCATTGGCCAGGGCAGCAAGGGTGTCATCGTTGGCAGGGGTCTCCGTATCACCGGCGGAGCCAAGAACATCATCATTCAGGTATGAGGGACTGCTTTCATTTGCATTGACCAACAGTAAGGATGGCCAGGGGCTAAATACCGGTGCTAGAACATTCACATCACCAACCTGAACCCTCAGTACGTCTGGGGTGGTGATGCCATCACTCTCGACGGCAGCGATCTCGTCTGGATCGACCACGTCAAGACCTCCCTGATCGGCCGCCAGCACATTGTTCTCGGCAACGGCGCTTCCAACCGTGTCACCATCTCCAACAGCGAGATTGACGGCTCTTCCCCCTGGTCTGCCACCTGCGACGGTCACCACTACTGGGGACTCTACTTCACCGGCAGCAACGACATGGTCACCTTCAAGAAGAACTACATCCACCACACCTCTGGCAGAGCCCCCAAGGTTGGCGGCAACACGTAAGGACAACCCCTAGACTCTTCCGTCTCTCGAGCATCTCTCGGGAACATTGTGTCAGCGAACTCCCCACTAACAACTACGTCTAGTCTCCTCCACGCCGTCAACAACTACTGGTACGCCAACTCTGGCCACGCGTTCGAGGCCGACGCCGGCTCCAACATTGTCGCGGAGGGCAACATCTTCCAGAACGTCGTCGCCGCCTACCAGACCGGCCTCGCCGGCCAGGTCTTCGCCTCCCCCGACACCACCACCAACGCAAGGTGCTCCGCCAACGTTGGCCACGCCTGCCAGCTCAACGCCTACGGCGCCAGCGGCTCCCTGGCCGGCTCCGACACCTCCATCCTGGCCGACTTTGCCGGCAAGAACGTCGCTTCTGCCGGCACCGCCAACGACGCCAAGGCCGTTCCCACCAGCGCCGGCTTTGGCAAGCTCTAAGCGATTTGCTTGGAGAACTTGCTTCTTCCTCTATCTCCTTTTGGAGTCTTTCAGTGGTTGTCATTGAGGGTTGAGTCGGATACCCGCAAGAGGCCAATGGTAGATTCATGTACATATCTTACTACTTTACTGTCGAGGACGTAAATACAATGCTTGATGCATCACTTGTTGCACATATTAAGTAAAGGAATGGGGTTTCAGCCTGTTATGCAGGTAAAGCCAGCTGTCGTGCCAGTTCCGCCGAATAGGTCTCGAGAAATATATCTCGAGATTCTGCAATTAAGGGCAGCTGCGATCTGCATCATAGGACCGGAACACTAACAAGTTATGAGGATGGTGGAGTGTGCTCCGATAATATCAGGCCATGTAGATCCCACATATATCTTCCAGACACGGAGGTCTATTCCAGCTGAATCATTGGCGTTTGGAACCCCTCGCTACTTTGGGCTGCTCTACCAGAATTTATTGTCAACTACTTCTAGTGTGAATCACCCCTGACAAGGGTAGATTGAACCAGCAGGTGTCTCTGGATTAGGAAGACGTTTTGTGATTTTATTGTTCCATTTTTAAGCAAATCTAATAGACGATAGTGTTGGCTTACAAGTGCCACTTTGCTGATACGCTTCCTTCGATCCATCTTATCGAGAAGGCTCAAGGTACTTAGGTACCAAGTAGGCATTGAATAACATGATTACCTAACAGAACATGTTTTCGTTGTCAGCGGTCATTTTGGGAAGAAGTTGTGGAACTCGGCGGCGGAGGGCCCCGGAGAGACGGGCTGACTGTCCCACACATTGAAGCCCCGATGTGCCCCACCCGGACCCGAAACCCCAGGACTTTGTTTGGCCTCCGTGTCCTCCGATTCACAAGGTGCCCCCGCCGGAAAGGTGTTACTGATTCACAGGCGGGAGAAAGCTTACCACCGAAGTACAAAGCCAACCTTTCCGGCACCTTCTCGACGATATCTACCTCCCCCCCCCCCTCTTTCCTCCTCCTTCTCATCCAAAACAACAAACAATCCCGGACTCGACACACAAAGACCTGCCACCGCGCCAGATTGTAGCACGTTCAACCTCCGAGGTGAAGATATCAACCTCCACAACTGGATTCCACACAGTGAGTTGCCTGCGAATATCGAATTGTAAAGTTTCTAACGCAGGCGTATGGGCCAGTCAAGATGCCCGAACCCTTGCTAGGCACCTTTTTGGCCTTCGCCACTGTCTTCCAGTTGGTTATCTATGGGGCGTACACATACAAAATCTCTGGCGGTCCTCCCGACTGGGACGCTTGGCGAGATAGACAAGCGCGCATCGAGAGAGCCCAGGAGAGGCGTGCCGAGCGTGAAGAGCAGCGCAGAGAAGATGCCGCCTTGCTTCGCCAGCTTGCTCAGAGAGCCGCCGCCTTGAAGCAGCTCGAGGAGGAGCGTGCTGCCGAAAAGGCAGAGATGCGTGGACAGGAGGAGAAGAAGAAGAAGAAGGACATCTGAACTGGGCTACACACGGCGAAAAGCATCTTCCATGTAATGTGGCGGACAAGTCTTGTTGGCATGGTAGTGATGGAGCAGAGAGGGAGGCGTATGCCCGGCGACTAGACGGACGAGGACACACCTATTCTATCCCCGCGCACCAGTAAAGCAATGGAAGATCCTTCCCTGACCCTGAACTCTTCCTGACCACCCACCTTTAATATGGCTGAAATCGCGTACGAGTGAACCGTCAAGGACACAAACTGCGCCGGATCCGTCGAGAAGATCTCATCCAGGACCTGCTGTTTCCGCGCCACGTGCTCCTCCGTAGTCTCAAATCTATCAGCCTTCCAAAGCTGGTCCTCCTCCGTGAAGCCCGGCTCGATGATGTACCTCGGATACGCCCTCCCGATCCAGCTCCTGGGGCCCCTTTTGTCGCACGTGTGGTCGGTCATGCGCTCTCTTAACCCTTCCTTTACGAGAGGCCGAAATTCCTGCTGCTGGCCCCTTGCCTCGACTAGACTACCAAAGGCAAGTCTACTCGTCTCGAGGCATCGTCGGAGCGGGCTGGTGTAGAAGGACGCCGGGAAGGGGACCCCCTCGACTGTTGTCGCGTGCGCCCAGAAGGTGCCGAGGTCTTTTGCCTGCTGGATGCCTGTGTCGACCAGTTCTGCGTCGAGCCATGTGACGACGCCGTCGCCGTCGAGGTGTGACCAGTATCTCTATTGCTTTTTCAGTGGTTGGATTCATCAAGGTATTGTTGGGGGGGGGGGGGGGGTTTCTGCTCACATCCCACTCAGCCGTCCCGACCTTGGCTGCTTGGACGTTATGGAACCCAAGTCCATGCCTTGTCAGATATAAAACCTTGTAGTCAACGCCATCAGGGCTCTCAGCGTTTAACCTGTTGACATGAGCAGCAAACCGTTCCCAGGGCTTGGCCTCTCCGGCAACGGCAGCCGCGTCTCCAAACTCTCTATTCAGGAGCCCGAGGTTTGGCTGCGTGGTTGCTTTCCCGTTCGTACTTTCATCGGCAGCCTTGTAATAGTCCACAAAGTATTCGGGCAAGATTGTAAACTTGTGCTGACAGACGGGGCCGGACGTTGCGGCCATTTTGAGAGCGGCGAGGAGGAGTGCGGGGAAGAGGCTCTGAGGAAGCATGAGCTAAGGTAGCTAGCTGGCAACGGTTCGATGCAAGATGGACGAGATGAAAAAGGTCCTAGTTTGGGGTTTCGTGGGGGCTAGCTCGATAAATATCTGCGCGAAATATGAACAAGGCTTTTTGAGGCAGAGCAAGTGCCGGCCCGGATCTGGGCTAAACTCTGACGGCGTTTTAAGCTTCAGTCTCATGGCGGGATTTCACGCTAGCCTAGCCCCTCAATTCCCATGCCCGCCTAGAGATCTGCCTCGGTGAGGTGAGTTGCGGATACTTTGGCAATGAGACGTGGTGAGCGAACAAGATCAACATCTGCCATCTCGATTAACCAGACCGACGATGCAATGCGCTCGAGCCAGGTCCAGCTCATGGCGAGCATCTACAGCTCAGCCTCTTCCGTGTTCGTCTGGCTAGGCGAAGAAGACGGCCACACGGCCCAGGCACTACGCCTCATCAACCACTTCGCGACGATAGACACACAACATCTGAGTAGCCTCACACCACAGAGCACAACCCATAGCCGACCCTCACGAGAATGGTGAGATCTTCCTTGCGACGTCCTCCTCCACGACCCTAAATCCTGGGACGCCGTACGGGCCCTCTTCCGCCGCAACTGCTTTGCCAGATTGTGGATCATCCAAGAAGTCGTCCTGGCACGCCAGGCCGTCGTGCTCTGCGGCCACCAGACAATCTCGTGGTCGCACCTCGAGTTCGCACCTCGAGTTCGTCTCCCACTTGTTCTCCACCAACTCGTGGTTGGGCTACTTTCCTCAACGAGTCTCATTCGAGACAGCTCCCCCGGGATCCTGCCACTACAATATGCCCACGATCCTCAAGGCGAATAAAGTCTCGCGTCGGGAGAGCGAGGGCTACGCCAAAGCCCTCGCGCACGCGCTAGTCCGCACGCGGCACTTCCGCGCCACGGATCTGAGACAGGCAGCGGCTGCGGCCGGTGTACGGCAAGGAGGCCACCGTGGGATCCGTGTAAGTCGCCGCGGCTGTGCAGATCTTGGAGGACACTGAAGACGTTTTTCTGCTGTACTCCGTTGAGGGGAAGAAGTTCCAGTGCGCTGAGCTGCCTTCTTGGGTGCCGGACTGGCGGCGCGATAAAGCCTTGGGGTTGCGGATCACTGGGCACCGTCATTTCCATGCCTCTGGCGGGTTACCGCGGAGGCTGGTGATACACTAGTCGTTGAGCATGCTGGAGATACGGGCTTTGAAGATTGATGTGATCCGCAAGGCTGCTGAGACGAAGCACGAAATCTACTCTGGCGCGCCGTTTCCAACAATGATGAAGATCCTGGTGGGCGAGGGTTCTCGCGAGGATGGAGGAGTATTGAATGCGGTCTGTCTTATGCGTTGCATTCGAAGTTCTTTGAGACATCTGAAGGCCTTATCGGCCTGGGATCAGAGTGTTTCCAAGAGAATGACTCAATCTGGATAGTTCCTGGCTCACGCGTACCAGTGATATTCCGGGGAAAAGGGCCAAGTCATCACCGGCTAATAGGAGGTGCTTATGTCCATGGGATGATGCAGGGCGAAGCATGTGGGTCGAATCATGTCACGAAAGTGGCACAGACGTGGGAAACTCTGTTTGTTGTCTGAACTAAAGAGTTATTTTGGGATGCAAACAACGTTGAGTGAAAAGCCTTCGAGATTCGCTCGATTACCAACAGAACCGAAAGCTGAATAAACACTCTTTCCTCAGCATTGGAGCGGCATCCCAAGGAAAGCTGAGGCATCCAAGCAGTGGTAGACTTGGGGATGACATCTCAGGCCAGCTACGGCAGTGTAGAAATGCCCGCACCTATAAATGAACGCTGCCTCCAGGGTATCTTCGCATTACAGTACAGTAGCTATTATCCATATCACCAGGCATCACGATACCTCCCTTACTTTGTCAAATCAGACCGCTTGAGACGACTCCCAAAACTGTCCAGTGGCGTCTCCCCTTTCATACTTAAGCTTCTTATATCCACCAACGGTACCATGGATGGCCGTCCATGTGCGCACTGAAATGGAAACGAGCAGCGGCTAAGCCTGTGAACAAGAGCTATGCATTCATCCCTGGACAAGGTGTCATTGAACATGATGGCACCTATCCGAGTTAGCATCACAACGTCTAACGTGCTGAGTTTGATACTCACTGCGGCAGGATCTCGAATTGAGCAAGTCGAGAATCCCTTGAGGACATCCGTGAAAGTTTGACACCCAGTCGATTTCTTGGCCAGCAGGTCCAGTGGCGAAACTGAAGGGCCTAGAGGTTGAGCTGCCCTCTTCCTCCGCTCTCCATATCTCTTGTCGAAGAAGGTCTGCTAGCAATTTCGGCTCTGATCTGCATCGCTCGAGAATGCTTGATGGCAGACTGAGCACGTCCACCCTGGGGAGCTGCCTGCTCCTGTGCCGCCAACCAGTCGGCTCCGGGTCCTCTATATTGTAGAAAATGCCCCACCGCCGCAAGTGTTGGAAGTATTTGCTCAACAATCTGCACTCCTTGGACGAGAATTCGAACTGCAAAGGCTTTTCGAGCATCTCTGTCCGTGCAACCACCTCTTTGGGCCGGTTCACAACGTGAAAATAGTCTCGCATCAGCGACTCAAGCCGGCATCTCTCGTCAGCAGCGTGTTGATCGATCAAAACCAGCACAGAATTCGTCTGGATGCCTGACAGTGTACCGCCAGAAATCAGGTCTCGTCTGAGTTTCACCATGATAAACTTCCTGTCAACCTGGGATACGACCTCTGCTTCCATCAAAGCAGCCTTGGAAACCCGCCCAGAGAGCTTGATACTTGACGTATGGGCCCCATGCGAGCACCCAGTGATGTCAAGGTCGAGAGACTGAATGGGGCCTTGCTTAGATCCTCCCAATGTATCGGCCAGGTGAGGTATCGGGTGCTCAACGGGTTGGAAGACGGGATTCTCCCATCTGGAAAGGATTCCCTTGAGTCGATCGCTCGGCTGTTCAGCTTCTCGTCCACCACTTGGCTTGAAGAATTGCGAAGAAGAAGGCGATGAATTGATGTGAATAGCGTTGTCAGGCTTTGCCGGAGACGGTTCCAGCTGAGCTTCCTCTGCCTGACTCGACGGCCGAATGCAAAAGTTTGATAGTTCAGCAGGCTCAACTGGAGCGCTAGAAGTATGTGGATAGGCGCCTTCAGCGGGTTCGCCCCTCTTAGGCGACGCCGGCATCAAATCATCGAAGGGCTTGCGCAAAAGGTTTCCTGATTCGTCGAGGAACCGTAAACTAGGCTGAGCTGTCATTAGATCCTTATACGACTCTTCTTCTGCAGGGTGTCTGGTTGCGACTCCCAATGCGACTTCGGAAGACAGCGGAGTCGATGCGCCGGATTTTGAGGTGCCTCCAGATACCCGTCCTACCTTCACACGTTGCCATAGATCGAAAGGGGACTCTGGCCTCCGTTGCGGGGTAGCTGAGTTTGATCGACTAGTCGTTGACGAGACGGTCCGAGACCGGCTGCTGCCTTTTCGTCCCCCTTCTGTACTACGAACATCGTCTTCTTGATGCCTGCTACGAGAAGTTCCCTGGAGAGAAGTAGTGACATTATGGGGGCGGAAGTGGTGCTTCTTCAGAAATTCATAACAAACAAGCTTGAGCAGGTCAACCATGTTCGCAAGGGTGCGGTTCCGATCCTCAAGCAGATCTTCGAATGATGAAGTGACGAGAGAACGCACACGAGACGAGGAGCTGATTCTGAAGTAGAACATGGGCCACCGATCCAAGCCTCGCCTCGGCTTGGGAATCTTGCTTGGAATTCCCCCCGAACCTGAAAGAATGGTCTCAGGCGAATGAGTGAGAGCCTCCACACCCTCCTCTATAGCAAAGCCGGAGTTGACAAAGACACGATTGACCTCGCTGAATAGAATGTTGGTTCCGTGATCATTAGTCACAGGATGAATACCGAAGCTGATGAATTGAGCTCGACGCGTGGCCACGGGCTTCAGCGCTATGCATCCTTCGATGGCCAACTTCCCAACAGATGCGCCGATAGAAGTCCAGACGACTTGGTCCAAGCCGTCCAGAAGGCCTGATTGTGTCAGGATGCGTGATGAGCGAGCTACCATGTCCGACTTGGATGTTGTGTTGGGCCTGAAGCGTGTCTCATTGCTGTTGACGCTGTCTCGGACGGAGAGAGCCACAATTGAAGGCCAGGCTAACAGCAGAGCAGTGAGATCATGCACTAACCGACCCCATTCCTTCTCCACGGCGGCCTTTTCTGAGGCAACGGCTCTCTGCTTGACTCTGACGGCCATGGAGCCGAATAAGTCTCTAACGGTGACGCGAGTTCCATGGCTAAAGGTCACTAGGCGTTGTTCTGGCAGGGCAGGGATGTTGCGCGCCAAGACCTTCGAGTTGTGCATGGTGATTGAGTTTTGCGAGTTGTGGAGATGGTGATGGGAGGTGACGGAGAGGAGAGACAGAGCGGCAACAGAGGCTAGGCAGTTGCCGTTGGAGCCGTGGCACTCCAACTCGGGTGAGAATCTTGACGTATCTGTAAATATGTGAGAAAGTGTACTCTTATGTGTGAGGATGTCTAGCTCACGATGCTGCTTGACCAGTCCTCCATTCTCTCGAAATTCGAGAGGCAGAATGCCTAGCCCATCGTCCTCAACCGAGCAGTTGCCACGAGAGTAGTCAACAGTTATGTTGATCCTTGTGGCGCCTGCATCAAGGGAATTCTGGACGAGAGCGCATACGACGCCGTTGAGAGACGTAATGGTGGCTGAGGACCTGATACGGCGGATGACGTCCTCTGGCAGAGGCTTAATGGACATGACGGCGGCTGGGGAATCGAGGCGCCATGTCGGGACGCGTCAGGATGAGCCACCGGGGATGGTCGCGGATGTGCATGGGTGCTGGCAGTTTGCTGATTTACACGGCTATGGCAGCTGCCCACCAATATTTGTCGTGTACCTTGACGATGATAACTTCCACAGCTCTGCAAGGGCTGGCACTAAAGGCGACGTCAGGAACGGCGATAAGCAAGCGATTAAGTAAGCGACAAACAACCTGGAAATTGGCTTTGATTACCTAGGCAGGTACCACCTACCTACCCGGGATGGGGGGGGGGGGGAAGCGGGACAGAAGGGCGAGAGAGGTCGAACGCTGGGGTGGGGGTGGGTGGCCCGGGGGGGGCGGGGGGGGGGGGGGGGGGGGGGGAGGGGGGTTGTCAAAAGGGGTCCATGCCCATACCCGACTTATGTATAGTGGTGAGGTCTTATCCTTCTGCCCGTATAATAGTGGAAGTATGTAGAAATTATAAAGCGACCTTTAAGATCACGAATTACTAGTTTGTTAATGATACTTAAAGACATCTGTTCTATTTCTTCTCTATTAAAATGTTTAGAATAATCACATTTGTTCAGAGTGGGTCGATTCTGGGTAAAAAAACAGAAAGAAGGAAGGATTAGTGTCTTCGGGTTACGGATATACTATCCACACATCGTGTTCTAGATCCCACCAGCTCCGGTAAGTGCCTATGACCCCTAAGATCACTAAGCGTACATCCTTTCCGGGCACTGTTGAAAACCGCCCACCCCCCCCCCAGCCCGCATAGGTACCTTACCTTACCTGATAGGTAGATGAGATAACGGAGGCAGTCATTTCCGATCGCCGACAACCACACAACCTAACGCGAGGGCCTCAGGTGTGGCTGCCCCTGCTTCCAACCACACCAAGAAGGCGCAGTGAGTCTTTGGGTTTCAGCTTGAGCGCTAGATTTGGCAAGCGTCTGACAAGTGAGCTGGTAGCTTTTACCGTGGCTTGCGAAGTTGCGAACGGGTGTCGAGGGGGTTGGGAATGGGGCTGAGGACGACCTCATGCTACGTATACTCGATGGCGACTTTCATGAAACTGGGATGCAATGCTTTGCGACGAGACCTTGTCTCCTACGAAGGCGAGACTCGAGAAATTATTATTTAATGCTCTGTAGCTAGCGCAGATTGGAGGACTATAGGTGGCAGGCTCCATAACCAAGACAAAAAGCTCAAGCTGCCGTCTGATGTTGAGAAGCAAGTGGCTGATGGCCATTGTGTATATGTTGTCTTACAAGTGATTCGCAAGGATAGCCATAAGTGTCTGATGGAGATACGAACGCTCCAACTCTTCCTCAGGGTAGTTGGATCCTCTGGACTTTCCATCGCATCTTGAAAACGTATTTGGGGAACCTATATCGGTACATACCTTCAGGTAGATTCGACAAAGTCAAGAGAATGGAAAAGAGTGACCTCACACATCGGATGGGAACACGGCAGCTGCTATGCGTGGCTGGTGATTACCCACCGCACGGACAATGATGACATGATACGACATGGTTATTGATGGATTGATTTGCATTGGGTGCGAAGCAATCAGCAGCATGTAAGCAATTAATGAAGCTCACCTCAACTGGCCGTGTTTTCAGTAGGTAAGCTTTAGGGGTCCACGCTTCCGGGGGACCTTATATGTAGTGACCCCAGCCGGGCTCTTTGGGAGACGAGACTGGAATTCTAGCCGAAGAGTCTCCGCTAATAAGGTTGGGTCGGGTAGCACCATGCGCGCGTGGCACCGTCAAGTCGACAAACGTGCTTGGGCTCCCTCAGATCCAAGATACCTATTTTTTATACCTCTTCAACTCCCAACTGCACCAGAACAAGGAGGGGACTGGGAGATCTGGACAGATGGACCACCAACACAACCAACGCACGGTTTCAGACATCAGTTAGCAGACAGGCACGAAAGGCACGACAGGCTTAGTGGAAGTGGGCGAGAGCGACCCCCAAGGTCTCAAAGTTTCCAAGGTGGCTTCGTCCATGGACCACTGATATCTTGCTGATCGACCGTAGGGCGGGATGTGGACCTTGCTGTGGTTGCGCGGGTTGTACGGATATGTTGAGTTTCGCCCACCCCGATGATGCTGCTGCTGTCGTGTTCAATATTGAAAGAAAGCGTATGCTGTTCGAGTGCGGGTATGGTGGACGAAGGCATCTAGACATTTCTAGGATGACTTGGTGCATTGTAACTGAATTTCGAAAGAAAGAAACCTGAAAGACACTGCTCAACGTACGACTTGTTAAGATTTCGGGAGAGGAAGTTGCAAGAAGAAGACTGGCCGGGCTGGGCAGCGACGGCGGGCAGTGCGGCAGACTGCAGTGCCTGGGGCGTCTGGGCTGGGGCTGCGCGGTCCACTCAGCTCCACGCCTTTTGCCCCCCGTCATCCCAAATCGTTCTGGTCACCCTTTTCCTCTTTCCCTCTTTTCACGGGCCTAAGGTAGGCTCCACAACGGGCACCCAACACCAGCGCCAGCGCCAACGTCGAATCAACCTGCCGCTCTGCATTCATTGTCTTTGGCTCTTTCCCATCCATCCCACCTTCAGTGTTCCATTTCCAGTCCCATTCCCATTTCCATTCCCATTCTTGCTCCCGCTCTTCCCGTTCTCGATTTCGACCCTTTCGCCTCAACACAGCACACACCTTCTCCCTCCCGACCTACGACCTCCGACCACCGCATTTTGCTTACATTCCTCCAACCTTCCCGGCTCATCTCCTTCATTTCCGAACCCTACCCTCCCATCAATTGACGCTTCTCCTTGCCTCCCTCCGACAAGCTCAACACGCTCATTCGAACGCCCGCTCGTTTCTCCAGCCTCACTCCCACGCCGGATCTACATTTAACGCACCTTCTCCGCCCTATTTCACCACTCAAGTCCTTCACCGATCCCCCTTTCCGAACGATTCCCGACACCTGGCGGACACACTTCTGCGACAATTCCAAGCCTGCACGGCGACCGAATGGCTACAACAGAGGCCGCGCTGCAGCCGCACGGTAATTAACTCACCTTTCTTCCCGCATCTGCTTTCCCGCCGCTGCTGTCATCTGCCCAAGGCGCAATCCTTCGGCAGCTTCAGCCCGTGCCCTGTCGTCAATCGCCTCGGACATCACGAGAAACTGATAACATGGTAGATCGTCCCGATCGTGCTGGCCGGCGCCGTCCCTTCTCAACATGGGTCAAGAAGCTCACCAACTTCAAAAGCTCATCTTCTAGCGATGGAGGCGGCGTTCGCCTTCCCAGCTCTAAACGACAGCAGGCTAAGTTCCACGCAAAGATGAGAGCTTCCAAGAACAACAACCCCTATCCTCAGTCAGGCCGAGTAGGCTCCGCCAGCCATGCCGATGTCGACGTCGAGACCAGTTCCTATTCATTTTCAACCGCTCTGAGCGGGAGCGCAACATCCATTGAACGGTCTTCTCGCATGTCTTCTCGAATGTCTTCCGAGGATGGTCGCACCCCACCCACCGCGGGCGTAAGGTCCATGGCCCCCACGATTTCGACAGACAACGATGGCGCGCATTCCGTAGTTGCCCCCTCCCACGGCGCTCCATCCGTAGCCGGAACGAGTCGAACGATAGGCGGTGTCGAGTCTCGAAGGGGAGACAGCACATTTTCGTCCCCAGCACCGTCAGTGCGGTCATTGACGACGACTTTGACCACAATACAATCCATGACGCCAAATAACGGCGGCACCCATGTGCCAACGAACCCGACCAACAACGGTAATCACACCTCGCACCAGGGTCATACCCAATCGATTCATTTCAATCAACCATTCCCAACAGCACCGCCCGCCTCCGCCATCCCCGCTCATCTTGCGCCTGCGGGATCGGGCTCTGGCAATCCCACAACATATACTACAGCCACGGCCAACAACCTGCTTACCGACAACGCTTCCATCATCACTCTAGCCTCCTCGTCTCAACGTCGTCGCCGTCGCTCATTAGATACCGATGCCTCTGTTCGTGCCTTGGCTCCTTCCTCCCTCTGGGGCGGCAGTCGGGAAAGCCTTCCTCTGAGCGTCCTAAGCGCCAACATCGAACAGGGCGCGGGATTGCCGACAACTCCGGGCCTTCACCAAAGCAGCTCGCGCATAGCGAACGCCGAACGCACTAGTATATACTCGGCCACAGGCGTCGCCCCCGCCATACCTGGCGACCGGAACAGCTTTTATGCGAAGCAGAGCGGCACTGGAGATGGAGCGAGCGTTCGGAGCGGATTGCTGGGTCACGGTGGATCTGACAGCATCAGCGGGAGCATCGGTGGTGTGACCAGTCCACTGACTAGCCCACGAGAGACTTCGGAAAAGAGCGAAGTAGAAGACAGGGGCGATGGCACGAATCGGGTCAAGGACGACGAGGAGCGCTAAATATGACGATCCATCATTATTCACGACCATTTTCTCGCATTAATGAGTCTGGGGTTTGGGTGTTGGGTTGGCATCATAGGAGAGGACTGGCATGGTTCGGGATTTGGGATTGGGGTTTCATGGATATTATCCTCACGCGGCTCATACGCAGCCAGACTAACCGTGAGTCGAACATTGACGGAAATACATGCATTACGAATGAGGTCTGCGACTGACGCTTGCCATTCATTATTATGCTTTTGTTTTTTTTTGCAAGTAATTACCCAATTGTCGAGTGTTTACATACATGAGAGCCTTCGAACAGTGCTTACTTACACTGGCAGCACCCTGCCCACTTGACAACATTTTTATGACAGGACAGTCTAGTACGGCAAGGGGTCGAGATCCAACCCCTCGACGGAGAACTTGAACGAATCGTTACGTGAGTAGCTCCCGCCGACATCAATATCCAACCGTCCGCGAATGCAGTCGTCGAAGTCAACATCAGCGTAGATGATGCCCTCGTCGTCTTCCCACTGCGGTCCAGCTAGGACGTCGCCAAAGGGGCCGACGATGGAGGACCCGCCGCGGGAGACCCAATCTTCCGATTTAAGAGCCGGTTTCGAGGCCGTCTTGGTCTTGGTGTTGGTGGTGCCGTTGGTGCGGTTTTCATCGCCGGGAAGGACAATCTCATTGCCGTCTTCCACGATGATGGACTTGCGGCGGTGGCTAGGGCTGGTACTGGTGCCGTTGGAGGCTGGTTTAGAGGACTTTTCGGGGAGGGCGATTTCGAAACCCTCTTCCGTGAGGCACGAGTTGCGGCGCGGGCGGGGGTAGACGTCAGCGTCTGGTGCCTCTTCGGCGTCTTCGATACCGCTGTCGCTGCTCTGCGCTACCGATGTCGTTGTCGGCGCGGAGGGCCTGGCGGCCATGTTGGACGAGACGACGAAGCAGCGACCCTCGCAGGCGACGGTGCGCATCAGCGGGAGCCAGGTGTCGCGGCCGTCGGCTGTGGGCGCGAGGTAGAGGTTGATGTTTTGGGCGTAGAGGGACTGGCGGAGGAGGGGCATGTAATTCTCCCAGCAGATTGCGGCGGCGAGGTTGATGCGGACGCCCTTGATTGTCGTCGAGACGGCGCGGAGGGTCGCGGGGGAGCCTTGGGCCCAGATTAGGCGTTCCGTGGCAGTCTTTCGGCGGAAGTCATGTCAGTTCCGCTTGTACTGTAGTGAAAAGAGAAAGGGGGGAGGAGGGGGGGTTGGAAACGTACGGGCATCACCTTGCGCCTCTTCCCGATCATGCCCAGCTTGGGACAGACGTAGACCACGGAGCAGTACAAGCTCCCGCCGGCGCGCTCGATGCACCCGACGACGAGGAACACGCCCGCCTGGGAAGCAATCTTTTCCAGCGCCTCCCGCGACCCGTCGCCCCTCTCGACCTTTTCACCGGCGGCATGCTGAGCGGGCAGCTGCTTCTTCACCCACTTGTCACCGCCCCCGGCGCCCGCATCGCCGACGGTGTCGCCGAGGTCGACGGCGGCGTTGAAGTAGGCGAGGAACTCGTCGCGACCCTCGGGGGCGCGGGAGCCGATTTTGGAGCCGAAGGAGGCGCCGCGGGGGTAGCCGGCGCCGAGGTAAGCTTCCGGAAGAAGGAGGAGGTCTGCGCCGGCTGCGGAGGCGCGGTTGGCGAGGGTGGTTATGTCGATGAGGGTTTGAGCTGTTGTTGCCGCGGTTGCGGGGGATGCTGTTGCGAGGCGAATTGGAGGCATCTTGACTGTTGTTGGAGGTTGTTGGGTTGCGAGTTGATGAGTCGGGTAGTGGTGAGGGTGATTCTTGTAAGTGGTGAGACGCGAGTGCGGGATGCTCGGTTTAGAGAGGTAGGGGTCCAGCGAGGGGCGGAAGCTTGAAGCGACGATATCCGAACCGTTGCTCAGTGAGTCAATACAGCCAGGGCGGTGACAAGAGCCCGGTATTTAGATAAGAATACAATGAAGTTTTCCGCGGGGGAGGACGGGATTTGAGAACGGCGATCCGGGGCCGGTGAAGAAGAAAAGGAATTAAGCAGAATCGGGAATGAGGCGACTTTCAAACACCGAGCGAGGGGGGAACGCTATTGCTTCTACAGCAGGTAGAAGGCCCCACGATGCGGATGCCAACGGAGGGGGAGGGGAATTTTGTTTGCTGGCAGTCGATCGGGAAGCTTTACCTTGCTGGGTACCTACAGGCTACCTGGGGGGACGTCATTCTTTAGCTACCCCGCAGCAGGTGGGCTGACGGTGGACCAGAAAGACCCCCGGGAAGAGATCCACGGTTCGGCAGGGTCGCGTGAGTTCTAGGTTTAGTCGCAAATTTGGTGGCACTTGGGCCTAGGAGACCCTTGCCCCTGGCGTTTGTGACTTTGTAGGTATTCGTAGCGGGTATTGTCGATCGTGGGTTAGGGGAGCCGTGGGGACGGATGGAAGCAACGATGAGATGTGGTTCATATGGTTGTTCGTCCCAAAGTACATCGATTCATCAAATACCTTACTCAACGAGGCGGGAGAGGGACAGTGCAATTTTATACATTTGGCGTCCTTGCTGACTCGGCATGTTTAATTAGGGATTTCCCTCGCGCGAAAGACTAAGAAATTTCTTGCGCCTCATGATGCATTGGCCGTATAGTTCCTTGTGCCCCAAGTCGTCAATCCGCGTCGGCGAAACCTGCGGGTTGTACGTTCAAAGCCGTATTGAAACATCTTTTCTCTATACGATGAGCGGAGAGTGAATAGTCAGACATACTTATAACGGTATTGAAGTTTTGCTAGATCACGTCGGCTCTCAATTTGTCCCACCCCACGAAACAAACGACATCGACGTGAGTCAACTCTAGCTTCGTACTCACGAACACTTCATCAAAGTAATGCTCGCTGGACATTTTGTTCTATAGCCGTTTTTTGGTACAGACATTCTCGTCTCGTTTGGATAGTATTGAACTACTGTTCTGTCAAGCGAAGCAAGTTGTATTCTGGGTCCTTCAACTTTCGTAACTAAGGTAACGTTGAGAAAACACGTTTCTACGTCTGAGGCTTCTTAGGAGATCTCTCTCCAGGCCTACCAATGTCCATTCTGCAAGTGTACTCCCAAGACCTCGCCATCCATAGAAACACGATACATGATAATTTCTCCCATCACATCACCCCATTCGTATTCCTTCTGAGCCTCGTAGCGCCAACATTCTCGTTTCCCTTCCTCACAGCCCCTCTTTCCAATTAACGATGCGCATTTCGTGTAAAAGGCCATATTGCTTAGCGAATGCTTGCAGATCTCGAAACAATTCCATTCGTTCCTGCTCTTGTCTTTAGAATTTGGCGATCAATCTAATCTACTTTGGACATTAGGTTGTTATTCAGATTTCGTCGCACAAGTGGGACCGCCTTCGTGATCGTGTCGGTCAGGTGCTGATTCAGAGTCTGAATTGCTTCCACCATCATCCCCAACCTTCCCAGAGTCGGACGCTCTTTCTCGATGTCGTCGTACCTTAGAAGACGATGATGTGCCGGGTTGCCGGCGAGGTGGAGGTTGCGATCGTGCTGGGCCATCGGCCTTGCGTCGGACGTCTCCAGCAGCATTCCAGGATCCTTCCGGACTCGTAGGTAAAACGAAATTCTCTGCTACAGGTATTGGCGATGTCTCTGGATCCTTATGAATGCTCTCAGCGGTCACTGTGGCCTTCAACGTAGACTTTAAGGGGTGAGTCGAAGCCTGAGACGCCTCTGACGTGTATTTCGAGAAGTCCTCGGAAGGCGCCATTGCTATCCCCAGTGGATTCCTCTGGAACAACGGTCTATTTGAGTGATTCGAAAGAAGAAACGAATTGTTTTCAGCGCGCAGTCAAGGATGTAAGGTAAGGTAAGGATGGAGAGAAAGAGGGCCGGTCGACTGCCCTCGACTGATGGACTGATCTGCTTGTAATAATCAATCTCCTGTTCTTCATTGACTTTTCAGGCACACTTCTGTTCAATCCGTGTCTGGGACACCTGAATACTCAAGTCAAAAATGGCTTTAACAGAGCGGGGTTCCATCAAATCGCTTTACCAAAAGTCGTCTTCGTGGTGGTGAGGGATTGGCCGGGAATCGGCCACGACTGGTTACCCCAGTGTGCCTGGTGAAGACTGTCTTATCAGCTCATCTGCTCCGCCATGTTGGACGCATACTCCGCCAACATGAACTTTTATCTTCTGGTTCACGAACACCAAACACGAACTAATGACGATCTCCCGCCCATCGAGAGATCGCAGCCCCCTGGGGTCCATCGCTTCATCTCAATGTACGCAACTCGAAGCTGGAATTGAACGAGCACAAACCCAACCCTCTGAAGAAGAAATCCAACGCGCCCCATGGAGATACCTTAGTTAAAAAATCCACTGGATTTCAAAACAAACCGAATTCCTAAGATCGTATAATGATTTCTCTTTGCTTCGTAGGTTCAATTCTCTTAACGTACGGACATCACTGGTCTTACAGGATGAGATTTCCGTACTTGAGGAATAGGTAGATACTCAAGACCGCATATACAACGAGGAAGCTCTAGAAGGCTATAAAAATGGTACGCTGAGAGAAGACGTGGAAGATCGCTCTTATTTTGTCAGAACAATACCCAAAAAGCTGAGGAAATATAGCACGATGGCTCCTGAAAAAGCTAGAAATAGACTTACAGCAACTAGACGAATTTCTGACACAGCAACAGGCTCTCCGGCAGCTTTCTATAGCGCCACGACGGGACGTCAAGAGTCTACGCAATTGGCATCATAACCACGAGCATAAGGATATTTCAGAGAAGGAGCAGAAGTACCTGGAACGTGACGAAGACCTTGTGGCTCTAGCCCACGAAGAAAAAACCCCTTTACGACAAGTTATCGACGGATCTCATCGACTGCGAACACTTTCCCTGTGGAGACATAGAGAGGAAGAAGTTGCTACTTACGACAAAAGAGAGGTCTCTTACTATTCCGACAAACGGATGGACAATTTCGCCTCGGCAGTCATCATTGCCATCGGAGTGCTGATGCTCATCACGCCCATATGGATACTTCAGGCGCTGACAGAGCTGAAGCCGAAACTTGCAGTCATTACGATCTTCATCTTTGGGTTTCTGCTCGTCCTCTCCCTGGCCATGGTTGCCAAGCCCTTCGAGGCGTTGGGCGCCATTGCAGCGTATGATTCTCCTTGTAGTCCCAACGACAGGAAGTTCTATCGCTAATATGAGCGTAGATACGAGGCAGTACTGATGGTATTTCTTCAATTGCAGTCGGAGGGTTCTCAAACGCAAGGTGCGTCGTAGGCTCACAGATTTGGGTGTTACAGGGAGGATTGGAACGGAAACTGGACCACCGAGCTTTGAGAAGGTTGTGAAAGCATCAGAGAAGCCGATTTCACAACCGAAGTACACCCATCTGAACATGTACCTCATCCAGAGAATACAAGAGAGCATCGCAAGGTCATTGTGCTCCTTAGAAGTCATCAGAACGATCTGACATTCGTATTTCATTACATTATCTCATCCACCAAGTTACTCATATCAGCCTTCTTCACCCTCGCCTCCGTAATCAATAACTCCTTCGGGAACCAGTCCCCCAACTTGCCGCCAGGGAATCCGACCCCCTTCTCCAGCACCACATCATCTTGACCCGCAATCATGACCCCCAATGCCGTCCCGCAGAGCCAAGCCCAAACCATTCCATCACCGCAATACCCGGCACTAACCCACTGTCCCGCCTCAGCACCCTTCCACGAATCCTCCTCCTCCTCCTGCTCGTCAACCACCTTCGCAACCTTCTTCACAATTTTATCCTTCTCCCTCTCACCCCTCTTCAACCCAAACCAAGAAGAAGATGAAGAAGAGTCCTTCTTACCCCCCTTGGCCCCCGAAATACTCGCGGGAACTCTCCCAACAAAAGGCGCCATATCCCCCGTGACACCCAAGACACCGCTCCACACCTTTGTCACATCGCCCCTCCACCGCGCCCCAAACACCGCGCTCATCACCCCAGAAACATGCGCAATCGTCAACCCGTCCGTACCAGAGTCGTCGTACACGCCAACCATGTCCGCGCCCTCACCCGCGCTCCGCGCAAACCCGCCGCCCAGCATCACGTCCCCGTTGGGCCGCTGCGTGACGTAGTCGAACGCGCCGCCTCCGTAGAGAATGCTCCACGACCTGCTCCCAGTTCGGCTCCCGTCCCGCCACCGGAATCCTCCTTCTCCTTCTTGACTACTCTGCTCGGAAGAGGACGTCGTCGTCGTCGTCGTCGTTGTCGAGGAGGGACGCTGAGCCGTCATATGCGCCTTCACACCCGCCATCTTCCCCCTCAACCCCGGCAGAAACTGCCCCGCGTGCGCGTTTGTAGCGTGGACCACATGCCTCGCCCTAATCGCCCCCCTCTCCGTCCTCACAACATACGGCCGGCCGCCCCCATCACCACCACCAACATCCATCGTAACCTCCTCAACAGCCGTGTTCATCTCCAAGCTCAACCTCCCCCCGCACTCATCAACCAACTCCCTCCAAACCTTTGCAACAAGCCGATAAGGCCACATCGCGCCGGCCTTGTACACCAACCCGCCCGCCACATGGCCCCCCTCAACCCCGAACCGCGCCTCCGTCTCCTCCCGCCCCAGCACGGCAATCTCCACCTCGGGAACCCACCTCCTCAGCTCCTCCACCTCCCTCTTCCCGTCCTCAAACCCCTTCTCGTCCAGGAAAAAATCCACAGTCTCGACCCGCCTGCACTCCGCCACCTCCCTCCCTGCTTCCCCACCGACCTCCAACACGGCCTCGGCCGTCCTCAACGCGAACCTCGTCAGCCTCGCCGCGCCCTCTTTACCAAAATACCGCGCCAGCCGGGGGAACAGCTCGTGCGGACTCGCCTTCACATGGCCACCGTTCCGCCCCGTCGCGCCGGCACATAAACTCCTCGCCTCGAGCACCACGACCCTCGGCCCCTTCTTGCTTCCTTGCTCGTTCGATCCATCTGCTGCGGCGGTGGCGGCGGCGGAAGAGGTGGAGGCGGTATACAAACTCCTTGCCACAGCAGCCCCAGTGATCCCGCTCCCGATGATAACAACGTCCGCCTCCCTTGGCAAACTTGCCGAGCGGGCGTCCACAAGCTCTGGAAACGGCGGCTCGTCGAGCCAGTACGAGCTCGAAGGGTTCGCGTGCGGCAGGCCCGGCGGCGCGTTGACGCGCACCAGGAGAGCCTGGTACTGTTTGTTCAGGTCCAGGAGGAGCTTGGTTACCGCACCGACAGTCTTGGTCGCGCCGCGGATGGCGGAGAGTACCGATCCCATTGCCTCTTTTCTCTTCTCAGGGACTTCTATCTTACTCATGATGGAAGCGAGTCGTGCCTGCGACGTTTTGTAATATCAATCACCACTTCCTCTTATATTATCTGAGGTCGGATTCTGAACTGAGAGAGAGGGAGTGTGGGTGTGTGAGGGAGAGATGGAGATGGAGAAGAGAAAGCACTGATCAAGTTCGTCATGAGACTTTGGATGAAACTGACGTACGAGGTAGGTGTGTATGCTGCTAACAGACTTGGGTATTAAACTTTAGTGACGTTGGAAGCTTACCTAAGACACCCGGGCCTCAAGGGGCCGGCAATCGGCAAGTCGGAAACATGTAAGGAGGACCGTAGCGTTCACTAAGTTTTCCCTTCATGAAAACGAAGAGCCGAGGTACCACTTAGGTGAGCGTAAATCTAATCATTTTGTCTAACTTCTAACCCTAATCCTCAAGTAATAAAGAACGCCTCAATATTGTTCCGAAGAAAGCCTCCCCCGTCACTTGCCTCGTGTGAGCGGTCCGTCACAGCCCCTCGGCGTAACACTCACGTCAGTAACGGCACGTAACGCAGCAGCCGCCACTCAACATGAGAGACAAGAAAGTGAAATACAAAACATCTCAATTGCCTTGAAATCTGTATTGTGACGCCGAACCGATGCCGGGTATGTTGTCAAATGCCGCCGATGACTCCGCCGTATCCATCCCATCCGTCCCTTAAAACCCCAATCCAGAGTATTAATTCCCAAATTATCAACATGAAGAAAGAGACACGACAACCTCTCCCACTCATCATTCGCTGACAGACCCCTCGTCATCCGAGACGTGGTCAGTGTCAATGTCATCACCATCCATTCTGTTGCTTCGTCCATGACAATCCAGACCCATCTCAGCCCGAATGTCCTTCTGGATCTTGAGGAAATACTTCCTCAACGTTCGGAGACCTCGAAGGAAGCCACAATCCGGCTCGTTGGGATGCCGCGGCGGACACGGCTTTCCCTCTGCAAGATCGCCCTTGGTTAGGCTGTTTGCAAAGTCGGCAATCTTGAAATCGATGCCGCGCTTCTTCTTTTGCTTCTTCTTCTCTCGCAACGCCGACGTCTCCTCCGTGTCGGTTGCAAAGTCAGTCGTAGAGTCATCAACGACTGTATCGTATTCATTACCCTCGTTAGTCGTGTCGCCATCGTAAAACATGAGGAGACTGGCGGCGTAGAACCGATAGCCATCCAGTCCTCGGACGATCGACTCCAGGTGGTCCAGTTTCTGTAGGATTGTCGGAATGTGCCGCAGGATGCTCGAGTAATCGACGCCATCATATAAGAACCGCGTCAAAGCGTCCTGGAACTCCTGACCGGCTTTGAGGTCCCGTCCAAAGTACTTGTCCTTGAAGACGTAACTTTGGCTCTTGACATCCCAGACCTGAAGTCCGCATACACGCACGCCAAGTTCACGCGACGTTGTCCTGGCACACTTGCCCTGCTGCGACTTCTGCTTCTTGGGCGTGGCCTCAACACCGTATTGTCTGGTGCCCATCTTCAGGTCCATGATACAGGGCCGTTTCATGCCTGCGGTAAGATCTTCCAGCAGGAGAAAGTACTCGACGCGGGAATCCCGTTGCGTTTGTGCTTCCTTCGGATTCACAGGTCGCGGGATTCTCCGGAACTCTTGGGTCGGACTAGGCACCTCGGACGGGACAGTTGACGCATACGTAGAGTGATCAGCGTCGGTAGGGAAGTCGGCTTGAGATGCATCGGCAGCAGGCACTGGGAGACTCAGTTCTTTCGCGGCACCTTGACCAGCGTTTGTGCCATTTGTGCTGGGCGCTTCGATCATAGGCGAGTTCACTTGGGACGTGATGAGGGACTGCCCGCCTTCGTCTTCACCTCTATAACCAGCGTCATCCGCCTCCTCCCAGTACTTGAGATGTCCTCTAGACTCCGTGACTGTTCGTGGCTTCCGTCGAAGGCCTGTTCCAGAATATCGTCTCTTTTTCTTTTGCGCAATGATCTTGTCCGCAAGAGTCTCCGGCTCCGGCGCACTGGTGCCAGTCACATCCTTGACATCGCTATCCTCGGCTTCGGCTTCAGTAGCCTCAACATGGCCCTGGCGCTCCATAGTGATGCTCTCTGTAGGTGGCGGTGAGGAGCTGCTAGGCCGAAGCGGGCTGGGCTTTGGAGGGTTGTGGCCTTCCTGGGCAGACGGATCTTGCCTGCGCACTAGGTCAGGGACAGAGCTAGCAGGCCTCAGCGTTGGCTGCTTCCTGAAGGCCATTGACTTTTGATGTGGGCGACGATGCTTGTGGATAGGGATTGGCTGCTTCAGGAAGACGTCGTTGAACACCTCGTTGCGCAGCCGCTTGTTGACGGTAGTTGCACCCCAGCTATTCGCATGCCGGTCGTCCAGGCTAGGCCTAGTTGGGGATGCCATTTGGCTCTGCTCAGGATTATCGAGTAGACCAGCAGATAATGTGCTGCGACCCCGGGTGGATATGACGACTGGAGGGGGCGTTGGCTGCAAGAGATTCCGGGGCAAGATATGCCAGTTGTCGTCAAAGGTCACCGTGGGAATTGGCTCGGGGGCGGAAGAAAGCGATTGGCTAATGATGCGGCGATGGTCCTGACTCGGCTGAGACGCGCTGGCCGAGTTGTCGTTGGACCCGTTGTAATTGGTCGTGTCTGCTGACGCCGTGACACCGGTCTCTCCGGTCGGCTTCCGCTCCAGCAACGGGGCATCATCACGCTTGTGGGTCGACTTGCGCCGGGGTTGCTTGTGGAACGTCACATTCAGCACACCAATGTACCGAGGGAGGAATGACAGCAAATCAGGATGGTCCTGTTCCACATTTTCATAAAATTCATTCTCTCGATTGTTGAGCTGTTTACAAACAGCCCTCTTGGAGAAGCGCCAAAGCGTGGTGTGGCCGCCGACCTGGTGCTTGTAGGGGATGAGTTCGATGGCCTCGAGAGGCTCTTTCTGTTCGACTTGGTGATGGTGTGCGTGGTCGTCAATGTGCGCGGGGATGTGCTTCGGTGTCGGTGGTTCTGGCTCTTCTTCCACCATCACGTCCTCAATAGTGCCAGGCTGAACTTCGCGGAGAGTTATGTTTGGCTCTCCAGGAAGACGCTTCAGCTTCGGCTTGTGAGAAGGCGTCTCAGGAGGCTGGTCGGGAGATAACAGCTCATCCTCAGCCTCAGGCTCATCGGCCTTCACCAGCCATGGATGGAAGTCCTCGGCTCTGGCTTTGGATGTGGTGCGACCAGGCGTCTGCCTCGGTTTGGCCACGTCTCTCTCGCGTTCGGCGGCCTCCTCCAAGCCAGGGTGCGGCACAAACACAGCTGAAGAAATTTTCTCCTCGGAAGACTCGTCTCCCTCCTCGTGGCTTTCTCCATGGTCGCTGCTGTCGGCTGACAGACGTCGGGTCTCAACTGCTCCGAATTCTTCAATCAAGGGCAGCAAAGCGTCGCTCTCTTTGTCTCCATTCGAAGGGCCGGCCTTGTTGCTGGTCTGCCTAGAACCTTCCGTATCCACCTTGTGAAAAATATCACCATTGACCTTCCTCAAACCGAAATAGTCTTGAGTGGGCGAATCGGTCAAGATGGGGGTTTCGCCGGCCTGAGGCGACTGAAGGGGAAAAGTCTTGACTCTTTCCAGCTGCTTTGGCACCCAGTCCTTTTTGTCAAGAATCCTAGGAGAGGGCTGAGCACTGGAAGCTTTGGCGAAGTCTTCGATGGCAATATCGGACGAGAGCGGCTCCTGCGAGTCTGGACCCACGGGGGGCTTCTCCTTGGACCGCGGCTCCTTTCTACGTCCCGGTGTCTTCTCCTCCTTGGGCAGCCCTTCTCTAAAGAACCGAAGGCTGTAGCTGGCCTTTCGGCTGCGCCCGTTGGGCTCGGCGCCAATCATGGCTTCGTGGACGGACTTCTCCACCTGGCCATCTTCTTGTCCGTCGATGGCCTCACTCGACCCAATCGACCATATTTTCTCCGGTCCAACGGAGAAGCGCTGCTCCAGTTTCTTGGGTCGGCCCTCCGTCCCGGGAGTCATGTCCTGGTGAAGTTTCTGGTTCATTTGAGCCACTGAGCTGAATGATCCTTCTGGGCTGGTGGAGTGTGAATGTGCTCTGTTTTTTCGTAGTCCTCCCTGTGCTCGCATCTCCGGGTCGACCCGCTCCAAGGACGAACCCCTGCCGCGTGAGCGCGTGCTCTTGAGAAAGTCGCGGTGATCCAGCAACATTGCCCGAATACCCTGGAAACTGGCCATGTCGTAGGTGGGCGATGTCATAATCTCCATGTCGGCGTCGGATGGCTGGGCAGCGGGGTTCGGGTTAGCAATGTCGGAAGGGTGTGCGATGCCGGGTTGGGGAGCGCTTCGGGGAGTTACTGAGGCGCCATGGCCGGGAAGGGAGGGAACATTGCGAGGGTCGACGGCGAGAGGATCCAGGCCAGAGGCGGCAGAGGAGTTGGGGTTGGAAGGGACGAAGTCGGCGGTGGGCGAGGGCAGCGAGCGGGTGGACAGCTGGCTGGAAGATTGTGATGTTTGATCTTGGTGGGAATGTGTTCTCGAAGGGATGCCGCGAGCTGAGGCGAGGGCTTGGGTTAGCAAGGACGGACCGGACTGCCTCGGGAGAGCGGCAGGGCCTCGGGGCTTTTTAATATTCGGGTCGACATGGTTCGAGACATCCTGCTGGTGCTGAGTGACAGCGGCCGTGGCAGGGGGTGGATCTGCAGCTTGGGCTAGGGGGGTGTCTGGAACTTGAAGTGATTGCGGGAAGACTTGAGGCAGAGTTTGTTGTTTGAGAGCGGCAGCGGCAGTAGAAGCAGCGGCCGGGGTAGCAGGACCAGCATCAATACCAGATTCGGTACCAGTCTCGTCGAGACCAGTCGCGTTGGCGGCTGGATCTCGAGAACTAGGACTTAGACTGGACTTGGGACTGGGACTGAAGATGGGGGCGGAGGCGGAGGCGGAACTGGGAGTGGACGACGACGACCAATGCGCGGGGCTCACCAGGGTCGCGGGTGCGGCATTTTCGGCGTTACGAGGCGGGCTGGACATGAGGGAAACATCTGGCGAGAGTCTGGACGATATGGGAGGATTGGTCGCCGATTGTTCCTGGGGTGGCAGAAGGGGGAATCGTAGGGATAGAGACCGGCGTGGTTGCGTCTCCTACGTATGTGAGTGAGTGAGTGTGTGTGTGGGAGGTTCGGTAAGGTGTGAGAATGGGAAGGGAAAGGAACGTCACGACATGCGGCGTAGGCGAGAGGAAAGAGTAAAGTGGGCAGGCTGGGAAAAAGGTGTGGGCACAGGATTGGACAGTGGCAAGGAGGGAGCGAGCGAGTGACCAGAGAGGAACGGGACAGGACAGGCCAGGGCCCGGGGTCGGGAAGGGAGGCCAGGGGGTGGGCACAAAGTAGCAGGTGCCTGAGTTTAGGTTAGGTTAGGCTCGGTTCAAGGAAAGTGAGTGAGTCCGATTGTGTGAGGAGTACCTCAGTGACTGGTGGGTGATTGAGCGAGTGAGGTAGGTACTGATTGAGTGCTGAGATACCGGTAACATAAAGTATCTTAGGAGGTGTGCGTTGGGAAACAGGGTGAGGCGTGTAAGATGGAAAAGCAACACCGGCACCAAACAACCCAAACAAGGTCTCAGTGCCAGTGTGGAAGCCGAAAGAAGCAAAAGAGGGATATAGAGGTACCTTGGGAATAGATAGAGCGCGAAAGGGCCAATGCGATGCGATACGCTGCAGTGTGCGGCGTGGGCTCGCTGCGATGCGAATCTACGTCTGTGGGCGGTGGAGGATTGTGGGCTGTGGGTGGGGTTTGCTGCTGCCCCGTGGGCTGAGTACCGTAAGGTATGTGGATGCACCAATCTCTTGGGTTCCGGGTCTCAATCTCATGAGACTGGACAGAACGATCCGCCACTGCCAAAGTGGTTGAGCAATGCATAGTCAACTGCATAGTCAGTTTGTCGGAGGGTCAGTCAAGTTGAGGAATCCCGGAGAGTTGGGGATGATGGGTGAGGGGATACATCTGAGATGGGAATGTGTGTGTGTCTGGGTGTGCGCATTTCGAGGGACAAACACCATGGGCAGTCATTATCAAAGCAGCCCAATGTAGCCTCCCGGCGAAACTGCAAGAGACGGTACTTGGAGATGCGCTATCTCGACTATCTAGGGTAGTCCCTTTTCCTACATCGTCATAATCGAATGCGGTAGATCCCAAGAGAGAGCACGTTGGGGTTTGGGGTTTGGGGTTCGCACCTTTTGCTGATAGCAGCGGGGCCTTAGTCTAGCAGACAGACGGCGCGGCGCCTGGGAGTGGAGCAGTGGCATAATTAGCAGGGATGCCCAGGGCCCTGGGGCCACTGATAGGGTGGTCGTCACAATATGGAAGGTACATGCAAATGAGGGGCTCGCTAGCCCGCGGACTATGTACCGAGGATAAGGACGAAACCTCGAAAATGACACCCATGTACACTTTCCCAGTAAATGCACGTGAGAAATACTTTGTATTCCTCCCACGTGTGGAAAGTAGTGGCACCTGGGGGGAGAACAATCATGACGGGTGGGAAGGAACCACCCACGCAATTCATTCAGGACGGAAAGCGCTTTCCTCTGGCCTTTTGCTAAAGTTTGAAGCTCCATCTGATGATGTACTCACCTACACGTGTAGAACCAGGGCAGTTCAAGCATCGAGACAATACCTTGGGGTCAGTTCCCATCGGCGCGGCAGCGGATGCCAACCCAATTTTCGACATCAACACCACCTTGGGCCAACCCTCGCTCATCCTCGCTTCCCAAACATGACTATACACGTGTAAGTCGACATTGACCCGGTCGAATTAACTCTTGCCGTCAAGTACAGCTTGCCCCGACAATGCGAATCACCCGCCGTTGTTGATGACACACAGCAAGCAAGCAAGCAGATGTCCAAACAACTGGGTATCTTATGCTTGGCCGCACGGCACCTCACTTCATCGCATCGCAATTAGAATAACACCGTCGCCTCTTCTCCGTACCTAGCCAGCTTTGTGCAAGTCAATCGAAACAAGGCCATACCCCCGTCGCTTTCGTTCCCACGGCTGCGGGCGCCCCTGCGCGACCCTAGTCGCTCCCACTATCAACCCGGCAGCCCTTCGTCTAAACCCCGCTTGCACGGTGTGACGCCGTCCACGGGACTGCTAACTTGGCTCCCGGAGCCCTCCCAGTCAGTCCCCAGCCGCCCGTCTAGACCACTGGACAAACCTCACCAACGCCAGGGCATCGCTAGCACGGAATTTTTCCTAGGTTTTGTCCTTGGCTCAATCCTGAATACACTACCTTCAGGCTTCAGAGGCTTGGGTCTTGGGCTCCAAACGCCAAACGGTTGGAGAAGCCCCAGCATTAGCCAGCATCAGCCAGCATCAGCCAGCATCAGCCAGCAAGAGGTATCCCACAAAGGAGGAGTCGAACCTTCATCCGTTCCGCCATTGGGATCATCCACCGGCTGACCTCCGTCTGCCTGCATCTTGCCTGTAGCTAACCCTGCAGGCTCTCAACAGCCTCGTCCAACGTTTTGAGTAGCCTTTGTCCTAGGTCTTGGTCACGGGAACCACTATTACCTAAGGTAATTGACAACCCCGGATCGTCACCGCCGGACCTCTACAGATACCACGACACGACTGAGCTCCCGCCATGATGTAAGCAGCGTCATTGCGTACTACACGTACACGACAGTATCTCGGATCCGTTCCCCGGCTTAGCAAGACCTCAGACCGCAAAGTCCACCGCACAATGCCGGCACAGCTGGGTTTTTCAATTCTGCCTCCCTTTCACCAACACGACCAAATTGCCCGACCGCTGATCCCGAAACTTCCTGAGAGCACGTTGTCATTCCCATCGATCCTACAGGCTCGTCCCAAAAGCCAGCCACAATTGCCATTGTCTCGCTTGCCGGAATTTGATGTATCAGACGAGTGCTTGGTCGCGCAAAATGATGGCCGCACAAAACGAGATTAATGGTATGCCACTCAGATGGCGGAGTACTCGGTCTTTCGTGTACGCGGACTATCAATTCCATCCAAGCAGAGCCAGAACTAATTAGCGTCTCTTAACACCCTTGATAATCATTTTTGCCGGACCCCCTGATGTTTCCCCAGGATCACATACAGGATACATCGCCAGAGCGGGCCAACCCTTCACTCACTAGCTAGCGTTGCAGGGCTGCTTGCTCCCTTCTCCTCACTTGTTTGTCCGGTGTCCGGGTTGCTGACCGGGCCTGAAGATGGTTCCATCCGTCATCCGCGAAGAGCAAATGGATGGAAGCTTTCTTCCAGTTGGTGTGGTTGCACTGCGGCACGGCTTCATGAGCATGTCCCGTTGGCATCGAAATAGTGATGACCAACTCACCAGCACGTCCCTATATCGTTAGCCATCCAGGTGTCATTGTAATAGTGGCCGGTTGGATCCGCTTTCGCAGCACGACTATCGTAAATGTTCCACAGCATCACATTAGTCGATCAAATAGGTACAACATCTACCGATCACCAAGCACACAAGGCACAATACATGTTGGAAAAGAGGCCGCGGTCGGTTCCATCGGACCATGGGCAATCTCTCAAAGTCGCGTCGGCCCTGTGTCGAATCTGCAAGGTTCACAGGCCCGGCCCAGGCCACTCGCCTCGATTTCAACACCATCCCTCCCTGTTTCGTCGGTCTGCGGAATGGTTTCCCCGCCACAGGCAGTCGAGACGGGACGGAGCCACGGGAGTGTTTACCTACGGTCTAAGCCAAACGCAACTCGCTTTTCTGACACGTCTCAAAAATATCCACTGCAGATGCCAATGTTTTTACAGCTTGAAGGGTTCCATTCCCCGTCTCCGGATGTCTGGAGGAACAAGCTCGCGCCAAGCCCCGTCCGCAACTTATCTGCCAGAACTCCAACGGACCCTTCGTCGCCAATCATCCGACAACGTGCTCGTCAGACCGCCTCGCACCAGCCTAACCCCAGACCGCAACCCAACGTACCACCCCGTAACTTGCCTTCGATCTCATTCTGAACCGAAAGCTGCCCAGAGCTCTTCAACTCTATGCATTGAGCTAATCCGCCTTACATTTGAACAAGGCCTTGCCACACCGTGCGTGCGCTTACGTAGCATAACTAGTATGACAGGCTTGGAAGACCCGCGCGGCCCTCTGGGATGATCTACCGGGTAATAAAGAGTGCGTTGCATGATAGCCGCGCCAAAGATGGTACTCTGTTCAGACGGATCTGTCTGTATGACCTCGTTACAACCGACTTGTATCTCCAAATCATACAACATTGCGTGCTTATGGCGTCTTGATGGTGCTCAGGCGTGATGCCAACGATTCGGCTTGACTTGCCCCAAGACATGATTGGATGCTTTTTTTCTACGGATACTATGTACACGTAAACACTCTGGACTTGCTTTTTGTTACTGGGCTCTAATTAGGTTTCAATCATATCTTCCTGACAAGGGTTAGCCCGCTTGAAGTCGAGCCTCGAGGGCCGTCTGACTGCCTCCTATCACCCCACCCACGTGAGGAAAGCATAGCTTTGTGAGCGCTGAGATCATGACACCTCGTCTCAGCTTGCTTTTCCCCTGAGGCTCTGCCGGAAACCATGTCTCCCTTCCCCGGACTGCCAGAGTGGCGCAGCCGCTTCATCGTCGCCACCGGTCCTGGGGCCCTGAAATGTTCCTGCCGATCGCTTTGAAACCCGCCCAGGGGCATGGCCTGTCTCTTCTCTTTGCGAAAGACCCAAAGGCTTCCTGTCGGTTTGTCTCGAACCAACGTTTTTTGTGATGATGGACAATCCTCATGGAGCTTTCTATCCCAATTGAACGGCCACATGTACCCAGTAACCGAAGAAGAGCTCTTTCCTTCCAAGTTCACACACACGCCCCCCTGCCCACCCCCTTGGTCCGGACATGGGATGATGATCGTTTTTCTAAGATAGTCCGGGCACGCCGCACAGGGCTGCATTGACCCTTATGGTTTTTAATTTTTCGGTCTTGTCCAAAGAGAGGTCGCGTATTCGCCATGTGGTCTTGACTCTTCCGCCCCGGAACCCATACCCGCTGCCCTCGATGGATCATAGGGTACCCAGAAATCCGGCTCACCGGGGCGTTAGGATCCTTGAACCTGGGTGAAGGTGAGTCGGTGACCGGGGGGGGCGCCAACCGCACTGTTCCAGCAGATGGTCAAATTGACGTTTGTCCTGAAACTGGTCCCTCTCTCTGGTCAAAGCTTTTCCCCTGAGTTTGATCGAATCAGATTTGTTTGTGAACCACGCTTCCAAATAGGCGGCGTGGAGGTTGTGGACTCTGGTGGTACCCCTTTCGTCAACGGTTGAGTCTTCCGGAATTCTGGGTAAGAGGCCCGAAAGGGGGTTCCAGAAGGGGACACCGAGAGAACAAGACTTCATGGTGGAGAGTAAATGGTTGGGGGTGTTTCAATTCAAAGGTAAGTCTCTGCGTAAGGATAATCGGGAAACATGGCTTTCCACGCGTATGTCTGGGGCCATGCGGTGGGGATTGAAGTCATCCAGTGGGATTGCCACCTGCACGGCACGTTGAGAAATACCCCTTTTCGATGAGAATTTGATCTACTGATTGTCCGTTCTGGAACGTGTGAGTTCATGGATCTCTGCTCGGTGTTCGCTGTTCGTTGGGGAGATAGTACGAGTGGGCGTGGGATTGAGCTCGCTGTCTAATTATTGCTGGCAGGAAACTTGCTGCCCGCTGTCCTATGACGACTCGTTTGGTGTGCGTGTCTTGAGTTCCTGAGAGCTAGGCTGTGGTAGAAGACTAATAATGCAGGTTCCGTTGCAGTTGTTTGCTACCCTGCTTCCATTTTCGAGAAGGCTTCGGAGATTTGCCGGCGACTTCAGAGATTTTGTATCTCCTTTTTTGGGTGTCGTTCGTAGATTTTTTTCCCTTGCAAGTCTTTTTGGGCTCCCTTAGAAATTTATACGCAGTGACATAGGTAGGGAATGCTAGTAATTACTGGAACGTGCGAATGCAATCATCTAATATCATGAAGACTCACTCACATAATGACCAAGTGGAATGTGCGAATTGGCCGGGCTCTTACTCAAGTATGGAATGGAAATAGGCCCGTTAGATTGTCACGCAATGCTGTTCAATTGGAAACAGCTCTTGATACGTAGAAGACGAGAAGCATGTTCGTCCTATTCGCAAGACGCACCTTCAACAAAAGGGATTATTCACAATTGGGAACTAAGCTGAGTTTTCATATTGAGCCGTCGGCCAAGTCTTGATTCGGAGTAGATGTTACCATCGGATCAAGACGCCTTGAGCTTCTTCGAAACTACTAAGGCTTTCCATCGTTGTCAAGAAGCCGAAGGGTTTGGAGCCATGGGATGTTGTAGATATGATCCCCTTCTTGCCTTCTTGAATGTACAGGACTTCCGCCGTAATGAGTGAGAACCAATACCGGGGAAATAGAATCAAAAGACTAGAAGTGGAAGCCCTCTCTCGGTGTAAGCATGGTTACGTTTGGCGACGTACGCCGGGGTGATACCTCACCCAAGCTCCGCCTTCGCTCTATGACGATGATGAAACGGAGGACTCGCGGTCACTTCCCAGGGAGTGACACTTGATTGGAATTTCCTGAATAAAAAGGACCCCCGGTCAGAGACCTGCTACTTCCATAAATCATTACTGTCACTGTCGTTGAACCTCACCCGCTCATCTCGCAGCTAGGCGGGTGAGAGTTCATACACGCCTAAATACGATCGCACAAGTTTTCCGGCTCCGGACACACGAGGATAAAATGCTAACGTTGTTACTACACCAAGTTACACATTCGCTGAGATACACGACTTTTAACGTCGCCGCCTTGCCAATAGTCACGAGCCCGGGCCGGCCTGACACATTGGGGATCAATGACGCCAAAAGAGTAGCGTAGACGTGAGGACTTCCGGTGAAGACGATAAAATAGGATACGATGGCTCTGACAGTTGTCGTTGCAATGTAACTCGACTATATTTCCGTCCATGAGAACGCTCCAGGGGTTTTGATTGGGTCTGAGACTATCTCGGCGGTGCTCGATGTATTCAAAGCAGCGAACGATGGAGATGCGGCGGTTGGGAATTGAGCTCGTGTGGGTTATTAAGGACGGTATTGAGGTGCCAGCTCAATGTCATTGAACAAAAAATCTCCGCCTTAGATTTAGAACTTATAGCTGTTGAGTCGTAAATGAGTTGGGAATGCTCAAGGTGATACCACGCTTCACAAGTCTAACATGAGGATTGAGACATGATGCTGAAGTTGGACGACGTAGAGCAGTCAAGACAGACTCTATCTTCGATGATCAGAAACAGGTGTTGTTCCATTCTCTGCTGTATGTGATCATTTAAATCCCTGAATTTCGGCTTTCTTAAGAAGCCGCTGCTCTAGCAGGGAGACATTATTGGATGGAATCTTTAATAAATATGAACTTCATATTAGAGCATTCGTCTAGTAGCGGCCAAGGCATGATGTTAAGACGCAGATTCAAGATACTATTGCCCTTGGGTAGCCTCGACAAAGTACCTCCTCATATGACTCAAGAAATCCAGAGAGCATTCAGTTGCAGCCATAAATTCGTGTCCAAAGCTCAAGATCTGAATGTCCTTTGTTACAAATTGGGGCTTCAGTGAGTATACATCTTCATTTCAAGCTCACAGCATAATCTTCTCCTCACTCTAGAATGGATCGATTTTCACGCCTCTGGGAGTATTATGAGAGGGAGAGAAAGCCAGATTTACCCTGGAGCTCAGTCGCCTACCAGGGTGAGTGAGTGCTAGGTGCCTACTCATACCCTACGTGGCACATGGAGAAGACTTCGCGAAGCTGCCCCCAACCGCCGCCGCCGCCTTACCTCTCCCAGTGCACTTGTTATCACTCTTACCGTTTTATACTGTTCTTGACTTTTTTGACGAAATAAACATAGGGTGTTACTTCTACGTAAATAATAGCGGGAGGCCTTGGTCCATAGGCTTACCCGAGCTTTAACCATCGACTGGTTGTTATCAAGAATGCCGGCTAATCAGAAGAGAAGTGCAGGGTTCAGATGATTAATAAATTGCAAATGAAAAACGATTAGAGTCAACGGTTCATTGAGAAAACGAGCTTCGCTACGTTCATTCATCACAGCGGGCTCTCGCTTAATCAAAGTCTATCAAAATGAGTTTGGGAGAGTTCAAAAGTTAGTATAATTCTTACTGACGAGTTCACTCTGAACTTTTTGCAAAACTTGACTTGAGATCATTCCAAAATTAAAAGAATGACGAAAAAGGTAAATTTAGGTAAGACTGTACAGTTGAAGTTGTAGCGGCACATTCCTTGCACACTTAAATGGCCTTTTGGACTCTTCTTAAGTCATCATGCAGATGAAGCTGTGTGCACCAAGATGAGTGTACTTCAGCTCCCTGCAATTATGTAAATCTATCAGACTAATGGGTAACCCCTTTGGAGCTCAAAACTGAGGGTATCAAACGACAAATGTCTCGAAAGCTCGGGCAGCAATTTCACGGCCACGCCATTTAGCCTTCCCGTATTCTAGCCTTTCCGCACACGAGACTAGCTTGAGAAAGGAGCTAGCTCTATCGTGCCGATTAGAGTCTTTCAGTGTGTTGATTTTGCAAACTAACTCGGGATTAGTTCTCTACAACTTGGGCCGACGCTATATGCCGTATATGGCACGCGGCATCGACCGCACCCGTCACGCATGGCTCAAATTCATCTCTTCAAACCTATCCCGAGAGTGAGGCTTCGAGGTGAAGCCTCTTGGCCATGAAGCCGCGGTCTCGCCCGCACGAGGTGGGTCATCTCCGATTTCGTTGCTTCACGAGTCCGCCGCATGGACTACTCCGTGGTTCTTCTGATCGGAACAGTATAGCTGTTCTGACCCAGATACGCGGCTCCCTGTTCCAAAGCTGCTGAGCGGGAGCGGTTAAGGAAGTAACAGCCCTTCAATGACAATAGTCGATCCAAAGAAAAGGTGTCCCTCATAACGGCGGTCAAATGCTCACATATCGCTCGGTTGCTCGATAAACAAGCCCCTGATTGTAGACATTGATGTCAACTCAAACACGAGCGAACCGCAGGGCCACCCAAAACCATTGTAAATGTCTGCGCACGAGGCTCTGGGATATTCAGCGTTAGGCGTTATGGTAGCCAAGCTCATAGCTACCGGGTATGGGTTCCTTGGGTACACTCAATGTGTTTGACAGCACCTTGAAGTCGACGCCCAGCTAGCCATATTTCTAGTCGAGCTGGTCACCCTTGAGCACTGTCGAGGTGCACAATGTACTCTTGGGATTTCTAATCATTGGTGTAACGTCGTTCTCCGAGGTCGCTGTCGTTCCTATTGTCTCCTCCGCCGCTGGGGCTATTGCGAACAGGGTCTGTTATGATGCCTACTACAACGAGACATATTAACCCCTAGAAAAGACCTGATTATCGTTTTCCGCATCGAGCACATCTTGAGAGCAGACGGCAGCCTGCAGAGCCTCATCAACGGCCTACACGTCGGCTACTTTTGTCCGCTTGCGGTGACTGAATGCCTGAGCGCCGACTTCCTCCTCGGATTATTCACAGAAACCCGGGCGGCCTCGATGCAGGCAGGTCTTCGAGTCGGGTTCGTTCGATTCTTGATGAGGAGTACCGAGGCCAGTCTCGCGACGCTAGCTGTGACTGGGGTCATGAGGACCATGACGCACTCTCTGAATATATATCAGAGCAATTTGGTGACAAGCTACGCAGATCGAGTTGCGTATACGCTGGAATAATTTCGCCTCATCATCATGCAGTGAGTCACCTGCTTCCGACCGTTTGGTGATGGTTCTTGGGTAGTGACTGCTGTACGGTGTTGACTTGCTGGCATCAAGGCTACAATACTCAGCGCAGACGCACAACCTCTCCTTCGCAAGCGACCAGGCCCTCAGCTGCTTGGATTCGGAAGGAAAGACGGAAGACTAGTACCATGAGAGTACTTCGTATCTACTAACAACAGACATGGTTTACTTTGCTGGAGACCTAGTGCGTGCTCAGAAGAAAACCGCCAAGTGTGCCTGAAGACACCGTGCAATACATCCGATTTGATGGCCCGGCCTATCTGGCAAACAGCCAAAAGGGTCTTCTCAGCGAAAGAAGCGGATGAAGCAACTGACATGACTGAACGCTTTTCGTTACTAGCCTAGTTCTCCCCAGAACACTACTTCGCAGCTATAATAATTGAACTTATAAGCAACTGCCCATCCTCGTACAGTAAGCAAAACTATGCATTTCCGCCAGCCATCAAGTGGTATTTTTACCCTGACTCCAAACACCTCGCTAGAAAGATATTTCATGTAATGACGCCATGCGCGCTGCTAGGTTTTTTTTTTCATCCGGACATATGGAAATCTGGTGCATCGCCCATGTCAACTTCTTCGATCAAGAGCCTCAATCCCACACTCCTGCGTCCATCATCGCGTCAAAGCTGAAGCCGTCTCCGAGTCCGTTGCCTAGAGCCTGGCTGACCCGCTGCTGTTGCTGTTTATCGATTTTCTTCCTCTCTTCCTCTTCAGCTCTTGCGAGATCAGCTTCAACATCGACCATCTCGATGAATTCGTTGAGGTGACGAAGGACGTCGTCAACGTCATCCATCGCAGACTCTTGACTCTCGACATTGTTCTGAACCAATGGGATATCATCGACACGCATCGTTGCCTCTGGCGCTGGAGGTGGTCGGCATGAATCTGCGGAGACAAAGGCCTCCGCCATGGCCATCGGACCCGGACTCTCCAATACCTGCTGAGATGCTGAAGGCAAGAGGTGGTGATGCAGCTTCTTTCGGAGCGAGACAGCTTGGAAGTGCTTTTTATATTGGTCGTCTTCGCCGGTTGGTAAATCAGCTACTGCTGTCTCTGGCGGTGGCGAAGCAGCTTTCTGCGTCGTGGGCGTACTGGGATCTCGGTACTCAATGTCTTTGTCGCCTTCGACTTCGTTGGGCAATAGTGCCCATCTGACCCTTTTGACGGACTTTTGTACACTGTCCCATGGATTGTCGGTTGTAGCGGCGATCAGGTTCTGTGTACTGGGTAGGTGAACGGTACTTCTGCGGACCTTGTTGAGACGTCGGCGTGGCTTTTCGGGCGATGGGGAAAGGAAGTTTGCAAAGGACTTGATCGAGAAAATGGGTACTGGCGACACTGACTCTTGGGCGTCGACGGTGGCGGACTGCTCGTTGCCGACAGATGAAGCCGCAGGAGTCATCACAGCGACTGGAGCAAGCGGGGAAGGCGAAGGTGGTTCAGTAACATTGAAGAATCTTGACATAAGGGCTTCCCGGGCCGCTTGGCGCATTTTTGCTGGACTCACAGTCCAAGGACTTTGGCAGCTTGGGTCGATGAAGCTGTCGGTATCACTCTCCTTCGGTTGTTGCTGCTGCTGAGGCAGAGCAATGGCCGGTACGTCCATATTCCATGGACTTTGTTGCGAAGCCGGTAGTGCGGGACTATTTTGCTGATTGACTGTGCCCGCTACTGTGTTGGTAGTGCATGGCGAAGGTCGCTCGGCTGCTTGATCAGGTTTTCTTTCAATAGATATAGCGGCATCGGTAGCTAACGTCATCAATGGTGTTGCCGGAGTCTGCGAAGCATTGGAGCCTTCGGCAATAGATACGTCGGCATTGGCCGGTTGTCGGTGGTTCCTATCAGCGTTGCTCAATGGATTGGGACTCCTCGCAATGATAAACTGGCTCAGCTTCGACCAGGGACTCTGAGAGAAAAGATTCGGTAGTATGCCCGTGGATGAACTGGAGGCTTGGATTGCTGGTTCCTTTTGTGTAGGGGATTGATTCACAGGTGTTGGCGGGCATAGTGGCTCTAGGTCAACTTCTTTCAGCGGCAATTCCTCTTGCTGCTCCTGTGTTGCAGAAAATGCCACGAGGGTCGGTTCTTGGCTCGATATCAAATCTGTGGCACCTGCTGTTGGGTTCGTCTGAACTGGCAAATGCTGATCTAGACTTTCAAGTACTTCTGTGACTTCGTTGTTGATCGTTTCTGTGGGGTCCAAGTCTTTTTTCGTCGCATCGGGGGCTGTATCACTGCTCATAGGCTCTGAGATTAACCCGTGGCTCTCCACCCCTTGCACTGTATCCTTCCCTGGAGAAGTTTGGCCTTCATCCTCCGCGTTGGATTCTGGGGAGGTAGCTTTGGTGTCGTCAGCCATGCAAGCATCGCCCTCCAAATCTTGGACCTCGCCTTGAGAGTCAGTCTCAATAGAAGTAGTGGAAGCGGCAGAAGAAACTCGGCCGGAGGACCTTCTCCTTAAGGGACTCAAGTTCGAGGTATTGAGGGCTTGGTTCCTTCGTCTTGCCCGGAACAAGAAGCTTTCGTCTTGCTGGGTCTCGAATTCATGCCTACCCTCGGCATTCTTGCCAGCTTCTTCCCTGACCATAGTGACACCACTGCTGTGCGGAGCACTCTCTTCAATATTGACTCCTTTCTTCCTAGTGGACTGGGGAGTCTGGATCGGCGTGCTCAGCGCCGCTGGCATCCCCTCCTGGATAGCAGCGGCATGGTTGTTGCGAGTTTGGGAAAGTTGTTGCTGATGCGATAGAGTCACAGTTGAATGCCAAGCCTTCTGCGGAGTCTGTGGGTTTATTCGAGAGCTCTCCAAGCTTGCGGTCTCATCCCCCATGACTGCGTCCTCTCGTTCTTGGACAAGGTGTGACATATTATGGTTGAGGGCTGCGTCTTCAAGCTGGGAAGCACCGGGATCTGCCCTGGTATCATTTGTATCCCCTGCCTTGCGTCGTTTGGTGTCTTGCCGCTTGAGCCATTCTGATCCTGTTGACCGTCGCTTACGTTGGATTTGTGAATGGGACTGCGAAAGAGAAGCGTCTAGCGACCAAGGATACTCTTGTGTTTCACTGACAGACTCCGTACTACTTCTCCATGCTTGGACTCGCTCGAGTTCGTCTGTTTCCATGAAAGGATGCGGGCTCAAACCAACTTGATCCAGGCTTCGCGGGCTCGGTAGGTGACAAGACGCTGCATCCTCGACATCAAGCTCTTCGACATTGCCTTGTTCGGACTCTGTGGTGGGTTTGACAGCAGGCGTTGGTGCTGGTTGTGTGGCAGCTAACGTATTCTTGCTTCTTGATTGCCATGGGTTCACCCAGCCTTTTGCGTCTGGTCCTTCGAAGGGGCCTCTGAGAATCGTGGATAGCAGTCTCGGCGTATGCCCCTGCAAAAACCGAGTCGCAGCCTCTTCATATCGGCGTCTTCTCTCCTCCAGGGTCTTGTCGTCTTCGTGGTCAAAGCCTGCACATAGCATATCCGCTTCGTCACAAGGAGCATCGCAGTATATGGGTTCGTCGTCCAAATGTCGGACCCTCCAGCCCTCCTTCATATCCATCTTTTCCGTTTGTGGAAACTTGCGTCGAAAAAATCATGAACTTCGTCGATGGAGCGGAGGCAAAAGTAGAGAATCGGAGCGCTACGGTCGCATTGGCGCCGGGCGGTGGTCCGGAATACGGTGGTCAGTCGTTGAAAAGCGAGTGTTCCGTCTCCATCAAACGGCACAAACATGGGCGAACAAAGAGGGTCGGGATGCTTCCCAAATTAGGCGGGTCAACGACCGTGCACGTTCACCAGACGACGCGAACCAGCACGAAAGTCGCGTTTGAGGGGGCACTGCACGTGATATCGTGTTTAATTGAACACTCACCCGCTGTCGCAGTGGCTACACCTGCTGTGGCGTACCTTGAGGCACTTTACCTTAGGTAGGCAGAGTGCACAGATCCATAGCAAGTAAGGTAGTTGGATAACATGTTGATGCAGCTAAAAGGAACGGCCCCCATGACTCGATACAACGATTAGCGCCATCGGACGATCGGGGAATTTTGGGTCACGGTCATGGCCTGGCTTGTTCAAAAGCTGATCTTTGGCGGTTGACACAGCAACCCGCGGCCTGCCAATCAAGCATAATATTGAATTAGTTATGTTTATTCGGGGAAAAGCAGCACTGGGCTTTGAGATTGACATAACGCCGGTCCCGAACGCGATCGCTTGACCGCGTTCCCCACGAAACAATACCAACACCTCTTTTTCTCCATATCGCAACCCAACCTCATCGCAGACAGCGGAGGCAGCAGAGGCGACTTCGCCAGCAGACTTTTCGCTATTTTCTTCGGCTTGCCATTCTGCGTATTATCCATCTGCATTTTCTCCTACGCGACTTCTGCATTGCAATTGCCCGCGTAAACAGACTTTAATCGCGGCCAAACCACCAAACTTAGCACCCCGCAAAACGCAAACCGCAACATTAAACTACGACGACGATCTAACGCCCGCCCGATGGACTCCTTATAGTCTCAGACGTCCCTGAAACCCGATCGCATACGCCAACCCACCATGGCTCATGCTTGGCTTGACTCGCTCTCCGAGGATTGGCCCTCGCAAGCCGGATCCGAGACTTCTCCTGCCCAACTGCCGCCTCTGAAGCCGAAAGATAATAACAACACGCCAAACGCCAAAGGATCCGGCAGTCGTATACCTCTCCCCGTCAGTAGGATAAGACCTTCAAGCTCTGGAAACAGCGACAAGAGCACCGGCGTCCTGAGCGAACGCAGCACCAATGATATCAACCTTCCACTGTCCCAACGAGGTCCCTCTAAGCTTTCCCGCGAGATCAAGCCCAATGATCAATCGCGGCAAACGAGTCGCGCGTTTTCAGCCTCAACAAATGGCTCTGTCATCCACAATACTGTACATCATAGATCAATCAGATCATCGCCCCTGCGAGGAACCGGCGACACCCCCGAATGGAAGCGCAGGCTAGTGTACGGCGATGTTGCTTATGGCGAACAGCGGGATCTCTTCTGCTCTGCTGCCACAGGTCTCGAAAACATGTTCAAGCCGCCTTCTCCTCCCCAAGATCAATCCGTGGCCGATCAAAGCGTGCGACAAAACACGACAATGCCCTCTAGTCCGCCTCTTTTCCACCATCAACATGGGGAACCCGAGGATGATGAGGAGGAGTCAGATGGCAGGAGCCAGATGGACCCAAGCCCGAGCCCGAGCCCTAGGATACGCCCGCCGCACATTACCTACAAAATGACCGACGAATCCATCGATCAAAGCGAAGTGAGCCAGGCCAGCCCACAGCAAGACAATAGTTATGCCCAGGAGCCGAGTTTGGCGGCTTCTATTTCAGGACTTGCACCGCCAAACGACGCTTCTCGGAAGACCAGCGGACAGAGTGTCATCAGGAATGAGGATTTTAGTCCGATTGTCCTCACGCTGATGCGCCAGAAGCAGAATGAAGCGAAAGAGAGTTCTGCCCCTACCGAGCTCCCGGTCGACCAGCTCCGGGATCGCCTTGAGAAATTGCGAATAGATCAGATGCTTTTGGACTCACAGGGTGAGCTAAACTTTGATATGGACGGCAGTCTAGAAGATGGGGATAGCGATAGAGTAGAAACGACGGAAGATTATGCGCGAAAGGGAGGCTTCCTCAACATGCGCCGTGGTGGCCGGTCTGGCGATGGATCTTTCAGGTACAGGGGTCTCAGTCCTGGCATGGGCGTTGACACTTCCGAAATGCTTCCTGAAGAGTCTCTCCAGGCCAGTACGCCCAAACAGTTCCCCAGCGTGAGAACGTATTCCCCCGGGTACACCTCGATTCGATTCGGTTCACAGAGCCCCCCCCCTCCGCGCGTGCCAAACCCGAGTCCAGAGAAACCTGGCTTTGCGGAAACTAATAGCACGAGTCCTCTGAAACTATTCGGTCCGTACGATACATTCACAAACCAAACCCTGCTTCGCCGCATCAGCCAATTCGAAGATCAAATGTCCGGATCATCACGTCAATCTCTCAGCGGTGAATTCTCCCAACCTTCTGGAAACCGAAGACCTCATACCGCCCCTGGCGACTACCTATCTGTGCCAAAACAACCAACAGCCACGAGCTCTCGATCTGTCAGTCAATTTGGTGCTGGAGACCTCGAGGGTTACCAATTCAACCAAGACTTATCCATCCGCCTTGAGGAGGAGTCCCAATTTTATGAAGACGACGAAGGGGTTGAAGATCGATCAGATGATGAAGGTTCTGTCCTTCGATTCAAGCACGTAGCAGGCTCGCCGATGCCAGATGAGGCGTCGATGTTTGTTCCCAGGAAACGAGCAAAGTCTGGCACCACGACTGCGTCGTCTTCCAAGCACACCCCGTCAGCCAGCGAAGGAAGCGTTCAAAGAGGAAACGTCCAGTTCGCGGGAGCCGAGGCATTTATCCTAGGCACCCCGCAAAGACGTGATGCATCCGAAGGGAAGCGGCCTCGTACCTCGCCATCCAAGGACCCGACGCCCAAGCGGCGGAGGACGCTACACAAATCGGACATTGCGTATGGAAGGGAAGAGCGATATGCACTCCTGGACACCGTCCAGGAAACTCATGCATTGATGCAGAGTATGATGGGCAAGAAGCGCAAAGACGCTCGTCCAGGCAGTTTGCAACAAAGAGCACACCCTAGCGTGCTGGCCACGCGCCATATCCTTCGGCCACGAACTCCCACCCCGAGCTCGAGGTCCTCCCTGCAAGCTGGCGAGTTCCCCTTTCAAGATAATTTTCTAGAAGACTACGCCGAAGCCGATGAGCAGCCTCAGCGACGCACTCCTCACCGTGGATCTCAGTTTACATCCAGTGCGAATGAACGCAGTGCTACTATCGACACAGACCGTAAGCCATCTATCAGAACTCAGGACTTCCTGGATGAGGCTGGTAAGATCATGGCCATGATTCGAAATGGCGTCAAAGCCCCTAGCGGCCTGACCAGCGTGGAGGAATCCGATGCAGAATATGGCGAGCCGAGTCCTGCTTTTGACGATTCATACGAATCAACTAGAGAACCTTTGTCCCGACCTCCGAGTCGTGAAGGGAAACCAGTGCAGAGAGCGCCGCAGCGCCAGGAGAATCCAGAGATTCTTGATTACCTCAAGAAATATCAAGAGCTGAGCGACATGGGGGACGTCATTACATCTTCGCTTAGATCTATGGACCAAGCTCAAGATGCAATCCGAGCTGCGCAAGAGGTTGAGCGACAGATCGAAGAGAGGAGTCGGTCCAGAAACAATGGTGATGACCTCCAGTATCTTGGGGGAGATGAAACCATCAGCGACCCTCCCAATATTCGGATCAGCGCAAATCCGAATAAGCAGCGAGATGGTTCAGATGAGTCTGACGATTTCGCAACCCACTCGTCTGGGGCCTCCACCAACCACACCATGCACACTGGCTCCTCCCGAGGCTCCGAGTCAAGGAAAACGATCGCGCCACAGAGCGTGTCACATCTGATTCCGGATCAGGTCGGCAGCATGTATCTTGATCGCCAGCAAAATATTTGGATCAAACGGAAGGGCGAGAGCATCCGACCTAGAAGTTCTCATGTTGTCATCCCGTCCGAGGACAGTGAAGACGACCCTTTTGCAAGCATTCCCGACTTGTCCGTCGACATCACGAAAGAGATGCTACACTTGCGATTGGTGACAGCGCAGAAGGAGGCTGAAGAGCGTGAAGCGAACATGTCGCCATCACCTAAGGGCTCTATAGACACGCCTCGGAGCTCATCCGTCAGAGGCTTTGTGACGCTGTCGCCCGATGCAGCATTGCCCCGGGACATCGCGCTGAAGGCAAGAACTGAGTTCCACAAGCTTGAAAGCAAGGCAGGAGACGGAGACATTGAGCATGAGATCCAGCTCGACGAGGATCGCATCATGGATTCCTCCCCATCTCGGAGACGAATGACGATATCATTTTCTTCGCCCATTGCCTCTATCATCCAGGATGTCGCCGCTGAGGATATCGACAGCCTTGAGGACGACGAGGGTAGTTTCGTGGATGCGGACTCGATGATAGAGGAGTCCAAACGAGGCAAATACCAAAGCTTGACAAAGACTGCACGGCGGACTTTACTGCAACCACGTCCACGTACAGCCCCAGCTCGTGGTCCATCACGGCAATTTTCGCTTCGTGGCCAGTCATTCGTCCCACGGCCCGTCTCCCGAATTGATGAAAGGGAAGAGGACAGCATAGCTGGCGATAAGACCGACGAACTTCAAGTCAGTATCTTAGGGGAGAACAGTGCTTTGAGCTACGTCTCCCCCAAGAACCAAGAGAAGAGTCTAAGTTTCATCATCAAGACTCCCAGCAAGACAAGAATGGGTGGCCTTTATCCAGACGCAAGTGCCATCATTAGTCATAATGTTGGCAACCTGTCCCTGAGCCCCATGTCAGAATTTACGCTGAACCACCATGAGAAGTCCTTCGGTTTTGAAGTCAGCTATATTGTGGAGGACCAGCGTCTTGTCACTGGCGACGGCTCTAAGAAAGTATTGTCTTTGACTGTTCGTGAGCTCGTCGATCGCCTGACGGAAATCGAGCCATTTGAGCCATACTGGGAGGACTTCACGGAACTTGACATGAGCGAGAAGCGCTTGTCGAGCCTTCATATGCTGGACGAGTTCTGTGGCCGATTGACGAGCCTTGACGCGTCTAACAACAGTATTGGCCATCTTGACGGAGTGCCAGCTTCGGTCCGACAACTAAAGATGACGCACAACTTGTTGACTGAGCTAACGTCATGGGATTATCTCGCCAACCTGCAATACGTCGATATCTCCAACAACGATCTGTCTAGTTTGTCAGCGCTGAAGAACCTCGTTCATCTTCGGAGCCTGCGGGCCGACAATAACAAGCTCATTTCTTTGGATGGCTTGAACCAGCATGATGGGCTGCTGTCCCTTCGGGCGCGCAACAACCAGATTGAGGTGGCCGACTTTGATGGCACCAAGCTACACCGATTGACCGAACTTGACCTGACCGGCAACAAAGTCTCGGAGCTTCGTGCACTCGGGCAACTCTCTTCTCTGCAGATGCTCAAACTCTCAAAGAACTGTCTCGAAGCATTTACCGCGGAGAATGCACAGGGTCTCGACGGATTGCGGTACCTCGACCTTAGCGACAATGGTATCCTGGAGCTTGATATTAGTCGCTTGCCAGCCGTCCGCCTGCTCCACGCCGACAGGAACCGCATCAGCAAGATCATTGGTTTTACGAAGGCCCGCCATTTGGACAGCTTGTCTCTAAGAGAGCAGGGTGGTGATGCGCAGCTAGATCTTTCCTTCCTTTCTTCGGCTTACGAAGTGCGCAAGCTCTTCCTTTCCGGCAACTACATTGGCACATTTGAGCCCAAGGTAGACTTCCTCAACCTGCAGCTACTTGAGCTAGCCAATTGTGGGCTCCGCTGCCTACCGGAAGGGCTCGGCCAGTTGATGCCGAACCTGCGCTCGTTGAACCTCAACTTCAACGCCGTTGCAGACCTTTCACCCATTCGATTCGTTCCCCGGCTCAAGAAACTTCTTGTTGCTGGTAACCGCCTGGCAGATTCGACAACGGTCACAGAACTTCTGACGGACTTCCCGCACCTGACTCAATTGGATTTGCGGGACAATCCAATCACGCAGGGCTTCTACCCACCAGTCCACGTAACGGTGTCGGCGGACCGAGGTCACGTTGCGGACCCATTCACCCTCCCAGAGGCCGATTCGGAGAGGGATGCCATGTTTGCCCGGCGTCTTGATGAGACGACTCGTCTCCGGCGTCGACTTTACCAGGTTGTTTTTGTGGGATGCTGCAAGAAGCTGAAGCTGTTGGACGGGCTTCCCGTCAAGCGCCAGCATATGCTTGCCCGCGACCCTTCGTTTCAAGCGTTGGTGAAAGAAGGTCTGCTTCCAAGCGATATCGCTCAGGTGCCGATCGTTGCTCCGGCAGCCGAGGCTCCCGGTGAGGCACCGGCCTCTGTCTCGATACAAGCCGACGAAAGCAGCCGCTGGCACGCAGAGGATAGCTTCGCTTGAGGCAGAAGACGTGTAACAACATCGCAGCATGGCGAAAAATAGGCGTTTTGAGTACAGCATGGATTGTTTTTTTTTTTTTTTAATCATTTTTCATGCGGGAGATTTCGGGGTCAAACAAGAAGGCGTCTGGGCAATCATCGAAAAAAGGAGCCGGGACTACTAATGACGAAACGAGGAGTATTGTACGAGTACAGACAGTAGAAAGCATTGCTTCAGGAACATGCAAGAGGGAATACAGACTCTGTATATGCAAACCATGACTGGTTCCACGTGAAGATGTCGACGCTGAGGTTGTCTTACGTGAGGGCAACGCCCTGATGGACCAAGTGAAGCACCGTGTAGCTGGGCCCCACTCCGTAGCCGTCATGATTGCCGAGCGGGCGCCTTGGGAGCGATCAGATCAAGATTCAGTGGCCCACTTCCAGAGTACGCGTACAGATACACGTGAAGTGCCCAAGAAACCGGAAATTGATGAGGCGGTGCCCTCGTATTTACTTTCACACTGGCTGGCTAATGGTCAAGGCGCCACATGAATTGGCGTGTCATAGGGACAAGTGTGAGCATCCTGAGTCGGTCATGTCCCGGAAGATGCTCTTGGTTTCAAGGGGAGAGTGTCGTAGGGCAAATCAAGCAGGAAATTTCCCGTCAACGCGGAGTGGTCGCCCACTCACACCAGTTCTTGATTTGGGGCGAATACGGACCCGAGTTGGGCAGCAGGAAAGGGCATCGCGCGGTGGTTAAAATAAGCAGCCCCCTGAGATAATCTCAGAATGGGCATAGTTTGTGCGTGCTAATGACACTTGACACTTGGCTTCCGAGCCCAAGGAACGGTGCCGTTCTGTGCGTGGTCGTCCGGTCAAAGGGGGAAATGGGATGCGCATAATCCGGATGATGTGCCCGACGCGGTGCAGGGCGGGTATCCACATGCAAAGGAGATCACCTTTTTGGACCCCTAAATCGTTAGTCCCTCCCCGAGTCCCCCTACCTCATTCTAGAAGAGGAGCTAGCATCCTCACTCTCCGTCGGCGCAAGGACGGAAAGGAAGTTGGGACGACGGCGGACGCGAGATGGACCGCGTGAAGCGTCCAGAGTTCGGATAGGCGCGCTCGAGGGAGGGGACTGCCTGTGTGGATTGGTATGGGAGGCCTCTAAGTCAGGGAAGTAACTGGACGGGATGAGCTTTTTCTTTTCTCTCTCGTGCTTTGGTGTAGCCTGTAGGGCTCGATAGTGAGGCTGTATTATTAGGCGTCGGGTAGGAGAGAAGACGCGCCCAGTGAGGAGCAGAAAAAAACGGGACATCTTCTTTATCCTGTTCTCTCCCAAGTTTCCAAGGATCCACGGTGGAGCTCGGGCAAAGCGGGAGAGTTCGAGGAGGGGGCTCCCTTGGAGACAGGGCATGGCAAGGGTATGGCAGGGCTAGCTTGGCAAAGTCAGGTATGGAAGAGGTCACGAGAACGGAGGCGAAGGAAGCCGGCCGTGGCACGCAAGAGCATAGTTGACGGGATGGTGCTTTGCTATGCAACAAGTGGCCTGGCACGTGCCTGGGCTGGTGTTTCTGGATGTCCCTTGCGGGTTGCATCTCGTGGGAACCTGGCCTGTCTTTTTTGTTTAGTTTATGATGTGGCGCTGGATCCCCTCCTCTTTTTCCCTTTGAACGTGTCAATGTTGACATTTATGTGCATGGCATGGAGAAGTGATCAACAAGCGAGAAAGTTTACCCGCCGTCAAGGCTCAAGGTCATGGCAGGTCGAATATCGCGACGCCTCGAGATATGCATGTACGTAAGGAATTAATGGGTCAGGGGAAATGTCTCCTCCCCGACCAGGCTGTGGTGGATTTGCAGTGGGCTGCAGATGAAAGGCCTGAGGTAATCGCAGAGGAATGTCATCGGCGGTACGTATTGTCGCCGCGCTAGGACCGCGAAATTGCTGGTAATCTGAGCCGGAGCTTGTACTCGTACCTGAGGCGGATGGAATCTTGATGGAAGCTGCGGAACAAAGTTCCCCTTATCCACTCCGCCCAAGGGACAGATGAGGTAAGGTATCGACTACCTTAGCGAGTGTACACAGTAGTAGTCACAGCAAAGCACCCCAGACATGCTGGGTGATCACCCCCCCCGGTTTGCCCCCACCCCCTGGTCCACGTCAGGCAAATGTGCTGCATTGCTGTGCTTGGGGGTCGAATTGCATAATGATAGGTATCGTCCCGCCCACACACACACAGTGACTACACTTCCCAATTCTGACCTGGACATTACCGCCCTTCTTTGGCTCTCCGCTTTAGCGTCCGCGCTACAACTACAAACATTTCCTACCCTCGCACTTCACCCTTTTCCCACTCGTATGGTATCATTCTCCCTCCCACGAAGCTCGCGACATACCTGAAAGAACATTCAACCGTCGGTCGTCTCGTCAGGACGCAAGCTTACAGCAGCGCATACTGCAACACCCTGCTGCGTGTGCTTTTTTGAAACCATGACGTTTGGCGACATCATCGCCCGCCAACGATGGACCCCGAGCCTACTCTCCCCCTCGAGCGCTCCGTCTCACAACACAGCGCAACGTCCATGAGAAGCGTCCGCTCTGCTACCGTACGAGCCAAACGATCAAAGCTGAACTCCCAACCCTCGAGCTCCGCGAGCTCCATCGCCGCCTCCGAAGACAAGTCACTGACGAGCTTCCCCTCCTTCTCTCCCGACTCGCCAAGGGGCGAAGACGCCTTTCCTCCCCCGCCCCTGACACCGGAACCCGAAGCGCCGGCCACCGTACGCAAGATTTCAGATACCAGGCCGGGTCCCATCTCCCTGCTGGGAAATCTGACTGGCTCCTCCGCCGAACAAGCGGCTCGTGATGCGCTGTTTGAGGACTCGCCTATTTCGATGCACAAAATACCAGGTGCTCTTCACCATTCGGACGATGAGCACATTGGGCGTCTCATTGCCAGACACGGAGCTGTTGCGCTTGTTAGACAGGTTGCGACCGATTTGGCACAGCGCGATGCTCAGATCGCTCAGCTGAGGAGAAAGGCCGACGAAAGGGAGAGGGCTTTGCGGAAGATCATACTGGAATGCGGCTTATCTAACCTAGACCTCGAGAAGAGACTCAGAACTATCGAAATCGAGGTCAAAATGGAACGCCCCGGCAACCGCCGCAACGAGAGCGGTCTATCTGACCTCATGAGCGATGCCATGCAGGATACGGTCAACGTTAATGTCTTTGGACAGACTGATGGAAATGATGCAACGATTCGCGCCAGCAACCTCTCTATCCCCTCGAATCCCGACGGAAGAGGGACTGCGAGAGGATGGAAGGATTATCTTTGGGGAGGAACCAGCAGGAAGGGCAGCATGCCCAGCAGCGTCAACGGCGACGACATCGGGAGACCTGCCACGGTCGTTAGAGCACAGTCCACTGCCGATAGGCGGCCCGGCCTTCAGGATGACCTCTTCAGCCCACCTAGCGAGAGCGTGCCGCCCGAGAACGTGCCACCAAGAACCCCCAGTCGAGCGTCTAGCATCCAGTCGGGGCCCCCTGGATCGCGCAAAGCCTCAACTTCGGTCGCAGCGAGCCTCATGAGACTGGTGGCCGGAGGTGCAATCAACACACGCGAGGGCGGTCCCAACCGTGGAAGGTCTAACAGTGCTACCCAACCGCAGTCGCAGTCGATCCCGCGAGCGTCTTCAACTTCCAGCGCCAAAACCACACAGTCCAGCCGAGCGGTCTCGACGGCAGGCGGCCCCAAGGCTCTTATGGCAATGCGTAGAACCACCGGAACCGCGATCGCTTCTCCGGTCAACACCACCGCCAGGATCCAGCCGCAAGAGAGATGGGATACCATGGTGAACAGTCCGACGAACGCGACCTCTAACCGTCAGGAGAGTTACGGCCCCGTCGAGATGGATGCAATCCTCCCACCCGAGACCCAACCACCAACCTTGACGCATATCTACAATAACTACATCGGTAGCGAGTATCTTACTGATCGATTCGGCTTCATCTACGATCAACGTAGGAAGAAAAGGCAGCGTGAATCTGCGCAGATGGCGCGTCGCTTCAAGCAGAGCGGCCGTGCCGAGATGCTATCAAACGGCCGTTCGGATTTAACTTCGCCAATGATCGAAGAGGAAGAGGAGGTGCTCCCGAGCCCGGGGAGCGAAGAACGGCCTGGCAGTCCGTCGTCCACGGAGGAACGCGCAGGTGAAGGCAAGCCCAAGAAGTGGCAAGATTACCTCAAGCTAGCCACATTCCCTACTGAGCTGTTGTCTCACACCCCCTCACTCAGCGCCCCATCTCTGGAGGTGTTGGAGGGCGGAGAATTGGGACTGAAGTCACCTGGATTCATTGCGGCTGACGAGCGAGGATTCGTACCGATTGCGAGCACCACAACCTCCGTTATTGACAGCGAGGCGACACCCCCAGTTGAGACTGATGCCGCTGCAGGAATGGTTGTCAGAGACGACACAGAACCCGTGAAGCTCCTTCTTCAACACATGGGCGATTTGCACGATTCCCTGCAGAGGGACAAGGCGGCCCGTTGGAACGAGTTCCTGCGCAAAGTCAGGGCTGAGAGGAAACGAGATGGCGAGGCTGCAGCCGCGGCAGCCGCCGCGCTTGCCGAGGCTCGCTTTGAACGGCCAGCCATGACCATACCCGAAGCTGCCATAGCCGATGGCGAGCTGATTGGAATCACTGGCCTCGGGAATAAGGGGAAGGTTGGGCGCGCCAAGAGGTCGGAGTTGAGGAACTTAGTTCTTGGTGGTATCCCAGTCAACTTGCGCGCGAAAGTCTGGTCCGAGTGCTCTGGCGCAACCACCCTTCGTGTCCCAGGATATTATCAAGACATTATTGCTCGACCGGATGAAGATGATGACCCGCTGGCAGTGTCCCAGATCGATATGGACATCAACCGCACTCTGACTGACAACATCTTCTTTCGCAAGGGGCCGGGCGTTTCGAAGCTCAAGGAAGTGCTCAAAGCCTACGCCCGTCGAAACCCAGAGGTCGGCTACTGCCAGGGCATGAATCTCATTGCGGCTAATCTACTGCTGATAATGCCGTCGGCGGAGGACGCGTTTTGGATTCTGACCAGCATCATCGAAAACATCCTGCCATCTGGATACTATGACCACAGTCTCCTTGCATCTCGCGCAGATCAGCAGGTCTTGCGTCAGTATGTCGTGGATGTGCTCCCCAAGCTGTCGCAACACCTAGACGATCTCAGCATCGAGCTGGAAGCGCTCACATTCCAGTGGTTCCTCAGTGTCTTCACTGACTGCCTTTGCGCCGAGGCTCTGTTCCGCGTCTGGGATGTGGTACTTTGCATGAATGACGGGAGCACCTTCCTGTTCCAGGTGGCGTTGGCGTTACTTAAGCTTAATGAAACGCAGCTTCTGCAGTGTGACACGCCGGCGAGTGTGTACACTTACATCAACCGCCAGATGACGAATCATGCCATCAGTATCGACAACATGATCAAGGCTTCTGACGCTCTGAGGAAACTGGTCAAACGCGAGGATGTGGAGGCGCGCCGCGACAAGGCGATCCAGGCGGAAAAGGATATTGCCAGGCAGAGAGACGAGATGAACGCAGCCAAGAAAGCAACGAAGACCAACGGGAATGGTAATAGCAACGGTAACAGCCATGACAGCGCCCAGGAGGAGAACAGGGCAGCTGAGCCGGATTTGGGTGTTCGTGAGCCATTACCGATTGAACAGGACGTGCAGACGTGAGGATTTGGCGAGAGCAGCGATTAGCGGACAGGTGGAGGAAGCGCGATGATGCATTTCAGGTGTTTGAATGGACGTCCATGATACCCCCTCTGTCCGATTGGGAAGACACAAAAATAGCGTCTTTTTTTATTAAAATCACACAATACACGATCTCTCTAGCGATGAAAGACGGACATCACTGCTCTCCCGTGACGTATGCGTTCAAATATCGTGCATTTCTTGTCACTAACGTACTCGGGTCTTACAACTTGGCCTTGCCGGCCTTCCATTCTTGTGCAAACTTCTTCCCAGCGGCGACCCTTTTCTTTTCGAGATCCTCCCTCTGATCCCAAATCTTCTCTTCGCTCTCGTAGTTCTCCTTGCTGAGCACGTACGCGCTCTCCTTCCACATCTCCATCTTGAGCACGGCGTAGACGCCAGACTTGCCTCTCTCGGTCAGCTTGCGGTTAGCAATCAGCTTGAGCGCCTCGTCGAGGCCGCCCAGCGCGTCGACGAGCCCGGCCTCGAGGGCGGCGGGGCCGGGAAAGCGCTTGGCCTCGAGGACGATGTCCTGGTAAATTTTTGGGGATGCGCATTTGATGCGGAAGATGGCGGACATGGGCGATTTCAGGGGCGCGCCAAACTCGAGCTCGTTCATGCAGAGGAAGCCCTTTTGCGGGTTCATGACGCGGTAGTCGTGGTGCATTGCGGTCATGAAGCCGCCGGCGAAGGCGTGACCGGGGATGAGGGCTACGGTGGGCATCGGGTACGTGAGGAGGCGCTTGAAGAGGGCGTAGAGGGTGTCTGGGAAGAAGCCCTTTGTGGCGAAGGCGTGTTCGAGATCGAGGCCGTTTGAGTAGAATTTGGGAATGGCGGAGGTGGTGACGAGGACGCCGACGGGGTGGGCGAATTCTATAATGTCGAGGGCGGCGAGGAGGGCTCTGCAGAAGGGGGTGGTGAGGCGGTTATCTGGGGGGGAGGACCAGGTGAGGAGGTAGACGAGGGGTGCTGGGGTGGTGCAGACTATTGTGCCGCCTTCGTGGGCGCCGAATTTGGGAATGGGGATTGTGAAGAGGGGGTTTTGGGAGTCCATGATTTTTGTTTCTTGGTGGTTTGGCGAATATGGCGATGAGAGGATGGTGGTGAGAGGATGTAGGTGAAATGTAGTCAAGATTCGATGAGGGGATCTACGGCGTTTCGGCACGAGTAATCTTGAGGACAGATTAGTGCAAGCGATGACTTTCAGTGATCCCTTAGGGCCTTGTTTGAGGATTAAACAAAAATGGTCTGGCCTAGATGATGGAATTACTGGTATGAGGATGGACGAGGGTTGAGATGATTTGAGGTCACAAAGGCTGGAAGTTGAAGGGATCGACGGATGGGTTCCTGTAAGTAAGCGCTGCTGACCTCGGTTCGGCAAATGGCACTAAGGCAGACCTGCCTCAGATGCAGTGATGATTAGAAAATCCAACGTTCGGCGGGCAGTTTGGCTGACACCCTCCCCCAACTTCTAGCGTATTGCAACCTGGCTGTTGTTTCCATGCACAAACATCAATCCTCCAATCACACAGCTTGTCATCTTGTCCTTTCCAGGGTTTTAGGACGGATGGCGTGCGTTTTCCCAGCTCTCCTCTTCCTCCTCCGGTTCATGGGGTCAACGGGCTTTCACATGTGAAGAGAGAGCCCCAAAAGGAAGACACCAAGCTGCTGCGCTTCTGATGCACCCCAGAGTCGTTTAGCCATCCACGGATCGCTCAGCTTTGCTGAGTGGGTCCCACCAGACCCCTGCAGCGCAATGCCTTACGTAAGTCGACATCCCACTTTCTGGTATCCAATCAGCACCTGCCATTGACAGAGCTACCCCAACTCAACTGCTGCCGCGTCGTAACTCCAGTGGTGGTCCCGCTGGGTCCAGTGTCGGGTCGGATCGTCCGCGTCTCAAAGTCGCACTTCTGTCCTCTTGCAGGAAGGAAAGCAGAGACAATAGATTGGAGTTTCTCTTCTGCACACCGCCAAATCCCGCCAAAGACAGCAATTCCTCCGCAGCCATGGCGGAGAAAGACGATGATCAGAGGACCGTCGTCTTCTTTCACCCAGACCTTGGCATCGGCGGTGCTGAGCGTCTCGTCGTCGATGCTGCGGTCGGCTTGCAGAATCGAGGCCATAAGGTGGTCATCTTTACCAGCCACTGCGACCAAAGTCACTGCTTTGAGGAAGCTCGAGATGGTTCGCCTACAGCCCCTTGTCCCACTGCTCACTGCACATTTGAATGAAGAGTGTATTTTGATTTGTCCTTCTACTAGGAACCCTCGACGTCCGCGTTCGTGGCAACTGGCTCGTACCCCCCTCCATCCTCGGTCGCCTTACGATCCTCTGCGCTATCCTGCGCCAGCTCCATCTCCTCATTCAAATATATGCGACACGCGAACTTCAATCCCTAAACCCAGACTCTTTCTTCGTCGACCAGCTCAGCGCGGGCCTGCCGCTTCTCCAGTACCTCTCCCCCAAGGCGCCCATCCTCTTCTACTGCCACTTCCCCGATATGTACCTCGCCCTCGGCCGCGAGAAGTGGTGGAAGCGCCTCTACCGCGTGCCCTTTGACTGGGTCGAAGAATGGAGCATGGGCTTCGCCGACGAAATCGCCGTCAATTCGGGCTTCACAAAGGGCATGGCCACGGGCGCGTGGCCCACGCTGGCGAAGCGCAAGAACTTCAAGGTCGTCTACCCCTGCGTCGACATTGCGCCCAAGAAGAACGACGAGAAGAAAAAGCTCGGTGAAGGCAAGGGCGAGGAGGAGGCCATATGGACAGACAAGAACATCATTCTGAGCATCAACCGCTTCGAGAGGAAGAAGGACATTGCGCTCGCGGTCAAGGCCTTCGCAGCGCTGCCTGCGGATAAGAGGAAGGGCGTCCGGCTGGTCCTCGCGGGCGGATACGATCCACGCAGCATCGAGAACTGTCAGTACCACAAGGAGCTCGAGAAGCTAGCCGCGTCGCACGGATTGGAGACTTTTACGGCCAAGAACATCATCACGGCGCTGTCTGCGCCGGAGCACATCCCGGTGCTATTCCTCCTCTCCATCCCTTCAAGCTTAAAGGACTCGCTTCTCCGGTCCGCCAAGCTCCTTGTCTACACGCCTTCCAACGAGCACTTTGGCATCGTGCCCCTCGAGGCTATGTTGGCCGGCGTGCCCGTCCTCGCGGCGAACACGGGCGGGCCCAAGGAGACGGTCGTCGACGGCGTGACGGGTTGGCTGCGGGCGCCAGACGAGGTCCTGGAGTGGACCGTGGTCATGGATAAAGTCCTCAACAGCCTCAGCAGGGGCGAGCTGGAGAAGATGGGCAAGATGGGTGAGCAGAGGGTGCGCACCGGCTTCGGGCAGGAGAAGATGGCGGAGCGGATCGAGAGGCTGCAGGACGAGGTGGCGGCGGAGCCGAAGATGCCTCCTCTGATGAACGCCGTGCTCAACTTTTTGGGCATCGCCGTCTTCTTTGGGTTGGGACTGGTCACGTCGCAGATGTTTATCAATGCAAAGCAGAGGAGAGCTTGAAGGACGAGGTCAGGCCGGAACGTTTTCATCATGAGCCGTGATTTCTTTCTGGTTCTTGTGCAGCAAATTGGCTGTATGATATTCTAGCCGTCGAATACTGATAGATTTGTTCTCGTGGCAAAACAATACCCCTTGAATCTGGTTCTACCTACTCACTTACCGTATTTGATTGACTTGCGTGATCTTCCCCACATGGTGCCGGTAAGCTTGGAAATGATGCTATACCTTGGATGACCCCCACGTAGCGGGGTAAACACTGGATGGCACGCAGCTCTCAGGTCTCTCTCTCCGTCACTGAAGCCGGGTGTCTCATCTCACTTCGCGTCTTATACCTGCACAGCGCCTCGCAAATGTCGACCGATGCTGCGCCACAACCAGACCCGGCCATGTCAAGCCGCAGCGCCCTCGTCGACTTCTTCTCCCGGAGCCTGACGGCATTTCAATCATCAAAAGATGCGTTCCGCGTCGTCGGCACTCTGCCTCGTAAGTCGACCGCGACGACGCTGACCGGCAACGACGGCGGCGATACTGCCTTGGTGCCGCGGAGGCCGGATGGGAAGAGGCCGGTGAAGAGCCTCGTGGTGTTGGATTCTTCGTTTAACCCGCCCACGCTGGCGCATCTCCGGATGGCGGTATCTGCGATTCGGGGCTTGCAGGGGAGGAGGGGGAAGGAGAGCGCGGCTGGAGCTTCGGAAGCGGGAGCGGCTAGGGGTCCGGGAGGACCGGTGAGGTTGTTGCTCCTCCTGGCTGTTAATAATGCGGACAAGAAGCCCAAGCCGGCGGCGTTCTCCGTGAGGCTGGGGTTGATGTACGCCTTTGCCGCGGACTTGCGGGATGAACTACGACGGACGGACGCGGCGACATCGTTGCGGGAAGACTCGGTGGGAATACCGCAGGAGGTGGCGGAGAAGGTGGAGATTGATGTCGACTTTGGGTTGACGGCGATGCCGTACTTTCACGACAAGAGCCAGGCCATCTCGGACGCGAAGTTCTACGCGCAAGAGGACGGCGAAGAGGGAGAGCCGGAGCAGGTGTACCTGGCGGGGTACGATACGCTCATCCGGATATTCAATCCAAAGTACTACAATGCTCCTTCTGCCTCGACGGGCAGCGATGAGGGCCCAGAGGTCGTGGCACCGATTCGCAGGGCACTAGATCCGTTCCTGGGCAGGTCCAAGTTACGGATCACGATGAGGACGGATGACGAATGGGGCGACGAGGGGGAGCAGGTTGCGTATCTCCGAGGCTTGAGGGATGGAGGGTTGGAAGAGGTCGGCGGGCGAGGGAATTGGGCGGAGAGGGTTGAGATGGTCAGGGGGAGGGAGGACGGGGAGGAGGTCGTCAGCAGTACAAAGGTCCGGGAGGCTGCTTCCAAGGGGGACGCTGAGACTTTGGGACGGTTGCTTAGTAGTAGGGTGAAGCAGTGGGTGCTTGAGGAGGGGTTGTATCGTGAGTGAGAGGGTGGCCAGCTTTGGGGAAGATATCGAGACCATGTTCTTCGGTTCGGAACATTGATGACGAGTGCCGCATGCGTTGGTTGATCCAGGCAATCAAGGCAGGAGCGTTCCAGTTCCAAGGTGGCCATCGTTTAACTAAGCTACCTTATTCAAACTTGGTCACAAGTCCGCAGGAGCTGGACGTATTTCCCTCTTTCAAGCAACGAGGGCGGCCGATCACCGTACCTCCGCCGCATATTGGGACCCCAAAAACATGTTCAGCTACTCATCACGCAGGGCAAAATTGTTCTTCTCGATCCCGTTGGCCCATCTCCCCTTTGGCCCTCTCCTCAGCCGCCAAACAAATCAACAAATCCCCAGCAACGTCAAAATCTGTATGTGCAGGATGCAAGTTTTCCCTTGCCTTGATGCCTGAATTATTGACATCTTTTCCAGGCATCTCTACAAAAGCGAGCCCGCTCTTTCCATCTTTTAACGATGAAAAGTTTTGCAGTGGCAGTTCCGGTACGTACTCTCCCTCATCCGTTTTTCACCAACCCAAATTCTCATTGGCTCAAGGCACCAGGCTCCATTACTGATGCCAGACCCACCCACCCTTCCTCTCCAACGTCTATAAAACGTCGCCTCCCGACCGCGTCTCTTAGGACATTCTCTTCTTCTTTTTTCTTCATGTCGACAATACTTCAGAGAATCATTTCTATAGTATTCGACCTACTCTTGGTTCCCTAAAGGAGCTACAGATCCCACCCTGGTTGATGATTGATATCCTCGACACCCTAGAGTGAAGTTTACTCTGGTTGCTCTCGCACTTTCCGCAAGGAAAGCGGTTCCTTCCCTCGGGAGGGAACTGTATAGAGGGCGGTGATGATCTCGTCCCCGTTTGCGGTCTTGCCCTTGGGCGCGCGGACGGGGTGGGTGTCGATGGACGTCTGACAGGCCTTTTTTTTCTCTTTTTCGTTGCGCGCTGGAGCTTGCTCTGGGCGCGAGGAAGAAACCTTTTCACAGCATTTGTGACATGTGTCACCTTGACTACACTCCGAGATACACCAATGCTCTCCCATGGTCTTTCTCTATTTTGGTTCAAGGAAGATTGATGTTCTTTAGTCCAATACTCACCGCGTCATCCATTACACCGTGGAAGGCGAGGTCCACAAACGTGGCTAACATCTGAATCTGCGGAATGTTGAATGATTATTTTTTATCGTGAAGTAGTTTCGACCCTGGCGTTTGCCCAACACCATGGTCGCTTTGAAGTGCCGACGCATTATGGAGATCCAATTGGTCAATTCAATGTGCTGGCACTGCATCACCCATGCTGGGATGACTCCCGCAACGCCGTGGAATCTGGACATGGAATGCCTGAACCGATGAGATGCTATTTTTATCTACCGGTCCTAGCTTGAACCTCATTTCGTCTTCACATTTAATGATATCCCAGTCTCATGACTTTCTCAATACGATCTGCCCGAGGCATAACTCTGAGGCCGACCGGACTCATAGTACCCATAAGCCAGATCACTGGCATCGTGCTCCTCCCTTCGGGGACCGGGAGCATAAGCCTCAAAGGAGCGCGGCGTCCGTGGCATCTCGGCGTACGTCTCTGGCGTCGGAGGTCCAGTGTACCCCTCGCTGGCGTACCATCCATTCCCGCTCGGGTACGGCGCGCCGCTGAGGTTGCCCTCGCTGGCAGATCTGAGCTGCGCGACGTTCGCCGCCTCTCGCGAGAGCTGTCCCCAGCCCGCGGGCGCCGCAGGCGGTCTCAAGAACCCTGGGGCCGGAGCAGGCGAAGATGCCGCCGTCGAAGCAGCGGCAGCAGCAGCGGGTCTGCCGCCCGCCGCTGATATATCGAAGCAAGCGGCGTGCACGAGGACGAGGCCCGCGACTTTGACGAGCGTAAAGACGACACCAAAGAGCGAGGAAAAGGCCCACAGGCCGACGATGGCGGCCAGGGCGGCGAAGCCGGACATGATGCTCTGCGTGGAGGCGTACTTCCTCACGCCGAGGTCGCGGGCGAGGTCACGGCCGTTGTAGGACTGGATGAAGAAGCCAAACTTGACGACGCCGAAGAGGGCGGCGAGGACGAGCCAATGGGTCGCCAGGAGGGTGCCGACCAGGAGGATGAGGTAGACGTTGCTGTGACGGTGCAGGTTCGTGGCGAGGCGGTCGTGGAGGACGGCCTGGGAGGGGGGCGGGTGGAGGTTCTTTGGGTTGATGAGGTTCGTCACGGGCGTGTCCGGTAGGGGGCCCAGCTCAAAGGATGAGGTGGAGAGGTTAGGGATGGATTGGAATGCGTGGAAGGCGTTTTGGAGGTTGCTGAACATGGCGGCTGGCGTGAAGGAGGCCGTGTTTGAGCTCACAACGGCCTTCGCCGCCGGGGGGGAGTTGGACGATGAGGAGCTGCCGCTGCCGCTTCCACCGCCGCTGCGTCGCTTCTTGCGGTGCATTTTGTCGCGGGGAGGTCTGGCGTCACGGGAGCGAGATCGTGAACGCGGCCTAGAGGAAGAGGAGGAGGGGGGGTCTTGGCCTCTGGAGGTCGGTCTGAGCGAGTATTCAGCGACATCCCATCTCGAGTCCCGCGCGGATGACGTCGGGTAGCCATAGGGCTCGCGGGGTGCGAGATATGCCGAGTCCCTTGGGGGAGCGTCTGAGAAGGAAGATCTCGCCATGGCCAAAAGCAAGTGAGTGAGTGAGCAAGCGAGGAGGGCGTGAGAGGTGAGGAATGGGGGCAGTGTTTTAGAAATCGAGAACTGCCGGACGATCAAATTCCAACGCAACAACTGCGGGCAAAAACTCACTAGGTTGCTCGCGTGGGAAGGGGAGTTTGAACGAGGGAAGAAGCTGGAGAGGTTCGGCCGGCCAGCAAGGGAAAGAATTCGTGTGTCTTTGCCTGTCGGATGGATGCAGCTGCAGTTGTACCCGACCCTGGAAGCGATTGGCGGGGGATGTTGGGGTGGAGCCGCTTCCGGATAGCCGTCCCCAAGATGAGCGTCGGGACTTGGCGAACTACAACTGTGCAAATAGCAACTTTAGATACTCGCCTGCCATTGATATCTGGATTTGCACGAGAAGAGATGGCTCATTTTCAGAGGCTCTGGCTGCGTGGAATATCTCAAGGTCAAAGCGATGATATGTGTGCCAAACCTGGGACGGCCCGTTAGCCCCAGGGGAAGAGGGGGCAGCTCCCCAAGGCGCGTCATCGCGGCCCCAGCCATTTTCTGGGATCATTCCAGAAACTTTCCAAAACCACGTGCAACGTGTGCTTCTCCGTCAAGAGATCCATGCCAACAACACTCAATTGATGGACGGGTATTACTGACTAACAGCCGTATCCGGGCTCAAGTCCTCTAGGGGGTTATCTGATTCCAACCTTCAACAGCCATGTATACCTTGTGGAAGCTCCGCTTCTCACACTCAAATCCTGGTCAACTGACACCTCCGTGGGCCTTAGGGATAGACGCCTTTGCCTGGCTCATTCTGAAAGAACGAAGACGGGAGCTCAAACGACGGCTCCACCTTCTGCACCTGCTGGACGCTATCCCTGATGATGTCGTATCCAAAGTTGTATGCAAAGAACTCTTCCGGGTTTTCTGCACATTGTGTCAGCGGCTTCATGCACCCTCATGATCGCACAATCCGACGTACTGGGCACCTTGTCCGCGGGAATGAACTTGGCAGCCTCTTCCCGGATCAACTCGGGCTCCTCTTGGCCTGCATTACTAAAGATCTGCATCACGCTGGCACGGTTCCTGCGGATGCTCTCGTATACTCGCAGGCGGGCCTCGACGTCTCTGACCTCAGCACCCGCAAACGCGATGCCGAGCGCGACGCCGTCCTCGATGCCCTGCGCACCGCCCTGGCCCTGGTCTACATATTTCACCTTCAGCATCAGCAGATTGTCTCAAGGTGGACGGGAAATGCTCTCGTTGAACTCACGAGGTAACATGGGATGCGCAGCGTCGCCGGCCAGTGTCAACTTTCCTTTTGTCCAGCTAGGGATCGGAGCTCTGTAGAGAAGTGCCCACTGTTTGACCTCGGTAGCTTTGCTGAGAAAAGTGTGAGCCTCATTCGTTCATTCACAGGGTTGGTTGGCAGTTACTCAAGAATGGCCAAAACACTCGGGTGGAAGTCGCCATATCTCTCAAGCAGCTTGTCTTTGCTCACAGAGGCTTGCCAGTCCTCCTTCTTGATAGACTCAATATCGTCGTTGTTGAAAATGGCGATAAAGTTGTGTATTTCATTGCTGCTTCAGTCAGCAATCCGGACGTGACTTCTGCTTGCTGTCTCCCACTGTCAGTGTAAGAGCAGAACCAGTTACTCACTTTCGGCAAGGATACGAGACCAGGCGCTTCTTGTCCCCGACCAGAAACTTTATCCGACCGTCATCGCCTTCATTCCAGAACCGCGTGACCGGGTCCGCCTCGACATCGGCGGCCGGTATGAGGAAGCGGAAGCAGAAGTTGTAGTGACCCTGAGGCGCCGCGGGGTTGGAGCGGCCGAGAATTGCCTCGACCCCGATGGTGTGGACGCCATCTGCTGCGATCACCACGTCGCCCGTCACTTTCTCGCCGGAAGCCAGTGTTATGGAAGCTTCCTCGGGGTCCTGAGATGATGTGTTAGTCAAAGTCTACGGGGATGCCGCAGAACGTCGGCACTCACATACGCCACAATCTCGCTCTTCAAGTGGATTGTAGCAGGCCGACCGAGTCCAATCCTTGGATTCGCATGTCCATTGAAACCATCCGTTCCTGTCCCTTTAGACTCGACCAGGCCGTCGGCCTCTCCATTGGCAGGCTCTTCCGGCTCCGTCGCCAACCTCTTTAGCTCCTCATGTAAATCGACGCGGTGCGCAAAGTACCACGGTGCCCCGTACTTCTCCTCGATGTAGTCCTCCCTGCCGACGTGGAACTTCTCAAGCGTGTCTCCCTTTGCGCGGAAGCTGCACTTCACGAGCACGAATTTTGCCTTCACGGGATCGAGGCCCCAGGCGAGGAGGGCGCGGGCCGCGTTGGGGCACACGTGGATCGCGGCGCCGATCTCGTTGTTGAGTGCGGACCGCTCGTAGACGTGGACCTGGTGGCCGGCGCGGCGCAGACCTACGGCCGCGGAGAGGCCTGCTATGCCGCCGCCGGCGATGAGGATCTTGAGAGGGGCCATTGTGGCATACAGTGATGTATTCCTTCGGTTCTTTGTTTACCTTCCCTCGAAGCGGCTGCTATTGCATGGGAGATGAAGAGTCGTACAGAAGATAGGCACCGTAGGAAAGATCTTTCGATCACATACTTTATGTATGTGTACAACGTAGCGGTTCGTCCGAGGTGGGGGATGAGGGGCCGATGGCGCGACGGCGCGACTGCGTCTCAACTGCAGGCGAGGAAATGCTAAGTCCAATGATGGACCATGTCTATTGGCTCTGTGATTGCGCACTAGAAGATGCGGGCCGACTTAGATCACGGACAAGGCCATCCCTCCGGACAAAGGAGACGGGGTTCCCCCACGAATCGATTCGAGTGGTCCCGAATCTGGGGGCATCTGTGGTTTTGAGACCTCCGTTCGGATCATGATTCCCTTTACAGATGGCAATGCTTCTGTCGACGGGGCGCATTCCTCGTAGCCTCCCAACCGGAACTCAGTAAAACGCCAGATTTATGGATCAGAAACGCTCGATCTTGCTAGATGAAGGGACCCTTGACTGGGAACCTGGGAATAGGTCGGACGATGGGCCAGGGAGACCAGTTGACAGGCCCAGTGAACAAGCAGCTGGTTTGGGTCTGTGCGGCTTTTGGCCGGGCAAAGGTCACATTAGCAGTGGAACGTCGATACGTAAGCTCCTATTCTTGCATACGAGTTTGGGTATCAATGGTGGGCGGTTGTTATCCTGGACATAATGCTTTTGTGGCCATGAAAACGATCTTTGAAACCGTTGGTTGGAGTCTTGTAGACAAGGAGTCGTCTCCCCGGGTTCGCTCGACAGGGAATGGTCCGGGAACAAGGATATGTGCTCCACCAAAGAGGGTAGCCAGGTTCATGGGTCACAACCATGGGGTATCGTTTTGGCCGCTTCCGGATTGTGAGAAAAGGCCCTTGCGATTTATAGCTGGGTTGGACGAAGGGTATTGATTTCTATTTTGGGCTACTGCATGAGTCCAACCCCCTCCGATGCAGAGCAACAATGCAACGACGGACGGTTTGAGAAACGCATCCGAGGTTGGAGATTGCCAGCAATCGTGCAGAGTCAAGAAGCCCTTGCTTATTCTTTGAAGAGTGTGGCTACTGGTTTCGAAGACTGACGGGACGTGGAAAGGAGAAATTCTTTGAAAAAAAAAAGAGGAACGAGGAAAGCAACGTCCTCTGTTCTTCGGTTGGAGTATTTTTGAGATTTGCGTTTCCCGCAATTTCTTCTTCGTTTTCTGCTAACTAGCTATTGCAGACTGCATAGCTGTCAGCATCACGGACCGCAACAATGCTGACTACGAAGGAAGTCACTTCGGACGATGACCAGGAAACTAAATCAATCAACCAAGCAAAGGGTCCGGCTTCTCGAAAGAGCAATGGGAGGAACCTAAGGAGAGCATTTAAATCAAGCCGAAGACCAATACTCTAGAACCATAAGTCAAGGTGCTATGTGGCAATGTGTAGATAATGATAACGGGGGTTCAGCAGTAGGTTTGGTGTCTTGCAGTGAATATGCTTTTCATAATGGGAATCAGGGGCTGGATTATAACCACAACGTCAGTGATACATAGGACAGTAGGGGACATCAGGCCTTTCAGACCAGTCTCCTACTTCCATAATACGCAGCATTGTCAATCTAAAAGTGAGATCTCTGCTTCATTACAACAGCCATAAGGCAACCACCGCCTGTGATCACTAATACGTATAATGCAACAAATTTCCTTGCTTTCCATGATCCCGAGTCAATCGTCAAGAATATTCAACTGATGACTTCTTTCCCTCATCAAGTCTGGTGAATCATATTGTACTAGATGTAACTTACTCGTGGAGGGCAACTTAGATGCTGAAGACTTCTCGAAGCGATGGATCAAGATCATCTTCTTTCAAAGCAACATCCTTTATCATGTATGATACAGAGCATCACATTTATTGGTGAGATTGGATATATCCATCGGAACCAAACGCTTTGCCTAATCGTTCAGACCTTTCTACATCAGAAAGTTTCCTGTGCCGGTCTCATATCCAACTCGTGGGTCCAGAGTGAGCTCGGCTGTTGTGAGAGCCAGAGATACAGCTCTCCAACATCCTCCGCCCGCATTCGTTTGCCGGTCTTGGTGTTCTCGTTGTCTTCATCGATGATTCCGCCGTTGGCTATGGCATGGACCACGTGCACACCAAATTTGCTATGCTCCTTGGCAATCGCCTGCGCTACCATTCTCGCCGCCGCTCGAGATGCACCATAGGCGGCATACTGCTGATTCGTGCGCATGGCTCCCAGTGTTCCCGTGAAGATGATGGTGCCCTTCTTCGCGCCGTCGGTGTCGGCAAGTAGCGTCTGTCCTCCATTCTGTGCATACATGAGCTTCAACGCTTCCTGCGCAAATACGACACCTCCGGTTGTGAAGGTGCTCATGCTGTCGTTGAAAGCCTCTGGCGTCTCCTCCAGGAATGGCTTCTTGCTAGAGTTCTTGACGTGGTATATAGCGAGCTTCAGTTTGAGGTCCTTGAAGTCCGCATGATCTGCGATCTGCTGGAAGGTCTGTCGGAGATTTTCGGGCTGTGTATCTGTAGGGAACGGATGGAGGATACCGTTTGAGGACTTCCGTAGATCGGCGGCAAGATTCTGGAGGTTCTCGGGGTTTCTGGCGAGTAGAGCAACTGCGAGGTTGCCATGCTGAGGGCTGGCTAGAATGCGAGCGATCCCTGCGCCGGAAGTTGGTCCTGCACCGATAATAATTGCGAGTCCTTTTGGTGCCATTTTGTGTTAGTCTCAATTTGATGACAATTTCGTAGTGCAGGTTGAAGCTACTTTCTGATTGGGTTGACATGATTTCGAATTGCAGTGTCTGTCTACATCCCATTTATATACCTGTCCACATATCTCACTAAGATGATTCTAGCGCGGCTGGCTGGGCTTCCTATGGCAATGGACGTCATTGATCATCCGATCCGTGCTCAGGCCGTGTTCCGCGCCGACTTGCAATGGAACACATTGAAAGAAATTCGGGGATAAGACGTCACGATTCGCTCAAGGCGCCTATGTCCGATTTAGTGGCTGTAACCTGCTGACGGATGTTCCACTGGCTGACTAAATCGCCTTGTATGGTTGCCTTCTTAATTCGCACTCGTGAACGATTTGGTCTAGCGGGAAAACAAGTCCCTTGTTGGTTGTACCCTCTCGTCCCAATATGGGGCTCTAATATAGTCGTGCAAGAGACTGAGATCAACAGCACCAAAGTTCGAGCAACGGCTAAAGAGCTGTTAGAGAAACAGCAGAAGAGCACAATGATTTTAGACATCAGGTATAGTGATCGTTCTATAGCTTCAGGAGCAAGTTCATTCGTCGGGTTTAAATTATTTGTCACATCAGATTGTCTTCGAACAGTACGAGGCCCCACCTTTAACGTCTGCTGTAGCAGTTAAAGAACGGGCGAGAGGAAATAGGGCATTGCCTGGTCCTGCCACTTCGCCTCCTCTTTTAGTCTCATCTTTCCTGTCCTGATTACTTGAGTATTCATACAGCGATAATGAATGCATTAAGAGAGACTTTGGCGATAGCCAACAGAGTCCCTTCAAACGAGGAGAGTATTGGTAGAAGATGCTTGAAATATTTGGCAGATTGAAACAGACCTTGGCCACAAAATCATTCCAAGATGACTGCGACATAAATGAAATAGGATTGAAAGCTATTTGGGACGACTTCAACGAATGTACTAATTGCAAATAGGTCTGGAGTGTGAATTGAAGGGCAACACGCCTGCAGTCTTCAAATTGCTTGGGTTACGATCGTAATCTGGGTTTCAAGTGGTAAATAGCAGATAGTCTGAACCAGTTCCTTCGTGGTCCTAATCTCTCCCGTTGAAGACATCACAGCCCGCCATTCAGCCAAGCAATGGCGTCATTGGTATTGTTGAACTTGAGAACGAGGAGTTTGACGTGATTGCGTGCTGCTTCCCTCTGCTGGAAATTGGAGCAAGACGTTGTTCCCGAAATCCGGTCTCTACGGAAATCAATCCTCCGCTCGAATAAGTTGCACTGAAATCGGAAACCCCTGTTGGCGTATGCATAAGCGAAGAAAATTGGGCCAGGCAAACGCTCCTGAATTCCAATTGCACCCTCTTCATGGTCAACTGCATAAGTGTCGAAGGCTGATGGAGATCCGGATATGGCGACATGGCGGGGTTGATGGTCAGCATGTCTGATAAGTCGGAGAAGTAATTGCTGGGGGTTTCTTTTGAACTTCCATGATTCACAATCCATTCAATTCGAGCAAGAACGCGAAGTCCACTGCTAGGTTCCTCCATTTTCGATAAATTCTTCAAGATGGCCGCAACACACTACTTCTTCATCATTTACTTGGAGTACATTGCGGTTCTCTCTGCTATTACTATCACAGCCTTTTTACTACAAAACGAGGTTGTCAGGTATCGAGATAGAATAAAAAACCTTCCTGGTCCCCTTGGCTGGCCTGTTGTTGGCAATCTTTTTCAGGTACCTGAAATGTCTACACATCCTGAAAACATGAGATCTTGTAGAACAGAACTAACATCACATAGAACTCAGGCCAAGTGCCAGCAGAAACGTACCGGATCTGGGCTAAGAAATATGGCCCCGTCTTCCAGATACAGCTGGGAAACACTACGGCTGTTGTCGTAAACACCGTGGAATCTGCCAAACAGCTATTCCTCGGGCAACGGCATGCGACGATGTCTCGACCAACCTTCTACGTTTTTCATGGGAAAGTCAGCAAATCCGTCACCAGCATCGGAACTAGCCCGTGGGATGACTCTTGTAAACGTCGCCGCAAGCTCGCAGCTGGGGCATTGAATCGCCCGCGGGTAGAAAGCTATGCACCGATCTTGAACTTGGAGGCGCGGGAGTTCCTCAAAGATTTATACTCTGAATGCCGTGGCGGTTCCGTGGATCTCGACTTCCGTCCAGCTGTTAGACGCTTCTCCCTCAACCTCAGTCTAACCCTCAACTACGGGACAAGAGCCTCCAACGTCAAATCCCTTGAGGATGATCCTTTACTAGCCGAGATCATTTACGTCGAATCTGAAATTTCGAAATTGCGTGATACTGGGAAAAACTACACCAACTACATACCTCTACTCCGATACTGGGAGCCAATTGCCAGTTACTTAGGCCTGCAGGCAACACCAAAGAATCACGCAATGGACATCGGCCGTCGAAGACTGGAATACAACGATGTCCTTCTCAGCCGCCTGAAGAACGAAATTGCCCGGGGCGAAGACAAGCCTTGTATCCAAGGCGCTGTTGTAAAGGATCCCGAGTCGGCAACTCTTACACGTGAAGAGTTGATCAGTGTGAGCTTGAGTATGATGGCAGTGAGTTTGTCCTAGATATCATCCGAAAGCTCAAGTGGATTATCCCTGACAAGGTTCAGGGCGCCGACTCAAATCAGCCTACCTTGGCTTGGGCCATTCTTCTACTTGCGCACCGCCCTGATATACAAGACAAAGCATATACCGCCATCCGGGATGCAGGAGTTCTACAGCAGCCATCCAACACATATGCTTCTACCAAGGTTGAGTATATAGATGCATTGACCAAGGAGATCTCGCGATATTTCGTCGTCTTGAAGCTCGCACTACCAAAGGCAACGTACACTGATGTCACTTGGGGTTCTGCCACGATTCCGGCCAACACCCTGGTTTTCTTGAACAGCTGGTCATGCAATAGAGGTGACCTGCCCTGACTCAGTTATCATAAATGAAAATCTTGACTGACACCCAAAATAGACCCTGACCTCTTCAAGGAGCCTGAAATATTCACCCCTGAGCGTTGGCTCTCAAATGCACCCGACCAATACGCGCATCAATTCGCCTTTGGTATCGGCGGACGGATGTGTGTAGCGTCCCACCTCGCACACAGTGCCCTGTCCACAGCCTTTTTGCACTTGATCGCCCGCTTCAACATTTTGCCTGCAGATGGAACGGACTCTGTAGAGATTGATCCAATTAAAGGACTAAAAGGCCTCTCGTTCGTTGCCACACCAAAAGGTTTCCAGGCCAAGTTCGTGCCCAGGGATGGCGCAGGCTTGGGGCCTTGGTTGGAGAATCCTAACGAGAGCCATTAAAGGTGATGTGTGGACGGCTTCTTAATGAGAGACGCGTACAGAATGGAACGGAATTCTCATTCTTTTAATCAATTTGGTGTTGCTAGCAAGTGTGAATTTCGCTTTTTCTCTGATACTTGAGATAAGTAGAGATGTCAATCATTACGGGTGGTGAGGGTAAGCAGAGTGATGGATGCCAGTGCTGTGGAAATAAGCAAAAGCAACTTGCGCGACTTGCCATCATAAATTGTCATCTGCCATCATCGATTCGGCATGGGAGTGTGTCAAATGTCTTATACAAACATTCCTTGCAAATTGACATGATGCCTCGACATTGACACTCAGGGAGTACCGGCAAATGCACGTGAAAGAACCGTAAGTATTGAGTGCCGGTTTCCCTGATGAGCTAAGTAAAGTCTGAGGCAGGCCTAGCGAGTGATATGCATACGAATCAAAATCGTGCGACGTCCGAACATCGGGATCAGACAGCATGCAGTCAGCAGCCACTCGCAATTGATCTCAGTGATGGATAACGGACCATGTCGCCATAGGTGGTGCGGGTCGTTTCGCCGAACCCCGCCGGACGCCAGTACTTAAACCACCGGGGTGTATTCTTCGAATAGAGGCTATCTTCAACCCTAGGACTACACATTCGACCATTACCTTACATCAATTTGACCGGAATTCATCACCGAATCTTACTTACCAAGATGGCTTCTCCAAACCTCAACGCCGCTGATCTTTTCGGCGTCAAGGGCCTCATCGCCGTAGTCACCGGTGGGGGAACTGGTACGTCATTCGGCCGTCGAGGAACGGCACAAAAGCAGCGCTCCGACATTCATTGACGTGTTAAACTAGGCATTGGTCTCATGATTGCACAAGGTCTTGAGGCGAACGGGGCGATCGTGTACATCATCGGCCGACGAAAAGAAACTTTGGAACAAGCGGCAAAAACAGCTGTGAGTCTCACTGAGAAACTCGAGCCTATCTACCCTACTCAGGTTCCTAAAATACATATTCAATGACTTTCACCAAGTCCAACTCTTAACGGCGTCTTCGAGGGACACATTGTGACTGACATCTGTGCCTCAACTCCAATTAGAAAAACGGCAACATTCGCACAATCCAAGGTGACATCACTTCAAAGAGCGACCTCGAGCGAGCGGTAGCAGAGATCAAGGAGGCCCACGGATATGTCAACGTCGTCATCGCCAACTCAGGAATCGGCGGACCACCTCTCAAGGGCTTGCCTCCTAACCCAACCATCGCTCAGTACCGCGACTTTGTCTTCGGCTGGGAGCAAAAAGATTTCACAGAGACCTTTGCTGTGAACACCACCGGTGTATTCTTCACTGTCGCAGCATTCCTCGAACTCCTTGACGAGGGCAACAAGCGCAGCAACTTCAAGCAGAGGAGCCAAGTCATCGCGACCAGCAGCATTGGCGCGTACAACCGCAACCCGTTGGGCTTCGCCTATGCAGCGTCAAAGGCAGCTGTGGTGCATATGTTTAAGCAATTGTGGATACTCCTTCCCCTACTTTCCTGGTCAAATATCGTTGCTGACACTTATGAAGGAGTACCACTTTGGTTCCCTTCAACATCCGCGCCAACGTCATTGCACCTGGGTGTAAGTCTAATTCTTTGGGGGAACCTTAAGCATCCTTTCCTGGACTTGAAGTTCATCAGCCATACTCTAACAGCACTCGCTAACCTTATACAACAGTCTACCCGAGTGAGATGACAACTGCAACAGTCGAGGAACATAAGGACGGCTGGCCGAAGACTACCATTCCTGAAGAGAGGGCAGGAGACGTCGAGGATATGGCTGGTGCGGCACTGTTCTTGGTTAGCAGGGCAGGCGCCTACACCAATGGCAATGTGCTCGTGACAGACGGCGGACGCCTTGGAGTCGTGCCTTCTAGCTACTAAGCGGCGTGAAGTTTCAAATTGGGATGCTTGAACTCAGCTAGCTAACTTCGCTATTCCTAGAGTGTAGCTGAGATTAAAATCAATTTTATGCCAACAGCGTACCAGCTTGCCATTGAACATAGAAAAGACGTAACTGCCTTTGCTGTAGGCAAAAGAAGGCAGAGCTTTGTCAAAGATTATTAGGAAGTCTCGACTTCGAACTCACAAGCAAATCTGCTCTGTGAGATATAACCACAAATGGCTCCTGTTCAGCAAAAGTCGCACACTTTGACCATCTCCCTGCCTCAGACTGGATATAGTAATGAGGGGGTGTTCAATGCTAGGAACAGGCTAGGAACAGGAACTTCCATTGCGACTAGGACTTGAGGGTTCAGACGCATCTCAAATCGCTCTATACTGACGACAGCACGCTCTTCCTCCTAGGATGAAGCCTAAATTTGGTATAGTTGATAACTTGGTACCTAATATTCTTACATATTCGCCTACGACTGTTCGTATTCGGGTTAAAGCCATCTGGACCGAAGCCCAGGGAATATTGCACTATTTGATTGTGAGAAACGCAGAGTTCATAGCAGGCTTCCCCGCTACTCCGGCACATCTGAATCGGTGTGATGTCACCCTGACATATTAAAAACACATGGATGCAAGGGGCTCCTTTCTTCAGTCATTTGGGCAGACAACCGAGAATGCACATTTGTAAACCAACGGAAGACCAACAAAGCAATAAGAATCGTGGAAGATAGCTTGTGTAGCACTCACCCCAATGTTCGTATCTGACCCCAGCCATGTACACCCTGGAACGAAGCGAGCTGACGAATCGGCGCACTCCTGCTGGTAAATCGAGGCATCATAGCGTTGGCCGCGCTGCTGGCGACTGGTCCCGGACGAAAAGGTGGGCTGCTCATCCATGCGCCTACTGGAACGGAACCTACACATCCGATGCAGGCTAGCATGAGAGCCATCCCTTATATCCATGACCACACCCGCTCCCAACTTTCAGCCGGCAGCCGCCTGCTGGCCTGCATCCGAACTTACTTTGACTTCCTGCCAGATTTCGCTCAGCGTGATAATCCATCATGTTAAGTCCGTTGTCTGTGGCGCTTTTGGCGCTACCGGCGCTTCTGCTGTACCTATATTCGGCACTGAGTTATCGCCGGTTGAAGCAGTACGCCCATTTCCCTCAGCCGAAGCCTGGAGTGATATGGGGCCATCTCAAGGCAGTAAACGAATTTCACCTGAAACGCGATGAGAAGGACGCCCAACTGGGTACGTGCTGCCGACAGACGATATGTGATCCTGCGTTGACTAACATGTACACCATAGATCCTACGATGGGAGACATGCTCGAGGCAATCGGGAATCCTCCTATCATGCTTCTCGATCTTCGTCCTGTCAGCCGACCTTTGCTTGTCATCCGCAGCCATGAAATTGCGGAGCAGGTGTCGAGGCAATCGAAGATGTGGCCTTTCAGCGCACCGAAATCCGACACTATGATGTATCTGACGCCGATACTGGGTGAGAGGTCTATTGTAATGTCCCAAGTAAGGAGTTCTTCACTCGTTCCAAACATGTTTCTGTCCTTACCATTTGAGCTTGGAAACAGTTCGCAGAAAGATTCTAATGTGTACCTGTCTCAAAGGGCTCGGGATGGAAAGACATGAGGAAACACTTCAACCCCGGCTTCGCTCCCCAACATCTCATGAGTTTGATGCCAGTGATCTTGGAAAAGACAAAGACATTCCTTGCCAAACTCGACGAACTCGTTGGCACAGGTGATGACTTTGAACTGGAGCCACTATGCACTAATCTGACTTTCGACATAATTGGTAAGTCTACTCAAATCACCATGTTTACAGCAACACGTCACTGAGAATTAATGACCAGGCGCCGTGACGATGGACGTTGATCTTGGCGCCCAGCTTCCCGAGGATCAACAGGGAGACTTCATCAGGGGTTACAAGGAGTTCTTAATCTCTTACAAGGAGGGCAATGGTATATTTAAGTGGTTGGAAAACCCACAACTAGGCAGGAAACGAAGGAGACTTGCCAAGTCTTTAAATATGTTCCTAGAGGATCTCATTCGTCGCAAGTTTGATGACGTTCAGCAGGACAAGGGGCTGTCGAGCCGAAGCATTTTAACCCTCAGTCTAAAGGACACTCCTGTCCTGACGCAGGACATCATCGATGGTACAAAGGATCAACTCAAGACGTTCATGTTCGCAGGGCACGACACCACCAGCATCCTTTTGCAATGGTCCTTTTACGAGCTATCGCGGACTCCTCGAGCAATGAAGAGCCTTCGAAACGAATTGGAGAGCCTATTCGGCCCGGACCTGAGCCCCGAAGTCGTCCGGGAAGGTCTGCTTACCAGAGGGGAGGAAATCACCCAGAAGATGACCTATACCTCGGCAGTCATCAAGGAGATTCTACGGTTGTACCCCCCAGCCGGGACAGCACGCCTTTGCCCCCCGGGCGCAAACTTCCACCTGCAGCTACCCGACAATAGCAGCGTCTGCGTCGACGGCTTGGTTCTGTACAACTGCGCAACTCTCATCCAGCGAGATCCAGACGTCTACGGAAGTACCAAAGATGATTTTGTGCCTGAACGATGGCTTGGCAATACGGACACGTCGATGGCCACGAACGATGACGAAAAGATGGGCATCGGCAAGGCTGGTGAGAACGAGATACCTGCCGCGGCGTGGAGACCTTTTGAGAGAGGGCCTAGGAACTGCATCGGACAGGAGCTTGCCAATATCGAGGCCAGAGTGATTCTAGCTAGTGTTGTGGGCAAGTACGTGTTTGAAAAGGTCGGCTTGGGGGAGGCTACGCTGGATGAGAAGAACCGCCCCACCATCAACGAAAAGGGGCAATACAAGTCCAACACACAGCTCTATAATGTAAGCCTTTTGAGGAACAGTCCAAGGCTGAGATCCGCTAACACGCTTACAGACGAGACAAATCACTGCCCGTCCGGTTGACAACATGAGGGTTCGGGTAAGGCATCTGGCCTCACAAAGAGTTTGAGACTTCACCGACTCATCGATGACGCCTGGCAATATCTCGTTCCCCTGGCAAGCGGATAGTACAGTGTCAAACACAGACTGCTGATTTTTCACTTGACATGAAACCGTATTTACTTCTCGGTAGCCTGGTTCCACTTGGGAAGGCAACTTGCTTATTCCTACAACGGGTCTCCTTATCTTCTTTCATATTTTGGACTTCCTTGACCTTGAATATTGGTACAGGATGTCGAATAGCTCATCCTAACCCATGTTTAGTTTGAGAATGAAAAAGAGGTGAAACGCAGTGATTTGACCATGAAACTCCAGATATTGTAGCGATCTTATCGGTCGCTCATGAAGCTTTTGCCTCGTAATCCCGTGCCCTAGAAGTGCCAGTCAAATCATGATTTGCCCTGCTGCTTTCACCACCTACGTCACATGCTCTATAGCCAACCCTCTACAATCTGCACTGGTGGATGTGAGATGCGTCCTGGTAAGACAGTCTTGCGTCAACGATTCTAGCTTCACTGTCGCATTTAGCAAATCAAAATCGCGAATGCCGCTTGTCTTACTTGGAGGTGCACAACGTGCTTCAGTGACACAAGCTAGACGTGATTCAACGGAAGGATTGTAGGAGGGAGGCACGGAGGGTCGGAGATGTGGCTGGTGCAAGGGCCACTATATATGTGGCGCAAAACCAAGCTTGGATCCTGCAGACTGGGGCATGTTGCCACAAACAGGTGGGTCCCCAGTGATCGGAGAGCAGCGGTAGCGACAGCGACGGCGACAGCTCCAAAGCTCCCCACAGCGGCGTCATTGGAGCACGAAGCACCGACGTCAATCAACAACCGCCATTGCGCCCACCCTTGCCGACCTTGCCTTTCTCACTCCTTGCTGTCGCTAGGAGATGTAGCCATGGCCTTTCAGGTTCGTTTGCGCATGCCCCTACTGCTGCTCTCCGCAAGCCGACGATCACTAACAAACAACCCTGGGAGCAGTGGAAGGCATTCGACTTCTTCGACGTCAGCCAGGTCCGACTCGCCGACGAGGAGACCCGAGTCTTCTTCGAGAGCAACGAGATTGCTAGCGTCTGCTCTGGTTCCGACAGTCTATTCCTTGGTGGTTACGATGGATATGTGCGAATCGTTGGGTCGGGTTGGAAGGTGGTGAAGAGCTTCCAGGCTCACGAGCTCGGAACAATTACACACATGCGCCAGATCGAGGGAACGAGCCTCCTTGTTACAGTCGCTGTAGGTGGAGGCATTCATTGCGAGATACTGAGTGCCGGAACTGACATGCGAATAGGAGGACCTCAGTAGCGAGCCGGTCTTGAAGATATGGGCCCTGGATAAGCTGGTGAAGAAGACAAACATGCCGACATGTCTGAGCACTTTGCAGATCAATAATGGCAGGAAGCAGTTTCCGGTAAGAAAGTACTCGAACGCATGTCCGAAAAACGGTAGTCACTGACATCTTGGTCACCCAGATCTCAGCTATTGATGTTCTCGACAACCTTACCCAAGTAGCAGTCGGCTTTGCAAACGGCACGGTGACCCTCATCCGAGGCGACTTGATCAACGACTTGGGCGCCAAACAAAGAACGGTGCACGATTCGGAAGAACCTATCACTGGTGTGGAGCTCATGACGGACGCCCAAGATGTTACGACTCTGTTCATCTCAACAACGGCTCGAATTCTGAAGCTTGGCATTTCGAGGAGGGGTCACAGCTCTCCGCCCAAGACTGTAGAGGACATGGGATGTCACGTTGACTGTATGACGGTCGACAAGAAGACAGGAGACGTTGTAGTGGCCCGGGAGGATGCCATCTACACCTACACTTTGGAGGGTAGAGGAGCGCCGCGTGCGTACGAGTCGCCAAAAAGGCTGGTTTCGATCTACCAAGATTACGTTGCCCTGGTATGCCCACCATCATCTTCTACTACCGAAAAAGCAACCGACGCTATGCGCCGCCGCTTCGGAGGCGGAGGCGGAGCAGCGGACGCGCTCTTCAACGCGTCAACGTTCGTTCTCCTCGAGCCGGACCTCAGGGTACTCGGCCACACACAGTCTCTGATCTCGCCGTTCAAAGCCATATTTCAGATCTGGGGCGATCTCTTCGTCCTCACACAAGACGGCAAGGTCAACCGGTACCACGAAAAGTCACTGCAACAGCGCCTAGAAATGTTGTATCAACGCAACATGTACCCATTAGCCATCGAGCTGGCACAAAAATCGCAGCTCGATGCGACACAGCAAAGCGGCATCTTCCGACGCTTCGGTGACCACCTCTATCAAAAAGCTGATTACGACGGAGCCATGGTCCAATACATCAAAGCGATCGATACGACCGAGCCATCCCAGGTCATCAGGAAGGTAAGTTTTCGCAGTCGGGAATCTTGGAGCGCAGGAAGACTAACAATCGCAGTTCCTCGATACCCAAAGGATACACAACCTAATACAGTATCTCGAACAGTTGCACGAACATCGCAAGGCAACGTCTGATCACACCACATTGCTCCTGAACTGTTATGCCAAGCTCAAAGATATCGATAAGCTGGAGGCATTTATCAAATCCCCCGGTGATTTGAAGTTTGACCTTGAAACTGCCATTACTATGTGTAGGCAGGGAGGCTACTACGAACAAGCTGCCTATCTTGCCAAGAAACATGGCGAAACTGAGCTGGTCGTGGACATACTGATAGAGGACTCCAAGTTGTATAATGAGGCTCTGAATTTCATATGGCATCAAGACCCGGAAGTGGTGAGTACTGTGTTTCTCCAACATCTAGGCCAAGTCTGACAATTCAATAGGCATTCCCTTGCCTCAAGAAGTATGCCAGAGTCCTGATAGAGAACTGTCCAAAGGATGCGACAACAATCTTTGTTGACTACTACACTGGCAAATACAGGCCGAGGCTTCACTTAGTGCCAATTGAAGGCAACGGAGAGGCTGTCGTAGCAGGCGGCATGGTGGCAGGTGCGGCAAATGCGGTCCAGAATCTATCCAACTTTCTGCCTTTGCCATACATGAATACGTCTTCTCTCCAAAGCCCCTCCACACCAGGCAACGGAACATCTATCAACGGTGGTGCTCAAATCATCTTGAACCCCGAAGATATTCCTCCACCGAAATACACCCCTCCACCTCCAAGAACGGCTTTCTCATCCTTCATAGACCACCCAGACGAGTTCATTGTCTTCTTGGAGGCGTGCTTGGAGGAGAAAGGTCTCAAGGAAAGCGACAGGACAGACCTATACACTACACTCTTTGAGATGTACCTACACAAATCAAATGAGAAGAAGGGGGAGCAGCATCGCGAAGAATGGGAGAACAAGGCCAAGAAACTCATCGAAGGAGAGGACATTCCGATGGAGAGCTCCAACGTCCTTTTGCTTTCGCACCTTTCAGATTTCAAGGACGGCACAACGCTAGTCAAGGAGCAATCCGGCCTCCTCTTCGACATCTTCCGATCCTACACCTCAGCAAAAGACACACGCGGCGCCATCAAAGCGCTCCGAAAGTATGGCCCTGAGGAACCGCAACTGTACCCGGCAGCACTGGCATATCTGACTTCCGATCCCCGAATCCTCCAGGAAGCCGGCTCAGAGGAGCTTTCCGCCGTTCTCAACAAAATCGACAAGGACGGCCTCATGGCGCCGTTGCAGGTCATCCAGACTCTGGTGGGCCAGTCCGGTTCCTCGGGCGGCGTCGCGACGATGGGTATGATCAAGCCTTACCTCCACGAAACGATTGAGCGCGAGCGCAAGGAGATCGCGGCCAACCGGCGTCGCATCTCGGCCTTCCGCAGCGAGACGGAACAGAAGCGGGCCGAGCTCGCCGACCTCGGCTCCAAGCCGGCCGTGTTCCAGTCGACGCGCTGCGCCGTCTGCACGGCGCCCCTCGACCTGCCCGCGGTGCACTTCCTCTGCAAGCACAGCTTCCACCAGCGGTGCCTGCGCAGCGAGGGCGAGTGCCCGCAGTGCGCCAATGACAACGCGACGATCCGCGCGCTGCGCAGGACGCAGATTGAGACGGCGGGGAAGCATGAGCTGTTCAAGGCCGAGCTGGAGCGCAGCGAGGATCGGTTCGCGACGGTGGCTGAGTGGTTTGGTCGCGGCGTCATGGGAGCGCCTAATGCTGACACTGCGTAAATCCGCCCCGGAAAGGTTGGATGCCGCGACGTTTGCACCGGTTTGAGGGGAAGGCGTGTGTCTAAATGTGGACTTGGAGGGGGACCTGAGGGGACCGACTAATCGCGGTTCATCTCAAGTTATTGTCTTGGGACTTGGGCTCGAGCTGTAGTAGTGGGAATCGATCCGGCGTTGATTGGGAGAGAGGGAGGGGGTTAGCGGTGGTGGAGGAGGAGGATCGATGAACACATTGAAGAAGGTCGAGCTACTATGTTTGTATCGCGTAATACTATCATCTTCGCGGGGTCTTCCTTTTTTCCCTTACGGGGTAGACCTCTAGACGCAAATACCAGATTCCCCGCCCCGCCCTCACTAATGTTTTTGGTTGTTGGCCTCTCTCATCTAGTGACGTGGATTGCAGTAGTATGAGTGGCAACTGAGGAACTAACTAGCCTGGAGGGGGAGGAGGAGGATCTGCTACTTTGGGCCTCTTTTTTGGCCACGAGAAAATCTCCAATTTGGTCTGTCATCGTAGTGCCTTGGTCACGTTTGTCGTACTAGTTTGCTTCGCGTCTACTTCAGACTTTGTGCTTATGGATGTGATGAGTCCTGATGCTTGGTTCTTTGAAAGGGGACTGACTGGTCGGAAGTCGTATCTTGTTGTGCGGCGAGAAAAAAAAAAAAAAAAAAAGACCTTGCACAGTTGTCATCAATTTTATTTGATCCAGTTGGCCAGAATATTTGGTTCAACCACTCATGAATGATTCAAGATAGATGTGATTGATGGGTCAGTGAGGTTTCAAGAAAAGAGAGGCACTCAACCACAATGAAGGCCACGGAGAAGACACCAGGCATCATCACAAGTATAATCACACACAGGCAAGGCAATCCTCTTTTATGATACAATAAAAATTGTTCATCGCTCTATTGGCAGACGAATCTCCTCATCGTTTCTCTCTCGCTATCTGTGATTGGGTGGATGTACATGCAAAATATCCTCCACACAAGCGTCGAGAAACAAGACCGTCTTCCCTTCTGGAAGTAAACCACCAAATGATCAACACCCTCCACCATTACAAACACAAACCCTCCCGAGATCTCGCTGTCGATGCTGAAAACTGAATAAAAAAGGTGTTCAAACTTCTTGGGTGTGGAACGATGAGCCTATGACTATAGACCTTTATCCAAGTCCGACCTGCCCCACTGCCCTCACCTCACCAGAGACAAATGAAAATAGAGGAAGAGTCTAATTGTCGATGCATCCTCCTCTGTCCCATACGCCCCGAGGCCTCCCGTGGTGACCAAAGGGCCTCTTCGTCTCCTGGTGGACAATTTCCCCCGGCCTGCCTCCCGTAGTGCCCCCCTATCATTTCTCCCCCTTCGTAGCCACGTGTAGTCGTCTCAGTCTGCTCTGATGATTCATTCGCCAACTGTCATGGCACCTGAAAAAAAAGAGGAGCGTCGGGGCAAAAGACTCCGCCGTTGCAGTACTTCTCTACATGAAAAGGAAGCGCGCTCGAATCGAAACTGGCCGCACAAATGTGCCAGTAGGAAATGTGCAATCTGATTGCATGCTGTTCTTGGGATATGCTTTAAACAAGAAAACGGGGAATGTTCAAGCAATTGAACATGCAAGTGGAAAACTCAACAAGTCCGCCGGCTTCGTATGAATGCAATACTAGGAAAGCCGCCCGGAAATCCAGTGCACAGGTTGGAAAATGTATGGTTCAAGTTGAGTGTTTGTAGTAATGTACTCCTACCTAGGTAGGTAATTGCACGCTGTGCATGCTGAGATCAGTCGGCGTAGGTGATGACTTCTTCGCCGTGAATAACGACCTTCTTTGCCGTCTCCGTACTGGCAATGCTCGCGTTCGTATCACGTCGTCTTGCACCAAAATGTATCCGTTCGACGTGGTTGTTGGTTGATGGTTTCTTCTTCGTTTTTGCCATCAAAAGACCCTCGTCACTGTCGCTATCGTCGTCATTATCGTCTTGTGGTCGCAGTTCGGGGGTATGGTGGATGGGTGGCGGGCTCCTATAGATCGGGCTGGGTGTGATGCGAAGTGGTATCGGGACTGCGTTGAACGACGCATTGTGTTGCTCAAACCGTCCCTGTTGCTCATACTGTTCCAAGGGAAATCCAGCCATGGGCTCCTTAACATAGGCTGGAGGTGTTAGGGAATCTGTCGTCTCGAGCAAACCGGGTTTGTTATTGACAATAGTAGGCTCCACGGGTTCGGCATCTAGGTCGACGGATACCGAGCTGGCCCCGCTAAGAAGGGCGGGAAGCGAAGGATCAGATTGGAAGGCAAGCATCTCCTCCTTTGCATGGTGGTTGATAGACGAGACGGGACTTGCCACTTCGCTGGGGTTTGTAATAGGAGAGGCCAGGCCACCGACGGATGTCGAGCGTGAGGATTGTCGAGTTTCCATTGTGCCCTCGCGAGAAGGAGGTGGCGGCGTGCCAAAGAACTCATCGTCAGGCGAGAGAGGGCAAGGTACTTCGGTTGGATCAATCACGGCAATATCTGACCTAACGTCGTCAGGGGCCTGTTGCGCAAGACCTTCTGCGATTTGCTTGCGTTGCATCTCGCTTTTTGCGCGGGCGAACGATTCGGGAGTCGACGTGTTGTATGTGCGCGGGGGCGGCGTCCTTGCTTCCGGTACATCTCGCACGCTCTCGATCCTGTGTGCTGTCTGTGGTCTCTCCTCTAGATCGGCAGTGAGTCGTTGGTTTTCGTAGATATTCGAGTCCGACTGGGGTTGGCCGTGCTGGTAGCCAGTGACGGACCGAGACGAGAAGAACAGTGGGGAAGCTAAGCCGCTGGTAGCCTGCTTCGCCTTGCCCAAGTCGACCGACCGCATAGTACGAGGCTTGCCAGGTAAGCTGGGCATCCTGTGAAGGGTACCGGGCACACTCGCTGTGGTGACGCTCACTTGTGCTGGAGCGCGCTTGTCTTGTTCTCTGAACACGCCACGCTCGGCCGAGCGTGCCCGCAGAGCTTCTTCAGTCAAGGCTTCATATCCCCGTGTTTGCCGCATATCCTTCGACGGATCGTCGAGTGTAGTGTCGGCTACGAAAGGTGTTGGAGGTTGTGTCCTGACCTCAGGTAATCCGGCTGTCAGAGTCAAAAAGCTATTGCCGTTTGATGGGCTTTGGGAGTATCTCTGAAAAGGTTTGTAGAGTGGCGCTGTCCCAGGTATCGTTGACTGATCCGATGGCGACGCGGTGCCGCTATTTGTCCTAGATTCATTGTAGCTATTCTGGATCGCATGTAGAAGGGCGGCCCCTTGGCCTTTGGCGGGTTGAGCGATAGCGGTGGCGAGAGGGTCGTAGGGAGACTCGTAGGGAGAAACAGTCTGGCTGTGAACCAGAGGATGCTCAGAGCCACCAAAGGCAAAGTCTTTGACGTTTGAAAAATAGTCTTCGCTCTTGAGACTCTTTCTGCGTGCTTCTCTCGAGTGTGGCGTAGGCGGTACATTGTACATGCTGTCTCCAGCAGAGCTAGCAGCACTGCTGGCAGCCCTCCGCCGCGACCGGCTATCGCTTCGATCTCCTAAAGGGTGCATCAACTTTCCAACTGCCTTCTTCACGGTAGATCGTGCGCGTTCCAGGAAGGCAATGGGAACGACAGCATGGGCTGCCTCCTTGTCGTTGACCTGGACCCGCCTGCCTTGGTTTCTCGCTGGATCAGTTTCACTAACCCACGCTTGCGTGTTAGGAATGCCTTGCACAACCCAAGGATGGGTCTTGATGTCTTTCAGACGAATCCGCTTCTCCGGGTTTTTTGTAAACATCAGACGCATGAGGTCGTGTAAAAGGCCGCCGATGTCCTCGTAGGCCAGTTCGTTGTCGTCTCTGTAAGGGGGTACATTGTGCCGCTTGAAGAGAGATTCGGAGTTGGGAGGGGTAGAAGGGTCCACTGCCTTGAGCCGTTTGCGTGGAATGAAGACTTCCTCGGTGGCAATTTTTCGGAACATCTGCCACTCGTCTTCAGCCTGGAAAGGAATGCGTCCATAGATGAGGCAGTAGAGTGTAACACCAAGTGACCAAATATCGATCATCTCGGAGATTTTTGGTTGTTCCATGCGGTCCGCGTCAGTATAGCACAGTTCAGGTGCAAAGAACGCCGGGGTGCCAACTGTCTTGGCCAATTCAAGATCATCGTCAAAATCTTGTGCTTCGGATTCCGAGACTGTCTCATCGTCGGCCTCGCCCTCTCGAATGGGGCGGCCGAAGTACGAAACGCCGAAGTCGGAAATCTTGACGCGGTGGTCCTTGGTCCACAGCAGATTGGCAGGCTTGATATCCCTGTGTACGACACCTTGGTAGTGCAGGTACTCTAAGCCTAAGACAGTGTCTCGGAAAGTGGTTCTTGCCTGCTCGATGGTAAAGCACGGAACGTATGAAAAGTCTTCAGCAAAAGGGTCATGCATCCGAGAGTTCCAGTCGACCGAGGACATGTGCGAAATGATGGAATCGGCCATGCTGGGTGAACGACCTCGAAAGGCCGCATCTCCCATATAGGCACCATACATGGTTCCGTCGAGGGCGGTGGCTGAGCCTGGATTGCTTGACTGTAGCGGGCCTGGCGTCTCAATGTCGTCGGTATCGTCGATGGCTTCCTGGTCAAAGACGGCGTCGCGTATCGACTTGACAGACTGGGACCGCGATGGCACTCGAGACGTGGCCCGGGATGCCTGCAGCGAATTGGGTTGGGATCCTTCGCGCCCGGTGAACTCCAGAGCTCCCAAGTCATCCCTCGAGGGGACGCGGGATTGCGAGCCATAACTGGCGTCATCGGAAATGCCGTGCTCGATACTCCAGTGTTCGTGTGCGCCCATATTGGCTAGAGACATCCTTTCACGCTTTTTCTCCCGTATGGCATGCCGCTGTTCCATTAGTAGTTCGTAATGCTCCTCCTCTGGGGTGAGCGGCTGGCCTCTGGATTCTCTCTCGATGCGACGACGCTCGTGGTGGCAAATGTGCGGCAGACCCTTCTTTCTCCACACAACCTCGCCTAGCTCGACGTGTTCGAGAATCAAATAGATCTTTTTCAACTCCGGGTCGTCGATGATCTCCAACAGCGAGACGACATTGGGATGCCTCATCTTCTTGAGGATGGCAATCTCCCTCATCGTCTTTTCCTGCGGGGACATGGCCATGACCTTGCCGAGTCGGCGTCTCTTGGAGTACCGTGGGATAATCTTGATAGCCACATTTTCGCCCGTCTCGAGATTTCGGGCGAGCTTAACCTTTCCGTGGACGCCCCTGCCAATTTCTTCGATGACTTCATATTGGTTAATGAGTTTGCGGCCGGTGATACTGTCGGAATCAATCAGAGCTTTGTGCGTCCTGGTCCCCGACATGGTTAGCTTATCAGATAATCTTCCCCTTGTCGCGGGGTCCGCGGTTGGCCCCCGCTGTCGATTACGTAGTCACGATACCGCCTCGACTGGCAGAGTATCGATTCGCAATAGCTTTGTCCAACAGACGCCACGACGGCGGCATAGCACAGCAAGAGAAGAAGATTGGAACTCACTCTCTGACTTTGTGGTTCTGTAGTGGGTGAAGATAGGGACTGCTCGTCTCGACGTTCGGGGTGTTGGAGTCAGACGAAGGGTGAACCGGAAAGTTCATCTTCGGACGCGGGTTCGAGGGGCTGAAGAGCCCCGGAGAGGTCATCGGGGTGCTAGCGGAAGACCTCAAGGGCAGGGTGTTGGACGTAGGCGGCACAAGGGCCAGCAGATGAGGATTGTGAGAGTTCCTCTGTTGAGGAACAGACTGTTGTGGGTCCATAGTATGCGTGGGAGCGCTCGAGTTGGACTGGTCGGGGAAGTCTCAATCGGCGATTCGACATAATGAGGGGCGTGGGAGAACGAAGAACGAGGCTCGCACGGCGGCCGGAGAAGAGAATCGCAACGACGGTTCGGGCTCTAGATTGCCATGATCGCAGGAACGGTTCGATTGTGTGGTATTGGCGTAGATTTGGGTTGGGTGAGTGGCAGAGGTCGAAGAGCGACGTAAAAATCGTAGCAAAACCGCAGTAAGAGGGAGAAGGTTTGGACGGGAGGATGAGCCGCGATGGTATGAGGGAGAAAGCCGGTTTGCAGGTTCGTTGTCGGTGAGTCGAAATAGTCGTCCGGAAGACTCGCTGGCAAAAAGGTAAAGTGCTGAGGCAAGACGCAGCCGGGATGCAAGATGAAGTATTGCAAAGCGATGTGAAGTCAAAAAAGATGGATGGGCAAACGGAGGACAAAACCCGGGGGGGCTCGAAAGGTTGGCGAGGTACTTCCGGGGGGGTGAGGGGACTAAAAGACGAGGGGAGGAACAAGACGAGGGATCTCAGTCTTTTTTTGGTGTGGTGGGTGTGGATGCGAAAAGCCAAGCAAGGCGAAGCCAGGCAAGGTTGGGAGGAGGGGAGGCAATAGTGCACAGTATGAGAGTACCTAGCGCGAGCCAGAAGACTCCGTGAGTGTGTGAGTATGTGTGAGTGTGTGGTGTGTGGTGTGTGGTGTGTGAGAGGGAGGGAGAGGGGTCCGGGGTCGGGTCGGGATTCTGACTGTGTGAGAGTGTTCCCGCTGCCGGTGCTTGCTAGTTGGTGTTGGTGTTGGTGTTGGTGGTGACGGTGATAGTGATGGTGTGTGGAGGAGCGAATTGGGAAACGGATGGGGACGCAGGCTTGGCGTTTGGCGTTAGCTTCTCTCTTTTTTTTTTCCCTTTGGGAGAGGGGAGGAATTAGTGGTGGGCGCGCAAGAGTGGGACATTCACACGCTCCGCAGCGACTCCCATTTGGTTTCGGGTCACCGGGAATGGTGGAGGGCGAAGACACGACGGGCTCCCAGGCACTCGACAGTGGACGATACTAGGTATATCTGCTGCTCTCTTCCCTGTGTGTATTTGTACGTGTTAAGTTTGTAATAGAGATGATTGGAGGGGGCCGGAAAGGTCAAGAAGGAGGGGGCGGGCGGCGGCGGCGGCGGGCAAGGAGACAGGACCTGGGAGGGCGAGATGGCGAAGTAGGTAGGCCGTACGCTATAGGCGCGGCGCCCGCAGTGGAGTCCCTTTTTGGTTGGATTTGGACGGAGCCTGCACTTTTCTTTGCTTCTTCATCTTCGTCTACTTCGACTTCTTCCCGCCGTGCCGTCGCTCTCACTTCCTCGCTATAAGTCTCGCGCTTTCGCACAGGTCTTTATGCAGCATTAAGACGGGATGACGGGATAACGGGAGGAAGAGGGATACTGCAAAGAAAGAGAGGGCCGGGAAGGAGGGGCGTCGGTACCGTGCTCAGAGGACAGAAGACACAGTACGCAGTATTTGTGTCTGTGCCTCGACGCGGCTGACTACCTCCTGATTGGTCCCGATAGCAGAGTAGGCTTTATCTGGAGTGGGTCTTCTAGATCCGGAATGGCGTCGTGTCGGTGTGATGCTGGTGGATATCCGCACAGGTCACCGCTTGGAATCCCTCTCCTTCCCATAGATTGCTGCAGAGATAAGAAGCATCCGCACCCGGTCGCACAACGAGGCGCAAGCACGGCCCAAGGCACGTTCGAAGCCATGATCCTGCAGTAGGGTACCTTCCACGAGGTAGGGAGGTAGTGCTTGCCCATGCCCGACTTCACGCAGTACGTACCTAATCATATTACATGGCGAGATGCCCAATGCCCTCGGGTAGGCCGTCGTTTGACTCCCAGAGATCCTCAACACATTTGCTCATATTGCGTATGGAGGATATGGCGTACAAAGTCATTGACAACCTTGCCTTATCTCAGTGGTCAAGGCAAAATCATGCATGCTCACGGTATATTCGAACATCATCAAACAATATGGCCGGGGAGCCTACCGACGCCGTGCGTGGCTCAATTTCTGCATCTTAATGACACCTCACCCGACATAGCAGCCTCACCCTGTCGTCGCCATGCAGCAATGTCTAGGTACGCAAACTAGGCTCTCATCTCGTCCCATCATTACGAGCAACCAAATGCCCTTGGCAATTTACCATCTTAGTGCGCTGTGGCTTCTCGTCTGGGCCCTCCCATGTGCGGCTTGGCCGTCGTCGTATGTAGTCACGTGGCAGTATACGCCTCTCCCCTCTATCTGAAGCTCAGCTTCCATTCTTCGTGGACGCGATAATCATCAAAGTCTAGGGCAACCGGCCGGAAACTGACAGGTCGAGGCACGTCAGCTTGCTCGGCTCAGCAGGGACGTGCGATACTGAGCCAGGATGGGCAGCTCTCAGGTTCCCAGCATCTGTCCACCTGCTACGTAATGCTGCACTTTACTTGCCGACGATGTGCCCCGTCGCGTCCGCTCTAGGAGCGTTTCGATTCTATTCCTCCTGCCCTCCTCCACCATGCCCTCCGTTTCTTGCCTCACCGTCACATCCCCTCCCCGAGTCTCGATGGCGCATCAATCTTCAGAGAACCAAGAAAACCCCATACAGTCTAGGACTCCAGTCAGGTACGAATGGATCCTGATACGACCCGGCAGCCGCACATGCCTCGCACCACGTCGCGTGCTCCATCTAATTGGCCTCCTGCGTGCTTGCATATGTATGGATACCGTGCTCCAGTCCGGAGCGCTGTTCCTTGCAAAAGAGACAACTCGCACACCTGGGAACAGGTTGTGTGCTGTCTTGGCCAAACCACCAAACCAGGAAAGGCAGCGAGCTGTGGGCTGCGGTGCTGTCTTACCTGGCGAGCGCAGGGGTCCAAGACGGATAGGCAAGGATGACCGACGTTTGGCCCGTGCTGCGGCTGTTAGACCAGGATAAAATAAAAACAAAATAAAACCAAACCAAACCAAATAAAAAGGTGAAGACTAAATTTTTGACGGCAGACTTTGGGGAGGTGGCAGCTTGAGACGGGTAAGCCTCGAAAGAGAAGCGGCCCAAATGCTCACCATCCCGACAAAGGAACGTACCGCTCTGGTTTTTAAGGGCTAGAGCGGGGATAACGGGACCACGACCGGGGCCGGGGTAGGGACTGGGGTGGGAGCAAGGGCAAGGGCAGCAGCTACGGAGAAAGGGAAAGAGGGACTTCCGACCAGGTTCCTTGCCTTATCGCGCCATGATCTGCAACTCGTCTTTGGCCCGCTGGAGCCTCTCACCTTTTTTCGCGACATGCGCCGACGACGAGGCACGTAGGTACCGTCCTCCCCGCCGTTGCCCTGAAAGGTACCAAGTAAGGCCAAGTAAGGTACCTAAGGTATCCTCTTGCCTTTTGCCGTACCGACACCACAACCCTGGAGCGTCCTCAAGAAAAGAAGAAGAAAAGAAAAGGGAAGAAGGAACAATGTCCTTCTCACCTCTACAATGTTCTCACCTGTCCGTCTGTTGGAAATCTGCACAATCAGTCCCAACTGTACGTAAATCCTTGGCGTCAAAAGGTTGGGGCACACACCCCAGAGCCCATGGACGTCCATACGTCTCCGGCCATGGTGCCTTGAGAGGAATGCACCCGCTCAAGACATGCTCCGCTTGGCAGTGACACACGCGCGATGCAGATGTCGTCGACGACTAGAGTCAACTCAGTCAAGTCTCCGACCTGCGGCAAATCTGCAAGACAAGACAGCTAAGTTGCTCGACACCAAGACATTCAAATGCCAACGCTGGCAGTGACAGCCCCAATCGAACAAAGAACCACCCATGCTGGATCGACTTGCGCTACGCCTCCCCGCGTGTCGTGTGTTTCTCGTGTGTCTTTCTTCCACTGACTTTCCCCAAGTCATTACCTTATTACACAGTAGTACTTGACGATAGTCTTTACGTCTGAATGACTTTTCCAACCGGCGGCCAGCATGTCGGTGACGAACACGGCACTTTTGGGGGACAAATCCCACCTCTTCGGTCCCAATCATTCAACAGTTTGCCAATGGCCGATGCAAACACAGTTAACACCCAGAACCAGCGACCCAACCCGAACGGAGCCTGGTCCGTCTTCGGGGAATTGGCATGTTGTTGTCCTTGCCGTTACCATTGTCATCACTCTGTGGCAATGGGCTGGGCCCCCATCCAGATTCCGGCTACCTGACGTTATTCCCCTGTTCCGACGTCTCCCTAGCTCCCGGATTGTCACCAATTCTCAAAGGCGGTCCTCGATCCACGTTCATTGAGCCCCCCCTCTTCTACCAACAAACGTACAAACGCGCGTGCCACAACTGGCCGCTCCTCCACAACTTCACCACAGCGCTACGGATACAGTACACAGTACCCATTTGGCCGTCCAATTCGTTGAGCAGCCTAGGTGTAGCGGCGGCCGGCGGCGGCGACTATCCACTTGTTGGCGGCCCAAGAGCCGGCTGCGTAGTTATGACGAGGAATGCCAGAGCCAAAGTGCTGTTCATGGAGAGCACGCCCTCGGGTGTGGATGGCGCGGAGGAGCATCCGGCAGATCAGAATCTAGATTTCCTGAAGCCGTCCTTCCAAGGCTGTCGCGCCCGCAAGCCTGAAGCTTCCTCCTGTCACCTTGCGGCACACAAAGAACGCGCGCATGGAGGTGGCTCATCCCGTCTTTCTTTGACAAGGTCCGACACCAACGGGTGGAAACGAAACCTTGATAGCACCACGAACAGACGACTATGAGCATTAAACCTACAAGCCTGCAGTTGTCAATGGAACAGCCACCTGTCGCTAAGAAATCGCCGCGCATGCTGTTCTTTGGCACTGGTCCAAATCCCACATCTTGAACTCGCCGCTACCAGTCAGCTTTGAACAACTGCAAAGTATCCGTATGCTCCGCACCATAACCGCAAAGGCACGCACATGCAACTGTCCTCCTCCAGGCTCACTCGGCGGCATGGCCATTGGACGATGTCAGCGCCCTCTGCGGCGCTCATTCGTCGCTTGGTTTCGGAGCTGCATCACTTCGGTCTCTGCATGCTTCCTTCTTGGACAAACTTGGACGCCACGGACGAGACCCTATTGCAGCATCCGCATTATCCTCGAATTGACTAGAGCGACAGGAGAAACCCGCAGCCGGCAGTCAACCTAGTCGGCAGAACAGAACAAGCCCAGCATCTGGTCAGTCTAATTTCCCAGTCTACCTTGCTCTGTGTGCCCACATCGAACGTCTCTTGGCCAAGACGTCGGGCGCCCGCTCACACTGCCAAGCTTCGGACTTGTAAACGCCAGTGAGGATTCGGCAGTAGCAACTACGGCGATGCAGACGTTCCACTGCATCCTTGATTGCAACAAACTATGAACACAATTGTCACAGGCGCGGTAAAGGCTTAGCGCTGGCTTGACAAGATGCCGGTGTCATGCAATGGCCTGATGCCCTGCAGTGACTTCTGCTTCCAAGCTCGTGAGCCGCGTTTCACTCGACTTGTCCCAGAATACGGAAATCTTCGCAGGGCATGTTGGCAGCTGATGGTTGGTTTTGTCCGTGCCATGAGGCGCCCGTTATCAGTTGAAGGGAGAGCCATCTCAAGCAACTCTCCCCCTTAGCGCTATCGACGGTTCAACGCCTTGTCATCGTTGACTGCTTGCTCCATGGCCATCAATTGAGTAACGACTCAGCGTCCCGTCGATCGAGGCAGTGAATGCCGTTTTCTCCGTTTACATGGATGAGGGGGCTGGTTTTCGACGCACACCGGATGAGTCGACCACTCAGAGTCAATGAAACTACCAATCGATCGATCAGGGGCGGCGCTCGCACCAAGCTAAAGTGAAGTAGGATAGACCCTGGCTCAGTCATGGACGAACCGACTCGAGTCTTGCTTCATCGCCGGTATTGCCGCTGTAGTTGATTTCATTGAGTTTACACCATAACCATGCATGCTTTGATCCCTCGGAAGAACTGCTCCTTTATTGCAACCTAACGCCTGCTGCAGAAGACTCCAGATCAAGCACGATCGTCATCTCGGTGGTCTTGGAATTCCCCTCGTCCATGAAGCATGCCACCTTGCCAACATGAAAGTCGGAGCGAGAGATGCTTGGAGCGTCACCTTTCTTTTCCCGCTTGGCCGTTCCCCTGATGGTCATGGTTTTTCTGCTGTTTTTCCTCGCGGCCCAACGGTTTCCACATCCAGCGCAGCTTGCATCAAAGTCACCAGCCGCAATTTCAAGGACCGACACGGCCAAGACCAGCATCAAGGAGCGAATATGGGAGCAAACCCAGATGAGTCTTCAACGGCCAGGGGCATGCCTAGGAACTCATGCAAACATATTAAGCTCGAAGCAAGTCTCCAGCTGCTCCGAGCTCGCATTCAGCGTCAAGAGACGCGACATCGTTTACTCAGTCGCCGACCCGCCACTCTCTGCCGGAAGCGCCCCCGGCGCCGGTACCCATTTCGTGGGGAGCACAAAACCACCTCCCTCGAGGACACTGCCTTATCAAAGTGAGTGATAAGCCTGTATCACGTCAATCATATCCACAGCGGACGACAATGTCACGCGACAAGATCTCCAGGAACTATAGAGAAAAAACCAAACTCTCTCGAGAGATTGTGGCAGTCGCCCACCCTCCCTACAGTGGCACGAACAACAAAGGTGAACAAGAGTGCAGGAACCGTAAGCCTGGGTCATCGAAGGGGCATTAGCTTGATCAGCAATACTACTGGAGTTGCCATTCGATTGGACAATGCGGTTCAAGCCAAAGAAAGGCCCCGAGCCAGGGCTACTTCGACGAGAAGCGATCGGATTTGGGGACAGCAGGTTCCGTTAGATCACCCGATCCGGGTTAGCATCGCGCGCCGGCTGGCCATGTCAGTCTCGGGAAGAGACGGCACCGTGGGGAGCCACGTACACGGTACCGCTGGCTGTTCGCCCATTGCCTTCCGGCACAATTGCTCGTATATCTCTCGTTAAGATCGAGGATGCTACGGCGTGCCGGGACATGGTCTCGAACAATCTACCCGATGCCCATCATTCTCACTGGTGAGCACCGAGCCGGCGGCGGTCGAGACTGGGTCGGCTGGATTCAGAGAAAAGCTCCATCCGTCACAGTCAGGTCACAATTTCTCCGGTGCCTTTTGCCCTCCCTGTCTAGCGCTTCTGGGATTTGGGCCTCTGCTTGAATGTGTCGGCGATCATCGCCTACCCCTGGTTAACTCGGACTCAGCAGTATTGGATTAGGCCCACTCCGCCGAGCAAGATTTTAAGAAATTTCATTCGGCCGTTCGTTTCTTGTTGCGTTTGATGCTTTGCATGCGACGAGGTACGCATCGACCAACTCATACTGGCACACTACTGTACGGATACACTATGTACCTGGGAAAATACCTCCTGTTTTTGTGCCTCTGGTCTCGGGAGGTTATATCATGGCAAAGGCAGATCAATCACGGACCAACTCTTATTATCCTTACCAGCCACTGAGACCCGCGGATCTCGTCTTTGGCTGAGTTTTCGACGATCCCACGCCAGAGAAGTGTTCCACCACGTTCCCGACTCGGTCACAGTCCAAACGCTCCCAACTCAAGTGCGCCGCTCGTCTTACCCAACTCAACGAACCCCAAGTAACCGCCCCGTTGGACGGTTGTACTACGTACTCATCATTGGGTCCATTTCACCACCCCTCAAGCCAGCCATGGGTCGCCTCCAATAGCCGGCTCCACTGCCTCTTGGTGGAAAAGACGTCCCGCCTTAATTCAGCAATGTGTGAGGCAAGAGATGGGTGCATCGTGGGCCTCGAACCTGGGCGATCACGAACTACTGGCCGGAAAGGACATGAGGGTCCAAAATCTAGAATAGTCTACGATGCGGTTCCTCGTCCCTGCCGAGCTTCATTGCCGTGTCTCCATAAAACGTTCGCGAGCCCCACCAAAACGAGTGAAGCTCACGATGCTTCTGCCTCAGCACGCCTCCAGGGACGGCTGGGTGGTCTCACCGGTGAGAATGCTTCCCTGCAACGAACCCGAAAGGAAAACCTACGTGGCAGGAGACCAGGGGCTTTGGGACCAATTACCAAACAAGTCTTGGGCCAGAAAAATCTCACGATGGCTTCGCTTTGGCATTCCCTCCCGACGCCCGGGGACAACCCCCTCTTGGCCACGGGGTCAAGCCTGCTCCAAATGGCCCGGTCCAGACTAAGACAGCCAGCCGCAGATTGCGGAGAAGAGGGAGGTAAGGACAGGGCCTGCGATTGTCGGCGGCGTGTCCGTCAAGAAACCCCCAATCGCTGGGCTGGTCTGACTTTGCACAGCTGAATCTGTGGACAAACGCGGACATCTGCTGCTTGCGGCGTAGCTTGCAGCGAGAAGAACGAATTGCATGTTGCAGGCTCAAAGTGCATCACCATAACAATCCATTCAATTACCCGACTGCTCGTGAGGTTGCAGATAAAGGCTAGGGACAAGAAGGCCCAAAGAAGAGGTTGGGGAGACAGGACTAGGTAATGCCCTGTCGTCGACCGTGAAGTTGTACCGCCTGCGCTATCCGCTGCCCAAGCACTAGTCCGTCGTCGTCAACCACTGCCACCCGGAATGCGCGAGTCTGAGTCGTGCCTTGCTTCCTCGCACACAGACCAATGTTGTTGGTCTCTGCTCTTCGGGTTATTTTGGTTTTTTTCTTTTTTTTTTCCTGTTCGTCCCGCCCTAAGCGACGCCGCCACTGATGCGCCGCCACGAGAGTGGAACGCGCGCACATTGAGGAGCAACACCATGCATCATGCTATCTGCAAGTCGGCGGGAGCTAAGACATTCAGACAAGACAAGTCGTCCATCCCAGTTCCTCCTATACACCACGCAAATAGGAGCTTGCTACGGTTTATCTTGTCTAGTGAGAACCCCCCCTCCCCCCTCTCCCGCCGGTGGACGTCGATTCTGTAGTAGGATCCGAGAATGGGATCAGCTCGATGCAGGCTAGCATTAGGTAGCTTCCCAAACGGCAGGATGTTTCGCCGGCGACGCTCTCTCCTCTTTTAGAAGTTGGTTTTTCTTCAAGAGTCTCGGGTAATAGTCATTTGTGAGCTAAATACCTACATCCCAAGAGGGCTTCCGCAGAATATGACTGCTCAAATTTGAAGCCTCTTTTGACCTCCACCGTTTGAAGACCACCAGCTGGCATTTACCTGGTATGGCGTTGCAGTCAATGGCACTGTGCCTCTTTTGGGCTCTTGTAGTCTTTACCCATCGCCCCCCTCCTCGCCCATCACACCTTGTGCGTGGAGCTGGGGTTTAGCATGTGCCCCGTCATATTTCCCACTGTCTCTCCCATGTCGTCGAACTGCTATAGCCAGTCCCCCTTCTCGCCACTAGGTAGAGCGGCTTGCGCGCCTCCGCTCCGCACTCCAGACGTACAAGTTGTGTGCACTGGCGTGGATGTGTCAAAATATCAGACGTCTGGGGAAAAGTGTGGGAGGCCGGAAGCCGCTCGACTAAAGTAGCGGCGGCAGCCGTGGGGTTTTCCCATCCCCAGGCATCGGAACAGGGAAACACCTCTTTTTCCATCTGTTCATCACGGCATCATTTGCTCGCTGGCTGGCGGGCAGCTTACTTATTGAGCCCATCCCACCATGTCTACACCATCAAACACATACTGTCCAGCACCAGCTCTTCCCTCCCCCATTTCCAAAGCGAAAGGGGCTGATCCGTCTTCGGACCAAAGCTCCGTTGGCAGGACTTGACTCGTTATGACGATCGGGTCGAAGGGGGGAAGGGAGGTAGCCTTCAATTATTTCCAGTAGAAAGGAAAATTCCGTGAATGAATGATGCAAGATGCTGTCGGCCGTCGCGCGCCTTCTGGCACCATCCCCGCTGGCCTGCCGCCGCGGGGCCCAGAAAAGCAACATGTGAATCTGGGGTACGGAAAGGGGTGGGAAGGAGTCCTGTCTGGAGACCGAGGTGTGGGATGTGCGGAGGGCCGTACGGTCGCGATTATTCGTCGAAACGGCGTTCCGTAGCACTTTGAAGGCGAGGAATCACACCGATTTGGCGCTGACCTAAGATGTGATTCCCTATCTGTCAATCTCACTCCATCTCTCTCAGTCTTGATGCTATTCTATTGGTATCCAAGGTCTGGGCGGGCAGTTGATTGGCTTGACACACCGGTCGACCACTTTTCCATCATCCCCCCCTCCCTTCCGGCCCGGTGTGATACGGCTCCCTTCTCCTCCGCATTGATTGCCCATCCGATGGACCCGATGCAACCCGCACCTCCGGGTCTCCAAATGTCTCGGTTACGTAGCTCTGGATTGGCTAGTTTCTCTCATCACTTATCGCAGGTGGCCAGGACGAGAACAAGTATACAGGAGTTGAAAAATGAATAACGGTATCGACGGTGATCGGCTGGATCAGGGTCGAGTTTGTCTTTAGGGTGGCATGCGCATGTCTGAGTGAGCAGGCCATGATTTATGGTGCTCCGACGCCTAGCATCCGATGAGACTTACGAATACGATGTACCGTGGTAGACCTGAAGTGGGTGTTTTTGTAGGTTCAGAACGCCTAGACCGACTAGTGGAGTTGGTCGGAGAGATGGGTTGAGTGGGTGTGGTGGTGTTCTCCATGGCTGCTGCTGCTGCTGCTGCTGCACGTCATCCCATTTTGCCAATGGTCTGTCTGGTCGGGGGGTTCTTGGATCTAGAATCGCAAACCCCTTTTTTGATATCGAACTTGCTTGCAGAGTTACCTTTTTCTTCCCCCTTGCTTTTCCCTGCTAGATGTCCTGGATATGGTCTAGTCCTGCGGGCCAAACAATGAAGATTCACTCAGCGCTCTTGTTCTTGTTCTTATTCTTGGTCTTAGACCCTGCCTGCCTCCCTTTCGGAGCGGTTTATCTTACTAGTTGACCAAGTTCGAGGATTGAGAAGGAGGGGGCGGTGATGGAATGTCAGATTGTCACTGCAGAAATTCCAAGCTGGGTGGCCGCCCACCCCCCCTTCTTCTCGCTCAAGTTACACCGGAAGGGTAGGACAAGAGAGAAAAGGGTTTGTTTCTGTTAGAGAAGTGATGAAAGGGAGAACATGACGACGAGGGATGTTTCCTGTTGAGGTGACGAGATAAGACTGGAGGAGGGAAGACGTGTGCACTTACACACACACACACATTCAGAGTATAGGCAATACATGTGATGGTATGACGGGTACAGAGGGGGTAGGTAGGTAGATAGGTGTAGGGGAAGCAGGTGCGATAAGAAGCCGCCATTACCTTTCTACTCTGCTTGTCGCTGCGGATGTCTCGGTCGCCCGCCCCTCCCAAGGCTCGGTGTATTGGTCCTTCTTTGGGATGGAAGCACGGCAGGTTTGTTTTTTTTGGTCATCGACTCACATGTCGAATGGGCGGCAACGACGTTTCGCTCGCTTGGTCAGCTTTTGAAAGAGGAGCCCCGAGGACGTGGTTTGCCGCTGACCGAGTCTAGTCTTTGCACCCTGCAGCCACACCTTTTTCTTACCTTGCTCTCTTGACGTTTGCTCTACTTCTCTTGGTGCCTAGGTAGGATTTTTGTTTTCTCCCCCGCCATGTCATGTCCCCCTTTGGCAGACTATCGGTCCTGTGCGATGGGCGGCTAAGAACGGTTCTGTTCATCTCTCTCTCTCTCTGTGTGTGTCTACCTGTCTCTTTGTTTCGCTGGTTTTTTGCGGGGTGGTGGTGGTGGTGGTGGCACTTACATCAGCATGTGACGAACCACCCCCGATCGATCCTACCTTGGTGCTAGCTGGATTTCTAGACGGCGCGTACACACGCGAGGATTCGGTTGGAAGGTTTGCTACAATGTGAGAAAGAGGTGGCTTTCAGGGTCTCTTTCCGTCGAATGTGGCCACGTCATTGTAGTTTGTCGGTCGCTGTGGCTGGACCACTCTAGGAAAGCAAAGACGGAGTGTGTGGGCAAAAAAACACAGGGTGAACTACCGCTTTGTGGCGAAGGGACTGACTTTTTGACTGCCAACACGTTTTTAAGGGGGGGGAGGCGTGACTTGGTTGGTGATGTCTCATTCACCAGCCCCCTTTCTTTCCGCCTCGTGAGCCTCCTTCTTATCGCCGGTCCAAACTCGTGATGTGGGAAAGTGAAGATGAGGGATGGGTTTGGGTTTGGGTGGTGGCGGGATTGTGGCACTGTGGCATTGTGGCACGCTCTGTCTGTTCTTTACCCCTTCTTCAAGTCGTTGCACCGTCAGAAACTGCTTCGGTATCTTAGTAGGTAAGCGGGAGCATGCCGGGTGCTTCGTCTGTCTCAGTAGACGGGCCTCCTTAGGTGAACTCTCATCCTGTCTCATGTTATGGGTCTTGGATGTCGACGGGAATGAAACACGCTCCCGACTCCATTGGGTACGAGCTTTATGATTTGGAAAAGGAGATAGTTGTGGGTGAGGTCTCGCTTTTGTTGTCTCATTGCCTCACTGTCGATCTGCTCATGTAAATGCAAGTAACAACGCGGGTATCGAGAATGGTGGGATGGTTGATGGGACGTTGCAGACGTGAGAATTGCTGAGGACGAATACTAATCCTAAAATGCCGGGATGCTCACATGTCTGGTGCTTCATTTGAAGTTGTTGGGAGCCGCTTTGGGTGGGTGTGCTGAGTAGAGCTGGTTGGTGTTCTGTAGATGCCATGTGGGAGGGGCGGATTTTCTTGTCTTGCTCATTTCTTGGTTTCCTCGGCATGAATATTCCTCGTCACATGTGCTCACCGACGGCATATCCCTTTGCTCGATCGATGGGTACGAGATGATGTCGCGTAGCGAGATGTCGGTTTCGGTGTCCATTACCAATCAAGTTTTCCATGTCTTCACGGTGACCTGCTGCAGCGAGACTACAGAAAATTACTAGAAACAGATTGTCCTAGAGGTAGATCCCAACGATAGTCTGATGAGCTGGTAAAGGTACTGAAACCTCAGCCTCCAGTCCAGCTTGGCGATATGAGACCCAGACGTCGAGCTGGTTCAGAAACACAACGCAATCGAGGAGTTTACTCATGGAAGACCTAAACATCCAAGGACCTAACAGAGAAGCCAAAACTGTGTGCTAGTGAGCCAGGAAACGGGAACAGCGAAGCAGCACAACTTCAATACTAGACAACAATAGCCTTGTGCCGGGGGCGATGGCCCAGTCGCAGTCTGGGCCTTCACACGGTGACATGCTGACATGCCTCGAACGAAACGTAAGCAACGGTCGAGAGACGAATTACAAATATGAAAGATCTTCTCATTCCCGGTCGGCCACAGTGCGCTGCCGTAGGCTTGCCGTGCCAGGTGGAGTATCATACACTCTTTCTATCCCACAATCTCCGTATTATACATGATCCAAGATACTACAGATGGAACCACTAAGGCCTGAGGTTACTTTCCTTTCCACTTCCCAGCACAGCGTTCATCCACTCTCCCACGGTCGAGGCGTCGCCTTGGTCTAAACCATCTGCTTGCAGACGCTGTGCCCAGTCCATGACCTCCCAGATTTGGGTGCTGATCATGGACTCTGAGAGCTTGCTCGAGTCTTGACTGGAGGCCAACCCGGATAGAGAGAAAGTTTGGATGAGGCCGTGGCGGGCTTCGAATGTGAGGGTAAACTGGAATCAATTAGTTGATTATGTTGGATGAATGGTAAATGTGTCTGGGCATCACGGGTTGGAGCTAGCTTGAACAGAAAAGATCGATGAAAGACTGCGGATGGAAAAAGTGTACTCACGTTCCCTGGGAGCCGAGGACGTTCCCGCGTGTCGTCTGCTGAGGGGTGTGTGGAAAAGGTGAACAGAGGGGTTTGGCCGTATGTCCATTCCCGCGACTATGCGGCTCATTAGTTTCTGATGTTGTCACCTTTCCGAATGCTTTTCCGACAATGGTATAGCATACTCGAAAGGTCCCCCTACTATCGCCGAAGAAGAAGAAGAGGAGACGAATGAATGCCGGCTTACCTTTAGCTCCTTGATTCCCTTCGTAACCTTTTCCTCTCCGAGAGCATCCCGATCACCTAATTCTTCGCGAACGTCGAAATCGCCGTACATCTTTCCAAACTCGCTAACCACCGCGTCTTCAAACTTTGACGTGTCGGTGATGCCGACGTTGCGGATGCGTGAGCGGACGCTCTCGACGCCGCGGGCCTTGATGAAGGGTTCGGCGGGAGACCGCAGGAAGTTGCCGATGCGCGGGAGGTTCGGGGACGAGAGAAGGCATGTTCCGTGGTGCAGGGAGCGGAGGCGTGTGAGCTTGTACGCCGAGCCGGAGATCTTGAATGTGTTTTCCGCGTTTACTTTTGGCTTGGCGCACGATGCTGTCGTGGGGGAGGAGGAGGAGGCGGCAGCGTTACCACCTGCAGCCGCCGATGCATTGGCAGAGGTTCCTGAAGAGGAAGGGGGAGGGGGCAGAGTCATGACAATGTCATGGCGGCAGTTGACGGCGGCGCCCTCGACGCCGAGGGAGCGCAGGGCGCGGACGACCATCTCCGCGTGGGTGTCGCGGTCAAAGTTTGCGGGCGGGCATATGACGGAGTAATTCACGTTGCCCTCGTCGTGGAATACTGTTCCGCCTCCGCTGCGGCGGCGGACGAGATCGACGGCACCCTGGCTGCTTAGAGACCGCAGGAGCGGGAGGTTGACCTCGAGCCACGGGTTCTGGTTGCGGCCGATGACGATGCTGGGGCGGTTTGTGTACAGAAAGAGAACGGTCGAGTCGGACGGGGTCGTTTGGAGGAGATGGTGCTCGATCGAGAGGTTCACGTAGGGGTCGCGGGAGTTTGAGGTGTAGACTTGAGTCTTTGAATTTGGCGAGGCGGCGAGAGCGGAGAAGAGACGAGATTGGCGGTATGGATGATGTATTGAGGGTCTAACTCGGAACACGTTTCCGGGGATGCTGCGTAGTGACAGCATCATGAGGGTTTGCCGGTGGTTTGGATTAGATGGGCTCGATGACGCTTTCAGGTTGACATTTTCATGGGCCCCTATCAATAATGGAGTAGGCCAGTTTCATCCAAGAATGGATACAGTCGTGATCTGTATCTCTGTAAGTCATATAGCTCAGTTCGCTCGATGAGCTATCAAGTGCGAGAAGTTACTGTTTAGGCAGTTATTTCTGCCATGTAAATGCGGAATGGGTGAGTGAGCAACGCGTTGAGATGAGGTTCTCACTAAATTGCATCTAACAGAGTCCACTTTCTGATTATGCCGCCTACCCCTGTAGGAACAAGACCCACCCTATTAACGGGGCAATTCAACTACATCATAGAAAACCCCTCCACCCCGCAGAATTGGCCCGATTTCTCTCTGGATTGACTCACCGAACATCGGCCCAGACAATTTTCCAAACTTACATACCTCTCCTCGCCTCACACACCTCCGATCCCCCCCTTTATAGCGGCAGAAAAAATGTCAACGTTCGGTTCTTACTTCAAGGTCACGACGTGCGTCGCCTCCTCCGACCTGATTCCTGTCCGTCTCGTGGCCAACTGTGGACTAACATAAGATGCCCCCTTGCGCAGCTACGGCGAGTCCCACGGCAAATCCGTTGGCGTCATTGTCGATGGCGTCCCGCCCGGCATGGCTCTGACCGAGTCCGACATTCAGCCTCAGCTGAACCGCCGCCGCCCCGGCCAGAGCTCAATCACGACGCCCCGAAACGAAAAGGACCGCGTCGTCATTCAGAGCGGTACCGAGTTCGGCGTCACCCTCGGCACCCCGATTGGCATGCTCGTCCAGAACGAGGACCAGCGGCCCAAGGACTACGGCAACTCCACGATGGACATGTTTCCCCGCCCTTCCCACGCCGACTGGACCTACCTCGAGAAGTATGGCGTCAAGGCCTCCTCCGGTGGCGGCCGCTCCTCGGCCCGCGAGACAATTGCCCGCGTCGCCGCCGGCGCCCTCGCCGAGAAGTACCTCCGCGAAGCCTACGGCACCGAGATCACTGCCTTCACCACCAGTGTCGGCAATTGCCACCTCTTCCCCCCAACCCCCGAGCACCCGAGCCCCTCGACAAACCCCGCCTTCCTCTCGCTCCTCAATACCGTCGACCGTAAAACCGTCGACCAATTCCTCCCCGTCCGCTGCCCGCACGGGGAAACCAACGAGAAGATGATTGACCTCATCAGCGACTTCAAGGCGCGCGATGACAGCATCGGCGGCACCGTCACCTGCGTCATCCGCAATCCTCCCTCGGCGCTGGGCGAGCCCTGCTTCGACAAGCTCGAAGCGCAGCTCGCGCACGCCATGCTCAGCATCCCCGCCACCAAGGGCTTCGAGATTGGCTCAGGTTTCGGCGGTTGCGAGATCCCCGGCTCCCAGCACAACGACGCCTTCATCAAGGCGCCCGAGACCGAGCTCGAGGCCAATGCCCAGCGCGTGGGCATCCCTCGGTCGAAGCTGACCACCAAAACCAACTACTCTGGCGGTATCCAGGGTGGTATCTCCAACGGCGCGCCCATTTACTTCCGCGTCGCATTCAAGCCCCCCGCGACCATTGGGGTGGACCAGACGACGGCGACCTACGATGGTTCAGAGGAGGGCGTGTTGGCCGCCAAGGGCCGCCATGACCCTTGCGTCGTACCCCGTGCGATCCCCATCGTTGAGGGTATGGCGGCAATTGTTCTTTTGGACGCGCTCATGGCGCAGCACGCGAGACAGATGACGAAGAGCCTGCTGCCACCCATCAAGAGGGAGAACGGAAAGGCGTAAGCTGGTGTGAAAACTGAGATGTGTTGTAAATACGGGCATTAAAAGCAAATTCATGATGAGATTCCCCTTTTCCGGTTGTCAGCGAACAGTCTTTTTTTCCTCCCCTGTGCATTATCTTGTACTAAATGATGTGACACGTTGAATGAATGAGTGACTCATCTCACAACTCCTCCATCGTCTGTTGCTGCTTGGCCGCCCTGACAAGGTGGAACTCCTCCTGTCGGCCATAAACCCACTGCCATCCCTCTTCTTCGCCGGCCCAGTATACATCCTCTTCCAGTGCAAACCAGAGTGTCTGATTTCTTGAGGGGACGTAGTGCTCTACGAGCAGCTCCACGCTGAACCACATACTGCGGATCGCAGCCAATTCGCCAGCCGCCGAGACATACTCTTGCATGTTGGTCATTCCTATACAGAGTTAATGACACGCCCAAACCATCAAGTCTTTCGACGCGAACATCGCGTCTCCTGCTTACCGATGAGAGGGCCAGCAGCGTGGCCCCAGTCCCCAATTGGGTGCGAGTAGACCCGTCCCTGAATGCCCTCCGTGTGCATCTCTCCCAGCGACGCCTTGAGCATCTCATTGCCAGTCTTGCCGACGGCAATGTTTCGTCTCACAATGTCTTGGAGCTTGTTGCCTTCCTTCAAGCCGTCCTTCAAATCCTGAGGCACGTCGGTCTCGTCGGGACGCAGCACGTATCCCAGGTGCTGCGTATCCGTGTTCAACCCCATCGCCGTCAACCCAAAATCGACGTGCAGCATGTCCCCATACTGAATGACCCTCCCTCCGGCACCCTCGTCCACGGTCGTATCCAACCTCAGGGTCCAAGGCAGCGCCTCGTTGACAACACTCACGCTCGGGTGGAACCACGTCGAGAAGTTGTGCGCCAGAATCTCCTCACGGAACCACCACTCTAGATCACCCGTCGTCGTCTTCCCCGGCACGATGACCGCCTCACTGAAGCCCTTGGCAATCATCGCCCACGCCGTCTCCATGATCTCCTTGTACTGTGGCAGCTTGGATGCCGGTTGGGCGGAGATGAACTCGACGGCGATCTCGGGCTTGACGACCATGCGCGAGGTCCACTCACCGCCGAGCCCGGAGGCCATGGCCTGGTACTCGCCTGCGTGGAGACCGCTGGCGAAGGCGATCTCTGGGTGCGCGTTGACGGCGATGGTGGCGGGGTTCGCGGCCTCGAGCTGCGATTTGAGCGTCTCCCAGACGTCCGAGGTCCATCCTATGATGCAACCGGGTTGCTGCGTGAGGGTGCTGCTGCCGTCGGTGGTGTTGGAGGAGGCGAGGGGCTCGGCGAGAAAAAGGCAGGTTGTGCGGCGGCGGGCGGAGAAGGTCGATGCCGGCTTCAGGGACCAGAAGACTGTTTCCTCGGCGTACTCCCGTTGGCTTATCTATGTACATGTGTCAATTACAGGACCTTGGGAAGGGCCTTTTGTGAGTGAGTGATGGACGAACCAGCCAGGCTTCGACGCCGTGTTTCTTCAGGAGGGCGGGGATGCCCGCCTTGCGCTCCTCGGTCCACGCATCCTGAATGCGGGCTTGTTCGCGGAGGGACGGAAGAGGGTTATATTTTGGCGTTGGGTCGCTGACGGCGTGTTGCCAGAAGATGGCGGCGGCCGGGAGCAGCGATAGCAGCCAATGCATTGTGTGCTTGATTTGATCGACTGGCTTGTTGATCTCACGATAAGAGTGGGTTGAAGATGAGTGAGGTTGAAGAGGGGGGCTGGTGAGCTTAAAGATGGGATGGAGGATGTGAGATCGGATGACTTTCCGGGACCCCGTTTGAGGAATGCAGAGTTGAAGTTGAATTGAATTGCTCGAGCGCATTCCGGTTGTCTAGTCCCGGAAAGGCAGCTCGTTGACCAAATCCTCGGATCCTAGGCTGCATGGATGCCGACCCCCGCCTCGGTGAGTGGCTATTCACCGAGGTCAAACCTTCCATTACCTCGCAGAAAGTAGGCATCACTAAGAGTGAGCGTTCGTATCAGAGCAACTTCATATTAAGGTTTACGAATGAGAGGACGATTTCTTGCCACACATAATTGGCCCCAGTAGGAGCATAGAGTTGTGTGTCCGGATCAACGCTTCCCATGAGACTAGTATTGCCAACCTCATTTTTCCCCTCTGAACAGACATCAAAGGCGTCCTTAGCAGCTAGGGCTATTATGAATGGGCGATGTTTATATCTTCTTTTGTTCCATCTCATTCTGAACTTCGAGCTTCGTCCCTATACCAACTTCGGTTTCAGGTCCGGACAGGACGGAACTTGTAAAACTAGTCTATCCTTTGTTCCTCGCAGTGCAGGCTGTTTTTGTAGGACAAGTTTGTCGAAACTTTAGTTTCCTTCGGTCATTTGAGACAGAAAGATGATGTTGAACAAAAGGTGCGGAAGATCAACGAGAGGCAGTCTCTTTGTAGGAGACCCGGATGTCAACGTTTGGTTAGTCTTTGCTAGGAGACACGATCACTTGAAGAAACTCTTGCGGAAGCCCATATAGCCTATGAGGAAATTTCTATATGATTCTCTAGGTAGGGGGGGTATTGGTATTGTACATTGAAAGCGACCGTCAAAACTCATCAAACATCATAGCGCTATCGTTCCTATCGTCATCTAGAACCCGCTGATTAAACTTTTAGCTGTGGCGTTTATGCCCAGAGAAGTGAATATGATTGAGAGAAGTGAAGATGCAAGGCCAAATTAGGACGTTCTATCGTAGCATGTGTTAGTCATTTGAACGATGAACGGGGCCTGAGATGGCTGTACTTACAAATTTGTGCCCACATTCGAGCCTAGGAAAGGTGAAAGCGTCTTCTATTCCCAAGCTCACTTCGAGGTAGCTCGAAGATTCGACTTGCAGAAGCGGCCGCTTGGCGAGCCGGAACGCGTTTGGGTATTATTAATGATTTTATATCACGTTGTTTCGCAATTTGCCGTCCCATTCACACTACCCCAGCAACAGCCAAGCTGGCGAGGGCAACGACAACGTAAACCAAACCGCTTTGCGATAGGTTAGATGCCCCCGAGCCATGATCACTGGCTGTAGACTTGGGACCATTGCCAGTCTGCGTGGGCGATGGGCTCGGATCATCGACGTGTAGGGCATTCGTGCTGCCGGTCCAGGCGTTCCAGTTGGTCATGCCGCTGGGGCACTCGTCTGCAATTTGCCTGCCATCGATCTTGGCGATCTCGGTTCCGTACTTTGTCATGGTGATGACGACGTCGCCGGTGCCCAAGAAGGGGACGCTTCCGTGGTATACGCCCTTGCCGCCGTCAGGGGTCGAGGTCCAATTGCCCTTCTGCGTCTTGCCTCCGACGGAGACGGTGATCTCAGCCCCGGACGTGAGGAGGGCCGAGTAAAAGATTTTGTCGCTGACGACTTGGGCCGCCGTCAGGACCTTTTGATCCTGCGTGACGGTGTTCACGGTGGTACCGCCGTCCTTGCAGGCGAGGGCCGGCGAGCCGCGGTACCATGTCATGAGAGCTTCGTCTTTGATGGAAGGGGCCACGGCGGCTTTGTAGCTGTCGATGAGGTAAGGGAGGAAGTGGCGCCACCCGTCGTGGGGGTGGTCGAGGGCGTAGTTGAAGGGGGCTTTGCCGACTTCGAAAGCTTCCATTGCGTTGGTGCGAACCGGGCCAATGTGGTGGGACTCGCCATAGTCGTTCCAAGAGATGATTTGAACAAAGCTAATGATGGTTAGTCAAATTCGATGAGGAAGAAGACACTTGGTGGTTGCAGGGTTGACTTACGCAGGCATTATATCCATTACTTGGTTCCAACGATCATACCAGAGATCATCACCTCTCCACACCCAATTCTTGTCATAGCCGGGGAGGTTGGTGTAGAACCAGGGGGAGACGGGCATCATATAAGGCTTTCCTTTCAGGGCCCAAGCAAACGCAGCGTCACTTTTGTCAGTCATGTCCTGGTCGCCAGCAGGCCAGGCGTTCCAGCTAAAGAGTCCATCAGCAACGCCGCCCCCTAGTGACAGTGCTTCCTCGGGTGACACTGAGGACCAGTCGGGGATGAAGAAGGCATCGGTCTTGTTTTTGAGTTCGATCCAATCATCGGCGTTCTCTGTGCCTTCAAATGTCGAAGCAAGGGGTTGGCCGGCATACTTGAAGTACTCATCGAGTTTGAAGTACTTGTCTGCCATTTCCAGAATAGTCTCCTTGGGCCAGGGTTTGCCACCTTGGTAGCCGCCGTTGTAGTCAAAGGAAAAGAATAGGTGGAATCCAACATTCTTGGCGGCGATGAAGGCGCTCTCGAGTGACTGGGCGGTGTTGGGATCCGTGAGGCCCATGTTGAGGGCGAAGGCGTCGATGTGGGCGTCTTTGGCGATCTTGAAGTCATCTTCAAATTCGCTGAGAGTGTAGTTATTGGTGTTGACGAGCTGGCAATGTTTGTTAGCAGCTGAAGTATGAGAGAATAGAACACCAGCATCGGAGGAGAACATGCCATGAAGTGAGCAAAGACGGACGCGGCTTGCACTTGTGTGATGGCGGTCAGGAGACCGGCGAGGCAGTTGGTCAACTTCATCGTTACGGCGAGCAAGGGCTTGCTGGACACGCAGATCAAGTCGCCAATGGCCAAGTTTGATCGACAAGGAAATCAGAGTTTACAAATCTTGCAGGAGAACCACGATGCCACGGCCGCTGCATTATGTATTGTGGCCTACATGACTTGAAGGGGGGGGCCGAGTTAGGTATGGCTCGCATATCTACCCAGCATGTCGGTTTCTGCCTTGCGAACCGACAGGCCGACCGCAGTACCGCCCCTCCGGGTGCTTTACACCATTGTTCATGACCACCCCTGGTATGGCGACAACCTGACTCCATCGTGAGATAGGCAGGTAAGCCAACGGTAGGCGGCACATGCGGCTGGAACCACACGGCCTCAAACTCCCACCGTCAAACAGACAAGCAGGGGGGCCCCGTCCCTCTTGAACAGGGTTAAGAAGGGCGCTTGCCTGATAGGGCTACATTGGAGGAGCAGGGGTAAGTGCTTTGTGAGACGCCGTTGGATGTGTTGTTTGAACAAATGGGCTGTGTGGGCATTGGTCTTTAAGGTGAAGTGGCTGCTGTGCCCTTTCGTGCCTGTTGTGCCTGCTGTGCCGCAGGACGATGGCGCGAAGAACAGGGTGCCAAGACTCACGATTTGGATAGGGCCGCTTCTGCCGTGGGAAATTGCCTCGGCCGGCTCTGCTTACTCTGCATCATGAGTGCGAGGGGTCCAAAATGTTCTCACGGCGGTGAGAGAAATATCTTCCACGAGGGCAGGCGTGAAGATATGAGTAAGAAGGTGGCGGCAAAAGCTCGTAAAATGTTCGTGACCTTGGCGCGATATGCCATCCAAAGTGAAGCCTTTTGCCAGCCCGATTCCCTGCGTTGATCGAATACGAAGGTGGAGGAAGATCGACGGCGAAATACGACCCGGGAAACATTTCTGGAGATTCTGGAGAGAGCAGACCTGCCCAGCGGTACGATGTTTCGGGACCCTCTTGTCCTCTCAGGCTCTCGTCCAAGCATCCATTTTTCAATCTCGGCTTCTCTCTGAGCCCTGTCGGGTTGCTCGCCCGACATCTTATGCTTGTTGAGCTCGCCTAGGACTCTTCGAGGCCAATCATCCGGAGACTACCACGCCGCCGGACGTCATGCCGGATCGTTCACTAGCGGCAGTCCGCTCACCCACTGAGACTCTCACGATCCCTGTCGCCTGACGGCCTACACGTGCGGAATCGGCCGAGCGGTCCCCTGTCCGTCACATCGAACCGCTCGCCAAGCAACGGTTTGCCTAACTTCCCAATGTGCTGTGCCTCTGGATTTTAAGATTTGATAAGCAAATGCAAAGAGGAAAGGTCCCGCTACCCAGATTGACTCTTAAAGAACCGTGCATTGTCGGATATCTGACGTCCAGGGCAAGGGTCGATATCAGCAGCAAGGGTTCCACGATGGATATCTGCCCACTATTCCTAGGCAGCACAGGGCAATATTGAGGTCTTTAAGTCTGTGAACGCATGTCGTGGGGGGAGGGGGGGCCCCGACGTTGCTTAACCATATTTTGCAAAGCTTGGCTCTGGTCCACTATCGTGTCGTCTATGGCGCTTCGCAGTCGCAGCCAACCCCGCCGTTGAGACCGGTCAAAACGTCGAAAGAGTGAGGGGCGTGCAAACTCGAGAGGGCGCCAGCCTTGTGGGGGGCTTCCTTCGATGTTGAAATCGAGAAGATGGACACGGAGCTGGCGCGTCATCGCGGTGGGTTGGCTTACAAGTGTGTATCGGAATACCGCCAAAACGCAGACACGGAGGGCTATTCAGTGGCTCTCGAGGTAGTTGTCAGGCTACTTCAGACCATTAAAGACGGATAACCGGCGGCTTAGATACGGTTTGCATTGGGCTGACGAGACAAACCCCATCTGGGCGTCGCGCTGGTCTCAGAAACCATGCGCCATCGTCGGCCAATCGTCCGGATCCCCTCCGAGCTCCTTGTGACAGGGGTTTCGAGCTGAGCAGCTCGCACTTTGCACCAACCACGCCCAGAAAGAGACTGAGGGGGGAGCAGAAAATCCCTCCAACACTGACATGGGTTGGAATGTGCCTGGCCTTTCAGCCAGATATCCAACCTCCTCGGTTATTCAATCCCCCGGGAGCAATCACAGACGCTAGGTTAGAGAAGGGATAAGTGACTGTATGAGTCTGGAAGGAAGGACACTATTGAAGGGAAATAGAGGTCAAAACAGCACAGCAAAGAAGAGGGGGAGGACCATGGTCCGATAGCGTGATTGAGAACCTAAAGCCTCCCTGGTCCCTGCCCCTTGTCTACCACTAAACCCCACCGTTCTAGGCCATTTGGAGTCGAGTTACACCGAGTTGCAGTAAATTCAGAGCCACCGATTCGGCCCGCTCGCTTGCGTTTCTAACCAGAAAGCGGAATTCATTCATCAGCCAGTCCCCAACCGCCCTTGTTCTGAGCAGACGCGCGAACGTGCGGAGTCTCGGCTTACAGCTCCGCGTATCCTCTTCAGTTACGCCCAGCCCTTGACGGCGCCTTCGAGTAATGTATCATGAAGCGCATGTACGGATACTGCAACTGAATTTCTAAGAGAGATTCCATCCACGAGATGGTGATTCATATCTCGACCTACATTACCAGAGACGTCGGGCCAAAGAATTTGTTTGCCAATGTCTCCTTCGTCGGTGCTGTATTTGTGCTCTTTTTCAAGTACACGAGCCCATTTTTGGAATGATTAAACGATTCTTCTTCCTCCTTGTCAATGAGTTAGACCAGAATTTCCTTATTACTCGTACTTCCTGGACGGCTGTCAAGACGCGAGTTTCAATTTGACAGCGATCGTTTCGTATGCGTTGGGCTATATCGCACAGTAATAACGGACTCAAGTACCACAAGGACATAGTACTTCATGTTTTTGGACTCCTCCCAAGAGCCCCTATCCTCCTCTGTGATATGAAGCATGAATAACCACTCAAGATCCAGGTCTTCAATCGTTCAGTCACATTTTGCTACTGATTGCCTGAACATTTACATCATCTTAATCTATTCCTAGAGCTAGAAGTTGGTACCATCGTACCCAGTTCCATCACCGCGGCCACTTCCAGCACGATTAGTAGTAACCTCTGGCTGAGGAATCACCGCATCGGCGTATCGTGGAAGTTCCGTTGGGTTGCTGGGAATGGTCACCTCATTCGTAACGACGCTGACCAAGAGATTGTTCAGGTTGCTCCTGGCCTGGAGATCACCGTTGGGCAACGTGACACGCCAATGAAGGTGCTTCTGCAGATATGGGATGACGTGTTGCGGCTCGAGACTATCGATCAGGCCGGCAACGTATCGCTCGACGAGAGCGAGCGTGAGAGGGACCTGGCCGGTGATTTTCTGGCCTGAAGCACGGCCCTGCTGACAGTTCTTACATGCGGTGGTCTCGTCTTGGCCGAAGGTGGCAAAGGCGCCGACATGCGAGTGGTTTGTCACATACAGCAGGGGGACTGAGTCGTCGGGGTTGCCCAAGAATACGTGGACGACGTAGTTGCCTCCAAGTTCGGCCTTTTCGGCCTTGATGTTGAAGAGCCATTCAAGATACTTGTTGTCGGGCCCGATCAAGTTCTTCAAGTCACGATCCTCCGGGAGACTGAATTCGTCGGATTCATTGGTGTCCTGGAGTGGCTTCTGCTCCTCCTGTTCCGCAGCCAGTGAGAACGCGGCAGCATCAACTGGGGAGTTCTCTGCTCTCAAGTGCGCCTTGGCTCGACTCTTGAACTCTTCCGTGGAGGATTTGAATTCTTCGTTGCCACTTCTCGCGATGTTGGCAAAGGATGCCGTCTTGCCGTACACACGGTCAAGTTCATTGAGGATGGCCTCTTTGGTGGGAAACTTCCAAGACTGAGTCTCTGGATAGACGTATCCAAACTCAGTGGTATATCTCACACCCTCGGACGTCCAGAATACTTGGTTGTCCTTGGTTCCAGACTGAGCAAATGGAGCCAGCGGGGTCTTGATGGTCTCGGGGTCGCCGGCTTTGACGATGAAGTTGCCCCAGCTCTCACCGGCGCGCTGGTCAGTCACGTAGGTAGATGGGTCGCTAGGATTGTCGTGGCAAGCTTGCCAGATAGCGAACAGACGGTCGACATTGGCGTGATGGAGCCAGAAGATGGGGTCGAATGCGGCAATCGCTGGGTTTCCCATGTGCCCACTGCCTCCAGAATAGGTGTGGATAGCGTTATGAATGTCCTCGATGCTGCCCCATTCCGCAAAGTTGGGCTGCCCTGGCTGTCTCGGGGGGTTGAATCGGTTGTGAGACGCAGATCCAAAGTCACGGTATGACTGGAGAATGAAAATAACACGCTCCGTCAGATTCTTGCCCCTTGACGCCTGCTGAGGATCGGTTCCGGAAAAGAACTGTGTCAGTCTCTGTATCATCCTGTTGTTGTTGGGCTGGTCTGGGTAGCGGATGGTGCCCCCGACCCTCGGAAACTATGAATGTCGATCAGCATGATGCATACACAATCGTGAGCTAGAGAAAAAGTTACCACGTTGATGCTCGTATTTGAGCGTGACTCTCGGAACTTGTAGGTTGCCAGTGGGTTTGGGTCGATACGAGAATCCTGCTGGTTATTATGGGGACGCTTGACCTGGACCCTAGCTTGGGATGTAGCCTCTGCTGGAAATACTCCAAGGTCAGGTCGAGCCCAGTCCCAGTAGGGAATTCTGAAATCTTTAGCTGCCTTCACATAGTCGCTTCTGCGCTCGCTCTCCTCGAACTCATTGGCAACCGCATTGACATGCTTGTATAGCTCGGCCTGGACCATGTCAGGAAATGTTACCAAGAAAATGGATGGTGAAGCTTACCTCGAAGAGAGCAAGATATGGGCGGTGCCAAGTAAGAAAGAGAATCGAGCTATGAGTACAAAAGCCTCCGAAGTCATTGTCGACTCTGATCATCTTATTGTTCCACTCCCTGTCGGGCCATTTCTTGTATGGAAGTCCATGGATACCTGCTAGTGTCAGAGCCTCGTGGCTGAATCTTGCCAATAATTTACTTGCCAGCAATCTCAAAGAAAGAAAGAGGCTCCTCCTCCTTGACCGAATTTTGGAATCTCTCCAGGCCTAAGAGGTACAGGTTCCACTGATCAGGCTGGTCCTTGATCATGTCGCGCACTTCCATTCGCACGGGAGGTCTGGCTTCTTAATGTAAGCTATAGGTTTAAGGAGTGGGGATTATCGATTGAAAGAAGCCAACCTGGGTTGTCCGCCTTGATGCCGCTGACAAGCACGGGTCCCTGCGTTCCGTCTGAAGACATGTTGACTGCAATTCTGATGGCTGAGTATTCTCCAAATTAGAGCGTGGGGAAATTGAGAATGGCCGAACAGCAGACGAGTAGACTACGACTTTTATATTCTTGCTATGCCTCCCTCCGACGGATGCACACACCACAACTTTGCAACCCCCTCGCCAAGTCTAACGCAGAGCTGCTGCCTGCATACTGCTATTGAAATTCGTAATGGTGGCGCAAATCAACATAAGATATCTCTAGTTCGGGAAAGAAATCAGCATGACAGAGTAAGCAAAGGGCGCCTAGCCAGCCATGGCGTCTCAGCTGCCTCATTCTTTCGGGAATGAGCCAATGGCATTTTCCCTGGGCTGCTCACCGAGATGACGGAAGAATACGATAGGCTACCTTTCAAAACATCTAGCCACCAAACTTTTCGATCAGGAATGAATATCTCGGGGCCATTACAGGTGGTGAATTGTTTCTCGAGTGGATCCTTCTGATGTCTAGGCCAAGAAACACTAGTTCTTGGGGCTTGTAAGTCAAAGGTTGCATGTATAGAGGACAGCAGGTGAAATATCATCTTTTGTGGCTGCAGAAGTTTTGTAAATTTGATTGTCTTCTGAACCCAAATAAAAAACACTTCTTCAGTCACGTCAAGGCTCTACGAAACACCATGGCGGAAAAAAGGAGTGTGTAATCAAGTATGAGAGGCGCTTAGAGTCAATCAAAATATGAGGCTAGATATTTAACTTGCATGATCTGTTCTAGGGTTTTATGGAGTCATCACTCGGGACTTGATAGACTAAGGTATGTCATCATGGGCATGGAATATTCCCGTTTCCGCCTTAACGCTGGATTTATTTCTTGTAACACAGGTAAAAAAAAGTGCGTAGTTGGATCTCTGCTGGATCAAAGCGTCTTTGCCATATTAATGCCCGTCGATCTCGCGATGAGTTAAGTTGGCAAACATAACCAAAGTCCACAGCAAACCACCCGTGCCCAAACGAAGATACAGCGTTCACTAAGCAATCAGAAAATTGTGACCTTCTCTTTGTTTACAAGCTTCATGGCTTACACGCATGCGTGAGTGGTTCTACATATGCTGATGATGAGTTTCGCCCTCACGGGTTTGCCTCAGCTGCTTCATATATGACTTTCCTTTTTATTTATTACAATCTGCAATTAAAGAAGTAACTGCTTCTCACCAATGCCGGCCCGACTCCACACAGATGTCGAGGAACTGTGACCCAGTGCACAAAGTTGAGCCATGGCGTGGCCTTGAGGGTTTCTCCTTACCTTGCGAACGGACTTTAGTAAGTCTACCCGCCATACCCGCCATACCACAAGCAATATTGGGACGTACGGCTTTTTCTTTTTACAATTTATCAACTTGGAAACTCGAGATAATGTTTATGTTACTATATTTGTTGTGACCCAAGTCGATCTCAGAGAGGCAAGAATATCGAATGAACAAACCATGATCATCAACACCATCATTTGCAAGATTCTACTAACCTAAGACGCCGTGATGCATGAAGGCACAAACAACGGGGTTTGGGTGTTGACTTAATATCTCATGAGTCTTATGTATCGTCCAAAATGACGCCCTCGAGTCTATCAACCGCTCGAAGGGAAAAAGAATAAGGTGGTTCCAGCTGAGAAGAACCAGGCAATCCGAGATGTACATGCAAAGATGGAGGCCTGAAAACTCATATCATGAATTGGTCAGGTGGAGAAGTCGTATCCAACCTTTTGTACCTCAGTCAGCAGAAATGTACCGACTCAAACACCTCGATCTGGGATAGTATCTGAGCTACGACATCAGCCGTGAAACCTATATAAACCCTGACTCCCAGAAACTTTGAGGCAGTGTCACGATACCATTATCTGAATCCTTCTATCTTCTATCACATCAAGTGGAGAACTAAAGATGCATTTCTTCAAGATTTTGGTTTACAATATTGTGTGTCTTTCCCTGGCACTAGCAGGCGTCATCGATGATGGCAGCGCTCGTAGTGTCACAAGTTTTACTGAGAATCAGGAGCTGGAGAGAGCTGTTCCTGAGCCGGTCGCCATTACATCAAATAGCAAAGATGTGCTACTCAGTTCGACTGGTAACACAAAAAGAACCGATCTCGACAAGACGGCTGCCGGAAATGAGGATATGCAAGATCGAGGTCCAGGCATCCTACCCGCGCCGCATGACGCTGAATTAGAGTAAGTAGTGGCTGACAGAGGCCACTGATAGCTTGATACCCGCTTATTATCTTTGCAAACTGCGAATTGCTAGCTCGCTCTTTTTCTTCGGCTCACTAGAACGATGGAAGTCGAAGAACGCGAAGTTGCCATCACCAACGATCTCATCGGTAGAGATGATCCTTAGAGTTCATTGAGCGACTCTTTTGCTGTCTCCGTGAGTGGAAATTTGGGCTCATATTTCGTCAAAGACGACAGCTACACCACTGCTCCTTCTCATTGGATTTTGTTCGCCTCTATCCTTGGGAAGAATTGTCCATGGTTTCGCCTAGTACTAACAGATACAATTCACAGATAAACTGCGTATGGCTCTGTAAAAGCGCTGAAGAGAGTGCATTTTGGCCTCAAGAGTGTTTGTTCCACGGCAACATACCTCAGACCACGAAATCAGGAAGAATGCTGATACAGCCTTACTTGTTTCTGGTCAAAATGTTTTGCAGGGGGGCCGTGTGCGGACCACCTCTTGGAGTAGGCCGAATGGTTTGGCCAGGGGCCTTGGCCGACCGCCTTGCACTTCTCGAGGGCTTGGAACAAAACTTGGCGTCCCCTGACTTAGCAGAATGAGCTGAAAGTGATAGAAGAGGAATATTTTTTCATAAGAGCCCTATACCTATCACGAACATCAGTGTGGCCAAGTGAATCCTGTATCATGCTGTGGAGAGCTTGGGTCGCCTTGCGTAGGCTTCTTTTGGCTGCCTGAGTAAACAGAAAGCCCGTGCAGGTACAGATATGCACTACTGCGTTGGCGTAACAAATGCGTGAAAGCGTGCAGCCTTTTGCCAACCTGACTGTAAATCCTACCCATGTGAATTACAACTACCCAGCTATTAAGGCATGGATAGCCCTTGTCAACAGCAGGCGACCAATCAGCACATTTCGCCTGCGCCGTAGCAGAAAGCCCGATACATAATGTTCTTCTGAGCTGGCCATGCGTCAAATTGCAAGCCTTCTGCCTCTTAGAAACCTCCCGGCAGTCTAACTTGAGAGAAAAAAATGGCATGCGCGCTTGATTTTATGGCCCAGCTGTTGACTAGTACACAAGCTTGACTACGAGAAATTACTAGCTGCTTGAGCATTCGCTGAAACCCCTCCGGCCTAGTTCCTGTAATGGTAAATGTTGGCAGCTGGTTTTATTGTCCATGGATTGGCTACGATGGAACGAAGAAATCATTCGGCTATATGTGACCGAGGATAAGTCTGCGAAGGAGACTATCAGTCACTTGAAACAACAACACAATCTCAAGATAACGTAAGCTACAGGACACCTCAATTCGCTCCTTATTACATTTGTGCTGAGATCTACTTAGAATCAGGCAGTTCAAAAAGAGATATTCAGGCCTGAAAAAGATCCGGGCAATTGAATGGAGAGCCATAAAGCAAAAGATTCGAGATAGAACTGCAGCAGGCAGAACTTCAGTGGTTTTTTTCAACGGACGCCAGCTGAGACCTGAACGGGTCGCGAGAGAAATGCGACGATGTGCGGGTAAGATGGAAGGGAGCCATCCAGCAGGTAAGGATAACAAATGATCATGATTCGGAACCCTTCTTGTGACCTACCGTATCATATTTTAGACATTGGCATCGATGCTGTTGGTCAACGCCGAATAGAGGTCCGCACGCCGGAACCTCCGACACCGGATCCCTCCACCGAACCACATGTTCCTACGATTATGCAGTCCACAACAGAGCAGACGAACTTCCTCGAACCAGGAAATATGGAGGACGAGACTGTGAGATTTGTGGAGAGAGATTGCCATAATGACTTCAGTTCGGCCAGTACGGATCTCAGTGCTTCCCGTATCGGAAGCTCATCATTCAATGTGGCCTATTGCCCTGACGCAACTTTCAGTCTGCCGCGGTCAGAAGTAATAAATTGGTCATGTGGAGAAGGTGTGACGCCAGAGATCACCGTTCGATCCGAGACTGAAATCAGTGGCCGTCAACAAAGGTCGCAACTCGGTCACTTGAAACACGGACTCGATGCTCAAGCGATCAAGTCGATAACACCGCAACGGAATTTCCGTTCAGGGCAACTGCACCCTTCTCTACCTGATTGCCTAAACACGATAGGCAGTCTGTATTATGGTGAGTAACCTCAAAAGGAAAGCCCACTATTGACCGCTTGCTGACGGCAAACATTTGACAGTGCCAGACGACTTCAACAATCGCGAGAAGTTGAGCTTCTTCACACAAGAAGTAGCCCGCCTTCAAGCCAAGATTGAACCGCGTGCAATACATCCTCAACGACGACAGATACGTTCGGCTGCTAATCGTGGCGAGAGAAATGCTTTTCTACCACTTCCTACCTCTGCGCAAGGAATCCTGTACCCAATCGCTACCTTGGCTGAAGGAATCCTACACCGCTGGGATATGTCTTCACTGTTAAAAGACAATGGGGCCAAGAGCTTTCTGCTTCGAATGGATCCCGGCCTACTCCATCTCCTCTTCTCGGTCACTGTACAACTTTGCCGCAACAACTTGGCACGCAAAGGGCTATTCCACTCACTTTTCACTTGGGTCCGCAACACAAATATTGGTGGCCAACTTAAAGCACACCTTCGAGAGAACCCAGGGGATGCTGACGCTCTCGCCAAAGCAGCTGCAGCAAACCTGAGACGGGACCACTATCATACTCGTAGACCAGGGGAAACGACGAATTCTCAACCTTGGAGCGAGCAGCTTGTTTATTTGTACGACAATCAAGAGGTTGCTATGTCTGTAGCTGTGGCAAGTAGCCTCCTCCACCCCATCGCCGCGACTTCTTCAGTTCAAGCAGCAGAGATCCTCGTCTTCCGTGGAGCGGACTTGAACCATGTGGATCCAACCACGTACTCTGGAACACCGCTTTGCCTGGCCGTTTCCCAGGGCCAAACCAATATGGTCAAATATCTTGTTGAAGCTGGAGCTGATATCAACCGCTATTTCAATCAGCACAACACCGAAGAGGCGTGCAATGCCCTCACCATCGCTATGATACATTTTCACTTGGACATAATCGAATTCCTATTATCAAAAGGTGCTAGTGTGCCAGCACACACTGACATCGACACAGAAAAACTCTATCGCGAATTGACGGGCTACGAGGAATTCCTCTATCCGTATCTTCGACAATGGTTGCTTCGGCACAGATTGTTACTCAACAAGATGCTTGAAGCAGCAGAATCAAGCAATGAAGATCTCTGCAACGTTCTTCTCGCCAGTGATGTTGTTCCTGAAGAGGCATTGGAGTCGCTATTACGGCAAGCCATTGTACTGAGAAATGATCTTGCTCTGAGAACATTACTTCGATATGGCGTTAATCCTAACGCACCGCCTCGCCATATAAAAGGCCCATCATCCTTGGGGCTTAAACTGAAGAAGATGATGGTAACACCAATACGACTTGCCGTCGATCTGGACGCCGGAAATACTATCATTTACCAGCTCCTGAAAGCTGGGGCATGCCTGGAAGATGATACGGTGCGGAAACTCTTGAGACGATTGTCAACAGATAATGACGGCATGTCTCTGTTTCACACACTCATGGTGCAACATGGTCACCAAAGACCCATCATCGGAGCAACAGCGCTAGAGGTGGCGGCCGAAAAGGGCAGTGTCATCACATGTGGCTACCTTCTGGAACGCGGCGCCCATATCAACCATCACGGAGTTCACGGCTTGAGCTGTCTGCAGATGGCGGCAAGTAGAGGAAAATTGCCCCTCATTCGATTCTTGCTCGACTCTGGAGCAGACGTAAACTTGCCAGCACACGATGAAGGTGGACGCACAGCGCTGCAGGCCGCTGTCGAACACGGTCACTCCTCAGTAGTGAAATGTCTACTTGACGCTGGAGCGGAAATCAGAATTTCTCCTGCCAAGAATGGAGGGGTAACAGTCCTCGAGGCTTTTGCCCGGCGGATGGAAAAAATCCCCCTTTCATTTTCAACTCAGAATACTCGAGCGCATCAAGTTGCAAAAGAAGAGTCTGACTTGCGTGAGTTCCAGAGCTGGCTGGCACTGGGAGCTCCAATAAACCGCGCCGATAGGGGTCATGGAAGTCTTCTGCACTCCCTCATGCGCACAATCCAACACAAATGCTTCGACCTGGCATTGAAACTAGGAGCTCGCATCGAGGACAGAGAAGAAGCCAACAGCGGGGCGATGACGCCGCTTCAACGGGCTGCGGATCTAGGATGTTTCGAGGAGGCCCAGCTACTGCTCGAGCATGGAGCAAACGTTAATGCCCCTCCAGGCGAAGAGTATGGCAGAACCGCGCTGCAAGCAGCAGCTTGTTGCCAGAACTCGGACAGATTTGCAATGGTACAGATGCTGTTGTCCTTTGGTGCGGACATCGCGGCGCTACCGGCAAAAAAGGGAGGCCTCACAGCTCTGCAAGGGGCTGCGACCCGGGGCGACATCAGCCTTGCCAACGTGCTTCTGGGACGAGGAGCGAATGTCAATGCTCCAGGCGCAGATGAGGACGGTAGAACGGCAATCGAAGGTGCCGCCGAGTACGGTCATCTTCACATGGTCCAATTCTTGCTTGGCGCCGGCGCCGTAGGGGACCCAGCAGAAGGATTTTCAAGTGCAATTGACCTTGCACAAATGCGAGGTTGGCGGGAGGTTGCACAATTTTTGAGTGACCATGACACTCTCTCTGCTTTCCTCAAATCGGAGGTCAGAAATCATACAGCAGAGAGCGTAATTGATTTTCAGTTGCCGTCTCTAGGTTTCTCTCTCCCTGACGACGTCTAGGGGGATTCTGGTCTAGCCCTTCGTTTCTGATATATTTGTCATTGCTGGCCCATTTCAAGCACTGCAGAATGTGACGGAATTGGGGAGATAATGCAGTTTGATAGACTGACTTCAATTGCTTTGTTCATTTCTATAGTGCCAATTTCTGGACATGGACGGGGCGTTGTCATTCTGCGGAAAAAAGGAAAAACAATTTGCAAGCAAAGTAGCTCACGTAGGACGCATAGTACAAATCCTTTTCTAGCAGCCCTTAAAAACACGCATTCAAGCAAAGACTAATCGAAAGCTGAGGGGAGGTCAAGTAGAAAGCAGAGAAAAGATACCAGGCGAGTAGACTATGAAAGGGGATATAAGGAAAGGCCAAAGGCAACTAGATGCCTCTGTATATGTGTGTGACAAAGGAAACCGACAACGAAGAATCAGAAAGACAGCGCTGGTAAGATTTTGTTAAGTAGCTGAATGTGGATGGGCATTGGCATGTATCAAGCAGACGACAGGCACATATCAATAAACTCCATTTCTCATACCCAGCTCAGAAAGGCTGACCTTCTCAGCTTCGACTACTTTCTCTATGTACAGTCTCCCCAAATCCGACATCTTACTCGCCCAATACCACCACATACGTCTATGTACCATCCCCTCTTCTGAAAAAGACTGTGAAGGCAGATCCTTCTGCTGACTGGCTGGGCTGGCTGGCTAATGTGAAGAATCATTCAATGCATATGCGTTGCGTAAACAGGACGTGGGTGTGATATCATAACACTTTACTCATTCCTCCTCCCTCCTACTGACCCTTCGTTTCACGTTTCCCTTTGACTCTTGCACATCCCAACTCGTTTTTTCTCTTTCAGAGTTCATCTCGCTCATCCAGTTCATCCCGTTCATCCTCATGGTCTCCCCCCATCTGCTCAGTCTCATCATTCACATCCTCATGTATCTGGTCTTCTGTCACATCATGCTCCGCATCCTCTGCGTCAGGCAAAGCCGTCTCCGTGGCCGGCGCCTCTTCCATCTCATCTTCTTCTGTGGGCTCTTCACTAGGTGAGGCAGTCTCAAAAGCCAATGTCTCTTCAGTCTCAGAGGCGTCCTCTGTATCTGGAATATCGACAACGGCCTCTTCGATAGCTTCCTCCTCAACCTGGGCCTCAACATCAGCCTGGGCCTCAACATCAGCCTGGGCTTCAGCATCAGCCTGGGCCTCAGTATTAGCCTCGACCTCGATATCGGGCACAACGCTAGGTGTAGGCTGAACCCTGACGACCTCCGTCTCCGTAACAACAGCCTTGACCGTCTCCGTGACCGTCTCAATAATGCGCACCAGCTCTCTGGTCGTGATTGTCTCGTGAACCGGAGTAGGAGAAGGTGCCACGACTTCCTCAGTAAAAGAAGACAAAGGCGACGAGGTTGCAGAGGTTTCCTGCTCCACCGCAGAAGTCTTCTCCGTCGCTGGGATAAAGGTACTCTCTACAGGCTCAACATTCAGCGCGGTTGACTCAGACATGGGAACCTCCACGCTAGGCGCAGGAGCTTCGATCTCGGGAGCTTCGATCTCGGGTGTAGGCTGAAGAACAACTTGCACCGGAGCCTCAGACCCCGTCACGGACTCAACAACAGCCTCAATAGCCTCCAACAACGGCGGCGAAGCAGGCACTTCAGACACAGGCGCGGCATGGTCGACGAACTGGCCATCCCAATCCTTCACCTCCGACCGCGGCGCAGGCCTGATGGCCATGAACAGCACGAGCAAGCTCATGACCACAATGGCCAGGTTCTTCTTATCCTGCATAAACACCCGCGCCGCCTCGAGCAGCAGCTCCGCGAGCCCGGCGTTCTGGAAGGCTTGCTGTCTCTGGTGATGCGCCTGGGCGTAGGCTTCCTCCGGCGGCGCCGGCGGCGGCGGAGACTGGTGCTGGTGCTGGTGCGGGTGGTGCTGCTCTTGGTGGTAATGGGGCTGCTGAGGTTCCGGCTCCGGTTGCTGTTGTGGAGGGGGAGGCGGCGACCGAGCCGAGTACGCGTCGTGATGCGACGACGCCGGTCGACTTTCGGCCGCTGGCTCGTGGTGTTCCGGTTCAGGAGCCGGGGAGTGCCCGTAGATCTCCCGCATGCGCGCCTCATCACGGAGACGGCGCTCTTCGCTCTGATCGTAGCGGGGCATCGGCTCCGGAGACGGCGGACGGATTTCCTCTTCTTCCGCAGGCGGAGGTGAAGACACGGGGACGTGAGCCTCGGTCTCCATGTAATTCGGCTCCAAGAGGTTGGTCTCCTCAATATGCGATGCTTCGTCCCGCGGAGGCTCCTCCAGAGCAGGCATGTCGCGGTCCATGGAAGGCAAATCGTGGTCATCAAAGTCCGACATGCCGCAATGCTCCTCGGGCATGTCTCTGTCTCTACCCTCGGTTGACTCAAGAATCGTGGGATCGTGCTTGACCAGTGACAGCTGCTGCGACTGCGCGAGCACGAGGCGCTCCAGCTCGTCCAGCACGGCCGACGCTACAATGGGCTCGATCTCGACGTCGACGCGCTCCATCTCCTTCCAGCACGCCGCCCAGGCGCCGGTCCGCATGAGGCCGTTGCTGGCGTACACCTTAATGCGGAAGATCTTGCCCGGGCCGAGGGACTCGTAGCGAATATCGTGGCGGCACGTCTGGCACCAGTGCGTCTTGACCAGCGCGCTCTTGCGCCTCGAAGAATCCTCGTCGTACTCATCCTCGTCGCTGTCCATATCCTCGCCGAGCGTCATCTCGTTGGACGGGCCAATGTAGTGGCCGCACTCGAGGACGCGGGCCCTCCTGCGTAGGGGGAGGTCGAGGGCTTCCAGAAGGCGCTCTTCGAGGATCTCGTAGTCGTCTTGGGGGTGGGAGAGGAGAATGCCGCGCTCGCAGACGGTGTCGGCGACACGGTCGTGGAGGTGGTGCCAGGCCTCGCGCAGGGTTTTTGCCTCGGGAGAGAGGGTCTCGGAGGAGGCTTGCTCAAGGATCTCGGCCCACTGCCAGCGGAGCGGGAGGAGGGTGACGTGAAGGAGGACCAGCGGGGCGGGCTCCTTTTTGGGGTTGAAGCGAGTCGGCGTCTTGCGGCCCTTGGGGGAGTACTGGGCAGACACGTTCGGGCTGCCGAGACGGGAGATGGTCGGCACCTGCTGCGAGCGTTTGCTGGAACGGGGGGAGTACGACCCGGTCACCGAGGGCGCGGGGGACGAGTATTGGAGAGCCCGGACATCGGAGGGCGAGCGGAAGGGCATGCGAGGGGCGCCGCGGATGGTGGGGACGAAGTCTTCCTTGTCGTAGTACGACATCTCCGACACGGAAACGTCGTCTGACATGCGAGAGAACCTCTTGGAGGAGCGGTTGCTGGTGTCCTTGTGATGGTGGTCGACGTTGCCATCGAAGGAACCCAGCGAGCTGCGCGGGCTGCGGTCGCTAAAGACGTCCGAGTCGCCGTGCTGGGAGGAGCTGTCGCCGCCATCCTCGGCATGCGTGGGTCGACGGTGCGCGTCGCTCTCCCGGCGGCTGGTTTGCGGTTGTGTGTTGTACGACTCGCGGCGACTTGCCCGAGATTCCGTCTTATAAGACTCCCGGCGGCTGGCACGGGAGTCGGTGTTGTAGGATTCACGGCGCGTGCCCTCGGACCTGACATCGTAGTGCAACTCTGTGCCGTTGTTTGTAGACCCCGTGGAGTCTTGGCGCGAGTGTGATCTATTCCTGATAGTCTCCATGGTCTGGGCCTCGAGTCGCTCGAGGACCTCCTTGGCGGCAGCCTGGATGAGAGCCTCGGTGCGGCCGGAGGCCCGGCGGAGGGAAGAAGGGGAGCGGCTGTTTTCCTGGACGGCGGCGGGCTCATCATGATCGTCCTTGGTGTCTTCGACGGCAGGAGCGGGTGTTGGGGTCTCTTCGGACTCTGCCTGGGCCACGGCGGATGAGTCTGCTACCTGCTCCACCACTTGACTGGTTGTGACTTCGGCCGCGGGTCCGAGTGACCTTCCCCTCTCGACTTCTTCGACTTCAGGTTCTGGCTCTGGGGCGGATGTAGGTTCTTCCTCGGCTGCAACCTGTACCTCGACCTCTAAGTCGGGTTCGGGCTCTGGATCAGCCTCCGGTTCAGCCTCTGTCTCGATAGCCTCTGACTCAGGCTCTGGAAGAAACACTTCTTCTTTGACTTCTCCCTCGACATCAGATTCAGGCTCCGTCGGAGGTGTCGTTTCTTTGGTAATGTGCTCAGCTTCCTCCTCATCTTCGACAACAGGTTTAGGCTCGTTTCCGAGCTCAGTCTCTGGTTCGGGCGCTGACTCTTCCAGCTTGGTATCCACCTCCGCCGCTGGCTCTGGAGTTTCTTCTGCGCCGTCCTTTCCAGATTCCACGTCCAGCTTCGAAGGCTCCTCTTCATTCATGTCTTTCGTCTCGAGGCTCACAGATGAATCCTCGTCCGCTGGTGTGCTGTCGGATTCTGCTGCGGCTGTTGCTTCTGGCTTGTCCTCAGCAGTATGAGTGTCTTCAGAGGCAGGCTTTATCTCCTCAGCCTCCTCAGCCTCTTCGAGTGGTGTCTCGATTTCCTTCTCCGGAGCAGCCTCGGAATTGCCCCCAACAGTCGTCTCTTTGGTATCCTCAAGAGGGGCTTGACCCGCCGCTGAGTCTCCCTCCGTGTCGTGTTCCTCCACATCTTCCGGCTCGGCCTTTGGGTCCTCTACAACGACCTCGGGAGTCTCTTCCTTCACATCATCCTGTGTATCCTCCACCTTCTTCTGCTCTTCGGCCTGGGCAACAGCGGGGACGTCGTCGTCCATGACTTCGAGCTCGGCAGCTTCGTGCGCGGGTGTGGTCAAGCAAGACTGATCAACATGGATCTCAAAGTCCAAGTCTTCGGGGTTTAGCCCGGATCGTAGCATCTGTCAGAGTAGGACGTAGACAGAAACAGACAGAGTGAACCCCGTAGCCAAAGGCGGATGGGGTGTAAGCAGTAAGGTTGGGGGAAAAAAGCGGGCTTTAGGAATGCGGTGAGGGTTAGGATGATCCTCTTTCTCTTTTCCTTAGTCTGGGGGAGAGAGAGAGAGAGAGAGACCACGAGAAAGAGAGACACCTCAAGAATGAGGAGTGGGGTGGGATGCTATAATTCCAGTGTGTTTATGCTCCCCGGTTCGGGACGGGTCGAGGGAGCAACCGGTCCAAGGTGGTTCGTTTTAGCGGCTGTGAATATGTGGTGCTCTTTTATGGGATTGCAAACGGGCAAAAGACAAGGTGTGCCTTGATCTGAAATTCCAAAGGTGAGTGAGTGAGCGAGCAGTGAGATTGTTTCAATGTAGATTTTGAACTTGTCCAGGACACAGAGAGAGAGAGAGAGAGGTTCGGCTAATATGTGATGCTTCGTTGTCTCCCGGTGGTTGGTCAAACTATTTCAGGTGGGTTTTCCTTCTGGCGCTGGTTGGGCATCGGACGGGGAGCGCCAGGAAAATAGCTGCGGTGAGAGAGACGGAGAAAGAGAGAGAGAAAGAGGAAGCGAGGCGCGTTTCGTCTGGAGCCAAGGGTGCATCCTGCATTGCCTTTGCATTGACAAGTGACGGGAGTGGCTGGCGCATCGACGGGGGTTGCGTGGTGGGAGAGAGCTCCAAACTGTTTTGTTTACTTGCGTTGCCGGGTCGAAACACGGGTGGGGGTTGTGTGGACCGTCCGTCACTGGTGACGAGTGGGGAGAAATGGAGCGTCGCCGGCCAGTGGCCACGGGTGGTCTTCCGGCACCCGCTCTCTTTCTCACCCAACCATGCCAATTTTCTACTGCTTTTTCGCCCAATCGGGCCCTCTAAATGTTCTGGGCACGACGACACTCTAGAATTCGAATGGTTGGGGGCAGACGATTCCAGGATGCCAGTGTCTGGATGTTGCCCCCCCCCCCCCCCCCCCCCATTTTTTCTTCTGTTTTCGCCCCCCCGGGCCCCCGCAATGTGTGGGGGACGCGACACACTTGTAATTGGGTAGGGGGGGGGGGGAGACGTCCCGGGTGTGGGTGGTTGGGTTTTTTCCCCCCCCCCCCCCCCCCACGGTATCCGTACACTTCCCATTTCCTCCAGTTCTGTTCTGTTCATTTAAGGGTCCGAAAGGAATTGGTTCTCCAGAGCTCTGTCTCTCTCTCTCTCTTCCCGCGCTTGGTAGACGGCGCTTCGATGAGACGGCACAACGCTGCTCCCTTCTCGCACAGCCATTTTGACGTCATTTGTCAGAGGCGGATAAGCAATACCTAGTTGGACCATCAACGGGCCCGGACTCTTTGAGAGGTCTTGTCTCCAGGGGGTCAAATGTCGGTGACCGGTCTGATACCGTCTTAGCCACCCGGGTGCTCCGTCCCGTCTCCCCATCCCGTTGTGGTGGCATGGCCCAGTTGCCGGGCCGCTTTGACGGACAAAGTCAATCCAACTAGTGAATTAGAAATTAATGCTCTGATGATCGTGACATGTTAGCTCGGATCTGTTTCCTGGCTCGCGAATTGCCGCCTGTTGCGATTTCGTCAGTGGCTTCGGCGTTGTTTTTTCTCCGCCCTCCCCGCGATGGCAATAACCTGAATGCCTCTTCACAACTTGACCAGTGCCCCCAACACACACACACACATACACATCTGGAATCAACTGAGAGGTCCAAACTCCCGGTCTATGATTGCAAACTACAAAGCGACTATTATACAACCCTCCGGCGGGCCAGCCATCTTTTCGTCTATCATGCTCTATGCTTCTTAGATAGGCAGTTGCTGAAAAGATTTCCCAAGTCCCTACCCCAAGGAGTCTTGCTGAACAGATGAAACAAGAGTTTGCCAGGCCGAATCGTTATTGTGCCTCAGCCTTTCTTTCGTTGTAGAGGAAAAAAAAAGAATTCTAATGCAGAGAAGAAGCAGCCATCTAGGAGCACAAAGCTGCTTGCTGCTGAGAGGATATCATAAAATGTGTCCCCGCCGTAATCATTCCTGAATTATACAATCCCGGATCCAGGGTGAAGATGGGACAAGGGAGACATCTCTGTCCTCATCCAGAAACCAGCACCATTCTTCTTCTTCTTCTTCTTCTTCGCCAACCATCTTCTCGCCTCTTCTCTCCGGTTCGTCAAGTCGTTGTTTATTTGGAGATCTCGACACCGCCGGTAGCACCGAGGGCCTTCTTGAGATCACCGTAGATGGCGAACTGACCGGCGGTGAGGGTACCGACCATGAACAGACGGGCACCGATACCGGTGTAGGAGCCGCGGATGCCGAGCTCCTTGGCGATCTTGATGAGGCGGGAGGTGGTGCCTTCACCGGGGAGACCCTTGGTCTTGTTGATCTTGGAAAGCATGGTGTCGGCGGGCTGGGAGACGATGGCAGCGGCGAAACCGGCGATGAGACCGGAGCCGAGGTTGACGGCGGTCTGGGTGCCGTCGGAGAGGGTGTTCTTGGGGTACTTGCGGAAGATGGCCTCGGAGACCTTCTCGAAGACGACGAACTTGGACATGGTGTAGGGGATCCTGAAAGGTCGACATGTTAGCTTTGCAAGTTCCGTCGACAGATTGTAGGCTGCTTTGTGTGCGCCGGCTTTATGCCGACGGCTGGATATTGTACTTACTGCTTGAACAGAATGGGTCCGAATCCGGCGTAGAAGGCACCGATACCCTCGTTCTTGAGCATCTTGCTGAAGCCACCGATGAGACCGTTGGCGTAGGTGGGCTCGGAGACGAGACGGATACGGGTAGCCTCAAGGGGGCACAGGGCAATGTCGGCGAAGAACTCGGCGGCAGCGGAGGAGGCGAGGTAAACGGCAGTGCGGTTGTTGACGGCGTTCTCATAGCCGATCAAGTTGATGGACTGCTGCTTGAAGAACTCGTATCCACCGAACTTCAGGGAACCCTGGAGGAAGTAGCCGGCGGCGGTAGGGCCGAAACCGGTGAGAAGAGCGCCGGCACCCTCAGACTGGATGACCTGGCGGAAACCACCGATCAGGCCGCGGTTGTAGGTGGCGGGATCAAGCTGGATTCTGGTCTTGACGCTGTTCTCATATGTTAGCCGCCTGTGTCAATTGGATGGATAGAAACTGTTGCGGTCGGTCATGTCGACTACCGCGCTCGAGCGGAGCTTCTTTGGCGATAGCGGCCCTTTCCTTCAAGCATCCGCCATTTGGCTTGTGAAACTACCCGCGTACCGGCTAGGGAGGAGATTGTCCCGCAAACTGGGGAATAAAAAACAGGGAGAAAACACCTACACATCGACGGGAGTGAGGGCACCGTGGGTGACGGAGCAGCAGACAGCACCGGCAAGGGCGAATCTGGAGTAGAGGGCAAGGCCGGAGAGCTGGGCAGGGGCGGCAGCGGCAGCCTTCTCGACGACGGCATCGACCTTGGTCGAGCCGGTGGGCGGAACAGAAGAGGCCATTGTGGACGTGATGTGTGAATCGAACCGGAGAAAAAAGGACAAAAGGCTGAGTGGGGAGGGACTTGTCACGAAGAGCCGCGCAACGGGATCGTGAGGTTTTAGGGAAAAGGGTAGGAGGGTTGTTAAGAAAAAGGGAGAAACTTTTTTTTGTTGTTGTCGAGGGACGGGAAGAAGGTGGCCGGGGGAAAATTGTGAGGCCTTTTTTTAGCGGCGCCGCGGCTGGGGGGAGAGGAGCGAACTAGGACCGAGACAGGCGCAATTGGGAACTTGTCCTTTGCGGTGGAAAAGATTGGCTCGGGATTACTCGGGTAATCGCGATTGCGCAGTGCGCACGAGCCAGCTCTGGCGGTACGTCCTCGCAACCAGACAGGGGTGAGCTCTTGCTCGGTCACCCGGAAAAATCTTTACGTGGGCAGCCGCAGGTCGGCCAAGGTTTAGCCGGGCGGTCTTCCCGCAGTATCCAGTCGTGCCAGTCCAGCAGTCGCTGCCAGTCCAGGTTTTTTTTCTCGTTTCCTTCCAATGCACGGGCAGCACGCAAACAAGGGATCCACCTGTCCACTTAGCGCCCTCCGTTGACCCATGTGTTTGCCCGTCGGTGTCGTCAGAGCTGTCCGGGATGGCATCTGGACATACATAGTAGGTAGGTAGCTGCTGCCGCTGGATGCAATCTTTGACATTTACCTAATATTTAAGCTTGAGGTTCCTGGTCAATAGCAATTCCATCGCGACAACTATCGAGGCAACAGGAGCCCAAATTCTGTTCGTACATCTTACGTCCCTGAAACATCTTTGCGATGCCCGGCTTGGTGTCTATTCATCAAGTGCGTCAGAGTCGCCCTCCACCATGACTCAAATCCGCCATATTCCACCCGCCCTTCTTGCGTATGAGGTAAGCTCGGGAAGCTCTCCGGCGCGACCCAGCCGCCAAGGATTTTCCGGCTCCGCTGCTCCGGCACCTCCGGTCAAGTCTCCCGACAACCGACAAGCGGGAGATGAGTCCTGTTGGAATCGATTTCGACGTGTAAAGAACTTGAAGCAGCGGTCATTGTGTAACAGAATTCTGGTGACGGAGCAGTCCAGCTGTGGAACAAACTCTGAGTTTATCGCAGCAGATACCAATTGACAGAATCGATCTGAACTCGATATCTGTGTAAGAACGGTGGTTTGAGCAGCATCCACCACATTGCCTTAGCCGGTGAGATGCTTTTCGGCTACTCTTCATCGTCAGCAACACCCAGAATGCGATCGTTCATGTTCGGCTTCTCCGTATCTGGGAGCCTGGCCCGCGGGCGAGTGCAAAGTTGGGCCGGAACTCCTCTCCAGGTATCTGTTCCATATCGATTGCGAATGGTTCATCTACTCGACATGCATGCGCGCTGTCCCAAAGAGATCACGCTCAAAGCTTTTAACCTCTTGGAGAATACAAACTCCGAATAAATTACCATACACCGCCAAAAAAAAAAAGGCATGGCAATAATGTTGACCGTTACATTACCAAGCAGCAGCAGATTTCATATCGTCATCATTAAATGATTAAATGAAACACAAAAAATAGCCCGCCGTCAAGTATTTTTCCTAAGCCAACACCTGGATATACGTGATGCAGCTAGATTCCCGAGTTATAAAACGATGAAAGACTCATCCTTCTGAGGGTATAGATATAAACATAACAGTCCAGTCCTGCGGAACGCAAATAAGACGTGGTGTGATCGTAGATGATTAGGCTGTCGGTCATGTCGAGAAGATGCTAATTTATGAGCCTGAATCTACATTGTTGTTCTCAAACAGACCCAAGACATCACCAGGCAGGTATTCTAACCAGGGTGGCATCATCTCGTTTGGCAAACCCAACGCTTCAATGTCAATCGGGTTCTCAAAGGTGATGACATCGGTGATTGGACCCATACCATGTCCAAGGTATGAGTATGTCGCGTTTGCATATGTTGGATCAAACGCGATGTGTTGCCCGTTATGGTGTTGCTGCGATACCGCATCGTGCATGTTGCCGGATAGAGAGACCGACGGCATCATTGAATGATCATATCCTGTTGCCGAATTGTGTGATGAAGGTGTGAAAGATGTTGTATGTTGCGGGTGCGAGCTTGTAGGAAGCATTGGCCCGGCGTTTCTCGTAGGAGACGAAACATCCTCTTCTTGAATGCCGTCGAATCGTAAATGGCCCCTTCCTTGGTTAGGCGGGCTCAGAGACGATACTGAAAAACGTTGCGGTTGGTGTGGGTGCGGCGTGTGTCGCATTGCAGAAATGACTGGTTGGGGATAAGCAGTGGCAAAGATGGAATGGGGAGCCGCCTCAGGTAAGCTCTGGCGAATGGGGTCATATATCATGTTGCCAGGGGGTGTCGGCGCAGACGTGGGAATGCTAGATTGCTGAGGTTGCGACGTGCCGTGATTGCCAGACTGAGTAGCGTGCATATTCTGGTACATGAGCGTAAGGCTCGAGTTCGGTGAATTTGTCGTACCCGCGAGAGACCATGCTATCGGCGGCATATTGGGCGTCGTCGGGTGCGGAAACCGGCCACCGATCGAGCCTCGCCGAGGCAGTCGAGCGCTTTCGTACTCCTCGTTGGTGTATGTCTCGCAGTCCCAAATCCCCTTGGACTTCTGATCGAGCGCCGTTAGGATGTACTTTACTCCACCCCAGTATTTATGTAACTGCTGGAGACTTTTGTAACAACGCGAGTAGTTCTGGTTGGCAGCCGACGCTAGAAGAGAATGTTTCGTAGATAGCCTTTGCTCATGCGAAGACGGTTCCTGTTTCTGGCCCTCCGTCTTGGGTTCAGTCGGCGGAGATGTTTCTCTCGACGTAGGATTTGACGCATTTGCAATAGATTCCATGAGGAAAGCACAAGCGGCGATGTACATAGGCTGGGACGTGAAGGGGTTTCCGATGAAGCTTTTGGGATCGATGAGCTCTGCAAAGGCGAGGATATCGGCAATGGTTTTGGCGCTAGACATGGAAAGCTCACGGCTGTTAGGTAGGAGCTGATGAGTGCGGCTTAACGAGCCAAATGGGGTGAGTAAGGTGGGTTGGTGCAATATAATGATGAGTGCATGAAACCAGAAGTGAAGGAGGATAAAGTTCGTCCCCTGCCCCAACTTCAAGTACGTCTTGAAATTGGAGACACTAAAGTGTAGTCGGGGATCTTGCTTTTGATACAGCTTTGTTAGCTCATGCTCCATCCGCGCGAGCTTCGTCCACTTCTCCCGTGTGAGATCGTTTGCGTTGCGGATATTATTCAGGACGTCGGACACACGACCGTAAAGATGAATGATTTGGATGAAGACGGGGAAAGGGGCTGGCCAGCCCGAGGCCGGGTCGAGAGTGGATACTGGCAGAGCCAATTCGAAGTCATCGTCACGAATGGTTACCGGCCTGCCTGTTCCAGAAGATATCACCCTGTCTAGGACGAAGACTGCCCAGAACGTATCGGTACGTTCTTGTTCAACCTCGAGCTGTTCTTCGCGGGTGAGACCGCTGTTGTCCTCTTGTGGTTCCTCGGTTGCTCCCGCATCACTGCTCGCTTGGTCTCCACGACGAGTGTACCAAGGATCTCTTTCTCCTTGATATATCACACCGACCATCTTCTGCAAGCCCAGGTCGACGGCCATGCGGATGGCCAGACCTAAGTACATCCACAAAGCGCTGTCTTGATCCGCCCCAAAACCTTCGTAAGCCATCATCAGAAGCGCCTGGACAGCACCTACAGACGGACAGGGAAAGGTATCGACTGTGGCAGCCTTTGCTCTGTGGGCATAGAATTGGCCTTGCTCTGCATGAGACGCCTCTTCATCTTTGCTGTGCCCGACTTGTGGCGAGTCGGAGAAACGAGCGGCCAACGCACATACGGCATCGACGAGAATAGGCTCAACTCGCTTCTCTTTGACCATGCGGACGAAGTTATCCTCCTTCAGGAAGGGGTAGTTGCAGCCCAAATGCAAGAAGAAGGTCTCGACTAGTTGTATAAGTAGAGGATGAACCGGCGCAGTATCGTTGGGATCGTATACTGGCAGGTCCTCGTCGGCAACGACGACCTCCTCATGCTGCGGTATGCCTGACAGAGCCATCCCCATGGACTGAACTACGCTGGATCCTGAACTTGGGGATGTAGCAACGACAGAGCCACCAGTGCTCCGCCTACGGTCTCGTACGGACACCACCATCTGCTTGTAGCCGGGAACGATGGCCGTCGGCCCGAAGTAGCGAAAGTAAGGCACCCTGTGGCGCTCGGTATGGTGCGAGACAGGGGAGCGGCTCTGCGTACTGCGTGCATCGTCGGAGAAGGACGTTGTGCGAGGATGTGAGGGTCGCCGGTGTCGAGCGTTTTGGTCTTGGTCACGAGAGCTATGTTCTGATGAACGTCGCAAGAATGTCGGCGAGTGACCCGCGTTGGCGTCGGTGGTGCTCTTGGGTGGCTGTTCGCCTTCTTCTTTGAGTCCAGAGAGGCGCCGACCGCTGGCTGTATTCTTTCCATGCTGCCTATTGTCGTGGTTTCCCCCTTCTTCTTCCCGTTCTTCCCGAGTGTGGTCATCGTCGTCCTCGTCGTCCTCTCCGTCCTCGTCCTCGTCATGGTGGGGGTCTCGGGTGGCGATGGTGCCACTTGAAACTTTCTTCTCAATCACTTCATTGTACCCCAAGCAGGTGTGCCCATTCTTGGCGCAAGTCGAGCAGATGGGGCGCTCGCCGGCGCATCTCGTCTTTCGTTTGCGACAAGTCAGGCATCTGGCGAGGGCCGAGTCAGGTTAGCTTCTGCATGTAAGAATCGCTTTGTGGGCGGACACGCAGCAACGGTGGGAGCAAAGCAACCCGCCAAGGTTCAGCGCAGACGAAGCAAAGGAGAAAACTTACGCGGCGTTGATCCTGCGTCTTTTTGATGGCGGATGGCCTTGGTTTGTGACGAAGCGGATCTGCTTGGGCGCGGGGGTCGCTCCGTTGACGATGGAGGTCATGGCGCGCAAGATGAAGGAACCTCTCAACAGCGACGCAGCATGATGCTGCGCTGCAGTGGGCGGAGAATGACTGGAAGGGTCAGAGGGGACCAGACCAGCAGAGCAGTAACAGAGCAGCCGCAGCAGCGGTGGTCGCAGCAGCAGAGCAGCGGAGAGCGATCCACGTTGGGCCTCCAAATCAGGCCAGGCCTGGGTGGAGATGGCAGGTGTCTCCCGGCTTTGGGGCCACGGAAGTCCTGGCGGGTGCTTGAACTGGGGTGTAGCTCCGGGGGTCTAGTCCTAGGTGCTTGGGGAAAGCTTGGGTTGTGCAGGATGTAAAGGGTTTCGGTGGAGACGTCCAGATCCAGCGGGTAGGGCTCAAGCTTCAGCTGAGGGATCGGGCGACGGAAGTCAATTGTGTGTTGGATGGAGGTGGGACATGGCGGCCGAAAGTCTCACGGGAATGGAAATGTCTTCAGGGCTGTAGTCGTGTAACGTAGAAACATGGCCGTTTCATCCCGTCCCGAGGAGGGGGATAAAAAGAAAGCTGTGAGAGGTGGCAACGGCTCGACCACCGACAAAGGGGGGGATGAAATGGGGGGAGGGGGAAGAAAGTAAACCGGCAGAAAAAGATCAGCAACCTTGGACGGGCTGGACTGGCGAATGGCGAATCGTGACTGTTGACTGGGCAATACGGCAGATGAGGAGCGAAACCAGCCGAGGAAGGGGTGACGAAGACGAGCGAGAGAATGAGGGGAGGGGGTGACCAAGTCGATGTCGGGGGCACTAGGGGATGAAGGCGGTCGGGAGAGGCGCAGACGACGATGTCAATAGACTTGGGCGCTCGGCGTCGTTAGAAGTTAGAACTTGTCTCGTCTTGTCTTAGATTGGCATCGGAGGGCAGCAGGACAGTTGTGTGGCTTTGGTTCGTGGTTGGCTGTGGGTGCGCGGTGCTTTGCACGGAATTTCGGGTGAGCGATCGTACGGTGGACTTGGTGGACTGTTGATGGTCGGGGAATATGGGGAAAAGGATCGGGGGCGACGTGGGATGGTGAGAGACGCAGGATGCGATGCGGACCAGGGTCAGCGGAAGAAAGGCGGAGGGAGAGATAAAAAAGGATGCCTGACAGCAATTCCCCCAGACATCCTGAGGTTCTTATCCAATCCGAGGAAGGTGCCTGCCTCCAACCTGCGTCCCTGCCTCATCACGCACCACTGTGACCACAGACAACTGCACCTTCCTGCGCTGAGCAATTCCCGGTCCGAAGCGAAGGCACGGAAAACTGGGTCCGTTAGGCGGCATAATCATCTCTCCGCGTCTTCGGGACCACTACTAAGTAGGTCTTGGAGGAGGGAGGAGGGGCTGCCCCGAAGCGCGGGCAGTTAAGGTAAGGTATAAGTGAGCACATTGCATGGCTGAGCTCTCTGGGGGCGTAACAATAGCCCACCCAGTGGGCAGTGGGAGGGTGTCACGCTGGTACCGTAGGTAATTAATTCAAGGAATCTCGCATAGCTTGTGCTTTTTGGTCATGATTGTTACCAAGCAAGGCGTCGTAAAAAGTTGAGAAATGACCAAAATTGCCATACACCGTCCAAACCTTCTCCTCTCAAGCTGCGATGTTTTCCTCCCCGCCATCCACCGAGTCTTACCGCTTGCAAAAGCAGGCGCCGGCTTCATAGGTGAGACGATTGAGACTTTCAGAGGAAGACACCAGGTCCAGTAAAGCCTTCATCTCCGATGGTAATGCTACCGGTAATTTCTCTGCTCCCAGGGCTCATTCGAACACGCTCTCCCGCCTCGCTTATACAACATGTCGGCACTTGCCTAGGTCACATCTCAGAATGGGAGTCTCGGGACAAATCCTCCAAGTCTCCCACAGTGCTGCCAGGCCCATCCTACCGAACGCACTCGTCGAGCCTTCTTCTTCCTCCCCCAATCAAGTGAAGCCCGAATGATAGACACCTCGACCTCTCTAGCTCTAATTCACGTCTCCTTGGCCTCAACCAATCCGTCCCAATGAAGTACCTCGGGCCAATGAACCATACTCGTTCATCCTCCATTCAAGGGTCCGGGCATGTCAAGTTTTAGAAGCATTGATGTTGTATTCCATCTGACCATGGATCAAAAGTGTGAGTGTCAGGCCATTTGTCCACCTTTCGAACATCGTACCAGACTTACCCAGACTCATACCGGGATGCCTCCTCAACCAAAAATAAAAACCAAAAAATGAAAAAGGAGAAAAGAAATTAAAAGGAAGAATAAGAAAGTGACCCGCTTTACCCCAGGTCCCCGAGCCCGCATTAGGCGTTAGCCCACTTGAGTTCTCGGGAACGACGGGAAGCCCGCGGGCTGATGCCAGCCGTGGCGACGCCAGGGGAACATGGCCTGGGCGGCAAACACATCTAGGCTAGGCACTTTGGCTGAGGACAAAAGGCCTCATAAAACGAATGTATGTTGGTACCACAATTGAACGAGGTTCATGAAGTAGCTAGGTGAAAGGAACTTTGATTAACGCCTACAACAAGGTGATGATATCGTAAAATCTCGGATTAACTCCATGTCCCGCAAACACACTTGTCGCTCCGGCCACCCGTGCAATACTGCTTTCTCGTGTCCAACTTCAAAAGAACCAGTAGCGCCGAACCATCGCCATGTAACCATTGACCTCCAGCCCCATAAAGTTTTTTTGTGTAAACCACACCGCCTTGATTTGCTCCGTCTTTGCTCATTACGTTCAATCTCGTTGATGACTCCTACTCTATACGGCGGGTGGTGATGGCGTACCCGAAAGCCGCATCGTCATGTCTCATCACCCAAAGACAATTGTGACGCCCATGTCCTCGCTGACCCGCCTCCACAGGTCGGCTCCTTTCCCGAATCTTTGTCCGGGCGTGGACATCGAAATCGCATGGTCTTCGTAGGCGGCATGGTCGTCAATCATATCTGCTCGTCTCCAAACCTCTTGCGCAATCGTCCAGGCGCGCTGGATGTTCGTCATGCCCTGCCGGTGTTCAACTGCCACGAAAGCCTGCCGGGCAAGCTGTCGGTCGCTGGGACTAATGGCCTCACATGCTGCCACGAACAGTGGCCACAACAGAGCCGCCATAGGTCCGGCGTGATTGACTGTGGCGGCACAATGACTTAGTGCCGCGTGTGTGTGGTGTTGCACAAGATGATGTCGCCTCGGGTAACCGTAGATGCTGCGGTAGAGATACACAAACGCGGAGTGACGGTAGGCGAGCGCGTTGTTGAGAATTGAATGTAGACGTGCGCGCTCAGCAGCGAGATCGGGTTCGTCTGAGTTCTGATCATCTGTCATGTCGGGTGAGAAGCCCGGAGGGTAATTAGGTTGCCAGAGCTTGAGTGCATGCTCAATTGCGTCTGAAGTGGTTTCGAATTCGGACCGTAAGACGGCGACCTTGGTGAGCTGGCCATTGGTAATGGCCGTCTGAAGCTCATTTTTGAGGGCGAGAAGGTTGGAGAGACGGTGAATAATGGGCCAGAGTGTGGTAGAGAAGCCTAGCAGCGTATCGACGGAATTGAGTGGCGATGTGGTGGTGGAGTCAACCGGTGGGAAAGGGATCAGGCAGCCCGTCGCGGGTGCTGTAGAAAGAGGAGCAGTGCCAAAAGAAAGCGCAGCAATCACGTCGTAGAAACGGAATGCCTGATGAGCGAGTCAGACGGAGCGCTACTGTAGGCTAAGGGAAACTTACGCGTTCGAGGAAGGCGGTGGTCGGGTCGATGTTGTCACTGTTGCCACTCATGATTGTGATGGCACCTTTGAGGTGACCATCAACGATGTTGGACCGACCCTGCTGCACGAGCTATCGGTCGGTTAATTAAGCCCGCCATGGGAAAACGCAGGTAAGGAAACCACTCACTACTTCGTAATACACAAGCAGCATGATCGTCGCCAGAAGCTCGTTCTTATTTGCTTCGCCACCAAGTTCAATCAGCCGAGCCAAGCCCTGAATGGCCTGGTTGTGGAAATAAACTGCCTTTTCTTCCGTGTGACCGCAGCTTCGATTCTCCAGATGCGCACTCGCGAGCGCATAAATGGCGTTTGTGACAGTCTTGCTGCTGTGACACAGCGGTAGTACGAGTTGTTGGAATGGGTTTCCAGCTTCCGTCTCTCGCAGCACTATGAGGTGTGACATGACGTTGGTAAAGTGGTCGACCAATGCCCGTCGGTTTGGCCGTTCCGAGAATTCGGAGAACGTAGGGAAAAGAAACTCGAGACGCGGCGACGCCACCGGAACAGGCGCGATCATGGCCAGGTCCGGGTGGCGCTGAGCCCGCGTGACTGCGAGATTTTGGACCGCATCCTGTTGAACGGATCGACGGCGTACGATTTCCTCATCTGCATCTTCCAACGAAAGATTAAAAGCGACAGAGTCGACTGGAGAAATCAGAGGGCCATCGTCCTTGTCCTGGTGCAGACCAAACATCTTCTTGAAGTCGAAAACGAGCGGTTCGGCGCTTTCTTCCGGCTCCTCTAGGATGGCCTCCTCCACCGCTACATCATCTTCGTCATCGAGAGCCTCCTCCTTCCAGCGTCTGATGGTAGCATCGGGGGCGGAATATCGGCGAATAAGGGCGCTTGCACTTGTCTGAGATGCCGTGTCGGAGCTGAAGCCGGCGATCGAATCACGCTTCTTGCGTTGTCGAGGCTTGACTGGTTCGTAAGAGCATTCCTGACCACGCTCGGCGCATCGAGAACACTGCGGGCGTGATTCGTCGCATTTCTTTTTCTGCAGGCGCGGAAGTAACAGTTAGAACCGTTTAGCAAGTCACGCGGAGGGGTCAAAGTCGAGATCCGAGGAGAGTTGAGCGCTCGTACCTTTTCTTTACTGCACAACAATGTCAGTCAGGAACTCGAATCATCACATTGGAGAGGGGTTGGTTGGGGTTGACTCACCAATAAGTGCATCCTGCATGAAGCGAATGAGTTCACGTCAGTGATCGGCTCGAATATTGAACAGTAAAGACATTTGTGTTATGACGAGAGGAAAGATTCGCGCGAGATCTGGGGCAACATCGCGAAGCCATTCGAGCGGCAATAGGGAAGCGCGACCGGGTAGCGAATTGGCCCAGACCAGAACCACTCGCTGGGGGCGGGAGGAGAGAAAGCGTAGGCAAAGGGCAGAGGGTTTGGGCATCGACTTACCTGATCTGGATCTTCTCTTGGGAGCCTTTGGCGGGGCAAGCTTAGTATACAGCAACATGATGTTCACGAGCTGGAACCTGCGGCACGCATAGGCATGGCGGTTCTCAAGATTGAGAGAGTTGAGTTTCTCTCGACGATGTGGTATACGGACGAAGTTGCCCTACACCTACATCACGCACGGAGAGAAGGGAGAAGGCCTGCCGTAAGAGTGTGTGGACCGAGGCTAGTTGGCCTAGAAGACGAACGAAGACAGGCTTTCACGATGTCGGCGGGTCCCACAGTATGTTACGGTCGGGGTCAGCGGGCGCAAGGTGGTGCTGATTTTGCTGTTGGTATGGGATGGAGGGGTGAAGAAGATAGCGAGAAGCTCGTGGAGATTGAAGAATGGCAGCCGAGTCTGTGCAGTGGTATTTTACCACCGGCCTTTTTCCTTCTCTCTTTTCCAACTTGCTCGGGGCCTCCTGCTTAAAAATCGTATGTCGATCTAGCGCCGAGGATGAACGGTTTTTAAAGTAGAAAGCTTCTCTTTTCCTCTGGGGTTTTGTTCTCGCCCTTTTCAACGGGGCCGCGAGCTTGGGAGACCAGGGGTCAGGGGCAGATGCGCTGAGGTGAGGACGGATTCGTATTGTTGGTCCGTTCTCCTAGGGCGTGGGGGATGGGGAATGGAGGTGGTGCCTCTGGAGCAGACTGGCGAGATATGGGGAATTTGGAGAGGGCGGAGAAGGGGAAGAAGGAGAGTCGAGAAGTTCCCGTTCGAGCCAAGCAAAATGTCGGACAAGAGCCGGCTCAAATAGCGTTGAAAGAACTGGGACGGCGAGAAACTTCAAGAGGCCTAAGGGCAAGGAGGTTCGCTCAGCCAGGCGTTCTGGCGATTTTTCTCCAACAAAGCCCCCCAAAAACCAAAATGGCCCAAGGTAAAGGTCGAATCCCAAATGGCGCTGGCGTCCCGAGCGAGTACCTAGACCCAAGAGCCGGCGACGGCGGCGTCCTTCCCAATGCTGACAAGGCCGCTGCCATCACACACATCGTGACCAAGAGATCCTGGGAGGCTAAGATGTGCTAGAAGCAGAAAGGTGGAGAAATTTGCGGGGTTACAGCGGCGATTCTTGGTGCGGAGATGGAAGTCACAATCTCGGTCGACATGTCTGCAGCCCGTTGCTCCAGTCCGGTCGCGCTGGTGGTGCACTGGTGCGTGCCACGCCACGCGTACCTGCTCTCCGTTGGTGGCAGTCATGATGGTGATTCTCGTTCAAAGGTGTGTGTCCGTGCGGTCGTGAGGAGGAGGTTGCCTGAGATGTGTGACGAGAACAACGCCTGGCGAGGTACAGCGCTGTAGGTACGGAGACTTGTTTGGATATTGGAGTAAAGGGGGGTCGGCCCACGGCAAGGTAGATGCTGGTTGGTAATTATTTGTTAATGTGTTCGTGCGGGGATGTCATCCGAACCGGGGAGCCTTGGAGAAGTGATGTCTCTTAGTGTCCAGGGACCCAGCGTGCCAGCCAGCTGACCGGCGATGAGGTGCAAATTTTCGCTTCAAGTCCTGCCCTCCTCTTGTCAATACAGCAAAGCATGGTTGCCCATTGACCTTCTCGCCCGATACTTGACGAACGTGGTCAGTTACTGCACTGTTTTTGCCATAACTGCCATGCCGGCGCCTCGGGACTTGACTGCTATTGTGTCTCGCAAGGTCCGATGCCAGCTGCCGAAAGCGCGTCTGTTACCAACCACCGGGGGCCGAACAGGTAGAAACAGAACAGAATGAGAAGGTGGCGTGGCATAGCGTTCTTCGTATACGGTCATGCCAGCCAGAAACGAAGCTAAGGCGACGCTTCTGCTGCTTCTACACTAAGCTCCGACTGGTTGCTGAATCTGCCACAACTGCTCCGGCCCATGAACGGCTCTGCAGCCTTCTGCCGCATTCCTTTCGGTTGCAAGCCAGAAACGTCATGCTTCCTTGTTGACGGGAATTGGTTGCCAATCTGCGTCGCCACCATTGCCTCAGGCCTTTGGATGTTGGCAGCTCCCTTGCAGGTCTCGCAGACCTCAATTGCCAATGGACAAATGCCGTCGGTACCAGTGGTTTGGACCCTGCAGCAACCGACAAAGTTTAAATGGTGTAGTTACTAGTCGTTCAGACGGCTCGAAACTCTGAATCTTGCCAGGCGTGAGCTCCTCCTCGGAGCAGCACTGTCATTGGAGATTGATCGTCTCCGTAGGGTCGCCAGGGCTGCGGCTGCATTGATTATTTGGGTTGAAGAGGATTGAATCGAGTCACTTGACTATTCTGGCCTACCCACACCAAGCGAGTCGAGCTGTGTCCTCCGTCCGTCTACCAGCGGAACCGAGATGGTCATTTCTCACTTCATTTCCCGTATTTTGTAAGCGTGTCGCAACAAGGGGACATGAGCTGCCTGGGACTCGGACTTGGACTGAGACATCGTTGGTTGTTGTCATGAATCAGGGTACCGAGCGCATGACGGCAGTCAGCGAAGGCAGCGGTGGTCGACTGAAGAGGATGTGAGGGTGGTGGCAAGCCCTGCATGTATCCTGAATGGCCCTGCTTCTTCTTGCCTCTTCTATTGACTGCATGCATTCGACGAGGCACACGCTTGTGTGAACACGACTCGAACACAATGTTAGCTTGGATTACTTGTGGTCGAGACACAGCCAGAGACACACCCATGATCCTAGAGGCAGGCCGCCAAGTGATGAAGAAGGTTTTTTCCCCCGCATTCCCCCAGCCCTCGACCGCCCTTGATCCGTCTAAGCTATGGGGTAGCGTGCCTGGAGTCAGTAGATGGCATAGACTGTGATGGCGACGGTTTGTGGGGGTTCACGATTGCTTCCTGCCCTTTTCCAGCTGGACAACATCCAGAGTTCCACACGGACCTCATGTGTCCGATGCTACCACATGGCGCAGGATGGGTTCGGGCCAGATGGTAAATGACGGAGGGGGGACGGGATCCTGGGTGCGGGTTACGACGCTCGCTAGTGACAGGAGCAGGCAGGCAGGCAGGCTGTCGGTGAGGGGAGCGCCATGAGCGGTCAGGGCGATCTCGTCGAGTGTATTCTATGCCTCAGCTCTTGGGCTTGCTATGGTTTGAGGTGACAGCAGACAAAGTCGCAATGTCCAGCAAGATGTACGTCCCATGTCCCGTACTTGAGCTGCACATAGATGTGTCTCGTTGGTGGCAAGTCCCAAGAGGGATGTTGATCCGTCCGTGGGCAGTTCTGATCCCTGCAGACTAAGGTAGAGCGTTGCCGTTCCTCATGCCCTGTCATTACTGTGTACACCAAGCACAGGGCAGAGTTTGGCTTGACTTTTTGGCCAAAGACAGAAGCGAAGACGAAAAAAATGAGACGAATCCGGGGAAGGTCAAGGCAGCACTTGTGGTGGCTGATCAGTGGAGCGTCCTGTCGATATTCTGGGAGTGCATCACTGTAAGGTATCAGGCTGCGGGCAGCCGGAGGGACCCAGGAGCATCCAGCGTGAATGGAGACGACGGCTGGGGCCTGGGCGACGGGCAGGAAAAGGCGAAAGCGGTTTAGCCCTTCCACCTCAGGCAGAGTGGCAGACTACCGGTACCCGACTCCACGAACCCACTGACCAGCTGAGGTTCCCGCTGCCGGTGCCTCCCTTGTGCTGTCCAATGGTGTTGGGAGTTGAGGCTGTTTTTCGCCATCATCCCATCGATGCTGCTGCGGAGTCGTCTGTCGCGGTGGGTAGGAGTTGGGCCATGAGAAGCCGGGCACGTGCCGGGCTACATTACCTTAGGTACCTGGGGAAGGACATTTACTGGGTACTCTGGCACTCTGGGAAATGCAAACATGTTTTGCCTGAGGCAAGTAGGGAGCATTGTATTGTCCACGGCGGGAGGCATTGTAAGCTTGCGCGCTTGCCAACTCGTTCCTTCTTTTGCTGTCTCGCACCAACGAGCCCAAAGTACCTACAATGTATCTACCTACCTTACCGACACTGCATGTGCATGAAGATCAAACATTGAACCAGGGAGGAAAGAGCGAGCAACACAGGAGACGGCACGACGGCAAGCACACGTGGGAGGGAGGTCCGCACCTGCATTCGTGCGGCGTGCCACCGTGCCTGCTCTTTGGATTTCATGCCTGAGGATATATCATATCGAGGCAGGTGTTGTGGCAGTTGTGCTGTGCCTGCTTCTTTCACATCAACGATCTTCACGCTGATCTCCTCCTTCTAATGAGGTACCTCTCTTGGGTCTTGGGTCTTGGGCTTTCCTTTCCGTCTCCACCGCTGCCGCTGCCATGCCGTTGTGTTGTGCCTGAGGTGATTATTAATAGTCATCGAATACGTACCTTGTCCGGCACGGAAACTGTGCCTTCAGAGGGATGCGCAATTGCAGCCCAGCAACTCTTCTCTCTACATCTTCACTGCTGCGAAGAGCAAGCAGTTTATACGCTCCGAAATGCTCGTCTTGTATCCCCGAGGCATCCAGCCAATATCTGCGTTTCCCTCGCTTTCATTGAGGACTGATACATGCTCATATAGTTCCAAGTTGCTCTTCCTGTCACCCTATTGTCTGGCAGCGTTCCTGCTATCCTTTCATGCCGTCAGACATTCAGTAAAACTCCTTTGGTTCTTTTCGAGGCAGGTCTCTTGTTGAAGATAAACGCTCTTACGCGAGACCGACTTTCATCTGATGATGACGATACGCCAGATCCGAGTGGACGGCTCGCTTGTTTGCTCTTTTCCTTTCTCGTCCCATGCCTTGGCGTCATTCAAACGCTAGGTCCGCGCAAGACATGGCCGGCTTCAACAGTCACCTTGCACGGGCAACTCCAGCTCCCCTTCTACAATTTGAGGCAATCCGAGTATACCAGATATTCCTTTTCTTTGCAACGTCGCAACAAGAGGGTATTCCGCCAGGCTTTGTGCTGCTCTCAACGCATCACCACAGCACCCGCCACCTTGGCATCGGCTTCACCCACGGCCCCGGCCTTGCCTCCCGGACCCATTCGGCGCAAGGGGGCTCAATCGATGTCTTGCTTCTGTTGTCTGGAATATGCGGCGATCCCTGTGGCTCGGATATTTACTAGCCTGGCCCATCCAAGTGCGCCGCTCCGATAGTCTCGACGACGAATTGCGGCTCCACCGAGTGACGACTAGCCTTGCTGACATCTCTACGAATAGATACTGCGGGAAATCCGCATATCCTTCCCCGAGAAGTCTGAGCCGCAGCAGAGAAGCAGCCGAGGGGACGCCAGTCACTGCGAACGTACCAATTGTCGGCCGATGCTATTGGTTATTGGCTGTGGAAGCGCCGGCGTTGGCTCAGTGTCGCATCCACGCGAATACAGCCCCCGAAAATGACCAAGGACGGCACACTTTTGCAGACTGCAATCCCAAATATGCGCATCGCCAACATGCCGCCCACTCTCAACTTCGTCCAGGGCTCCTCCAACGATACGCCGCCGCTTTGCATGCTGTCCGCCCAGCCCTTTTCCTTTGAGCTGCCGCTCCCGTTGGCCCCTTGTCGTTGACTTGCAGCTCTCGTCTCCGTCTCATTGGTGGCCTCCGACATTCTCACCACACGACGCCCACTCTGGACGGTAAGACAGGCATCGTCGTGCCGCATCACCGCATTCAATGTCCGACCAGGTCGTCAGCTGCCTCTTTTCTATTCGCTCCTTGAGTCTGAGACCAGTTGTGCCCAGCATGTTCACAGCAGTAACGAGTAACGGTATTCGAGAGCATCCAAAGCAAACGCCATTCTTCAAAGGCCCCTCCACCCTAGTCTTCCTCCATGTTGCTATCGTGGCTAACAAGAGGCTGGCACCATTCTATACCCTCGTCTCATTGGCAGAGCCTCACCCCTCGTTTCCCTATTGTGGGCAAGTCAGCTATCGAGAGTGCTGACACTCTGACGGAAAAGCCACTTTACAAATCCCATCATCCCAAAGATGCACTCGTGGGGCCAGCTGTGAGCCACAGCCCTCCCGGCACACATGCCCACGGTTGAGGGATCCGTACATTCCCCTCCCAAACAGTCCATGATCGCCCTGCTCTCTCCCTTTTTCATCTGCAACCACCCGCTGACGGATCGATCATACGTGACGACAAGAAGAAGACAGACACGGCGTCGAGCCCAGCTTTACGCGCCACGCATGAGCTTTCCGACGAAGCGGTCCATACACAACGATACGTGTCTTTTAACTTACTTCATCTTCTTTCCCGCTCCTCAGCCCTACTGCTGTGCCTCCCATCGCCGGTCTTCACATCGTGGGGTGTGACTGCTTGCGGTACTGCGGTGTTGTGCTGTACACGCGCTCAGCCCCCTGAGACACACCTGCAGTTGGACCATCTCGATTGTCTTCGCACCTCAAGGCACCAGGATAACTGACCGTCTTCACAATCCGGCCAGCCTCTCCGACACATCCAAGTCGGATATCTATCTCCAAGCGCTCTTTACACCGCCGTCTATCTATCGAAAGAGTTGGCGCTATCGCTCTTCCTATCACTCACTCAGAACATTCGACAAAAAGGCTCGCTGATTCGGAGAACCGTAGATGATCGGCGAATCCCGCATTCTCGCTGTACCGTGCTATATTCGTGCTTATTCGCTCAATCGCCGCCAGAATGAAGGCGACTGCTTGCTCGCTTTGCGTACTCTATCTAGGGATCGACTTATTAGGCGGGACCGTAGCTGGGGCGGAACTCAAGAGACGAGACGGGGTGCACCGCCTGGAGAAGGCACACGTTACCGTTTTCCACGATCTTAATCGAAGAGGCACGACGACTTGTGCTACCGGATACTCTGCCTGCGCGTCGAGCTTAGATGGAGGATGTTGTCTGTCAGGCTATGCCTGCGCGACAGATTCTTGCTACGCGACCACAAGTGCAGCGCAAACTTGCGCAGGAAGGGCTGGATACTACGCATGTAGCTCGGTGATGGGTGGTGAGTCGTGCCAACTCAAAACCTTGGTTCTATTACCGTGGAATTAACATAATTATTTTGTTTAGGCGGTTGCTGCCCAGAAGGATATCAGTGCCAAAGAGGCGGAAACTGCCTTCCGGCTTCTGGAGTCACATACTCTCAGTCATGCCCGGCTACTTACTACTTATGTCCTGCTAGCTTGAGCTACGGGTGCTGTCGAGACGGACTCGGATGCGCCGTGAGCGCTTGCTACTCGACAGAGCCGTCAACTATCACGGAGACGACAACGATTACGACGACGAATGACGCTGCGCAAACCATAACCACGACAGTCACCGCCACGGCTGTTCTGACACCCTCAAGACCTACCACGGCGCCGATAGTGGCAACGGGGGTAAACGATCCGGACCAAGTTGTGTTCAAGTACTATCCGAGCACCGTTCCGAAAGAGCAACCTATTCCGAGCAGAGATGATAGCAATGATGGACTGACCACGGGACAAATCGCGGGTATCGTGGCTGGAGGAGTTGGTCTGCTCGTCGTTGTCTTGGTGACAGCGTGGATCATCATTCGCCACCTCAACAAAGTTGTCCAGGCTGTCGAGACCAGCAACAAGGGAACATCATCTGGGGCCAAGTCACGTCCCTCAATGTATGACTTCAAGCCTACTCCATCAGAGGTTGATGAGATGAGCGTAGACCCGTATATGATGTCTCCTCGACCGTCACACCGCAGACATGATTCTGATACGACCACCGACTTCACACCACCGTACCGTGGTACGCCGGGATCAATCGGTGACTATCAACCCGTGCCACAAGGGTCAGGATCGGATAGACACGCAAGCTACGACTCGACATATACAGGAGGCTACTTCGATGTCGCGCCAGACAGGAATCAGCGTGTCAGTCAGGGGTCGAGCGCGTGGATCGGGCTGCATCGTGGAAGCACGGATTCACAGGGAACTTATGCGCACCTCCGACATTGGAGCAATGCCAGCGAAGCAAGCAGTGATCACGGCAGCGCGGGTACTCGAACCCCGCTCCAAGAGCTCGACTCAACGCCATACGTACCAGAGTTGGCTGCCACACCCGTACCAGAGGCTCTAGCTGAGACACGTCGCCGGTCATCGAGTGGCTTGTCGGGCATGAGTCGGCCGCCTGCGGTTCATCAGCGGCGAAGGAGCAGTGAAGGAGGCCACGGTAGATCGAGGAGCGATAGTTCTGCTCCGGCTGGGCTGAGTGTTGTGAATGAGGCTTCAGAACTCATCGGGCACTATGGCCCGACAGATCGAGCGAACGGTCAGACGTCGGTTGAAAAGTGAGGCTGTATTCTTTGCGTCGCTTTCCCATCGAGTCTTCTTCGTCTAGAGCGCACAATGTAGGACTTTTCGCGCGCTGTAAATTCCGAGGGCTCAGCCACATCATGGGGTTGTCGAGAAAAAGCAAAAGCCAGAATTGGAGATCGGGGATCAGACCGTCTGGTGTTGCTGGACTGGGGACACCCTCAATCTCCTCTGCCAAAAGGTGTTTTGGAGGAGATCGGTCTGGGGACGTCATGTCCTACTTGACCTCAGGACTTTCTATGGCTTTGCGAAAAGGCAGCTTGGGCACTAGGAAAGGCCGTCACATGTTGCCTTCCAACCAGACCTCTTATTTCTTATGAGGCAGAAACAGGCAGTATCAAACTTCTTGTCTACAACGGAGGTTTGGGACTGGGAAAACCTCCCGGCGGCACGGAACCATGGAAAAGAAGGATTATCGGTGACCGCTCAAAGCTGGGAAATACGATATAAAGTGGTTGGCGTTCCTAACGGCAAGGGATCTGATGCTAGTTTTTGAGGCTTTCGCCGCAATATGTTGAGAAGTGGGCTTACTTTGGCGCAAGTGTTTGGTCTATTATGCTCCGTCACGATACATGATACCTTTTTCTTGTTCTACAAGTAGCTCTGAATGTCTCGATCCATCATACTCTTTTTTTTTCCAAGTACGAGCGGGATGATGAAACTGAGGAATCGCGAGAGAACAAGGTGCGATGTTGACGTAGGACTGAAAACTTGCTTCCCTTTCAGCTTGAGCCATGTATCCTCTCATTAATCTTATCTTTGATATAACGAAAGATGCAAAGCAAGGGCGAGTTAATCCGTCGCCTTCGGCATCATTGCAGAGTGGGTTCGTTCCCTTCAACAACAGCAATAAGAGTACTCAAGAAAACAGATTTTTGAACATTATTTTTATATTTCAGCAAAGTGAGTTATCTATAAGTTACAAAATATTAATAAGTATACTTATAAATCTTCAACCTTTTCTTGGAAGACTTGATAAAAAGCCGGAGGGTTTTTAACCGAGAAGCAAGTAGAAGGAGGTTTAAACCTTGCAAACCTTGTCTTTTAACTTCCCCAGGGCGTCTATTCCAGCGGATCTTGATATCGAAGAGTAAGACATTGAATTTAGGAAAGATGACTTTGGAAATATGGCGATCAAGGGCCTGGTTGTCACTTTGGAAAAGGAGGGCAGGCTGGTCCAACGGGGTCGGGGGGAAGTGTGCTTTGAGGCGAAGGTGAGATTTGGCTGACGATGGGTATCTCTTCTTTTCTGTACCTTTTGTCGATCTTATCTGATGAGATGTTACCCCAAACACCCTGTTTGTCAGGAAAATAACACTCTCGCCGCGGGGTGGCGGTATGCAGAGGGAAGGGGATGGGGAAGGGTTTGGGGGTGCCTCTTCTGCGGATCAAGCATCTCGGCTACTCGGGAATTCGAACCAGAGCCCAGAGCCCAGAGGGTCATTGAAGAGACTCATTTTGTTTTCTTGCGTGGACCATCGGCTGTCGTCGAGGCAAAAGGCGAGGCACAAGGCGGGGAGAAGACTAGACCTCGGGACAGGCTCCTCCGTCGATTAGATGCGGCCTTGGTCAACCCTTGGAAGAGGCACGTTGCTTAGAAGGGGCGTTAGGTAGTCCACCTGGGGTAGGGGGGCATTTCATTGCTGGCACACGCTCCCGCTGGAAGACAGGTTTGCGTGCGGGGGAGGTGCATGGCTTATGGTCTGAGACTGGGGAAAGGCGGTGGAGGGGGGATGAGCGGGGGAAACTGGGGAAGGAATTGGGAATTGAGAGGGCACGATGTTGCTTCGGGGCGATTTGATGTCGGAACAAATATGCTGGAGAAGTTAATGGGGGAAAGTGAAATAGAGAAGGGGAGGGAGAAGGAAAGCGGCCGGGTGAAGTGAATATCCTCAGAGGGAAGAAATATGTGCATGCTATTATGTCTAGAGTATTATAATTGTAGATGAAGTCGAATACGCAGTTCGCTGATGTTCAAGTGCCTGGGCCCCACTAGTAGGAAACCACTGACAAGAAAAGTTCCGAAAAGGGTATTATGATCCTAGTATTTAGGGAGGGACTTGGTATGAACAAATCAAGTAAGCAGAATTCTCATCAAACTTGCTTTATAATATTGACATGTGGTGGGATTTTCCACACGTCTAGACTATCTTGGCTCGGGGCAGATGCGTCTCACTATCTGTGCGTCCTGGTGAGAGGCATCGAAGGATAGTCGACGTCCAAGGAGTCAAGACTACAATGGCGCGAGCGAGAGCAAATTTCCAGATCAGCTACCGGAGTGGTCGGCTGAACCAATATCCCAAGACAACACGCGTGTCCATCTCCCTGAGGATTTAAACCTGGAGGATGGGAGAGGCAAGGGGGGTCAACGGCGAACAGAGCAGTGAGCTTCGCGATAGCGACAACGTGCTTCTGTCGCCAAGGTGGACTTTCCGTTTTTCGCATTCACCGAGTACACGTGCTGCTAGGACCTGGCTCACCTGCCGGGGATGAACCTGTGCCCTGAACGACTGGAAAAGTTGGCTCTAGCTCTTCTTCCGCTTCTAGTTTTTTTTTCCCGCACTTCAGCGGGCGGAGATGGGATGTGTGGGCTTCTCGCTTGACCTAAGGCTGTAAACGGGAATAATGCGCCGATGGGGACTAGCCTTATTGTTGGAGTTGAGCCAGGGGACATACATAGTAGATCGAGTGGCGACTGGGAGACGAGGGGTTTCTGGAAAAGAGTCATATGTATCCGTATATGAATTCCTCAAGCCTTTGACTAGGTGGGTGTAAGAGCGAGATGAGATTCCCTCACCGTCGGTATCGGATCTGACAGCCACGTGCTGCTCCAGAAGGAAGGTCAATCAAAGGACATCAAACGGCCTTCCTTGCAAAGTAAGGAGAGATTATCCGTAAGGTATGATGCTTAAAAAGCTCGAGCGAAAGAAGGAATATTCGGGATGGTGGACATTGAAGCTTAGTCCAACAAAAGGCCCCCGGTCGGCGCGGGCCAACGAACCAATCTCCACCCTTCGGGCACGCTCCCCACTGCTCCAGCTGCCTCTTTCGGTGAAGCGGGTTCCTCCAAGGGGGGGGGGGGGTTGCCCTTGTTGATTAGCCTTTGTATCCGTACCGCTTGTTTGAGTTTCTCGCTCTCTACTATCGATGAGGGCTCAGCCGATAATACAAGGCCGTCTTGGTAGATGATGGAGGATTTTGGTGGTAATAGCGATCAGAGAGGAAGTCGGATTTACCTTGCCCAACGGTCAGCGCCGATGGGATCGGACGGCGCGTTTCTGGCGCCGTTTGAACCGTTGGAGGAGAGGGGAGAGACTACTCCGTTTTCATTGCTGATAGCCAGCCTCCGGCTCGGGAATGGCGCCGCCGGGGTTGACGGGCGAGCTTGGGTGCGTACTATGTAGGCACAGACGTTTTGGTCATGGTAGACTTTTTTCAACGGGCTGAGAAGTCTGAACGGCTTTCTTTGGACAACCAACACAGGGACAAACAGAGACCGACGACGACGACGACGACGACGCTGTAATTTGCGCTGTTGGTCAGTCCCCAGGGGCTAACGTCAGCAGAGCAGAGGTTACCGGCACAGACGCGGTCAGGGTTGCAGCGCGAGGGAACTGCCAGCCTCTATCTTCCCAGGTGAACGCTTCCCATGACACCTGTCGCATGGCGGACGGGGGTGGGCTCGCTGTCATGGGTCTCGGCGTGCGACGCAGATGCTTTCAATAGCTCTGTCCTGCCCAGCTAGACGGTGGACCACAGGAGAGCGGGCCCCCGAGGTGGGGGGTAGTGCGCAGCACAGCTCATAAGCATAAAAGCTTCAAGGAGTAACCCCCTTCCGCCCCCCCTCACCCCCCATGGCATGGCCACCTCCGGCTATCGGGAGGGGGACATCCCCCCTCCGCTGAGTGGGCTGATAGGCAGGGCGGATGGCAGTCTAGGCTCTAATTATACACGAGAACGAACCTTCTAGGCTAAAGACCTATCAGAGTCAATCACGCGCGCGGGTGCCATTCATTCATGTTGAGTTGGTTGGCCTGCCTATCCGTACCTCAAGCCACAATTGGAGTGAGGCCAGGTTACTCAGCCTCGAGTAGTTGAAAAGAATGAAAGTTTTGAGTTTTTAATTTCAATGAATGCATTCGTCACTTGAGCTGTCACTAATGAACGCCAAAGTCCGGTTCGAAGAGAGAAAGAGCGAAAAGGTGACCGAGGGTCGCATCGGATCATCACCGACAGCATCATTGCCAATGCAGGTTGGCGGCGCGGCCCTTAGGCGACGCGTTCCAATTGGCGGGTTCCCTTCCACTAACGATTCCTTTCCAATTTGGGTTCTTCCTTTTTCTACCTCTCTTTTTTTTTTTGCCCGCTCATGATTTTCCTCTTGCTCCCCGTCATCGACCAACTTCTATACTCTGTAGAGTCCCTGCAAGTTGCAGCTCCCATGACCTTGCCCGCATACCTAGACTTGATCGTCTCTTTGCTTCGCTTCTCCTCATTTCCTTTCTGCATGTCAGATTTTCCCGTGGTCTACGGATAAACATCAAGAGTATGCCCCAATTTGAGCACCGTGATGCAACATCATGCCGGCAGCCGTCCGAAGTCTACTCACCTCGTCCAGCCACCTCCGAGGATGGTAAGTTGGGTTGAAGCACAGCAGACTGGATTTATGCAGCGTCTCCGACCGCGCCATCCAACAATGCAGTTATCAAAAAAGCTCCTAGGACACTGACGGGTAATTAAGAGTGCCCCCAACCGCGTGTTGCTTCTGCAGTCCCAGGATTCTGGTCAGCTCCCCCGGCACACTGGCAGGCCAAGGACAGCGTCAATCTTTGACTGGCTGTCTCTCATTGTTTGCCAGAGGATATAACACGCCTCAACGGGGGGCCCTTTCGTGCCGTCACACGTCGGCGTCTGTTTGCCAATCGCCTCCACACCTGACGCTTCCGTCGCCCGCCATCGCCCCAAATCCAGGGCACGGCTGAGGACGCCATGAATTCCTCTGCGACACCAGAATAGCAGAGACAACAGCCACACAATCTGACTCTCGTTGTGCCCACTGCCAATGGTAAGTTTAGAAACAGAAGCCCATCAGCTACGCCGCGCATTGTGCAGATTTCGATAGTGTGTCCTCGAGAAACAGGGCCGTTTCGCCCAACATGCCTTTGCAGGCACCTCCCTTGGAAACGGCCGCCATGTCAAGCCAGAATGTGACCCTCGCCCTTTGTCTCCCGGCGAAACAACAAGCGTCGTCCCTGAGCATCCGAAAGGCTCTACAGGAATTCCCGACGTCAATACAGAGCTAGGCCGAATCAGACCAGCTTCCCCCGCCGTGATAGCGCGGGCGAGGGGGCGTGGAAAATCAATTTCGAGATTCCCACGAGGGGAAGGGGGGGGGGGGGGGGGGGGGGGAGGGGGGGAGAAAAGACGAGTGGGGGGACGCGGGGGGGGGGGGGGGGGGGGGGGGGGCGAGAAGAACAGACGCGTTTTGTTTCTCGCCTGGATGCTAGCCTTGAGATCCAACAGAACAAATGTTACTCTCGGCCCTGCTTGCCAGCCAAAGGGTACTTTCTCTCATTCTCGGCCCCTCCTCCTCCTCCTCCTCCTCCTCGCAGGCCTACGGATACGGTACGCTACTTCGTACGCTACCGCCTACGATGCGCATGTTCTCCTGTTCCTGCTCTTCGCCGCCAGCCCACACGCTCCCCCAACCTGCCTCATGCGGATGTCCCGCCGGTTGATAGGTGGGAAATGCGACCCTCGCCAGGAGATGGGCTGAACGGGTTGGAGCTACTGCGGTTCGCTTCTTCCTCGCTTTTCCATGTTTCCCTCTATCCGTGTGCCCCCCCTCTTTCGACCCCTGGTCCTGTCTAGTGCTCAGGAACAGGGTGTCACCGCACCGGGGAGCCTAGTTCCCCAATATGTCTTTCTGGTAAACCCACGATGCTTGCTGCCCATGGCTCTTCCTCTTTGAACGACCACCCACGCCCCCCCGTCCGTTCACCCCAGGGCCTGTTCGATGACCCGCCCTTCCTATCGCCGCTTCTTCTGGGCGCTCCTCAGGATGGGCGGGTGAACTCCGCTGCTCTCTTTCTTGTGGTTGCTGCGATTCGTATTGAACCGGCCGGCTGGCTAGCTGTCTGCTGTACCAAATTTGCTCGCTTCTGCGTCCCAGATCTGTTAGTCCCGACTGCGAGGAGAAGCATGCTGGCATGGTACCTGTTTGCCCCAGTCGAACTCGAACACCCATCCACCACCAACAAAGTCGAGGTCCCATCCCGCATCTCGCGGATATATATCACGGCGCCTTCGTCTCCATGTAACTGTTCCTCCCTCCTTTCCCCTTTCCCCATCCACCGACTTCCTACCAGATCCATCCAATCAACTCCCCCACCATCCATCTCTTAGGACCTCAGTCGATCGTCTCCCCCTTCCACAACCGTCAAAATGAAGGCCGCCGTCATCTTCTCCCTCGTCAGCTTCGCTCTCGGCTCCGTCCTCGAGAAGCGCGCCTGCGCCGGCAACAACTGCAACCGTCAGGTCACCGGTACCCGTGAGGGCCTCCTGCCCATTCCCTCCCGCCAGGCCGACTGCTCTTCCTTCTTGAAGGCCACCGTAACCCCCTCCCCTACGTATGTCGACCTCTCGATTACCGAACCCTCACTAGATGGGTACCATGTGGACTAACTCGTCTCATACAGCACCGTCACCGTTACCGTCACCGCCGCGCCGGCCCGCCTCCGCCGCAACGGCGAGATCGCCAACCGCCAGGTCACCGCTCTCCCCACCCTCATCCCCGCCTACGCCTCGTCCTGCGGCGACTCTGCTGCGTACTCGTCCGCCTGCCTTTGCTGGGGCATCACCGCCGTCACCACTACTGCGCCCAAGCCTACCGTCACCGTCACCACCACTGTCGACTACTGCGAGGGTGAGACCTGACAGTTCACTTAAGAGTGGTAGAAGAATCAGCCATGCTAACGTGTGATAGACTTGTAAACGTCTCGCTCGACGTGGAGATGGAAGGTTTGAAGATATGAGAAAGGTCATTCATCTGTTTCTCTAGTCTCGGTGTTGAGGAAGGGAAAAGGCATGAGGCTGTGGGGAGGGGACCCCGGTCGAGCTTGGATAGGACGGCACGGTCATCGTTGTCTTCCCTTTGGATCACTAAGAGAATCCCTCGATTACGAATTGAATGGACTTGATCATTGATTCAGGCTATCTATTCAGAGCCGCGCTCATGGCCTCACATCGCACCCCCTGCCTCTTCCGACACATTGAGGTTCGAGAAACGGACGACACTTGAAGGCCTTGGGGTACGATGTGTTACGAGGGATTAAAACGTTTATGACCGGTTTGATGGGAGACACGACGACCAGCTTTGACTGGCATTAGTCTGTCACTGTGATGATATTCACCTTCATGTGTAATAATTAAGACTAATTCGACCTTACTTTGCAAGATACTACCTGATGAGCGTGTGATCACTGATGGACAGGCATTGAGATGTCAAATCGGATTTGACAACTGGGTGTTGATCACCGTCGAAATTTGAGACGGCGTGCTCATCAACTGAGACGAGACAGACTCAGCGGCTGAGGGATTCAACAGTCATGGATGACACAACACGTCTCTGGCCAGCCTCACTTACTTATTCGGAAGCCATGTTTTACAAGGCAAAGTCTTGGGAAAGGGCATCTGAACATTTATTGCTTATCCCTAGCCTTATCAAATCCTTGTCTTCTTCATCTGTCCCATTGACTCATTCCCATGCAGACGGAATCCCGACAGAGGTTAATTGAGCCTCACGTCTTGACAAACCAAAGTCGTTAATCAAGCCGCAGGTTGCGTGATACCCGTCCGACCCGTCCTGGGATGCCCCTCACCAAACGGGTCATGTATCCATGACGCCGGACGACTGGGTTTCCGCCAAATGTCGATCTTTTTCTCTTCATCCGAACTCTGTTTCGCGATTTACCCACACATGTTCCCAGCATTCCCCAGAAAATATGCATCCACCGCAGCGGGTGAACGAAACCTTAGAACAGCCACCGTCTTTTTCCCGCGTGGCTTTCGTCAGGGGTATTGGTGGTGTTAGTTTTTTGGTGGTGGCCCACGCTGCCCGGATCATCCCTGGCGTCAAACTCGTACAAATTGGTCAGTCTCACGTTGTGCTACGTTCCAGCCCATTAGCTATTGAGGTTTGACCTTACAATTGTCTATATCAGCATTTTTTTGGGTTTGCTACGACAGCGGCTGAATAGAACGCGGCCTACCTTATCCCATACAGAGTTGCTGCCCGCAGCCCCTTGACGTCGCACCATCAACTCACCCCATGCGCTCCATCGCCATACCTCGTGAAAATCCGAGACATTGTTCAGTCCCGCCCCCGATTACACCCCTGGTCTCGCAGCCTCCCTTGGTTCCCTTTGTTGGCTTCATGGCATCTTTAACCCCTACAACCAATAGTCTTCCCGACCGATGCCCTCGCCTTGCTTCCCTTCGCCCCTACAATGATAACCTACATTCCTATCAATCCCGCAACGCTCCCTCCGACGTCATGCTATTGAAAGCGCCAAGACAAAGGAGCGGCTTCAACGATTGGCTTACTTCCTCTTCACGTCGATATCGACTTGATGCCGGCGGCCTCGTCGGGAGGATAGTTGGGGAGGGGGGCATTCCGGAGGCCAGCGGAAAGTCCTGTTCTCTCGTGGCGAAGGAGACGGGCGTCGTCGTCAACGGTCTCAGTTGCCGCTTCGCGTCGGCCCTTCGGCCTACCCGCTCATTTCTGGCGGTAGTTGATAATGCCGACGAGCGGGGCGGGGACCCGAGACTGTTGACAGTCTCGGAGCGTCGGTGGGATGAGGAAGTGCCCGTTCTAGGTCGTGCCAGCGAATACCACTGTCCGTGACGGCTTTAAGCGCCTAGAAGTCTTGAATGATGTACTCAGAGTGGAAGCACTTTGTATGCTCACCCACAGTTGGATAAAACAGTGTGAGCAATCCTGAAGAAATGTCTTGTGTTGTAGTCTTCAATGTTGACTTTGTCATTGTAATCCTAACAGTTGGTTTATTTATATTTCTGTAGCCTAGATACTATCCACATCCCAGAAACGAAAGGAAAAAACGGATGGCAGGTCGACATTCGTATAGACTACAAGAGGCAGAGCGCAATCAACACGTCTTCGCATTGCTGAAGCTTGACTTGCAGAAGTCGCTGCAAGTCTGATCGTCATCAACTTGGGAGAAGCTTAGACAAGAGGTTCGCAGCTGGCAAGAACATTGCTGCAAAATAGTAAGCTAACGTTTGGAAAGCTTGAGTTGAACAGAGTCGAATGTGACGATTATGAAATTTTGGGATGACGAAGTGATGATTCATTGGTCTCGAGACGAACTTACATGCAGCGCGTATGCGTTTCCTACAAAGAGGGAAAAGGCGACGGCGATGATGGAGATTCTCATTGTTTCCTAAGGGGAGATTTGAGACTGGAATTCTGAAATGCCTTTTTTTTTTTTGCTGCAATTGAAGAGGTTGAGTGAATGCGGTTTGAATCGAAGGACTACAGATGTTCATGGGAATTGAGTTGGCATAAATAATCCTGCACGAGAATGGTACAACTGCCGGTCCTCAGTTTGCGAAAGCGACGCGTACGACAACTTCTCACGAGGAAGTTATAGGACCGGCATATTAAGGAAGCTTAGTGAGTTTCGATGGTTTTACGCCTGTTTTTAGAAGCATTCTCGAAACCAATCGTGCCACAACCCTACTCCTTCTGGTTTCAAATACTCTCTAGAAAGTCCACGAAAAGATACACAGCCAGTTTCGCTAGCAGGCGTTGGATGATGGACATGAAAGCGAGGACGAAGATTGTTGGTATGCGTATCACAGGGTAACTGGTTCGAGCCGTACTTCTGAGGGGTGACGAAGGGTCAATTGACTGTATATTGATTCTCTGCGCGGAGAGGAAAAGAGAGGTTCTAACCGTAGGTTAGCCGGCCAGTTGGAAGCTGATATAGAGACCCGTTGATGGTCCCTGCGCTTGCCCTGACTCGAGGTCGAATTGGACTTCCAATCCGACAGAGATAGAGACGGCGAGCCCCGGTGTACACATCTTTCAAAGGCAGGCAGTGACAAGCTCAGTTTCATCTGCCTGCTTGTTCAGCATGGCGCCGACATCAAAATGCCTGCACAAGATGGATTTGGCCCTCTTCATGTGGCGCTTAGCGAAAGCGATGAAGAGTCATTTTTGAACTTACTCCAGCAAGGGGCCGGCCCACTTTCTGGATGCCACGCAACTGCGAATGGTCGCCTGTTGCCTTGGCCGTCTGAGATCCAAAAATAACAATACTCAGTCTCATATTGGGTGAATGCGCTTTTGTTACTACGCCTTTGCTTCACTGTAAAGACTAATCCGAATGTGCTGGATCATAGGATCAAGCAACAACAGCCAAAAGACTTCTTGATGGAGCAAAAGCAATCAACTACTTCCAAATGAGAGTTGGTATTTAACTCATAGCGAGTTAGTTTCCACTTTGAGTCTTTCACGTAATCTAACGCAGGATACGGAAACAGTTGGCAACAAAACTTTCTGATGTTCCCGCATGGATACTGCCGCAGTTGCAAATTACCTTACATAAGGTAGGCATGTCCGTGGACTGGAATAGAAGGGATCAAAGACATGATACGCATCAAACTATAGTAAATCCCGTTTAAACAAGACTTCTTACTCACCCATAAGCATAAGGGGACCCCCTAGCCCTTCTCCAACCACTTCAGCTTTCTTCAAGCCAGCCGTGTTGTCGCAGTATGAGCACGCTTTGCAGAGCAGAGTACCTTACTTACCTAAGAAGCAAAGAAGAGGTCAACTAGAATACTTGCCTCTGATTGGAAGAGACGATCCAATGGACCCACCATAAGGTAAGGTACCTCAAGGTACGGACTGCGCTGCGCCGATAAGATGGATGGGCCAGATAAGATAGCGATAAGCGAAAAAAGTTGCCGACGTCGAGATTTTTGACGGCCAAGTCCCCCCGCCGTCGCTCAGACACCAACGCATTTTGTCGACTCCAGCCGCGAAGACTGCAACCATGGGAAAGCGCAAGGTCACCGCCCTCGAGAAGGTCGATGCCGACTTGTAGGTACTGCGCGTTCTATCGTGCCTACCAATCGCTAATAATCACAGCGCCGGCCTCCAGTACAAGATCCGCCGCGACCCCAAGTCATACGAAGAGAACTTTCTCCAGCAATGGGGCCAGTACGAGAGTCAGCGCGAGGTCTTTCTCGTCTCGCCGACGACCGCGACGAGGGAATACACAGAGTCCTTTCATAACCTCGTCGATCTCCTCGCGCACACCGTCGACCTGTACCCGAAGCACGCCGTCGCGTTCCCCGACGATCTGAAGGCGATCCTGTTGCAGCACCACGAGGTCCTGCACCCCGAGCTGCGTGAGAAAATTGTCGGAAGTTTGGCGCTCCTCCGCAAGAAGGACGTAATCGACTCGACAACTTACCTCACGACGCTGTTCCCCATTCTCGTTTCGTCGCCCAGCAAGACGCTGCGAACGCTCCTGTTCGGCAAGATCCTTACCGAGATGCGCAACGCAAACTCCAAGGCGACGAACCACCCCCTGAACCGCACGATCCAGACCGTTCTCTACAACCTGATTACGGCCGACCGCACATCACCGAAAGCTGTCTGGGCCGTGAAGTTGACCCGCGAGCTGTGGAAGCGACAGATCTGGACCGACGCCAAGACCGTCGACGTTATGAAGGAAGCAGCTCTTTCCGATAACGAAAAGGTTGTCGTTGGCTCCGTGCGGTTCTTCCTCGGTGGTGATAAGGAGCGGGAGGAGCTGGAGGACGACAGCAGCGACGAGGAGCAAATTGACCTGCAAAAGATGAAGCATCAGATCGGCATCAACAAAAAGTCGAAAAAGCAGGCGAATGCGTACAAGAAGGCCGTTGCCAAGATCCACAAGCAGGAGCGCGGAAAGGGCAAGCCTCACCCGCTCAACTTCTCCGCCTTCCACCTGCTGCACGACCCTCAAGGCTTCGCTGAGACCGTTTTCCAGAAACACCTGCAGAACACCAAGACAAAGTTCTCCCAGGAGAACAAGCTTCTCGTCCTGCAGTTGGTGACGAGATTGGTTGGTCTTCACAAGTTGACCATCATCAGCCTGTACTCTTGGTTCATCAAATTCCTCACTCCCCGTCAAGAATCCGTCACTTCTTACTTGGCTTCTCTGGCTCAGGGAACACATAACCTGGTTCCTCCTGATGCCGTCGAGCCTCTCATCCAGAAGATTGCCAACGAATTCGTCTCAGAAGCTGCTGCTGCCGAGGTCGCCGCCGCTGGCCTGAACGCTATCCGCGAGATTTGCGCCAGACAACCCCTAGCCATGACCGACACACTGCTGCAAGATCTGGTTCAATACCGAAAGAGCAAAGACAAGGGAACTATGATGGCGGCCAAAGGTCTTTTGTCTCTGTACAGAGAGGTTGGCGCTGATTTGCTGCAGAGGAAGGACCGAGGCAAGGACGCGTCCATGGGTCTCAGAAGCGGTGAGATGAAGACGAAGAGATTCGGCGAGGAGGAAGTTGGTGGCATCGAGGGCATTGAACTGTTGGCCAGGTACAAGGAGGAGCAGCGCAAGCTCAAGCGAGCCGCCAAGGGCTTGCCAGAGGACGGCGACGACAAAGACGAAGACGAGGAGGAAGATGGCTACAAGTCTGAGGACTGGGAGGTGGACTCCGACGACAGTGACGACTCGGGCGGCTGGATCAATGTCAGTCACTCGGAGGACGAGGATGATGAACCTGCGCCGAAGAAGCGCAGGACAGCAGAGGACGGGTCGGATTCTGAGGATGAAGACGAGGAGGATAACGCCGACGAACTAGAGCGGATACAGAAGCTCGCCACGACTACTATCCTCACGCCCGCCGACCTCGCGAAGCTCCAGGAGCTGCGCATGGAGGCCAGCCTGAACAAGACTCTGGGCAACCGCACCTCGAAGCGCCAAAAGGAGGTTGAAAAGGCTCTGGCCCGTCACGCCGACGACGGCCTCACGGCCGAGCAAATTGAGGCTCCCGCCAGGCTGCGCAAGACGACCAAGGAAGAGAGGGTGGCGATGGCCAAGGAGGGCAAGCCGGGCCGCGACGAGCACAAGTCGACGCAGGCGATCCGCCGGTCGAAGAAGGACGCCGAGGGCAAGAGTTCGACGAACAAGGAGAAGGCGCGCCAGAAGAACTTCTTGATGACGCTGAACAAGGCCAAGTACAAGAACAAGAGGAGTTTGGTGCAGACGAAGAAGGTGCTGCAGGGTCATATCGACAGGAGTAAACGTGGCGGAAGACGTGCCAACGGTACATAGACGGGGCAAGATAGTTGCAGAGTCTCTCTGTTTATCACCTTGGCTCTTAGTTTATGGATGATGGCGCATGTAATCAAAAACTCTGGATTTCAGCATGCAAACAAGTTAATTTCCTAAAATCAGGTGCCAACTAACGTTATGATAACTCGTTACAAGTCGTACTCTATTCATGAGATCGTACATGAAGACTCAAGCGATCCGATGTATCATTTTGACGTAGGCTCTCACCTCTTCTCCAACATCCACCCCGTCTTCAGTAGAAAGTTCGACTTAAGCAAACGAAACAACTTCCTTTCTTCTTGCTCGAAACTGAAACCAGGTTCAGCTAGATCGACTATGACTACGACTACACCTCCCGTTAGCAATGTACGTACATCAGGCGCCTCCCGTCTTCTTATTCCAGCGCCTTCGATGCACCGGCCAATGCTTCTTCTTCCACGCAGGCCACCCCCTGCTACCTACCATCCTGCGAGCAGCCAGACAATCTACGCACAGAATCCTGCTCTGCGGTGCAAAGTTCTTGCCGCACCCGCACTTTGTCTTGATCAAGGTGTCCATCGAGGACCCCCGATCCAAAAGCTCGTCGTCCTCGTCGTCGTCCAGTGCCGGGTTCTGGGGACGCCTACCGCTGCCGCTCGGCCCGCTCTCCCGACAGTCGCGACAGCAACCCTCGGGAGTCCTATGGACCTGGTGGCCGCAACCCGAGCACTGCATGATCTCGGCCGCCGGGAGGCTGTGGAGGGCCTGCAGGGGCGCGGCACCGGTGGTCCCCTCGTACAGGCACTTCCTGCAGTAGGACTTTCCGGCCACGACGTAGTTGTGTTCGCAGAGGATGCAGCCCTGCGAAGTGAAGTAGGCGGTCAGCGGCGTCGCCGGGGTATCTGGGGCGATGCAGTCCTCGCAGCGCTTCGTGCCCGCGGGAACGTGCTTGCTGCGGCAGACGTCACAAAGCTGTGGCGCCCCGTTGTGGATGCGCGACTGTCGCGTGAGTCGTGATGATGGCTGAGGGGTGGTGCTATGGTGCTGGTGAGTTTGTCCATCACCTCCTTCTTGGGGGTTTTCGTCCGGGCCAAAGGCGATGAGAATGGAGATGCACTCTGCGCAACGTCTTCTTCCGGGCGCACACGGCACCCCCGGCCTCTTGCAGCGGACGCAGAGGGATGGTCTGTGGGGCTGGAACTCTTCATATTCCCAGGAGAGAGTGCGGCTTTCCTCTTCCTTTGGAGGGCTGTAGGGGGTCCTATTTGCACTGTCGTGGACCGGGACGGCGCCGCTGTGGAGCAGAAGAAGTGCCTCGGCGGCGATGTTGCGGAGGACCTGCTCCCTGATGTTGCTTTGTCTGCAGTTCTCGCACACGGTAGGGACGGGTCTACCGTTGGCACCGATAGGTTCCGGACCTAAGAGAGTCTCAGCGCATTGCGGGCATGTCCTGCAAGTTTGGCTATCAGGACGTAAGAATTTGTCGAGGTTAGTAGACTTGAGAGAGGGGAGGGTGTCTACAAAGCTGCCCGAGGACAGGTCGGCCCGTCGAAGTGGGTTGAGTCGAAGGAACGCGGGGATTGGCTGCGTACGAGGGTCGACTCCGGAGATCATACGCTGGGGAATGTATCGGCCTCGGCGATAGATCGACAAGATATCTGTTACTGGGTCAGGGAGTAAGGGGGGGTTGGCCGGACGGGAGTCTTGTGCGCCAGACGTTGTGTTGATAGTGAGACGAGGCCGCTTTCCTGAACAGCTCATATTTGGAGACTCTCCCGGCCTCTTACCAAAGTTTCTGTTGACGTTGTCCATTTTGATCTCCGCTGAGAAGACTGTTAGTCGGGGCAAGGGTGAAGGAAACTTACGAGGTACTGCTTGAAATGTTGTAATGTTGAATCCTAGTATTGGTGCTGGAAGCCTGGTGAAAGCTGGGATGGTTGAGATGCTCCAAGAAAACAGTTCGTTGCCTGGCTTCTTGCTGTAATTAAGTACCTCTGGATCGTGGCGTGTCTTGGGAGTTGGGTTCTCGGGCTTTGAAAGACAATGCTCGTGATTCATTGACTCGAATGACAATGAGAACAACGTACTTGACCCCTATCATCTATGCAAAACCGGAGACTTGTGCCTTGTTCCGGAATAGACACGGCTACTTGAGTGAAAGAGTTCTTGTTTGGCTGAAGCGATGAGTTGACCTGAGCAAATAGTCTAGGCACATCTTTGCAAAGGTGTGTTGTCTCCGTGCACGCTGCAGCCTGCTCGTGGAGCACTTGTCTACCTATATTCCTGTCAAAGCCGATCAAGCATGAATAGACTCAAGAGTCAAGAGAAATCTATCGATTGGATAAGTCTGTTTGAGACTCAGCTTGCCTCTAATTTTTCAATGGCAACACACATGAGCTACCACAACCAGTCCCTATAGAAGTGTCTGAAACAATAGAATCGGACAGGATTAAATTAAAACTATATCGAAGAGCAAAGTTTCACTTTCCAGGAGACGACTGGCATCTTTCTGGCCGTTCCTCAATCGATGAGCTGCTGTCTAACCCCACTACTGAAATTGATGCAGCGACTTGCGGCCTGCCCCGTCAAGCAAGGGTTCACAACCCTACCGGTGGCCCAGATCGTCTAGTTGGTTAGGATGATACGTTGTGGTTCTTCTATACAGCGATCCGTGTTGACGGCGGTTCGAATCCGCCTCTGGGCACTCAATCTTTTGATCTTTCTTTTGCTGGCCGTCGATGAGTGTATACTTTTGACTGAACTCTATGTAATGGTTTTTGTTGGGGTTGCGTAGAGAGTCCGAAGATCCTGCAACGCCGACCGATGGAACCCAGCTCGGCCGCGGAGCCGGAAGTGGGGGCCATGCGCCGATCAGTTCGGACGTACTGATGAGGTGTGATACATACATACATATTCGCTGTTCAGTACCTGCAAGCAGCAAATGCTGTTTATTTCCTATTTCAAGACATGGCTTCCAGGTCATGAGGTTGCATTAGAACCAGAACAGCATCCGACTTGGTTCGGGGAAGTTGGGGTCCAAAAATTCCTTCGTGTCTTACTTCAGCTACAACAGATACAGTCGTCCTCACGACCAAGGTAGGGGGGATTGTCCTACAGCGCCTTTTGCCAAAATCAAGAATTTACATATCCAGGACTTCTTCCGACCACCCCTCTGCCTGGAATCCCTACTTCTCTTGTTTCCCAGCAGGGTTGGCAAATCTTATGTGGACGAATAGAGGCGAACCCAGGGCGATAGGAGGCTACCATTGGCTTTCGGATCTATGAAGCTTTCTTTCATCGCCACCATAGGGCGGCGGCATGCGCGTCTAATATTCAGAAACCGATACCACTTGCGTTGATGTTGGAAGTTCAACTTTGTGTCTGCCAAGGCTACTCAGCCGCCCGACGTCAGACGATCAACGAGATTGGAATAGCAAACGTCCGACCTGGCGGCTACTGCAATTCGTCGACGTCGGGGGACACAAATTAATCCATGGTTGCATCTCACTTGCATGGATTTCTTACCCATTCCTGCCGGCACAGAGGTCCAATGAAGGTGGACACGCGGTCGGGGCCGGGGGTTGCGGCCGCTAAATCATGAAGGTGATCTTACCACAACCGGCTCTACGAGGTACCCTTTGTGGCCCTATCGACACGTCGAGCTTCGAGAAGGTGGGTGGACGTGGTTTAGTGAATTGGATCGCGGGGGCTGACGTGAGAGCCTCTCAACTTCATCTCAGGCCTCATAGGTGTTGTGCAGACTGAAGCGTTGAGGTTTTTGCGAGAAACCAAGTCAAGCAGTATGAACAAGTTGTCACATTTCCCGAGTTTGACTTGAGAGTGGCTGACCTCTTATCTCAACCAAAGAAAAAGAAAAAATGATACCCGTGAGTCGTTAGGCTGTTGGACGCAGAGAAGAAGTACGGCGCAGCAACGGGTTCGCGAAAGCACGTCAATTTACTGCGTTGGTTGGGTCCAACTTTTTACCGCCGGCTGTGATTCGGACTTTCTGCCACATTTGGGTTGTTTGCTTGCTTTCATCACACGGCTTTTGTGGTCCGCCACCCCGGCACATCAACCTACATAGAACGTTATTGCGACCTTGATGCTAGAGCAACGACCATTGGACGTTGGAACTCGGTTGCAATGGGGGCCGTCCCGGGGGCCGGGGGGCGGGTTGGGTTGAGGAAATTGCATGCCGCAGCGGCGCAGATACGGCGGGCGGTAAGGATTCAATGGATGCGGCACCGCCATTCCCCGCCCGCAGAAGGCAGAGACACGGCACGTCCTGCTTGCCTAGGCATATGCCAACTCTCCGACGGACGGGAGAGTGCGGCACGAGGCGTTGCTTATATGCAGAAGACTGTGCCCCGTCGCCTTCAGACTCTCTCCTCTGGAGACACTGCAGTATTTTGTCCTTTCTGTCTCACAATCTAGTTCTGCGGCTCGGCTTTTGGCCATCTTGGACGCAAACAAAAACCCACCTCTCAGAAAAGTCGCCTAGGAGCCATGGCGACGGACGCAAAGCCCACTTCTGCAAGTGATGTCGAGCAGGGGAGCTCGTACACTGGCAGTGTCCTTCCAGAGACCAAGGAAATCGTCGAGGGAGCGTCGGAGAGCAGAAGCCCAAGAGAGGGTATGGCGGCGTGGCGTTGGCCATGCATACAGTCTGCGTTTGTCCTCGGAGGCATGCTGCTTGGTGAGAAACGCCAAACTATGTTCAAGTCTGCGAATATCCAAGCTTCGGCTAACACCTGACGCTACCTTTCAGGATATGATGTTAGCAACATCGCGAACATCCAGCCCCCGATTTACGAAGCCTTCGGTCAGGTTCACCTTCTGCCATGGGTTGCGACGGGTTATACGGCAACCCAAGTCTGCATGGTTCCTCTCGTCCGCAAGCTGGCTCTCCTGGGTCACGTCAAGCTGCAGATAGTCGCCTACACCTTGATCTTCCTCATTGGCGCGGCCGTGTCTGGTTCCGCCACCAGCATGAACTCCGTAATCGTGGGCCGTGCCGTCTCAGGAATCGGAGGTGCTGGGATCTACCAACTGTAAGTAGTGTGCCGAGTGCCTCGTCTGTGTCGCCAGCCGAAGCTGACTGTGCGATGCTAGTTGTATCCTGGTCAACGTTCTCCTCACGACACCCACAGAGCTACCTCGTGTGCAAGGCATCATGGCCGTGTCCTGGGCGGTTGGACTTACGCTGGGCCCAGTTATCGGGGGAGCCTTTGCCGAAAACCAAAGTGCTACTTGGAGGTGGGCCATGTATCTTAACCTGCCCATCTTGGCTGTTATTGCTGTCCTCAACTTTGTGGCTCTGCCTCCCATCGAGGTTGGCGTCAACACGACCCTCGTCGGTGGCTTACTTGCCATCGACTGGTTTGGCATCGTGTTGCACATGACCGGTTTCATTCTCCTATGTTCCGCCCTCATCTTCAGCGGTTCCACGTGGGAGTGGTCTTCGCACTCGGTAATCATGGCTTGGGCCTTTGTGGGCGTGATATACGCCGTCTACCTTGCGCAACAGTACTTTTGTCTTTTCACCAGCAAGGAACACAGAGCGATCCCCGCAGATCTCCTCAAAAGCCGGACCGTCTCCCTTGTTGGCCTCGGCACAATGGCTGCTGGCAGTTGTTACGGAATCGCCTTGTACTACACGCCATTGTTCTTCGCCTTCACCAAGGGCGTTGAGCCGGTCGCTGCGGCCGTCCGCATACTTCCCTTCATCTTCACCTTCATCGTCTTCACAATCGTCATGGCTGGCCTCATTCCAGTCATTGGCCGATACGCCCCCTTTTACGTCGCAGGTGGTGCGCTGGCAATGATTGGCGCCGGCCTCCAGTCCCAAATTACACCTCAGACTTCCGAGGCGAGAGTGATGGGAGTCAGCACCCTCATCGGTGCCGGAACCGGATGCATGTGGCAGACTGGAGTCGCCATCATGACGCAGGCCGTACCAGCCAACCGTCGTCTCGACGTCACCGCGCTCTTCATCATGGTCCAGCTGGGGGGTATATCCATCACCCTGGCCCTGGCTGGCTGCGTCTTCTCGAACCTCGGATTCAACCGTCTCCACGCGTCGCTGTCTGGGCTCGGCTACAGCGATCACGATATCCGCGAAGCGCTGGCCGGCCTTGACTCAAAGATTTGGACGGCTGCGGATCGTCGCGTGGTTGCGATTGCTGTTCAAGACGTTGCGAGTGTGATTGCAGATTTGCAGTTTGTGATTGTGGCCGCTGGCGCTATTGCGTTTTTGAGTGGATGTTTCATGAAATGGGAGAAGCTGCAGTTTGGGAGAGTGAAGGCGGCCAAGTGAATCAAGGTCCCTTTCTTCCCTTGGAGGCTGGACTAGGTAAAACTTGATAGAAAAAACCTGCCAAAGTCAAGAGTTTACGAGCTCGGCGTGCCTCTGCTGTTCCATCGTGCTGTTTCTAGCTTATGATACTGAATGACTTCTCGTGCTTACTCCATAGAGGTTTGTAGTCCATGTTTCTACGCAAGATCAACACGTACACTGCGCAAAATCTGAAGAAATATACGTTATAATTGCAGTCGAGAACTCTTTCAATAGCCTCAACTTGCGAAAGAAGGAAACAAGAGATTCTTACTTGCATTGCTTACATCAATTAATGATATCCATTCATGCAGGAGGAAAAGCCAGAGTGAAAAAATTGGTCATCAAAAGGGAATTGAACACAAGCAACGGTCAACTGTGGTGAGCACCTTCGGGTTCGCCGCAGTGGCTCTTCCCCTCAAACTACTCGGCCACATTCCCCGTTCGCTTGGTGACAGGATGGAAAGAAAAGAAACTCAAGTACCCCTTCTCCTTCCTACCTTAGGTATACACAGAATACTACCTTACATGTGCCTACATATACCTAACACGTGATACAACCACCGCCCCGGCACTGATCTCTTATTAGCCATAACTCTTTCACTGTCTGCCTTGAAGTAATGTAGAAAGAATCCCATCTGAAAAGGGCTGAATGAGGAGCAGATATAACACTGTGTTGACCGCTGCGAGTGGCATCTCATGCTATTGACATTTATGTTCAGGCGGTGAATTGACCAGGCTTTTTTTTTGAGATGGGAATTCTTAATAATCCCAATCGAAAGCAGCATTGATATGTATGATAGGCCTTAGCTGCAACGGGAATGCGATCGATCGTCTCCAGAGCAGTGTTGGCAGGGGCTTTGCAGGGCATTTCGAAGGGGCACTTGGCAGAATTTGCCTAGAGTCTTTCGTGTACCAAACAGATACCGTATAGGGTTGAAGACCAGTAGATTGGCCTTTGTTTACATGGATCGATTCACACTGGCTTGTTCCATTTATCGCGTTGATGTAGACTCTGAATCTCCAAGTTCTCACTGAGCGAGAGGAGGCACCCTTTATAACGAACCATCGGACTTTACTCTGCTTAAGCCAAGTAGAAGTCTGTTTTGGAAAACCAGCTGATTGAAATGGCTTGCGGATGAAATGGATTTGTTTCTTAGTTACCATGGACTTTGAAAGTTTTTTTTACCTCGTATGGATCAAGTTCCCGAGCCCAAGTGGTTTCGGGTGAAAAGCGTGTTGAAACAGGTTGAAAGTTCGACAGGCTTTGGCAACCGCGAAGCCGTCCAAATCTAAAGGACTTTTCCAGAAACTACTCCTGTGATGGTCAGATGCAGCGCGCAGAAGCTCTCACCTTAATTTCCATGGGTAGTAAGATGTCTTTACGCATTTCCAGCACAGCCTAGGTTTTGTTGGATTTTGTCTGAAGCAAGAAAAAAAAAACACCAGAGAGAAGTGCTTGGATCTTGATCAAAGTTGAGACTTGACAAATAAAAAGCCCAACTGCGAATCTTTGCTGTCCGATGACGTGACCTCATCGCCTTTTCACTGCAACACTTGTCGACATCCACGAGACAACGAGCGCAACCATCCAGAGCCTTGGAGCGTAGCAACAACACACCTCCCGCTCGACGAATCCTTCATTCCCCCAAACGTCCTCACTGAGAGTGCGCTGCGCGATAGTGATTCTTCAAGCGTGGGTCAGTACCGGGGTAAAAGTCGCCATCATCAGAAAACGTATGCGCTGGCGGTGTGGGGTCAGCTTGACCGGGTCTGCTGTGCCGGTTGGGCGGGGTGTGTGGGTTGAAGGGACCGGCCGAGAGACCGGCCGAACCTGGCGCAGCAGAGGAATTCGCAGGGGTATGTTGGAAGTATTGAGTGTACGGATTGTGGTTGGCATAGGCAGCCAATGCTGGATCGATTGAAGAAGACTGGTGATCGTCAGGGCCGTAGCCGGGAGGCCGAGAGGCTAGATTGCTGTCAGGACGGAAGAAGAAACCGGGATGAGAAGGAGGGATTGGGCCTGCATGAGCCGCATGGAGCGCGCCGTAAGTGGAAGGACAGAAGAATGGGTGCGGCGTGATAGGAGGCTGGAGAGGGTGGGTGGGATCGTATCCAGGATAAGGCATACCTTGAGCTGCCGCCATGTTTGCAGCTTCAACGGCTCTGGCCTGGTGGTAGGCCAGATCTCCTGCGATTTGGGGGTTAGCGTTATGTTGCGATGAAGATGATGGAATGGCACCATGTCCATGTGAAGATCCGGGTTGCTGATCGTCTTGGCCAGATGGTGGGGGTGGGGCTGGCACGTGAAATGGCGGGGGAATAAATCCGTACATGTGAGGATGAGGAAGTCCGAGATATCCGTGATTATCGTACATACCGTGGTCAGAGGGAGTAGAACTATCGGCACGCGTGGGGGCGAAGGGCTGAGCAGACGGGTTGAGATTGCCGGAGGAGGCGCCGGAGGAGTCGCTGACCTTGCCAGAGCTTGAACGAGACATGCTGATGCTGGTGGTGCTATCCTGAGAACCTAGCGCGAGATTGTGACTTTCCTGTCTTGGTACGAATATTCTGGATTGGGAGTAGCGACGATGCTTCTTTTTCGGAACTCGGATTCGGCGTTTGATGGAATAGGGCTGTCTGTAGCGATGGGAATCGGAAGGAGCGAGAATTGCAGTGCCAGTGGGGACTATTCCCTCCATGTTTATACCATACTGGTCATTTGGTACGTGGTTTGTTGAAGATACTCTCGGTGTTCGCGTTTGATCGTCGGAGACAATGGAAATTGCTGTCTTGGTGTTGCTGATGGAGTAAAAAAACGTGTATACCAGAGGGTCGATTCCTGCCTGGCCGGACCCAGTTTCATCCGAACTATCTCGCCTACGTTATTGTTTTGTTTGTTGTTATTCTTTCTGTTTGCAACCTGGGAAAGAGCTGCTGAAAGCTTTGAATACTTTTGTTTGAGCCTCAGTCTTTCGACAAAAAAAAAAGACTGATATCAATTTGCTTTGCTAACTCACAATGAATGCCCTGAACTAGGCGGCGAATCAAAGGGACGATCGGAGGACTTGGAACACCAGAAAAAAACCGGTTTACTAACTAAAAAAGGTTCCTCAGACTTGAAAGCTGCAGGAATCAGAAAGTCTGCATGTTTACTACCTGCATCTATTTCTTCGCCATATCGTGACAAATTATTGTTGCCTCGCCACGCCAACCACATGAGTTGTGTGAGTTCCTGCCTACTTAGGCCGACACTCAATATCCTACTGTAAAGACGCGATATATACTCCTCGTTTTGCCATATGTCCTGCGGAGTATGCAAGTACTGGCGATCTTTACTGTAACACTACGGATAGCTCCGAGCATCATGCACGAAACCTTTCAATAGCTGCTAGATGCGGTAGGAGTCTAAGACATGATCGGTTCTCATTTTGACTACACTCATGCCAAATATGACGTTCATTGATGCGAATCCAAAATCTGTGCGATCTTCAAGTCCTATTGCGTGCTGACTGGGCCGCCGTTCTGGTCCCTCCGAGCACTGCACAAGACAATAACTTGATGATATCGCATCTAGCATGTGGAGATCATAAGGAGTTCAAACAAGGTATCGATGGACGTTGGGCCGGTTAGGGTCTTTAATTCTTAAAAATGAGATCTGATCGCTGACCGATTAAGTTCGAGCGGACGCTGCTCCAAACGACTAACACAGTCTCTAGTTTGCCAAGGTATCCACACACTGGATGATCCTCTTCCCTCAGGTACTACTCGGGCAATGTTCCCTCTTGCGACTTTTGCTACAGTTGCAGGCTATACAACCATTGAAACGTTACAGGGGAGTTAAAGAAACATTCCAGCCACCTCGAGTGAGATCATATCCAACATCGGTTGTGGTCGAGACCGAGGGAGGATGACGGAGCGACGTCATAAACCATCGCGCCCGTTCGAAAACCGCTCGGAGTAAACGTGACAGGGACTCCAAAAGCCAAGATTGCAATATGTTCCCGCGATAAACGCCCCTCGACGATGCTGACGAAAACTTGACAAAATGCAGGACAACGTTGTAGGCCAACAAACCGAAGCCCTGCCTGCAATGTGTTGATGTTGCCGATCTGCCGCGCGCGTGGGGGTCGCACTGAAGTTTTTCAAAAGTTCACAACACCTTGGGGAATCCAGTCTTTGGTCCGACACAACCCAAGCTCCGTGACCCCACTACGGTCGGGCTTCCGATGCAGACGGCGGCAGCGGCTCGGAGGAGATGGCTCGTTGCGGTAACTGCAATATGATCACCCGCTTTTCACTCTTTTCGCCTAGTCGATGTTACCTCTTTTTCGAGGATATGGAAGACGAAAGCGTCAAAACGGTCGCGAAAACCGGTCAGGAGATAGCCAGAAGGACATCTGTACAGTTTTACATCAGCATCTGTCACCCACCAGCAGCTTTCCGAAAAGCTGCCAAGTTCTGAACAGCTGGGCCACGTTCACATGTGACATGGACTCTGGACTTTAGGCGCGAGAAAAGAACCGCGTCTTTTGGTGGTTGTATGATGTGCTCCCCGCGTCTTGGCTAACTCTTGGGCCTCTCGATAGGTCGCTTGGTGGCCTTTGGATGAGTGACGTGAGGTTGCATCGGCATATAGAGCTTCTGAACAAGGTATAGATCCGGAACGTCGCAGTGCAAACGGAATCGCCCTATCCGCGTCTAAATCGTCCCCCACTGTCGCCCGGGACCATAGGTTGCACCGGGGACTGGCTCGAGAGAGAGACCAGCAGCAGAAGCAGCTTTCAAAGCTTGGCCCAGTTGCTGCCCACGGATCGCGGGGGCAGAAAATCACACCACTTGAATCCACCCATAGGGATTGATTAGATTGCATCGCAGCCATCCTGGATTCATTTCGATCTGGGCCTTCTGGGGACTGGATCCTCCCTCCATTGACTGATGAAGCCTAGCCCATTGCCAGAGCCTTTTCCGCAAAGATTGGGCCAGTAGAATGGCAGCTTTCGTCGGTCACAAGGCCTCAGTAGAGGAAGCCTGCAGCCGCTTGTGGTGATTTCGTTTCCAAGGACATGATCCCTGGAATCTCGACGATCCTCGGAGTCGATGCCGAGCTCCGCGCTGCTGCTGTGAAGAATAATCAGCCCCCCAAAACTCATTACTGCGCGACCGTACTGGACGATCACTGATCATCAACCAGTCATTAGTGATCTTGTATCGGTAAGCATCAAGGCGATGAAACCCTGCGTTGCTTTCGTTTGCGGTCTCGTATTCCGGCGGCCAGACGTTCCTAAGCTCGGCCGAGAAGGTGAAGTAGGTAGTTATTGGTGACAACCAAGTTCCACCCCGCCTATCGGCACTCGAGGATCCACTCCGCTAGCCGGGCCGCGGGCGTTGAACCGATGTCATTTGTGGACTTGGACTTGGTTGTAAAGATTGACGCGGCAACTTGCAACTAGGTTGAAAGTGCTTGCATGAAGCACCGCTTCCAGGGCCCACGAGTTGCGAGGTGGGGCCCTGCAGCACGTTGCAGAACGGCTGCTAACTTGGTTGACAGGCCTTGATGACTGGTGAGGATGTTATCGATGCTTGGATGGATGGATGGATGGATGCCCAAGTCTAACCCGACAACTTTCCTGTTTGAGACTCAGCGGTCAAATTCATCCGCAGGCCTGACAAGGACATGGTTTCTCTCTCGGGATGGCTGCGAGGTGTTCTCAACGCGGAAGGAGAATTCTGATGTGCCAGTCTGAGCCTTTCGATAGAGCTCGGGTGGAGTTCGTTAATGTCTGCTGGCCGTTAGTGAGAGGATTCACGCAATAACGCCGATGAATGACCTTGGGTGTGATGTAACTCAACACGGATGTACGTGATGGTGCGAGATTTTCCTCTCTCGTCCGGTCCAGGAAGGAGGATGAGGAGTTTGTTGTCAGGGGATTGGGGGTTATACGTTGTCGGGAGGGGCCAAAGGAGGCTGGCGAAGATATTTAAAGTCTTCGAGCGCTCGCAAGCAAGGTTTTGAGTCTAGCAGGCAACAGGAGCATATACTCCTTCAGATCTTCTAGGATTTGGAATAGTCTGGTCTTTATTTGGCATCTCATTTGGAATTATCCTTGCCGTTTCCCTCCTCCAGTCTATTTTAGTCCCGCAGCCATGCAGAACGCTATCGTTCAAAACTCGGCGTCAACTCCGGTTGGGCCAGCCCCTCTATCCTTCACCCAAGGCGAACGAATCAAGTCCAGCTATCCCACCGTTACGGCCGCATTCTATCATCATGCAGAGACTCATCCTGATGTTACCGCGGCCCGTGACTTGTCGTCGCAGCAAATTCGCGAGATCACTTACGGTGATCTTGCTCGTCAAGTCAACCAGCTCTCAAGGAAACTGACCAATCTCGGGGTCAAGCCTGGAGACCGCGTGCCGCTTGTCGTAAAGCGAGGCATTGACATGCTAGTTGGCATTGTTGCAATTCTCTCTTGCGGCGCTCAGTACGTCCCACTCGACGGTGGCGTGGTGCCGGACTCCACGCTGCGGTTTGTTCTCGAGCAAGCGGGCGGGAAACACGTCTTATGTCTTAAATCGACGAAGCATCGATTCGAGACTCTCGGCAGTCCTTGCGAGATATTTATCATTGACGAAGACTCGGAGAAGGACAAGGTGGTCTCGCAATCTCACCCGTTCCAGGACTTGGCTCAGCCAGACCATGGGTGCTACGTCATCTATACCTCGGGTGAGCGGATGATTCTTTGTCCTTTTAGAGTTGGGTAAAGGCAGTTAAGCTAACTCACCGGGGCGCCTAGGGACCACGGGCACTCCCAAAGGAGTGGATGTCACCCACAAAAATGTGACCAACCTGGTATGCCTCTCGCCCGGCGGCCTGGGTATTTCACCTGGAACGCGGGTAAGCCAGGTGTTGAACATCAGCTTTGACATGGGTCAGTCACAAATGCTAAATCACTGATTGGCCATACTGACTTCTCGATAGCTGCATGGGAGATGCTGGGATGTCTCTGCAATGGAGGAACTCTCATCTTGAGAGGCTCAAAATGGGAACCGTGCCTGAGAGAGGTAAGGCAAAGGAATTCCGACATCCGTCAAGGCTAGACTAACTTGCTCCCTAGGCTCAAGTTTTGATCTGCACGCCAAGTATCTTGGCCAAGTACGATCCCAGGGAGTATTCCAACATCAGAGTCGCTGCAACTGCGGGTGAACCCAGCTCTCAAAGGTGAAATCTTCAACCCCCTTTCAAAAGTGAGTCGAACTGACGATGGGTTTCCTAGGCTCGCTGACCTTTGGGCCACTCATGCAACCTATTACAACTGCTGCGGGCCTACAGAGACCACCATTGTCAACACCATGCACCTGCACCGCCCGGGTGAAGCTTTGACAATCGGAAAACCCACCCCAAACAACACTGTATATGTCCTCAACTCTGAGGGCAACTCTCTTGGCGTTGGGGAGGCCGGAGTGATGTGGGCCGGTGGCCATGGAATCTCTCGTGGTTATGTCTCTCTGCCCGAGAAGACTGCCGAGAGATACAAGCTGGACCCTTTTGCCAACGACGGGTAAGAGGTCACAACTGTGCCGCTCCAAAAAATTCACTAACAATCAAGTAGCTCCATGATGTACAACACGGGTGATCTTGGTCGCTGGAGACAAGATGGCTCCATTGACATCCTCGGAAGAGTCGATGATCAGATCAAGATCAAGGTGAGCCGCACCCACACCCTCATACATACGAACGAGTTTCCTGACATGTTATTCTTAGGGATTCCGGGTTGAACTCGACGGGGTTACCTCGTCGATCAGCTCTTGCCCTATCGTATCCAAGGCCACCGCCTTGTTCATCAGCAACGAGATCCACGGGTTCGTTGCACCCAAGGACTGCGATCTTGACACCATTCAAGTCCACGTAAGAGCTCGCCAGCCTTACTACGCGATCCCAACCAAGTTCCACTTCCTTGACGCCCTTCCCCTGACCGCGAATGGAAAAGTCGACAAGCGGGCGTTGCAAGACATGGTCACTGAGACTGGAAACACCGACAAGAAAGAAGTCACCGATGTCACCATCAGAGAGACTGCTTCGCAAGAGTCCTTGTCCACGGACAGCAACTCCACCACTACGGATCTCAAGGCCGAGTCCTCCGCCTCCAGCTTCACCGAGATGGACGAGAAGCTCGATCTCACCGGCGACGTCCCGGACAAGAGCCTCGCCCGTCCCTACCGCGGCTTCGTCCACCGCATCGCCATCGTCTACCGCCGTCTCTTCACCATCGTGGGCCTCTTCAACATCGCGGCGGTCATCGCCCTCGTCTTCGCCGGGTTCCAGCGCAACTGGCTCAGCACTCTCACGGCCATCAACCTGGTCGTCGCCGTTCTCGCCCGCCAGGACTTTGTTATCAACACGCTGTACACAATCACCTGCAACGTGCCAAAGTCCTGGCCCCTCGCCATCAGGAAACGCTGCGCCAAGATCTTCCACTTTGGCGGTGTTCATTCGGGCGCTGCTGTTTCTGCGGGGGCTTGGCTTTTGGCATCCAACATCAGCGATGAGGTCTGCCAGCTGACCGAGTGTCCCAACTGGGGCCATCAGTCTGTGGCTACAAAGGTCGTCTCTTGGCTTCTCACCGGTCTCTTCACCATCACCATTGGCCTCGCCTGGCCCGGGTTCCGCAAAACACACCACGACCTCTTTGAAAAGACCCATCGCTTCGTTGGCTGGACCATGTTGGGCCTCTTCTGGGTCCAGGTTGTCCTCGGCGCCAACGACAGCAAGGTCGCAGAGATGTCTCTGGGCGCCGCATGCATCCGCACGCCCGGATTCTGGATGCTCGCGGTTGCCACGATGAGCATTGCCTCTTCCTGGCTGTTCCTCAAGAAAGTCCCCGTCGAAGCCGAGGTTCTCTCGGACCACGCCGTGAGACTGCACTTTGACTACACGGTCCCCGTCAACGGCAGCTTCGTCAGGCTCTCGCAAAGGCCTCTTCTCGAGTGGCACTCGTTCGCCACGATCCCCGCTCCCGAGAAGGTCGAACATCGCGGAAAGGGGTTCTCCCTCGTTGTTTCCAACGCTGGCGACTGGACCAAGAACTGCATCCAGAAGCCCCCCACCCACATCTGGGTTCGCGGTGTCCCGACCTGTGGTGTCATGCGCATCGCGACTTGCTTCAACCGCATCGTTGTCATCGCCACCGGTTCGGGCATTGGGCCTCTGCTCGGTCACATTCAGCAGCAGAGCTGTCCGACGCAGTTGATCTGGTCGACTCCAAAGCCCGAGCAGACTTTCGGCAAGCCCTTGCTCGACGCCATCAAGATGAAGATTCCCAACGCAGTGATTCACGATACTAAGCTTCTGGGTCGTCCGGACCTGGTGAAGATGGGATACAACCTTGTCCAGAGCTTCAACGCTGAAGCCGTCATCATTATTGCAAACGAGAAGATTACAAAGAAGGTTGTATATGGTCTTCAGACTAGAGGTGTTCCAGCTTATGGCGCTATTTGGGACTCTTGATTCAATACATTACTTGTTGGGGGCTTTGTGGGATGATTATCATGTTGTTTTTTATTCGATCTGGGTCGTTGAATGGGGTTCGGAGTATTCTAGTTGTTTTCTGTCGTCGATGGGAATTAGTCAATTGCTGTGTGGTTTTCATCTTGCCGAGTGTCGTCTACACTTTTTTTGTCAGATACTTGCTATTCTCAATGGACTCTTTTGCACGGAATTATTGTCGTCCACAGCGAAACCATGCTCAGCGGAAGCAACAAAGCTCCAATTAAAGTACACAGGTTTTCACTCTTAGGAACTTTACTAGTGGTGCGTCATCCGAAGATTGCGCCTCATCTGATGGAGAAGAGGAGCATTGGTAGGAACTTGAGGCCAATCTACAATATCCAAGGTCACACTCGTTCTCGAAACCGAGCTTCCAACCTGTTTTGATGTTAAGTTTGCCAGATCTTCCATGCTATCGGAGGTCCCTTGATTGGTCTTCTGCCGGTATGTAAGACCCTAGTGCCGATCTGATGCCCATTTGTCTCCCACAGTCTGTCGGAATTGGTGACATCAACTGGACGGATGGGTTCTTATAGATTGGGTTGGTGGCTTGGCCTCAGATAGAATTCTTCGCTACTTCACCCTAGAGCAGATTGTTGCAAGGCTTGGGGGAAAGGCAGACAGACGCGAGCAGAGGACTAGCAGTGAAATGCATTGTTGCAACCAGTCGCCACATCATCTTTTGCATTCACAAGATAGCAGACCCTTGGCCCATCCTAGGGCCATTCCGGCTTTGAGGCCCGGATAGAGCCTGCCGGCAGTCGTTCATTGGGTACCGCCGGTGTCAATGCCCATATGCTCCACTCGAGATTACCCGCGCTGCGTGACGGCGCAGGGGCGTTTATTCGGGTTTGAATCAGTCTCGGTCTCGGATTCGGTCTCGTAGTAGAGAGTGGGAGGGTTGGGAGGGTTGGGTAGAGTTCCATCGACCGGCGGTGTCAATACACTAAACACAGATGATTTGGCTTTCAATCGTTGCAGCGATCTGCCAGAGTTGTGCGGTCTGATCTTATTTTAATCTAACACGTCGTTACGACAAATAAGACGGCCTCAATAAATGAGTTTTTACTTTAAATGGTCCATCATCGACGCAAGATCATGATTATATCAGCCGACATTTCAGCATTCTCTCGAGCCAAGTTGACAAACATAGCATCTTCATCGAACCAGATACCAAAGAGACAACTTGCTATTTTGATACGAACTTGTCAACAAGTCTACCTGCGCAAAGTGTCAATTTCCTGATTCAGGCTTGCCAACGAACGCACCAATCACAATCGGCCAACCTGCCAGCAACGGAAATTCTTCAACATGGCCGAAACCGCAGCACACACCTTCTCCCCCGTCTCTAACGAAGTCGTCAACTTGGCGATTGCCGAGCTAGTTCTCTATGGTCTCATGTTTCCTCCCGCGATATGGATCACCTGGAAGCACGGAAAGAAGGGCATGGTCTGCTGGCCTATCCTTGTCTCTCACTTCGGCATGAGATTCATCGCCGACATCTACCAAGTTGTCAAAAGGAACGAAACATTGCTCCCGAATCAGTTCAATATTATGACTAGCGCTGGTAGCTTGGCTTGTCTGTCCCTGACTTTGATCGGCATTGTCTACGAAGCGTAAGATAACTCGCAAACATCTGCAAAGGACGAGACTAACTCGAGCGTGTTTTGCAGCAACATCATCCTGCCCGGATCACCGAAGCGATGGAACGAGAAGATCCTTTTGGGCATCACTCATCTTTGCAACACTGCGGGCATCGGTATGGCCACATATGGAGGTTCCCCGAGTCACGAGGGCGGCCTCATCAACAACACCTTGAACCAAATCGGTAACTGCTTGGAGCTGTTCATGATATTCGCCGTCTGCGCTTGGTTGTGGCCCACCTACAAGAAGATTAGATCTTCATCCAGACCCAACTGTCTCCCTGCTATGTTCATGATCCGCGCCGCCGTCGTCGGTCTGCCCTTCCAGCTGATTCACCTAGCCTACACCACGACCTACGCCTTCAACCAGATCTCCAGCCTCGACCCCGTCATGGGTTCTTTCGGTACGAAGCTTGTCCTAATCTTTGGCACGTACCTTGGTGTCACCATTGCCATACTCGCAGGCGGCTGGCTCGGCATGAGCACGGATGTGCCCAAGGCTATGCAGGTGGAACCCATCCCTACCGATGTCGAAGGCAACAACAATCATGTGCGTGACTAAATACCTTTGTGCCGGGGCTGAAGTAGGGATCGAATTGCCAGGACGAAGCAGGACTTCGTCTAAACCAAGAAAGAATATGGCATTCGTCGTATCCTTTGGAATTTTCCCGCGAGTCGTTTTCCAATGCATTGCGTAGCGAAAGAGAAACGAACCACCTGACAGGAGACTGACATCTTTTCGGGCCTTAGGAAGAAGAAACCTCATCTCAGACTGGAGGATTCCGACTTCGAGGACGAACATAATCGAGAAAGCGAGCTGGGGCCTGGGACTCTGGGTGGCCGCTATCGACGACAATAGGGATTAGTGCTTTGAGGCAGGATCGCTCGAACTCTTGAAGCCAAAACACGACTTGAAAAACCTCTGCGTCAAGGGACGAGGAAATAAAACTATTTTGTACGATTATGATCAGAGGCGATCACCCCAAGGCGTTTCATGTTTGGACTCATTTGTAGCATGCGCCGCATGCTTTTATAAGTTTGTAGTAGAAGAAAATAGGTTTTAATATTATTATCTATGTCCACAACAAATCCGCAAAAGACCTAATTTGTTCTAGCTACCTTAGGTAACCAGATAAGAAAGAGTCGATGCAAAGGTTCAATTCCATGCTTGTTTCAACGTCGGCGATAGTGGAACGAGTCGGTATCATCAAATTAAGTAAGACGGTCAACTGGGATTCCATCACAACAGTTTGAGATCACACGGCTGTACGAATTACATTCAAGTTGTATATATAATGTTCAAAACGTCTTGCCGGGCTTGGCCTTCGAATGCGGACATTACAACTGACTATTTGATGTCTGGTATCCACCCATTCTACTTTTCTCGGCAGCCAAGTCATTTCCCTCACAAGGGAGACTACACGTAAAAGTTCTAGTCTTGTCTCGATCGCCCGAGTTCATCTTGGGGTATTTTCTTCCCCGATACCTTGAACGATACAAGCCACAGAAGGAGTATGACGGCAAATTGCGAGATAAGCATATAGGGGAAAACATGGAGTCCCGCAACCTGTGTGATCGCGCCGAGCATGTATGGGAGTAGAGCCCCGCCGACCTGACCGAGGGAGGCAACAAATGATACAGCACCGACATGCAGCTCTTTCGGCAGATAATGCACAAACTCGACGATACACGACGGAAACAGTGGTCCCATGACGAAGCCGAGCAGGGCCATTGAGAATACTGAAAACCACAGGACTTGCACGAGGATGAAAAGCACCACAATTACTGGAGCGAGGACCAAGTAGACGATGACTGCGCGTCTGGGTGTGAGCTTCTCCGTCACCGCCCCCAGGGCCAGTCTTCCGACCGCCATACCTGCCCAGAAACCCGAGGAGCAGATGCTCGACGCGTAGGTGCTGGTATGGCGGACGCGGAGCATGAAAGCCACGACCCAGCCGGAGACGGTGCACTCGGTGCCGACGTATGCGAGGAGATAGACGGCGTAGATCCAGGTCGCGCTGTAGCGGAAGATAGCCCGCTGGTCGACTCCATCTTCGGGGCTTCCGTGCTTCTTCTTCTTCTCGTGGTATCTTGCAGCGGTTTCGTGTCTGAATGCCAGGGGCAAAAAGACAACTTCTGCAGCGGATGCAATCGCCTGAGGGGCATGTTAGTCAACTAAGGCGCTGGGTCTGGTTCCAGCCTGCTGGACTACGGGCTTACCAAAACATAGAACCACTGGTACCACTGTCCGTTGTTTGCCGAGAGCATGATGCCTGCGAGGTACGGGCAGATGGCAGCGCCGATCGAAAATGAGCCGTGCAACAGACCCGACAGGGTGTTTGCGTTTGGCAGCGCAGCAACCCAAGCACACCAGGATCCATCAACGATTCCCACACCAAAGGATCCGATAGTAACTCCAAAAAGAAATAGCGGGAAAGGCGGATGAAAGGAGCCTACTGCTGCGTAGACCAGGTGGCACGCGGGGCCTAGAAAGGCAATTCCGCGTTGCCCGAATTTCTCATGAATGCGGCTGTTGAAAAGCGATGCCAAGCAGTAGCCAATTGGTCCGACGAGAAAGATAGCAGAGACTTGAATGTCGTTGAGGTGATAGTATGTTTGCTGGTGTGGGAGTGTGACTCCAATAGTAGCCACAAAGAGTCCGGCAACTACAAAGGAGTAGGCTGCAGCGGCGATTCTCAACGCGATAGCTTCCTGCTTTTGGCCATTACCAGCCGGATGTGCCCTGGACTCAATGTCCAAGTCCGCATTATCCGTGCCAAGCAACTGCTCTGATTCCGTTGCGTCATTGAACTCGGGCGAGACTGTTCGACGTGCCATTTTCTGAGATGTCGCGAAAACTGGAAACGAAGAGCATTAAAAAGACGGTTCCCGTGGCAAGGACATTGGGCTGACAGGTTGGAATGGAGGATGTCGCTAATTATTAACAGTTTCAGGGTCCTGCGGGCTGGAAGCAAAGTGTCGGCAAAGCCTCGGGCGATCAATTATTAAACGTTTCCATTTTAGGAACATGTCCCAGCTTACCAGGGGGCTTGTTCAACACATCAACATTGAAGGTTCAGGTATAGCGGGTGGGCGCTCAATATTTCCCTCGAAGCTTGACCCGATGAATAGCCTTATTGTATTGTTCTGTTTCAGACATTTCACAAATTTGTTTTGTGGGAGGTAAGGACGCCTGCGTCAACTGTTCATAAAAGACAAGTACTTGGACAATTCGGTGGTAGTTCACCTTGGTATAAAGCTGCGCCCCGCTCATCTAATAATAGTAGATGTGCCTATGGGGCCGCGCTCCCTTCTAAAACACCCTTGACCTATTGGGGGAAAAGCCGAACGGGATATAAGGGCTCTCGTACCCCTGGAGACCGCGCCATAGCCGTAGTCAACAACATCATTGGCATCGACATCATTGTCGCCGGGCTTCAGCTCGTCCCACTAATGCGGGTTGCAGGCTTTCGCATGCGAGAAGAGCTCGTTGCTCACGGCAGTCACCATTGATGGGGTGAAGAGCACCTTCTCAGTGCCGAAGGCGAAAGGACTTCCAGGGACGGTAAGAGGGTTCATAACCTTGCGGAGAATAGAGTGAATGGGGCCGTGGAGGCGAGGGTCTCCTTAACCATATTGTGTAAAAGTGGGAGTTTATCTAGGCCAGGTCACTGCAGCGGCGGCGGTCGGCTTTGGTCTCCTTGGCCTATTTCCTGGACTTGTTCCTGGAAAGGCTCTTCTGTTTTAACGGGGTGTGCAGCGGAGCAAAGCATGATCCATGCGCTGGCCGAAGACGACGAGTGCTACATGACTTTGCACGGTGCTTGACGAAGGAGGCCGCAGAATCATATGCCGTAGGCAACAGCATTCACAATGGGAGGAGGTATTCAATGGAAAAAAATTGGCGGTTCAGTATTACTCCTGTAGATAACCTGAAGGCAGGCATTGGTCAGAATCGAGGCGATGAACCCGACGAAGCCATAGAATGCAATAGGAGCCAATTTCGATAGGCCCACGATTCCTGTAGTCTCTGTTGTTTTTTGATAGTGCTGAGCTATGTAGGAATTCTTTCAGGGTGTTAAAAGTACTTTTCAGGTTGTAAGAAGGCGAGGTTTATATCCGAGTTAAGGAGGAACGTCAACCGTGATTAAATATTTTGAAGTATTCCAGGCAGTGACTGTTAGTTTTCAAACCCCAACTCCTTGGCGATTTAGGACCGAATCTGTCGAACTCTGGCTCCCGAATTCGTATTCGCCTATTTCTTGTGGCTTTCCAAGGTATTATTAACGGCGCTGTGCACATCGAGTGTCTTGCGTTCAATACCTTGAAGTGATTGATATTCGTAATTGGTCCGATACCCCCTTGAGCCGTAGACGCTTTCCGGTCTGGATCTGATAGAAGTTGAAATCAATGGGCTCAGTATGTAAGCACTTGGCACGCGATGTGCTCTTCCCAAAACTCTTGATGATTGTACAATCATTAGTACCGATCCATCAAGATTATCCAAGACGCGTGGGGGGTGATCAACATACCAGAATTATTCCCAAATCTAGAGAAGACCTGAGTTTCACAGCCTTGGGCAACCTTGTCACGAGATAGATACTGTGTGTCTAATGCTGACCGCATTAACGGTTTCGTTTTAGCCGTAGCAGATCTAAATATTTCAAAAACACTCTTACATGCGAGCGAGGCTCAAAACATTAAATTCGCAAGTATTCCGTATTTTTTGGTACAAATGAACGTAGTCTCTTAAGTTTTTACTCTTTTTCGCAGTATTTATAATAGCGACTGACGCTTGCTGCGCGGATTTGTCGACCCCATTTGATCATGGCAAAGTATGAAGAGATCTGCGCCAAGGCAGCAAACGCAGCAACCAGAAACGCGTTTTGATAGCCCATGTTCTCGACCCATGGGGTTATACTGGTACCGTCAGTTAGCAGAGTACACTTTCTTCATGAAGTTCACGATGACTCACCCATAAGAAACAGCAAAAGACATTGTATTCCGGATCAGGATTACGGTGACAATGGCGTCTTCTCCTAGCTCTTTGTAGCTGTCAATACAGTAGCTGATTGATAGCTGGCTACCGGCGGTGATGGCTGCTCCAAAGACTCCCATTGCGAACACCAGGCCGAACCAGTGGACTTTGTGAGCAGCCCCAACTCCCCAGAGAAGAAGCGCGCCTGGGATGCAAATCAACAATGCCGTGTATAGCCAAAGGCGGAACTCGGGCTCCATAATGCCGTTATTGCGTCGGGCTTTCCAAATGACGAATCTATCGCCAAGTATACCGGAGTACACTGTTCTAGAGGAATACGTTAGAATGTGCATCGTCTAACAGGAAAATGATTTCAATGTGACCTACCCAATGCCAACTCCAATCAGACAGGATATGTAGGATAGCCCGACAATACTTGATTTAAAATTGTACGGCGAACTCGACAATATCAGAGATGCAGTGCCGTTCAGAACATTGAAGTAACACACGACGGCGCCATACATGAAGCCAGAGAATACTATTGGCGGGAATTTGAAATAGAGGAACGGCCTGACTACCATCTTCAGAAGCGAATCGTGGTGGTTGATGTCCTGTGTTCGGAACATCTTGAGCTTGTCGAAGTACGTCTTTTTGGTCATGGTCGGTTCTAGGCTGGGAGGTGTCTGTACTGGAGCGACTTGATCTGAATCGGAGGGGTCTTTGGACCCTTTCTCAAGTGCAGAGGGTGTGAAGTCGACCCGATAGGGCTCAGCGGTCAACACGCCCATGCGCTGGAAGTTGGTCTCTTCCATGAAGAAGAAACAGATGACGAAGCCAGCTCCGCAAAATATGGCACACCAGTACTTGGTTCTTAAGTTAGTCATAGAAGAAAACGCAGTCTACAAGCTCGTAAACTTACCAAGACCCATTGCCAGCCTTGGCCGTCATTGACAAACCCGGCAATGACTGGAGCGAGAAAGTTACTTCCGACTAAGAACAGGGCGTAGAAGCCCATGAATGTGCCTCTCTCATGCGTGAACCACTATTCCGCCTTGTCAGTTGAGGTTCATCACACAATCTCTTCATTGGACCTTGGGAGCTTTACATACCACGTCAGCAATGGAGATCTCACAAAGAGACTCGATAGGGGCGCCAATGGCCCCTTGCAAGACCTTGTTTGCAATCCAATTACTACCAGTGGTGGCGTGTGGAGCCCACAGCATGATGGCCTAGGTCACCTTATATTAGACCAAAGGTTCAGCATGAGTTGACGCTGTGGAGACAAACCATGCTTCCCAGCAGAGTAAACAGGTACACGGGGCGTTTGCCAAACTTTTGGGCAAGCGGCTGCCAAATCAGACAGCCCCAGCCGAACGCCAGAAACATGTAACCGGTTCCGGAGTTCAAGTCTGCAAGTGTAAGGCCAGTCGCGGTTGATATCGGTACGAGGACAGAGTATATCGCAGCCGATGCAATGCCAACGGCGAGGCAGTAACTGCAGAATAGGGCGCCGTCTGATTAGCTTGGAACAGAGCAATAATTTGGCCAGATGGAGTCGACTAACACGCAGATACATGCCAGGAGCTGATATTTCCTGCGAGGACTCCAATTCAAAGGGTCATCAGGGTCGATCGAAGGTGTTGGAATCAAGACAATGTCCCTCCCACTGCCCTCAGCATGCCGTGAGGCCATCGTACCCTCAAGGTCGACCAAGTGAACGGTTCCAGGAATGAAGCCTGGTGACCGCGCTGTTCCTGCTGCGTCTGAACCCATAATGAACTGTGATAGGCTCGGGTTGGATAAGTGGGTTTGCAGAAGTAGTGTAGCGGACGCAGGATTAATACCTTAGGTCGGAGAAGGGGAGGCATCGATGATGATATGTAGACGAAACAAACGAATGACTTATCAATCTTCTGGCTAGGGACTGATAAGAATGACGAAAGTGAAGCCAGGAAGCATATAGAGGACCGTGATATCGTGTTTGAGCACATGTTCCAAGTCCAATTACAGCCAGATATGCAGCGTCTTGATAAAGCATGTGGGATGTATGGTAGAGGAGCCATGGTGGACTCGACGGCCGCAACACTCTTTGCAATGTCCAATCATGCGTATTTGCGGACTTATCTCATATGGGTCGGCCCTCGAGTCTGGGGTAATCTCCACCAAGTGAGTGATCTGAGAATGGACATGGAGTAAACGGATGTAATCTCATGTCTCCCAGCAGCCCTCCTCCGCAGGACAGTGTCGTGGTAGCGCTGTTACGTATGCAAAAGATAATGGATGAGAGCATCAATTCTGCCTTTGTGATCTGCTACCGTGACAACAATCAGCAGATAATGACATGCGTCAAGGCCGTGTGGATAGAAGTGGCCAATGACTGGGAATTACGAGAGTTCAGCGCCGGCTGATTGCTGGTAAATGCCGTGGGCTAACCAATCATTTGTATTTGCGACGGAGTTAGAGGAGCCAACTCTGATAAGGCACAGATTGCACCCGTCCGCTTGTTGGGATGATTCTTTTGGTCCTTGACGGCAACCAAAATGTCGTGCGACAGTAATTGAGCAGCAAAAGATCGGCAGAGCATGCCGAGGGTAGTTCTCCGACTGCGTTATCTTGGGTGACGCACCCTTCTGTGGTTCCGCCAAGGTCATTGGTTTCCCTTGCGCCGAGTGAATGAAAGTTGGATTGATGAGGGGAAGCCATCTCCAACACTCATGTACGTCAGCGTCAGAACTCGCAGCGATAAGTAAAGTAATTCGCCAGCATGCATGTGTAGCTACACAGTATCCAATCTCCAGTCAATGCGGGATAGGCCGGTTTCTCATTACCCCTCCCATCCTGAAATAAGGAGGATTGATAAAGACAATGTCCCAAGTGTCTCTTACATTGGGTCACAAGTCCATTTGTCTTGTCTAAATTTTCATTCACGAACACTTCATCTTTTACCCCGTTTCTCCATCACTCATCATGGGCTCACTGGCACCAGCTTCGTGGGAGCTCAAGGCCGAGAAGTTGAGAAAGATTCTGAAGGACTCGCTCAATCCGAAATGGCTTTTGGCCCCGGACGACTTACCTCCCGCGAGCCAGTTGAACGTCTCCAAGTTCATTGACACGTGCAAGATATTGACTACACGAGAGCAGGAGATCACAGCATGCACTGGCACCGAGCTGGTCAGCCAAATGGCTGCTGGCAAGCTTACCGCCGTTGAGACAGTGACGGCGTTCCTCAAACGCGCTCATGTAGCACATCAACTCACCAATTTTGCGACCGAATTCCTGGTCGATGACGCGCTGAACGCCGCTGCAAAGCTCGATGCGCATTTCAAGGAGACTGGAAAGATTGTAGGACCGCTACATGGCCTGCCTATCTCCATCAAAGAGCACATCGGACTCAAGGGTCGTATTGTGCATTCCGCCTACGTGGCTTGGGCGGACAACGTGGCCACAGAAGACGCTCTCGTTCTGCGTCTGGCTGCCAAGGCTGGGGCGATCTTTCATGTTCGCACCAATGTGCCTCAAAGTTGCATGGTGAGCCACCAATCATTGACGGAGTCTTCAAGACACCGAGCCTGACTGATCGTCCTACAGCACCTCGACTGCAGCAATCCCATCTACGGCACGACAGTCAACCCCTACAATCGCAATCTCACATCAGGCGGCTCCAGCGGCGGCGAAGGAGCTTGCCTCGGACTTCGTGGCTCTGTATTGGGCCTCGGTACTGACATTGGGGGTTCCGTTCGTGGACCGGCGGCCTTTTGTGGCTGCTATGGCCTTCGTACGACGGCTCTGCGCAATCCATACAAAGGCATTTGCGTACCGGGTCTAGGTCAAGAGAGCATTAGATGCATATTGGGCCCGTTGGCAAACAGTGTTTCAGACATACAGCTTTTTGAAGACGTTGTTCTCAATCAAGAGCCTTGGGATGAGGAGACTTCTCTTGTGCCTCTACCGTGGAAGAAGATTGAGCCGTACCAGCCTGGACAACTTACCGTCGGTGTTATCTGGGACGATGGGTAAGCCGCTGCTAGTCTGATACCGCTGAGCATGCCAAGTCTGTACTGATACTAGCGTTTTAGTATGGTCCATCCGCACCCCCCAGTCACTCGTGGCCTCAAGTACGCGGTGGAGAAGCTCAAGGCAGCCGGCGTAAAAGTTGTAGACTTTGAGCCGTATAAGCACAGCGAAGGCGCTGAGATCATTGAGCTTCTCTACTTCCCTGACGCGGCTGCTACGCAGAGGGAAGTCCTCGCAGAAGGAGGTGAGCCAGTTGCGCCGTTGACGGAATGGGCATTCAACTACTCAAAGCCTGAGCCGCTCACAATAAGAGAAAACTGGGACTTGAACCTGCGAAGAGAGGCGTTTCGTGAAGAGTAAGGATCCCACATCTGCTCGGTTAACTGGCAGTGAACAAAATATTTAACAGCGTCGACAGTTACCACCGGGTTATGAAAGAACGCGGCGTCGATTTCATCCTGTGCCCCGCCTATGTCGGCGTTGCCGCGAAGTGCGGCACTCCCCAGTACTGGCATTACACAACTATCTGGAACATCCTTGACCATCCAAGCATCACCTTTCCGACTGGTCTTCATGTTGATCCTGCGGTGGACGTAGTCGATACGGATTACAAGCCCCGTTCTGAAACCGAAGAAAGGGAGTATAAAAAATGTAAGTTTACATGACTTTTCGAGTGTGGTTCTCCATTGACTTTTTCCAAATCTAGATGTTCCAGAAGAGTTTGTAGATGCTCCCATTGCCCTGCAACTTGCTGGAAAGCACTTCCGTGATGAGGAGACGGTGGCAGCAGCAGCGTTGGTGACAAAGATAATCCAAAATTGAAAGCACGATGGCCGCAGAGTCCGTTTCGAAAACTTCAAATCAGCATTCTAGATGCCCGGGCCGCAGTAGGGTATCTATACGTGTAAACTTCAGTGCCTATCATGTTGCCTCTCGTCACGAGGAATCTAGATTCGCCCATTTCCGTGACGTGTTCTATCACCCATGGCGGCTTTATAGCGGCTAGGCCGATATTCATTTGATCAAGCTGAAGGCCGGTTGGATACGTTCCTTGTCTAAGCGTAGGGCTCAGGCTCAACAAGGCTGATGTAGGGTTTGCAAGTTCGTCTCCATGGCAGTCTTGACTAGTCGGGAACGTGTAAAAACAGAATCACCCTTACTTTTCAAAAAGCAGTGGGACCTAGAATAGATTCATTTTGCAGCTGGACCTCACCACACAGCCAATATCGACGGGCCATCCAGGATCCAGCTCGTAGATATGTGCGACATGACCCCGCAGCGGACCGGTTCTCCAAGCTCCCGGACGATAAGCAGACCCGCCCAGCGATGTTGGGACGGATGCTTATGCGGGGTTACATATCCAATTTCCTTGATAAGAATTGTTGATCATGGGCAGGCTCCTTCTCGGCATGTCATTGCTTCGCAGAGGACGCCTCCCAACCAATCGCAGAATTTGCCTCACGAGCTACGCGTCGACACGCGAAGCACGCCTCACGATGCCCAAGGCCAAGTTACGGACGAAGACTGGATGCTCTACCTGTTAGTCCATGTCAGCTCATTTGTTGATGGTTTAGGTGCTGATAAAGAACGGGCAGGCAGAAAGCGGAGAGTGAAATGCGGAGAAGAGCGCCCGAAGTGTCGCAACTGCGTTGCTTCAGGTCGTGGATGCATTTGGCCGTCGTCCGACGACATGTACGACAGACGTCATCGCTTTCGTCGATCTTGCTCCAATGATAGGGCCCTGCCGTCGCCGTCTTCATGTAGCGAAGACTCAATCACTTATCTGGAGCTGAGAGAACCTCCAGACCTTGAGCAAGAGCTGATCCATCACTATCTCAATGTTTTCCTCTCGGTGTTGTTACTTCCCACAGTGAGGGAAAGGGACCTGGAAGGCTATGGATCGCAGGTCATGAGTATGGTGCTTCGCTCGGAAAGCGTAAAGTGCGCCGTCCTGGCTGCGTGTGCTTCCAACAAGTACATGCTTCTGAGGTCTCGAAGGTATCATGATGCGGCGCTGGGGTACTATTTCCGGGCGGTGGAGCTGGTCAACCGCGCTCTTCATGACCTGGGTACATCTGCCAAAGGCCCGGATGATCCCCTGCTGACCACCGTCGTATATCTTTACTTGTATGATGTAAGTACCAAATTGCCATCGTGTCTCTGATTCCGGCCCGGGCTCATTCTTGTGATAGTTGTGGGGGCCACCCGACGAGACTCTGGATGCAAGAAAGCATGTAGATGGTGCCATGAACCTGCTCAAGCTCCGATACGAGGACACTAGCTCACCCATGTCGATGTCACGGCCGTTGCATCGAATCAACACAGAGAGCGTGCTTTATCAGGCGTTTTTGCTCGCAATGCGAAAACCGTTTGCACCCAACTTTCACGTTGATGAGCAATTCCTTGATCGGTCCGAACATGTCCTCAACGCGAGAAATCTCATTGATATCTTACCCGAGGATTTCAGCCCCGTGTTGGGCTTACCGTTGCCACTTTACCGTCTGATCACAGACCTCATTGACTTTCTCAACTCACCCAAGCATCCAACTGATGCGTTCCTGACCCGGATGAGAGAGGAGATGGACACATGGGAAGGCTTTGTGCTGGTCGAAGATGGGACAGTCAACTACCCTTGGTCCATGACAAGCTTCCATAAAGATGCGGTTACCCTCTTTGTGTTAGGCGCGTCCCTGCTACTAGACTACATCGCAGAGTCCTCAACTGCTGTGTCCACGTCAGCGACCCGGATCCAAAGAGCTCCGCAAAACAGTTGGATACCATTGCAGGAAGCATCAGACGGTCCTAGATGGCAAGTGAATCGTGCATTTGAGATCCTTCGCCGACCAGCTGCGTATGAAACTTGGACTCGATGCTTCTTGGGGGCTTGGCCGATGCTGATACTCGGCTATTCCGTCACTTCATTCGAGGATATCTCACTGATCCGGCGTGTTCTGACGCAAATGGTAGAGCGTATGGGGTATGGGGAGATTCAAAGGATCCTCGATGATCTGGAAGGAGTCTGGACTTTTCGAGCTGGTTGTCAGGACTCAGGTGGGCTCGGAATTCCAACCGAGTCTTTGGGGATGAGTGCTGCTGGGAGGACTTGTTCTGTCTGATTGGGTGTTCGGCGCAAATTACACAGATTTCGATGAAAATAGATTTTTGTTTGGGACTCTCTAGTCTACGCTAATACCAGCTTCCTACACTTAAACAGCAATGAAAGACAATTCATAAACTTGCGTAACAACTCAATGACTCAAGCCTTTTGCATGCGCCTTGGCAACATGACGCCAATACCTCTCTGCGCTCTTCTCTCTGATTGTCCTGCCATACTTGGTCATAACGAAGATACTGGCGTTCCAGACAAATCCAATGACAGCAACGATGATGTAGGTGTCCCGATAACCCATGTGATTCAACCAGGGAGTTATTCCATAATTGATGGCAAAGGACATGGTGTTACGGATGATGACGCACGTGGTGATCATGTCGCCGCTAAGTTGAGGATACGATGCGATGGCATAGCCAAGGGATCCTGCAACAGCGAGGGCGTTGTTGATGGCGAGGGTAAACTGGGATATAACAAGGCCTATCCAGTGAATGTGGTAGGTCACACCCAGGCCGTACAAGAGCATGCTGAAGGGGACTAGGAACATTGATGCGGAGAAGAGCCAGAGCGAGTGCTCCGATTCGGATATTCCGTTGTTGCGTCGGGCAAGTCGTATCGTGAGCAGGCGGCCCACCTTGCCGCAGTAATAGCCTCTGCAAAGAGATCATGTTAGTCAGGCATTAATTTATCATTCGAGTTAGGTATGGGAAGACTTACCCAACCACAGTACCAAGTAAGCCACCGGCGTACGCAGCAGCTACACCGGCCGTAGAGAAGCCATACATGGTAGTGTAGACAGTGCCAGCTGTGGCATTCTGCACACCGGACCACACCAAATTGTTGGCGCCGTACATAAGACTGATTGCAAGTCAATTTCGGGGTCATTCTCGAGGATCCACGAGATTTCTCACCCGGCATAAACAACCGAAGGGTACGTAAAGCCCCTGAGTCCACCTAGCGCAATATCCAACATGCGGTTGGGTCTAGGCTTGTCTTTGATACCGAGCTTCTGGATGTAAGTCTTGCGGGGATAGAACATCTGTCCGGTTTCGGTATCAACAGGCTTGGCGTTTATCATGTTCTGGTCTCCAGCCTTGTCCGACTTCTTCTCGTCCGAATCGCCTCCATTGCGTTGCTCTTGAATTCCATTGCCAGGACCTGACGTCGTGCTATCTTCGGCTGGTCTCGCCGGTCGGTCGTAATTGGTCTCTTCCATAAAGAGGAAGCAGTAGACCAAAGCAATGCCGTTAAAGATTGAACACCACCACTTTGAGATGGACAAAATGGTTAGTCATATGCGGCACGGGATACAGCCGGTGGAAATGCTTACCAGAGTCCACTTCCAGCCCATGCCCACGTTGATGAAGCCTGACAGCATCGGAGCAAGTTTGCCCGTCATTGAAAGACCCCAACCGTAGAGTGCAAGATATTTCGGGCGCTGGTGCGCGAACCACTGTGTGCTTGTTAATAAAGCATGCCCCGGATGGCTCTTCATGGAAGGTTCTTACGATATCCGTGATGGAGATTTCGCAAAGCGACTCGACTGGAGCACCAAATAATCCCAGTAGGATTCGATTAGCCAGATATGTGTGCTTCGTAGTGCACATGGGGGCAGTAGCAAGGATTACCTAGGAAGTAACACATTAGAAATCATGGCACCTTGAAAGTTGGATGTATTAAGGTGAACACACTATGTTGGCAATGAGTGACGCAAGGTATGCTGGTCGTTTGCCATATTGAAGGGCAAATGGTTGCCAGATCAGACATCCCCAGCCATAGAACAAGAACTGTAGTAAAAGTTTTGTGTCAGTTCTGCCTTAGGAAGGTCGCTCGGGTCCTGCTGACCATGATTCCTGTGCCGTTGTTGATGTCGGACAGTGACAAGCCTGTTGCTTTTCTGATGGGGGTGACGACGGAGTAGACGGCACTACTCGGGATCGCGATCATGACGGTGTAGACCAAGACGCACGATGTCGCAAGCCATTTTCGCTTCTTTGTCCAGTTCAACGGATCCTCTGGGTCTTCTGATGGGCGAGGAATGAGAACAATGTCCGCTTCATCGGACCCGGAGGCATGTTTGCTGATGACGGAGCCGTCGACGTCGATAAGCCTAGTAGTGCCAGGAGGGAGGCCATCGCCGTCCATTTGAGCGGGGTTTGAGTGAGCCATTTGGTTGCTGTCGACCCCAAGAACTTAAAGATGCGCCAGTGTCGATCTTTTGAGAACCCCGGGTAAGTGCCAAATAGAGTGAAGGTATTAATGTCCAACTTGAGTCGGCAGAGGAGCGTTTTTGAATCATGTGCGACTGCAGCTACTTATCGGCGTTGCTCGTGGAACCGTTGTGCGGCATGCCGATCCCAGGGGGCAGTTCCTTCTCACAAGGTGAATATATCCGTCTCACGGACACGGCATTAAGCTATCACAGTAAGAAGCGGACGACTTAGCAACTGCCTGAGTCTGCCCTGGAACAAGATTCGGTTTGCGGGAAACAGCGATAAGACAACCAGGTTCTCAGTCTCGGACATCGACATGGGCATTCTTCATACGAGACGCCCGACACTCGGTTGTCCACCATACGTAAGGTAGTCAGATAACGACGCCAAAGAGGCACTCGGACGCAAAACGCCACGCCTCCAAGAGCTCTGGATAACGATAGCAGAACATGAGCCTTGAATCAGCCTATTGATATGTGCTTACATCTCCTCGTTCCCGGGTCGTAAACCGCCCGCATAGAGCGGAGCCTCTAACGACAGGGATGCCGGATGTTGCATTAGGATGGGGGCTTTCAGACCCGCCCCTAAACCAACTGGGCAGTTGACAGCGATAGGCAGAGAGAGCTCAATCTGGCGCTATCTGAAGATGGCAGATAGGGAAGACACTATCGCTCCAGATGGGGTCACTAATACAACGTGTACTCTGTAGGCAAAAGTTATTTGTGAAGCTTAGCAGCTGATTCGTGTCCTTTCTTCGTTTTGGGGTCTTGTTTGATGTGATCTGCATTGTGTTCGGACTCGGGACAGCATCAACCAATTCCACCCATTCTAAGCTCGCTCAAGATGGCCATTACCACGATTCCGAGAAGCTGGAGAGAACTCGCGGAAGTCTGCATTGATATACAGCAAAAGTCGATACCTCAAGCATACCTGCTTCCTAGCGACCAGCTTCCCTTGAAAGATCGTTCAAACGTACTAAATGTCCCATGCGAGTCTGGCATCTTGGGTGAGGAGGAAATTTGGATGACACAGCAGGATGCATCCAGTTTACTAGAAAAGTACAAGAGCGGTCAATGGACTGTCAGACAAGTTGTTACGGCTTTCCTGAAGAAGACCACCATCATTCATCAGCTGGTATGGGTAAATCTCCTGCTGTCTAGATAATCCTAGCTAACCAGGGTATTCTTGTTTGTACTAGACCAATTTCGCTACTGAAATCCTTGCTGAAGATGCTTTGAAAAAGGCGGACGAGCTGGATGCGCACTTTCAAGAGACAGGCCAGCTGGCCGGGCCCCTCCATGGCATCCCAATATCAGTCAAGGTAGATTCGATTTCTCCCGATTCGGGGTTTTTGGTTGCTTAAAGGCTTGTTATAGGAACACATCGGCATGGGTGGTCATATTACTCATGCCGGGTTTGTCTCAAAGATCACAAACGTCCCACTGGAAGACGCTCTTTCCATCCAGATTCTGAAGAAAGCCGGGGCGGTCATCCATGTTCGAACAAATCAGCCTCAAAGTCTCATGGTAAGAAGAGTTGCCTTTAATTGACGTCAAACTATGGAGAAAGATGACTGATTTTGCTGCACCATAGCATTTGGACTGCAACAATAATATCACCGGTTTAACATTGAATCCACACAACCTTCTTTGTTCGCCCGGTGGATCTTCCGGTGGCGAGGGCGTGTCCGTCGGCGCAAAATGCTCAGTCATTGGCGTGGGTACGGATATTGGTGGCAGTATACGCATCCCTGCCGCTTTCAACGGTTGCTATGGACTTCGACCTACGGCCCTGCGTGTTCCAAACCTTGGGAACTTTGGTATCACATCTGGCCAAGAGAGCATCCGGGGCGTAGTTGGGCCGTTGGGCCAGAGCGTTGATGATTTGGATCTATTCATGAATGCTGTTCTTTCAGCCGAACCCTGGGACACGGAGACCATGCTAGTCCCAGTGCCTTGGAGACCCGTTCAACTCAAGATAGAGATCACAGTGGGAATCATGCTTGACGATGGGTATGTTCATTCCGGTCATATTGTCATCAAATTTACTAACCTTCTTTTAGTTTTGTCAAACCACATCCTCCCGTCCTCCGGGCGCTTCATTCGGCCGCGGACAAGTTGAAACAGGCAGGGGTCAAAGTAGTAGACTGGGAACCCTACGATCACGAACGTGGCTGGGAAATAGTAGTAAGTCGTTACCATTTGCCTACAATCTCTCTTCCATGGAAGAGGTTCCACAAGTTTCATTTTGACTAAGTTATGCCAGTCCGCCTTATACTTCCCCCAAGGACCGAAGCCATATCTCGACACTTTTGCTGAAAGCAGCGAGCCTGTCCTTCCACTCACCGAGCACGCCTTCAAGTTCTCAAAAGCCGAGCCACTTACGGTAGCGGAAAACTGGGACCTGAACTACAGAAGAGAGGCATATAGGCGAGATTATCACGCTCTCATGAAGCAGAAAGGCGTGGATGTCATCATCTGTCCAGCGTACGTTGGTGCTGGTGTGTTGCAGGGCGGTGCCCAGTACTGGAACTATACAGCTATATGGAACGTTCTTGATCAACCAGCAGCCATTCTGCCGAGCGGTCTCAAAGTTGACAAAGCGATTGACAAGCTCGAAGAGGGCTACACGCCCAGAAACAACGATGATGCCAAAGAATGGAAAGCTTGTAAGTCGTAATCAGCGGCGCACTCGAGCTCCTCCATTTTGTTATCATCGCTAACGCCGGGATCTTTGTAGATGACGCAGATCTTTTCCATGGCATGCCTATTTGTTTACAAGTTGTAGGCAAGCACTTTCATGATGAAGAAGTGCTACAGGCCACCAAGCTGGTAGACCAGATCTTGAAGGCATAGAATTGACCAAGTACATTAGATTAGACTGAAGGAAAATGTACGGTGATTGATAACAATACCTAGATGTTAAATATTTTCCCCGCCGCAATGGCCGGAATAGAATTTTGCTTCCTTGTTTCCGCAACTCCATCAACTTTTCTTCATGTGTTCTCAGGTAATTATCAATCTTTGAGTTATGAGTCTTGAGCTACCCACTCGATCGGCTTTCCTTCCCAATGCATACCAACTTCTAAGAAAAAAGCGAACAATGAGCCTAGCTTCATCGGGCTCTTTTGGCTTTGTAAAATTCATGTTCAAGTTTGGTAATGATGCCAATGAACCGGTGTTGCCAAATTTCATTTTACAACCTACATCAGCGAACTTACTATACGTGTTTTGAATCGTTTATACTCATCCGTAAACGTCATCCGTAAACGGTACGAAAACGCCCAGGTGCCGACTAAATTTTGATGACGTAGTAGGAGCGCCAGCTTATCATCAATATCTCTGTCCAATGCTTGGCTGCTTCGGTGCCAGATTGCGCAGATAACAACGCCCGCGGGCAATCGGCGGCACTGTCCCCGCTGGAATCCACATTTACACTCTTATTTACCTTGCCAGAGTCCCTCGTGGGGGGTTGGCGTGACTGGAGGTCATAGTTGGGGTTGGCATGGGGCCGCCTGTGTTGATAGCACGGGCAGCCCCAACAAATTGTTGCGTTCAAGGCAGATGCAACTGAGCGGGGTCTTGGTTCGCTGTCAGATACCCTTTCCAGACACCAGAGGAATGACCAAATCCACGAGTTGAGGCGACTCCGGTATCGCGATGATCATGTCGGCTTCGTGACTTGATGTTCTTTGATTGACACTGCGTACTCTTTGACTGAGGACACTTTCCTGTTTAATTCGGCACTTGAAGTCACCCAGATAACGACATTGACTCTCACCAGCGCCTTTGAGATTGCTGACCACCATCTCTTCACTCACTATCTGGTGCCCTGGCCCTACCAGACATCATCGACGTACCTAGTCCCAGGCGATCAAGATGACTCGACTAATCGCAACTGTTGATCTCTCGAACACGGGTACAGCATACTACGCTCCAGCAACAATCACTCGCGCCGGTTCACTCGTACACGTATCGGGCTTGCCCGGCAACACCAAAGATGGCAAAGTGCCGTCAGACTACGACTCGCAGATTCACCTTGCACTGCTCAACCTGCGCAAAGTAATCATAGCTGCCGGATCGACAGTATCAAACATTGCAAGTTTGACTCTGTATATTGTCGATTACGATGCCTCCAAGCGCCAACACGCCCGTCACGTCCAACGGTTTCTGGGGACCCATCGGCCCGCAATGACACTCGTCCCGGTACAGAAACTGGCGGTACCAGGCTGGTTGATCGAGATCAACGCTGTGGTTGCTCGCCCAGAGGCACCTCCGGTTCCTCGAAGCCTTCCGCCTGTGCAAGAGACTGCCGATGTCGTCATTATTGGTGCCGGATTGGCGGGCCTTTCCGCCGCTCATGAAGTCCGGCGTGCTGGGCTTAGCTGCATTGTCCTGGAAGCTCGGGATCGTGTGGGCGGCAAGACATGGAGTCAGCCCATGGAGGGCAGTGGGGATAGAGGGGTGTTCGACCTCGGCGCGGCCTGGATCAATGATACGAACCAAAGCAGGATGTATGAGCTTGCAAAAAGATATGGCGCCGAGTTGATTGAACAGAACACCAATGGCAACTGCGTTCTCCAAGATTTCGATGGCAAATGCAGTCCTTTCGCGTATGGAGAGCTACCCAAGGCATGTTGTACATGTGCTCCCTAGAACTTGTTGCCCTTCGTACCATGGCTTACATAGCAACAGTTCACCGAATCGACGCGCGACCACCTAGCTGAGATTAGGGACATGGCAGAAGCCGATTGTCAAGCTCTCGACGTCTTCAGACCAAAGGACACATCCCTCGATTCTCTCACATTCGAGGCCTACCTTAAATCTCGCGGTGCCGACAGTGTTGCTCTTGCCACGGCAACTATCTGGACACGAGCCATGTTGGGCCAAGAGCCGAAAGACATCTCAGCACTTTACTTCCTGAACTACTGCAAGTCTGGTGGTGGCTTATTGCAGATGCGGTCAGATAGGAAAGACGGAGGACAGTACCTGCGAGTCCGACAAGGCACGCAGCTGTTCTCTAAGGGGCTGGCTTCATCATTGCCCGAAGGTGTCGTCCGACTCTCCAACCCCGTTCAGACTGTCGTGCAGAGTGAGAATCGCTCCGTCAAAGTCGAAGCCGGCGGAAAGGTCTACTCTGCGCAAAAGGTCATTACCACCGTACCTGGTCCGGTTCTCAAGACGATTTCCTTCCAACCGTCGCTCCCCCACACGAAGCTGGCCTGGATCGAATCTCAAACTTACGGGTACTACACGAAGGCCATGATGGAGTTCAGCGCCCCTTTCTGGGTAGAGAAGGGATTCTGCGGCTTGGCTCAATCCTTCGTCGGCCCTGCTTCTGTGGTCCGCGACACGAGCAGCCCGGTAGACGAAAAGTTCGTCTTGACATGCTTCCTGGCCGGCGAGCCTGGAAAGGCCTGGGCAGCATTGACAACTGCCCAGCGCGAAAACGGCCTACTTGAACAGCTAAGCCAGCTGTATGATATTGAAAATATTCGTCCGCTCTTCAAGCAAATGGTTCTCTATGAGTGGGTCAACGATGAGTTCTCGGGATGGGGTTGCCCCTGCACATCACTTGGCCCGGGAGTTCTCGACACGCTTGGTGGAGACGGATTGCGGGAGCCGTATCGTGATCTCCATTTTGCCGGAACAGAGACCGCGGGTGAATGGAAGGGATACATGGAGGGCGCCGTGCGAAGCGGAGAGCGAGCTGGCGCTGAGGTTGTGAAGAGTCTCAACGGCGGGATAGTGTCGCGCCTTTAGCGATCAACAATCGTGAAGCAGATGATCTAAAAATGAAGCTGCGTATCTCTGAGCTTTGGTCGATATAAGATGTTTGTTTACTAGTAGGGATACATGTGAGATATGCTTTATTATACCACCGTTTCTCTTATAATAATGTCACATCACCATTATGTTTGCATAACCTCGTGCAATGAACTCGAGCGTAACATTCATCCTGATTGAGTTTGGGTTACGAATGCTGACATGTTTGATTTGCTTTGGCTCATGAATAAGGAACTCTTATGCGCATTATGCATTTATTCATTTACGGGGTTGGGTTTCGAGCTGTCGGGCCATTCGGCGACCGCCACTCTAGAAGACCGTGTAGCTCTGACAAGGGATAAGAGGCTTCAGTGCCGACTTCAGAGCATGGGTGGTGTTTCGCCCATCGGCATGGCACACAAGCTCCATCCATTCACATTCAGCCGATCTTTTGACTGGCCCAGCAGCAAGTTAAGGTTTTCCCCTTCCGAAGCGTCGGTCCCGGAGAATCCCTCGCAATGCCAAAGTAGATACAAATCATGCCCAGTCCTTTTTGGTGCAATGCTCGGCAACTTCGGGTTAGGGGGGAAGTACAGCCAGCGTAAATCAACCCTGTACGATGGCTTCGGGGTTCTGGGACAACCTGGTCTGATACGTTAGATGTATCACGCCCTTTTGACTTCGACCGACAACTGTTGATGTTGCGAGTGTGACATTGGGTTTTGCGCTTATCGATGGGGACTTCTTGCACCTAGCTTTGGTAGCGTGGCTCAAATAGGTAGCACGCGCACCTTGTCTTCACCCACCGCTTCATCCTTGGGTTTTCCCTATGCCGGTTTCTCAACAGCCTGAACTCGGAACGACAGATAGACTTCTCTCTTTGGCAATTCAGACTGGTGATTTCAGCGGTCTATATACCTCCAAGGCAAATCAGCGTCGCCGATTCTCTTAATCACCAGATCAACATGCTCACCACCTCGATTCACTTGACTCACGTCACCAAGATCCCGGAGTACATGACCCGCGATGAGGTTCTATCGCGCCTCCACAACGCAGAAATCCACATCAAGAGCGACCCCAACTTGACGCACTGGACGCCCCGCACACCCAAGGTGCCACCCACTGTGCCCGAGGATGTCGAATCCATCGCGGCTACTGAGTGTTTCACCGTCACGGATACCGTCCCTACCAATCTTCCAAAGGCGCTGCCCAAGGGTTTGTTGGAGAAGAAGAGCGTTAGCGAGTACGAGTTCACCTTTACGCCGGATGGAAGCTTCGTTCGTATCCACTGCCCCATGAGCGTCCTTTTGGATACGCGGTGGCGTGTTCGGGACGGGAGCAACGGCGGCCTAGAGTTAGAAGAGGCTGTGGAGGCTCACTGCTCTCGTTTCCTAGTGAGCGTTGTCAGAGGCGAGTTGGAAAAGAATTGGGAGGAGGTCCATCGGAAGATTTTGACTGGGAAAGCATGAGCAGTCCGATTGTGGAATTTCGATTGTAATAGACGTATGAAGGCCATAAAGGACGCGTTACCTTCTCTGTCTACTTTTTGGTAGAGAGCTTGAAGAAATATAGAAACGAAAGGCTTTCATCTCGTCGACGAATTAACCGTGACATTAACCTAGGTCAGTGTAAAATCGAAGCGACTCTCACAACAGGCAGCAAGTTATATGCCTTCATGTTGCTACTATAGATGAAATGGACTCAAAGGCTGGCCTTAGACTACGTGGGGAGTGCTGACATGAGTAAACAGAATTTCCTACCACTGATGACTTGAATTTGACTATCATTCTCCCTTGCAAAGCTCTCCGCGCGACTTCCAAATTTCATACTCGAAGTCTGGTTGGAACTCTGTGTACAAGGTCTCCTGTGTGGTGAAGAGCTAATTAGCTTCGCTCTTCTTCAAAGATGAGCACACGTGTTTTAAACATACCGGATCAGCATTGACCTTGGCTGTGAACTCGGCCTCCTTTTCCCCGATGATATTCTTCGGTAGCCCTGTGCCTTCCACCAAGATCTGGACCTCACATGACTTTTCCATCAGCGTGAATAGATATGCTGCCTCGTCGACCGTACCTCCAGTTGTTAACAGACCATGGTTCTGGAGGATGATGACACGACCCGTTTCGCCCAGAGACTCTGCAATCTTTTCGCTCTCGTCCGCTTCCAAGACGACGCCCCCGAAGGACTTGTACACAGCCTGGATTCCCCAAAAGTTGCAAGTGTCTTGGCTAATAATTTCAAGTGGCCTGCCGAACGTCGACCAGGCTTTCCCGGCTGGCGAGTGTGTGTGACAAGCCGCATGGATGTCGGGACGAGCTTTGTGAATGGCGCTGTGAATCATGAAGCCTGCTGCGTTTACAGCCGCCCTGTTGCCGCCAATGACTTGACCGTTTTCGTCAATCTGAACCATGTCGCTGGCTTTGAGCATTCCGAAATGCTTGCCAAGCCTTACTCGGCGTTAGAAATACGCGGGAGATATTGACGGGCTGATGGGAAGTCTCACGGGTTGATCCAGAAAGTGTTGGGGTCTACCGGGTCTCGAACGCTGATATGTCCACTGGTTCCCTCTGTGAATCCTTTATGCGCAAATACTCTAAATGCGCCAGCCATATGCTCAAGCTGCCACTGTCGTTTCTTGTATGGGTCTGTGATCTTTGGGATCCCCGGGAACTCATAGCCGCCGGTTGAAAGGGCTGTCACTCCTGATTTCTCCAAGGGCTTTTCGGCAACTGCCATAGCCTTGTTGGGCGCAACAGTCATGGTGAATGTGGTTGACATGGCTGAGGTGAGGCGTGTGGCTTGTTGACTATAGCTTTCGTACTTGTTGATGGTGAACTTCTAAGACATGAGTTTGCTTATCTTGCGATAGTTGCGGTAGCTCGTAGACCCCCCTTCTTATCCCGCAGGATTTGTCTGGTTCTGGCTTAGTTTTTCCTAAGTCATAGTCTCGGCCGGAATGCCTCTCGGTGCAAAAATCGCCCTCGATTCAAACCTGATTCGGTCAGCTTGACAATCCAGTCAACTGCATTACCATTGAAACCCAAATGTGACTAGCTGCTAGCTTCGCTATAACCTTCCGAAGAAGTACTGTGTATGGTACCTTACGTATGATGTTCGTTATCATCATCCCCACTTCCATCGGCGCCGACTTGGCGAACAGTGATAAGCTTATCTTCAGAGGGTCTCTACCCCTGTGTTTATCTCGCAGACCAGGATCGTCCGGAAATGGGAACAGATTACGAGGCTGGCCGGATGGTTTCCAGCTGTGCGCAGTCCTCGCTCTCAGCTTCCTATTCTACGCATGCGTGGGAAATGCCAACTGATAATCTCCATCGGACATTTTCGACTTGCCCGATGTCCTCCCCGGCACCTGCAACCTACCTTGGTCGGAAACGTACCAAAACGTTCACTGGCTGTTGGACATGCCGCTCAAGAAGGGTTAAATGTGATGAGACAAAGCCACACTGTTCTCCATGCAAACTGAGGGGTCTTGACTGCCAGGGGTATGGTGTTCGCCTTCAGTGGCTTCCCTCCGAGACTGTCTTTCCCTCTGAGCCCAGCTTATCATGCATTGACCTGGCCAATTATGGTACAAATTCCAGATCATTCAGACGACAGGTTCCAACTTGTAAGTCCTTGGGCCTTCATTTGCATTACTAAGACGTACTGATTGAGAAACAGCACCTGTTCAAAGTGTCCTACCATGGAGCCAAGTTGAGGGTATTCTCAAACTCATCGATTCCGTAGAGCCTGGATCATCATCCTTTTTGGGGGGTGATCTATGCATCAATGTTGAGAGCTTTGGAGTATTCGATTCGAATACGCTGTCAAATGTCGGCCATCAGAGCCGCGTCGGAGACTACCTGGTGCCGGAAGACATACGTGAAGAAGAGTCTGGCCAGATCATCGAGGCAGAATTTGCAACATCCACTTCCTCCCCAGGCACGCAAACCTCTGAGAGGCCGCAACTTCTGCCATCGCCTTCACATTCTGAGACAGAAGCAGCATGGGAATTATGCAATCTCCATGTCCAGCAACATCTACAGACGGAATTAGGCCATGTAGGTCCAGCCGAGGCCACAGATAATCCAACCGACCTTCAGAATGAGGAACCTACGATTGCAGTGTCATCACCTCTGTCATCACCTCGCCGGAGGCTTGGGTACAGTTTCTCCACCGAGCCTTCCCGGACACCGACCTTTTCGATCTCTGACCGAGAAAGGTTTCTCATGCACCACTACGTGCATAGAGTTGTCAACATATTCTGTGTCATTGACAACGCAAAGAGCCCCTGGAAGACGATCCATCTGCCCCGAGCTATCCAAGGAGCCGGCGAGTTGAGTGTGATGGGCGCAACTTCGAGGATTCGCAACGCCTTACGGAATGCGTTGCTCTCCATCAGTGCCTATTACTTCTCAAATGTTCAGACATCGGGAACAAGGCTTGAAGCAGAGTCGAAATGGATTGAAGCAGCAACTCTCTATCGTTACAATGCAATCGGTTTGCTGAAACAGGCCGTGGAAGTTGACCTTCATGCACCTGGAAGACCAAAGTACAAAGAGTTCCTGGCAACAATGTTGTCCATGATCACAATCAACGTAGGTGGCATCCTTGTCTCGTCACAAGCGGCAGACAGAAGATGTCTACCCGGCGGTTTGCGTAGCAAGCCGCAGATACGTTTCTCATCTCTACTTCACCTATGCTTGTCTTTTTCCCAAGCTTCAACCTACAGTTTCGATCATTTCCGTTACCTCTTTAAGCTCTGTTCGAGTTCCATCATATCTTACTGATACACTGGCTAGGTTATGTCCGGAGATACAAGCACCTGCAGTGTCCACTTGGACGGCGCTCAACAGCTAATCATCCATATGGGCAAGGGAAAGCCTCGGCTATCTTCTAAAGCTCGAGCCTTGCATCGCATTTACTTCTACCTCCGTGTAATCTACGAAAGTACAGCTAAAATGCGAGGTTCCGCGTGTCGCTTTTCTCCTTCTACCAGACGACATAGCTCCGATGTGTCTCAGTCACTAGGTCCAGAAGTCTCCTCCAATACTTTGCCCGATGAAGATACAATGTCCACATACTCTGGGGGTGCGCAAGCTGCAAGCGAGATGGCTTCGTATGAATGCATTTATGGTATACCTCAGAGTTTGCTTGTTCTCTTGCAAAGAACAATTGACCTTATAGACATGGTTGATATTGCGAGGAAGGAAAGAGGATTCACGTCATTACCCAAAGACTTGGAAAAAACATGTGATGTTGTTGAAAAGGATATTTTCGACTGGCCACTCGACTTGGAGCTCGCTCGATATCGCGATTCCAACATTGGCACGAGCTTTGACATCATTTACCACCAGACACATTCATTTCACAACGCCCTCATTATTTACTTCTCCCAGAATGTCAAGCTTCTCAGTCACCGATATCTCCGCCAGTATGTTGCAGTAGTCTTGCACGATATTGAGGCCATCGAAGCTATCAAGACCGAAGCCAAGCTTCTCGCCGCGCCCCTTTTCTGGCCGGCTTTTATGGCGGCAACGGAAGCATTTGACCCGCATCTCCAAGACCGATTTCGCCAATGGTACGAGGGAGTCGCAGTGTATGGCATCAAAGCCGTGAGGACGGGGACTCAAGTTGTGTATGAAGTGTGGAAACGTGGGCCATCATCCGACTGTCGTGTGACGAGCCAATGGCGTACAGTTGTGGAGGAAACAGGAGCGACTTTGATGCTGACATGATCTATCTGAAGTACCGGCCGAGTCTTTTACTTGGGCATTCTATCAGCATTCCACTTCCCTTGTTGCAGAAGAAGCATCACTGTTAAAGGGCATGTTGAAGTAGCCGGGGGCGTTATTCCAACCGAATGCAGGAAGAAATCCTTCTAGAGTTCTGGATTACATGAACTGAGGGCCACATAGAATATGCGGCATGGTATGGTAAAAGATCTAGTGACATAGAACAATTCGAACAAAAACGTCCTTTCCCCATTCGTCTTTTGCTGGATCTTGGCTGCGTTAGGTTGTGGTGTCTTGAAGGCTAAACTCATTTCCAGGAGCGGATATGGGCTAGTGTTTAAATCGGATATCCTTGCGGTTACTACCCTGGTCCTTTGTTGTCTCGAGGTAGTGGATTTTTTCCTGGAACACAGTTTTAGTCTTGTAGTTGAGAGGTTTGGACAGAGATTTTACTTCTTCTGTCATTGCACCCCATTCTTTTTCTCTCTTCTTGTTGCACCATATGTAGAATACTTTAGCAATGAGGTAGACGCAGATATTCATGCAGCAGATGCCAATAAGAACTCGATTACCACGCCGATCTTCGAGACGAAAAGTTCAGTCAGCACATTCGTGATAGGTTTTGGCGCGATCCAAGGTTGCTCACATTCAGGACGATCGTCCTCCCGGTAAATGTTGGAGTAGATGACGCGGGCAAGCTGAACCATCATGCTAATAAGGCTTTAGCCGCATACTGATTCCAAGTCAATGGGGTCTCGACTCACTTGTACAAAGCCGCAGAAACTGCTCGGGTACGCACAGAATGAGAGTTCCGAGACGCCCAGGAAACGTGCATGGCGTGTGCTAGTTACGTCAGGTTGAGTCACTGCTTCATCTTGTAATAGGCCAGGACTTACGGGATGGGTAGGACAAAAGAACGGTGACAACAGCGTACTGGGCCCAGGGACTAGCATCTGCTGGCAGAACGGCCATGGCAATAAGGTTCGGGAGGTACCACAACTGCGTAAACGCACCGAAAATTGCTCTTGTGTCCCATATCTCGGATAGGTATGTCATGATCAACATGAATATGGCTCCCAGGAATTGGGGCGGAATGCTCAACAAGTTTGTATCGTTCGTGTTGAATCCGAGGTTGCGAAGAGTGAGCGTGAGGTATTGGTCAGGGGGGCCAGCAGGAATTTCCCAGAGGAGACCAAAGACGTAGATGGGCCAAAGCTCCCAGTCAGCCAGAGATTTGAGAAGCAGCTTGGGAGTAATTGCTTGACGGTTATGCATATCGCATTTGGAAGGGTCGTCGCGAAGGATTCGATTGACCAGGATCTTTTCTTCCTGCTCGTTAAACCAGCCCTTGGGCCGCCACCAAGCCTTCGTCTGCGTTGGTGAAGCAGCCATTGCGAACCATGACCAGATACTGATTGACAGCGTAATAATTCCTTCGATCAGGAAAAGCCATCTCCAGCCCTCGTAACCGTTGATGCCGTCCATGCGAAGAACACCAAGCGCCAACAAGGGTGCTACGATGTCCGTGATTCGACGAACTGTCCAGAACATGGCAAGCCGAAAGGGTAGTTCAGTGGACTTGAAGAAGTATGTGAGGTACAACACTACGTCTGGGATGAAACCTCCCTGAAGAACACCCAATAGTGCACGACAGACGAGGAAGGAAGTTCGACCGCTGAGCCAGAACTGACAACCCGACACCAGACTCCAGGAACACATGATGAAAGGGATCCAGCGGTCTGGGCCAAGCTTCTTGCTGACCATCTGCGACGGCAACTCTGCGCAGAGGAAAGATATCTGGAAGACTGTGTTGCCGAGGTTGTAGTCATTTGTATTCATGCCAAGGTTCTCAAGAAAGGAGGCCGAATTGGCTTGACTCAGGTTGCCTCGAGGTAGGTCGAGGGCAAAGAATGCTGTTGAATCGTCAGATATCTGTAATTCTTCAGATGCCATAGTGAACACATACCAAGACAGGCCCAAATTGTCACACGCCAATCCATCTTCGTGATCAGTGGCAGCTCCTCGCCCCAGCTCCATCGGAAGCTTGGGTCAAACCGGTGGAGGTTTTCATACTTTGGATGCGGCTGGAAGAATTTCGAGGTCGATGGATGGTCGTAGACAGATGGCTGTGTGGCTATGACACTAGGATCGTAGCCACTCTTTTTCTTGAAGAATGACAAAATCGGGATGATGGGGGCATCTTGCTGACGAAGCTCGGCTTGCTCACGCAAGATGCGGTTCTTGGTCTGTTCAATTTCCTCGTCTGTTGTCTCCAAGTTGATAGTGTCACTAGCCTCGCTTTTGCTCTCTGGCTCTGCGGGCGGAGCTGACGATTGCTCAACAACTTTCTTCTCGGACATTCTTGAATCTGCAGGCGTTGAGTGAGAATTCGAAAGTCTTGGCGATTCCGTCCGGGCAAAGAAGCGTTTGCTTGAGATCAAGGGGACCGAGGATATTTCAAGGTGAGTTTCTCCAAATTTCAACTATTGCTCCTGTGTCTACTTTGGTGGCGCTACCTTGTTGGCGTGAAACCATTGCATTACGAGCCTACCGGGTCTCATCGCCTCACTTGGCAGATAACTTTGCGCGATATTTGATCTTTTCCGCCGAGTCGTGAAGCAACAATCGCGAAAATGCATGGGAAGGACGCTGCCAAGTGCTCCCAACACTGATAGCCCAAGACATCATTGAAAAACGCCAATGTCTTGTTTGCGGCCATCACGTAAAATCCCGGCCAATTCCTATACCGCTGCTGATTTTCTTGAAGCTGTGTACTTGGTAGTCCTTGGCCGTGGCAGTGCTCGATTGCCATCACCTGCAGATCAGCTATCTGACCCCTACAGATGGTGACGAAAAGAATTGAAAAACGAGCAAATGTGAGTAAAACTAGGAGAATGATGCAATTTACCAAGAGAAAGACGTGCTATCTCCCGCGATGGAAATGCGACGACAGGACCATAGACAGCACTTAGCGGTCGCTTGGTAGTCTTGGACCTCTTGGTACTGCAGCTTGGCAACTTTGTCTTGGGGACGGGCGCTGTACTTATACTGAGTGACTGCCGATTTCGCAATTTCCTTGGATCATGACGATTCTTTGACAGATCGAATCCTTCTGATTTTGCTTTTGGGGGAGGGCTCTTATTGCCGGATTCTTCTTGAGATCTCGGCTCTGGAGTTATTCGGTCGTGTAAGAATGCTGAAGTTCTCTTCTCACGCCCCTACATTGAATCACAGAGCTAGGACCCGCAGAACCAACGTCAGTCTCTTCTCAATGTAATGCAGCAAAGATACTCAATTAGTTCGGAAAGCTTCTCATGAGTAATTTGGCAGCTTATAGATTATTCAATTCTCGTTTGAAACGTCGAGTGTATATGGATATTCGAATCGACTTGTCGAATGGAAAATCCCTGCGCAAGTCTGCTATTTGCGTATTACCATGGTCTAATCATTACTGTTGGCGACTGTTCTCGGACCAAAATGGAAGACCAGATTGGGCCCGAAGAGTCTCATAGGGAGCTGCACCATCCAAGTTCTCCGTACGCCCTTGCGCTGAGCATGTTGTTTGTGAGAATATCCAGCGACGACATCCTCATCCCCAGGTCGTTGACAACTCTTAGCGCATGTTTCGCGTCCTTGGTCGTGTTCGACACCCATAGCAACTCGTTGCCCCAATTCGTAGAACCTTACAACCCGAGTCTGTCTGCGGCCGGGCTTCCATGGAAAACAGTTCGACTACCATGCCTAAGCAAATATCTCGCATCGGGGCTTGCTAACATTCAAATTGCTTGACGTAAAAGCCTCAGTTCAGCGACCAGCCTTGAAGACTAGCCAGCCTCTTATCAGGGACAAGACTTGCTGGCGGCGACGTCAATCATCAAACCTTTGTCTACAACTCGAGCGCTGGAACAGGCATGTTTATCTATGTTGTCGATCCCGGTATCCGCATTTCTCATTCTAGGTTTCCGGAACGCCCGATTAAGGGAATCAACGTCTGGCCAGAGGTTGCCTTTGACGACGATTTCGGCAACGGAACGCACGTAGCTGGCATCATTGGGTCCTTGAGATTTGGGTTGCAGGTTGTCGGCTAGCGAAAGAAGAGTGCTAGGGGTCACTTTTACAACTATTCGACTTCGATTAACGAACCATTAGACTGAGGCAAAATAGACAAATTCGATTTTTACGCCACTAAGGCGACCTGTTCTTGGTCTAGATACACCTGGATGTTACGCACCCATCGGCGGGCCACACCTTCCAGCACGCCCTGCTCGATGTAAAACTGAGCATTATTATCCTCTTGAACAAGCTCGAGATCTAGACCCCTCGCTATCGTCAGGCTATACGCCAGCTCTAACAGCTAACCAGGCCCTACTTTCTGGCCTTGCCAGCATTGTGACAAGAGGGGCTCAACAACACTCCTTGGTGTGAAGGCAACATTATCTTCTCAAGATCACCTGCGAAAGGTACACAGGATCGTGAAGTCTGATGACCCAACAAGCTCAGAGGCATCTATTCTGTGAAGAGGCCTCACCTCGATTTTTGTGGTCTAACGAAGCAAATGGTCAGGAATATTCAGGAGTTAAGCCTACCTTAGGCTTCATGATTAACGCCAACCTACCTTTTACCATGTATCAGAACTCCTTCTTCCAGTCTCTTATACAGCAAGTCAACCCACAATGCTCATCCATCCCCTGGTCACGCGCATCGTTCGTTCGATTCCTCCATACTATATACGAGGAAAAGAAGGAGGTTATCAAGAAAGAACTAGCCAACACTGACTCTGATATACACCTTAGGTTTCATCATAGGCATCAGTAGGTAAGTCTTTATACGATTATAGTAGTTACTGCACACTTCCTAGTTAAGGGTAAAGGGCCTCAGATACGACTGATCACTCTCAGACGACAACTAGGCACTCACGATGGTGTCAACCTTGCTGAGACTTTGTTGACTATTATTAAGGAGTAGTAGATCACCCATCAAATCGGTACAATTATTACGGATAATACCAGCTCCAATAATACTTGTCTTTGCAGCTTGATGGCTCACATTAACCCAGCCATAAAGAGTCAGAGGGACATAACAATACAGCGAATTCACTGCTTTAGTCACATCCTCAACCTCATCTCCAAGGTATTCCTATTTAGCAACAGCACTGAGAGCTTCGAGCTCAGATACCTTTATCCTCCTTGGCTGATACTTCTTCTTGGCACGATACCTGAGTGGCCTGAAACGCGAGACCGTACCAACAAGGTAAAGACGTGCGTTCGAAACGTGTGCTGGCGTTATTGGATGGCAGGGTCACCACAACCCCGCATCTCATATAGTATCACGCACACGCAACTTTTCTCTCATTGTCTCTGTTACTTCTCGACATAATAATGAACTTAGCACTACTGTTTCAACTATCCCGCGAGTATTCCGAAACACAAAATATCTGATAGTCGCCATAGAGATAGGACGATGAGCTTCCCAACCGAGGCCCTGCAATATCTCTCACTTTGTCTCAACGTACGGCATGGCATTCGCCAATGTCTTGTTGAGATCCTTCCGAATCCAACGGACCAAAAGCTCGACAGAGCCTTCAAAACTATCGAGAAGTACCTTCAGCAACAACACGAACTAGGCCAGAATCAATACCAGGCAAGCTTGAATCAAGCGAGCGCATCTCTTGGCGTGCAATGCGGCATACTACAAGAACTTTTGACCAGAAATGGAGAGTTTGCGACACAACTTGGGGATATGACAGGGGTACTCAGATCAATATCCACGGATCTGAAGTCATTCACGAAGCCTGGGGTGTTTGGGCAAATCGTGGAAATCGGTGGCCTGGCTACGGGCAATGCTGCCGTCGCCCAGATCCAGCGGCTTGCAGACCAAGCTGAGAAGATGGCCATGAGCCTCGACAAGATTGGAGACAACATGTACTCTGAAAACTCTCGCGGAGACAAGTTTCCGGGCCACGTCCATTCCTTTATTCGAAGCATGATCGAAAAGCATCAGGAAGAGAAGACGCCGCATTACTTCTTCGTGTTTAACCAGAGCACGACGTGGCATGCCAAGTTCGACGATATCAAGCGGGCGGATCCTCTCGGCGACCACTTTCTCGGCTATAGTCACGATCTGGACGAGCTCGTTGCATTCATTGTTGAGGATGCCCGGCCACGCCTAGGGTCCGAGCCGATCGTACACATCCTGATACCGACCATCAGCCAGCTCGCCATCATTGAGTCCCTTACTTTCCCCGAAGGCATGGGGCCTTTTTGTGTGACTGGACAACTGGGCGAGAGTGGTCTGCCGTTCGTCTACCTATGCACGCCGCTGGATCGGGCGAATCTTCGTCACATCGGCTCGCTTATGCCTAAACCTCGCTGGATGCTACGTCAGCAGGTTGGCTTGTGCCTTCCAATCGTGCATCAGTGGCTTTCAACGCATTTGGAACCTGTGTACTTCGAAGATCCATACTTTCAATCTGTGGTCTTCGCCTCCTTATGGCTCTATGAGTCTGACTACACTCCGGTTGAACCGGTTCCTCCAAGAACGTTAGGAACGCCTAAAGCGTGATAGCTAGGGAGAGCCTAGGGAAGCAGAATTGGTTGTGTGCTATGACACTTCAACCTCCCAAGGGGGCTAAGGTCAGTTTCACCGAATACAAGTTCAAGAAGGTGTCTAGGGAAGCAACTGAACAGCTGGACAATGGTTTCCTTCTATCAGAAGAGACTTCACGAGAGGTTAAGCTGGTCATGGATAATACGACGAGGTGGAACCCTACCTCCCTGATGATTAAGCGAGCGATCCAACTCTAAGACGACATTGAGGAGTTGTATAGCTCTCAGAATACCTCCGATCCTATTCCTAGTCAAGACCTCCTTTCTGTAAGTAGAGATCATGACAATCCTGAAGCCTATATGGAACATGACCATGAGAATACAAGGGTTTAGCAAAGATGGCACCCATGGTCAACTTTGGGAGGTTATCACAGTAATAAAGTATTTTCTGAGTCACTTCGTCGAGGGATGGAAGACGTTCTATGGGTTCACAAACGATGATTCCTCTGAGGAATCACAAGAGGAAGAGCCAGTCTATTCACAACCCCAACCTAGGCAGTCACTACGTCCTCACCCACCCCCTGGTTATCTACATGATTCTCAGGGGGACCCCCCTGCAGTTCAGCCATCACAACAACCTCACTTTAACAAAGCTGCTCTACCCCCTCACACTCACCAAAAATATATCATCAGTATCTCTAACTATAATGATATAGGCCATAGCACTCAACACTTACTTCAAGCCTCCATCAACAACGGCTAAAAGAAGTTAAATGAGTACTATGCCTTAACAAAGGGTCTCCTCTCTATACCTCTACCATTGTTCTTCATCCCTCATTTAATCTAAAGTATCTCAAAAAAAATTGGCAATCCAAACAACAATAGCAATAGGTATCAACGGCAAGGTCAGCTCTAGTTTATTATTTCAACAGATGGTACCCCCCAGACCAGGAGGGTCACCAGTCACCTACTACTCAACCTAAGCCTCATAATCCAGACAGTTTTAAGCAATAGTGTATAGCAGAAGCTACTATGATAGACGAGAGGAGGAGGAGGAGGAGGAGGAGGAGGATAAGCTGGAGAAGCATCTACAGCTTCAGGGACAACCCAACTGTGACCCTATTCATTAGTAGTTTAATCATGAGGCTGAATAGTCTCTCCCCAGCAAGCTGGCCCTCAGCCTCCTCGCAATACCTTCACAGTCAATCGAACCAATTAATTGTCAATGAATCAATTATTTCAGCGAAAGTAAGGCAATCAATCAATTATACGATCGCGATGAGTCAATCAAGTTAATTATAGGGGCCATAATTGACTTGATTGCTTTGAGTACATCGCTAAAGGTATGAGATCGATGGCCTCGACATCAGGAGGAATACTCGCGGCCGCCTTCCAATACATACCAAGGTTATTTCGACCTATTCACCATCTTTATGTCAGTGTTGGCAACTCAGATTGTCCAGGGCGTTGGTTCTTTCAACTCAAATCTCCAGTCCGGAGCTACCTCCGATCGAGGTGAGAGCATAGAGTGGACCCGTCACCGAAGCTCACCCTGGTGTGAGTAGTCAGCACGGTCTAGTGCTTTTTCCACGCCATTTAACTCGCGAAGGGAACGGTCTAGACCTCCCAGACACAAAGCAATTGAATGCAAGCGCCGGCCTTCTGCGGCTTATCTACCATAGTATGGTTCCGACCTGCTGCATGACGTCAAACTTCCCTGTCAAACTCCAAAATCCAAGGCAGAAGAATCCTGGAATTCCGGTGCGATTCGACGCCAGTCCCAACAGATTGGCGGCCAGCCGTCCATGGATTCAAGGAATCTTGCTAGCGTCGCGCCACTTTCCAGGTTAGCGGAGGAGGATCTTTGTTGTCGCAGAAGCGCATGCTCGTGTTTCTGGATATTGTCCGAGCTAGTGGAATGCTGCGATATGGCGATTTGATTTGCTCGCTGTCGCCGCGTCAACCTGCTTTGGACTGCATGAAGCCACGATGCCTCGCAAGATTCTGTTGGTGAACCAACCGGCTGGAGACGACGGACATACGGTAATTAGCTCGGTGGTCGGCGGTCAAGGACATACATCATCGGTGGAAAGTACCCCTTTCCGTTCAGCCTGAACTCTACTAGTCCAATTCCCGTCTCTCTCTCTCCTTCATCTCCCTCCGTCTTCCCCAAACTCCTCGTCGTCAATCCATCCTCGATTTACCCCTCCTCGACCCCTCCAACCCCTCCAAACTCTACATTCAACCCCCCAATCGTCAGCTGCGACTGCACAATCGCCCACCATGGGAGATCAGGAACCGACCCCCGAGAACCACACGATGATGCAGGGCTTCGAGTGGTATGTGCCTGCGGATCAGAAGCACTGGGTCCGCCTCGAGAAGCACGTTCCCCAGCTGAAGCGATTTGGTGTAGACAACATCTGGATCCCGCCAGCGTAAGACGCCCCTCCAATCGAATCGCAAATCGGCATGACCGCCCAATTGACTCTGGATCTAGGTGCAAGGGCTCGTCGAAGACGGGCAACGGTTACGATATCTACGACCTGTAGGTATTGCCACTTTTTCCCGGCCGAACTGGCGTACTGATAACCTCCCAAGCTACGACCTGGGCGAGTTTGACCAAAAGGGATCCGTCGCGACGAAATGGGGAACCAAGGAGGAGCTGCTGAAGCTGGCGCACACTGCCAAGGACAACGGCGTCGGTATCTACTGGGACGCCGTTCTCAACCACAAATTCGCGGCCGACCGCAAGGAGAAGTGTCTCGCTGCCGAGGTCGATTCCGACGATCGCACAAAGTTCGTCAGCGACAAGTACGAGATCGACGCCTGGGTCGGCTACGACTTCCCCGGCCGCAAGGACAAGTACAGCGACATGAAGTACCATTGGTACCACTTTAGTGGTGTCGACTACAATGCCAGAAACGAGAAGACGGCAATCTACAAAATCTTGGGCGACAAGGGCGACCAGCAATGGGCGGAAAGTGTCGACGGCGAGAAGGGCAACTAGTAAGACCTCAAACACTCATTCGCTCGGCCAATTCCCTCGGCCATGGACCATGAGCCATGTTAATTCTGCGCAGCGACTTCTTGATGGGTTCCGACCTCGACTACGACCATCCCGAGGTTGTCAAGGACGTCATCAACTGGGGCAAGTGGCTGGCTCGGGAGGTACCGCTCAAGGGAATCCGATTCGACGCCATCAAGCACTATAGCGAGGACTTTTTGCGTCAATTCATCACCGAGCTGGATAAGGAGTACGGCAAGGGCTGGTTCTTTGTCGGCGAGTTCTGGAAGGACAGCCTCGATGACATGTCCGAGTACCTGCAGCGCATGGGCAGGCAGTTCACCCTCTTCGACGCGCCCCTGGTCTACAATTTTAGCGAGATCAGCAAGGGCAACGGCGCCGATATGAGAAAGGTCTTTGACGGCACTCTCGTGCAGAAGGAGCCCGTCAACGCAGTGGTACGTTGATCGGCCCTCCCGTTAACCCCCTCGCCTCAATTAGGCCGTCATCTAATCGCAGGCAGACACTGGTCATGAACCACGACACGCAACCCTACCAGGCCCTGGAGGCCCCGATCGAGGGCTGGTTCAAGCCCATCGCCTACGCCCTCATCCTCCTCCGCACCGACGGCTACCCCTGCGTCTGGTACGGCGACATCTACGGCATCAAGGGAGAGCACCCCTTCCCACCCTCGTGCGGCGGCGCCGTGCCCAAGATGACTCTTGCCAGGAGGCTCTACGCCTACGGCAAGCAGGCCGACTACTTTGACTACGCGACGTGCCTGGGCTGGGTCAAGTACGGCACCTGGGACCGGCCCTACGGCTGCGCCGTCGTGGCGAGCAATGCCGGACCTGGATCCAAGCGCATGCACGTGGGCGAGATGCACGCCGGCGAGGTCTGGACCGACGTTCTGGGTTGGAACGACAAGGAGGTCACCATTGGCGACGACGGTTTCGGCGAGTTTGTTTGCTCTGGCACCTCGGTGAGCATCTTTGTCAACAAGAACGCCGATGGCAGAGATCAGTTCAACCAAGAATTGTGAGTACTTTTGCTTTGGTATACGGTTGTGGAAATGATGAGAGACTGACCTTTGACAGTGACTCGAACATTTACGAGGAATAGAAGGGCCGTGGTTAAATTCAGCCGGTGGGACAATTGGAATTCCTGAAACAGCTCTAGAGTCTACGCTCCATTAGTATGTATATGCTGGAAATATAATCAAGTTTAATTACATTGCCTCTATGATCATACAATACTCTGTGGGCCTGCAAGCCGGGCCCGAAGACCTTCCACGGCCGCCGTGTGCTAGAACCATGGCTAGGGGACGTGGCGGACCAGGCCGGTGTCGGTGGGCTTTGCTAGATACATGTTTCTGCTATCTTATGCCGTCGTGACCGGGCCGGACGGAGCTAGGCCCCCCTGGTGTGGCGGAGCGGGGCCGGGCCGGTTCGACTGGATCCACCCGCCGTTTGAAGCACGAAAAGTCGGGCTTGTGCGTTTGCGGTAAAACACCGACATGCTTTGCAGCTACGATTGAATGTATATCAATGGGGGCTAACCAGTTCTGGACCTATGATGAGGGCCGTTGCATAAAAGTATGTGCTCGATGGAAAGTCTTGAGAATTTCACCTCGAATGAATCACTAACAACAAAGTTACTAGATTCATGGTATCCCTAGTTGTCATACATCTACGACCGCAACGCCAACGACTGCTTCTTTGACAGCGAAATGTAATAACTTTCTGTTACAATGCCATTCATCGGACGGAGGGAACTGGCTGAGCTTGTAAAAGCCGAAAGTCGCAACGTGGTCCCGAAATCCCCTTTGCCGGGTCAAATTTTCTTTCCCTTTAGTCCGGCACAGGAGGTTGGAAAAAGTTTAAAAGCTGGGGAGCGTGGTTTTCGGCGACAGCAAGAGGACTTTGATACTGCTCTTGGTTGATGCAAGACGCTGGATGTGTGCATCCCCGAAAAGCCCACGATTCAATCCCCGCATCGTGAGTGCATACTTCCACCCCAGGGCCCCACCAAGTCGTCTTATCGCCGATGGGAGGGCGGCAAAGCGGTTCCGCACGTCATATCCCCGCCGTGGGGGGGCGCTGTACAGTGATGCTGGATCCCATTTCCCCCCCCTTGGACCGAATGCAGTAAGCAAATGCGGAGTAGCTATGCGGTGCTTCGATTGGACTGGAAGCTCGCTCCGATGTTGCTATCCATGATCCATCCCCAACCTGACTGGATGCTCCTATCGTCGGCCTTCGAATGGCCGCCGGCGCACGCAGAGTTGAAAAAAAGATGCTCTCCTCTCCTCCCCTTGCTCTGCGCCTTGCTCGCAACTCACCTCTACTTGTCAACTCACTCACGGCTTCTTCTTCTTCTTGTTCTTGGCCTCGATCCTGTGATACCCCTCTGCTCCGCCAGTGCCACCCTCACGCGAAAAGCACACGCTCAAGGCATCCTGCGCGTGTCTTCTTCTCATCGACCCCTCACCCATCTCAACGCAACAACCTCCTCGACCACTCCTCCTCCTCCATCGCCACAATGTCCGACCTCTCTGTTGAGCTGACGGCCCCCAACGGTGTCAAGTACACCCAGCCGACCGGCCTCTTCATCAACAACGAGTTTGTCAAATCTGCCAAGGGCGAGGTGATTGATTCGATAGACCCTGCGTGTGTAGTTCCCCGAACCCCTCATCTCCCTGTACGGGTGTGCATCACAATGTACTTTTTCCTCCCTGCATCCGCCAAAAATCTGACATGCAACTCCAGCACCGAAGAAAAGATTGCATCCGTCCAGGCCGCCGAGGTCGAGGACATTGACAAGGCCGTCAAGGCCGCACACGCCGCGCTGAGGCATGAGTCCTGGAAGGGCATCTCGGCCACGGATCGTGGTATCCTCATGTACAAGCTCGCCGATCTGATTGAGCAGCACAAGGAGACTCTCGCCACCATTGATGCATGGGACAACGGTATGCGCTCCACGTCTTGGTTTAGACTTGACCCGGAGAACGGCGATCTGACACAATCCACAGGCAAGACGTATGCCGATGCTCTTGAGATTGACCTCTCAGAGTGCGTCACCGTCATCCGCTACTACGCCGGCTGGGCCGACAAGACCTACGGCCAGACCATTAACAGCATCCCTCAAAAGTTTGCCTACACTCTTCGTCAGCCAATTGGTGTCGTCGCTCAGGTGTAAGAGAGACCCTTCCCCCCCTCCCCCTCCGCCTCTTTCCCCCCGTCCGTCCTGGCGATACATACATGTATAATACGAGACTGACGCCGGCAAACTAGCATCCCCTGGAACTACCCCCTCAGCATGGCAACATGGAAGCTGGGCCCCGCCCTCGCCTGCGGAAACACAGTCGTCCTCAAGGCCGCCGAGCAGACCCCGCTGAGCATCCTGTACCTAGGCGCCCTGATCAAGGAGGCCGGTTTCCCCCCCGGCGTCGTCAACTTCGTCAACGGCCTCGGCCGCGTCGCCGGCAGCGCGCTGGTCAGCCACCCGCTCGTCGACAAGGTCGCCTTCACCGGCAGCACGGCCACGGCCCGCGCCATCATGGGCGAGGCCGCCAAGACGCTGAAAAACATCACCCTCGAGACGGGCGGCAAGTCCCCGCTGCTCGTCTTTGGCGACGCCGACCTCGAGCAGGCCGTCAAGTGGTCGCACATGGGCATCATGTCCAACCAGGGCCAGATCTGCACCGCCACGTCGAGGATCCTGGTCCAGGAGTCCGTCTACGACGCCTTCATCCCGCAGTTCCTCGAGACGCTCAAGACGGTCAGCAAAGTCGGGAGCCAGTGGGACAAGGACACCTACCAGGGCCCCCAGGTGTCCAAGGTCCAGTACGAGCGCGTGCTCGAGTACATTGACATTGGCAAGAAGGAGGGCGCCCACCTCGCCGCTGGCGGGCAGGCCCTCGACGTCGGCGGCACGGGCAAGGGCTTCTTCGTCGCGCCGACCGTCTTCACCCACGTCACGACGTCGATGCGGGTGTGGGGCGAGGAGATCTTCGGTCCCGTCGTCGCCATTGCCAGCTTCAAGACGGAGGAGGAGGCCGTGGCGCTGGCCAACAACAGCCAGTACGGGCTCGGCGCCGCGGTCTTTACGCAAAACGTGGAGCGCGCGCACCGCGTGGCGTCGGAGATTGAGGCGGGCATGGTGTGGGTGAACAGCACTCAGGACAGCGACCCGCGCGTGCCGTTTGGCGGTGTGAAGCAGAGCGGTATTGGGAGGGAGCTGGGCGAGGCCGGGTTGGAGGCGTATAGTCAGATCAAGGCGGTCCACGTCAACATGGGTACGCGATTGTGAGTTGTGGCTCTTGGGTTTGAAAAGTGGCGAACAGAATTTGTCACGTAGTTTATGGAAGACATGAAAGGGACCTTCTATCCGCCGAATCCAGTCAAATTCAAATGGCAAATTGCAATGTTGTCCTTGCCGGACATGACGTATCTCGCTTTTCAAAATGGTTGCTAGTCCCGATATTCCTGTCAACCGGTAGACCAATGATAGGATGAAGTCTTTGATGCCGGACCTCGCCAACGGAGTGTTATCTGTGTGTGCTTGCTTTCTCCTATGGATGCAAAATCAAGTCATACCGACCGGGCAGAAGCTCCACCTTCTTCCCAGACGCCCGCCTCGCCCCCTCGCTGCCCTCCCGCGAAATCTCAACGACACTCTCATCCCTCGGCATCACCAAGGTCGCCGTGGTACTCGTCGGCACAACCACCCTCATCCTCACATCCCCTCCCTCGCGCCGGAAAGTAACCTCAATCAGGCCATACGGGCACTCAAACGTCCCCTCCACGAAATCAAACTCGGACCGCAGCGGCGGCTTCACCGTCCACGTCCGGTACCCGTCCTCCTCCTCCCCGACCCGGACGCCGAGCACCGCCTCGTAGAACCACTCGTAAATGGTCCCCAGCATGTCGTGGCACTTGCTCCGGCACGCGTCCTGCCAAAACTCGTTGAGCGTCGTCTCCCCGCGCCGCAGGAACCGCATGTAGGACGGGTGCTCCTCCTGCCGCGCCATCGCCATGACAATGTCTGGCCTGTCGACGTCGGCCAAGGTGTTCCATAGCCACTTGAGGCCGATCTCGCCGGCGCGGATCTTGCAGTCTGCCACGTCGTCGAGGAAGGCTTGTTGGACGTCCGCGACGTGCTCGCTCGGAACGAGGCCGAATTGCAGGGCCATGGCCTGCGCGATCATGGTCCGGTCGTGGGTTGCGGGGTCGTCGAGGGATGTGTAAAAGGCGCAGGGGTGCTCCGTCTTGTCGGTGACGAGGAGGTGGCGGTTGTACGCCGCATAGATGCGGTCGGCCCACGCGCGCCATTTTTGCTCGTCGTCTGCGTAGCCCAGTTCCTTGGCCATGAGCTCCACGTTGCGGAGACACTTGTAGTAGATGGCCGTCTCAATGTTGGCCTGGTGGTTCCCAAAGGCGATGTCCCGGCCCCAGTCACCCAACCCGTGCTCTATCAGCCCGCCACGGCGCTCCTTTGTGCGCAGGTACTCCATATAACGCACACACGGCTGGTACAGCTTGCCAAAAACGTGCGTCGAGCCGTAGTAGCGCTTGAGAATCTCCGGGATCAGGGCGACGGCGCCGCCCCAGGTGATTGTGTCGTGGAGGGGCCCGCACATGTACCTGATCTCGGGTGCCATGGTGGGCACCAGGCCGTCGGCCTCCTGTGCGTCGGCGATATCGTCGAGGATCTTGGAGTGCAGCGCCTCAATGTCGCGGACGTACTGCGTTGCCGGGGCGAGCAGGTGCGTGACCTCGAGCCAGCCGAATTTCTCAATCTGGGGGCAGTCGGTGTGGTAGCTAAAGAGGTTGCTGACAAAGGACCAGTAGCACATGTTGATGAGGGCGTTCGCGTCTGCCTTATCCGTCTTCATGGCGCCGAGACGGCGGGCCGCTGAGGAGATGTGACGACCGACGACGGCGTGGATGACGGGGAGGCCTTGGCCGGGTTGCAACGAGGCGCCCTCGATCTGGATGTACCGCGCGCTGGTGAAGCTGAAGTCGGGCTCCCAGATCTCGACATCGCCCGTTCCGGATAATGTGATTTTGGAAAACACCTTTGTCTCAAAGTCTTTGAAAAGGGGATCGGGCATCAGGACGCGGCCGCTGTCGTCGACGCTCTCGGAATACCGGACAATCACCTCAGCGCCAGCTGGCCCGCTGACTTTGACTTGGACCATTGTGGACGCGTTCTGTCCCAGATCGAACGTCACAACGCCCGGTTCCAGAGTCTTCTTTGCAACCGGCTCAAACGTCTCGTGAAGCGTCACCGGCGGCTGGCTCTGGTACCTCAGCTTGCCCCTCGGACCCGTAACCGGAGTCGAGGCAATCCACTCCGCGTCATCGAACCCCGGCGCGTCCCATCCAGCAGGATACCTACGCAAGTCCTTGTCCTCTGAAGCATAGATATTCGCCAGCGAAGTCGCGCTCTTCCTCGTCTTCCAATCCGGCCCCGAAATCACCGTCTCGCGGCTCCCGTCCTCGTAAAACAGGTGCAGCTCCGCAAAGAAGCAGAGCTCGTTGCCGTAGCGGACGTACGTGTTGTCCTCGTACATGGGCCAGAAGAAGCGGTCGTCGCCGCCCTTGTCGCCGGCGTAGAACCCGTTGCCCACGTGCGCGCCGACGACGTTGTCGCCCTCGGCGAGCGCGCCGCTCAGGTCGTAGGCGACGAACTGCACCGTGCGGTGGTAGTTTGTCCAGCCCGGGTCGAGGACGTGGGTCGAGGCCGGGCTGCCGTTGCACGAGAGGTTGAAGTGGCCCAGGCCGGAGGCGAAGGCGATTGCCCGCGACGGTTTTCGCTTTAGGTGAAGGTTCTTGCGGAGGTAGAAGGGCTTGTCGCTGCTGTCGCCGATCCAGACGCCCTTCCAGCGGTTTGGCTCGTCTTCGAACCAGGTGCGGAAGATGAGACTGGTATGGGGCATCTGTTTATTGGTATTAGAGTCTGGATATTTCTTGCGATGTTGTGAGAATGTGAATCTGGACGCACGTAGGTTTGGTTCATGCTATACGGCGGCAGCAGCCTGCTCGACCTAGGATACGCCGTGAAGAATTCATTGACGCCGCTTGATGTAGCCTGACTGTCCTGGTCCCAGACGGTGACTTTCCAGAAGTGGAAGGACGCTGATTTGAAGCCGCCGTCTGGCTTGCAGAGGACGTTCCTCTGAGCGTTGCTTTCGACCTTGCCCGAGTCCCAGACAGCTTCAGAAACAGAATCACCTTCCAGGGCCGCTGCGTTCAGGGCAACAACAATGCGATAGGCAGTCTGAGAAGCGTGCTCGAGCTGGGAGTGTAGCACCCAGTAGAACCGGATCTCGTCCACGTCGATACCCAACGTCTCATGGAAGGCATGAATGCCACAGCGTGTGACCTCCATTGCAGTAGTCTCCAAGGGGATGAGGAACTACTGCTCCGGAAATTTGTCGCAACCTAGGCCAAAGATAAATTGAGAGTACTTAGATTCTAGTACCCCTCGATTATTGGGTCCCCGGCAAGTCTTCAGAGAAGCGAGCTGCATGGGGCGAAGAAGGTTATGGTCAGACATTTGAGTAAAGAACGACATCAATGAACCGAAATGACCGAAGTTCGGTACGTTGATCTCTCGGAAGAGTGGGCAACTCTGGGGTTCGAAAGGGAACCCTTGGACCTCGTGGCACCCAGCAGGCCGGTACCTGGGGTCTCATTGCGCCGAGTCTCTCGACCAACTTGGTCTTCGGCACTCGGAAAATGAGCGTGGAGTCCGAGAGTCTCACCGGGTGGGGGGTTAAAAGGCACCTTCGTCGAATCAAAGCTTTTGGCACGTCTCGTTGGCGTCGATGTGATGGTCCCCCGCTCGGAATTACCGATCGACGAATTGGGGGTTTACTACTTACACCGGGATTCCCGGGCGAGCTAGATATTTATTTGGGGTTAGTCCGGTAGACTTTTGCATTGGACATTGGACTCGCCCACGTTTTACTGTCAGTAGAACTCGCAAAGGCTTGTGATTTTGAGATAGCTCAACGTTTTCAACAGAGACGATGTCTAATCAGGCCGTCTGTCTCCCTAAATATTCATCTTGACCTCGGAAGTGAGAGATCCTGCTTGTTCCCTGATGTTGAACCCATCGTCCCGACTCTAAACATGGGTTATCCGCTTGCCGAGCCGCATCGAGCCTAGAATATCAACGGCATCACTAAGTAGAAGTGTCAACGTGGTCGTGGCGGACTGTATCCTCGGGTCTACGGCAGACTCGACCAACCCACCACCAACCCACCACCAACCCCCTCGGTGATCTCGGGTCAAAGATGCAGCTTAATCTGGGGCAATGTTTGGGGTTGTGTGGAGGCCCGAGATTCTGGGGAACGCAATTTCAAGAGGGGGATCGACCGAGTACAAATGCTGCCAAGCCCCACTGGATGGCACCTCGATCTGATCCATTGGATGAACAGGGACTCGCTCGGTGATTTACTTGGCTGACAAGTCCATGACTGACTGAGTTTTGGCCACCTCATTAAGCTCTTTTTAACATTTATACTCCCTCTCGGGTTTCCGCCTCCCAACGGCGACACTCCTGTCTGAGTCTTCCAAGTTTGTCCTTTGGTGACAACTGTGCCTATCCCCAACGCAACCATGGGACGCCTAACGACGGTGCTTTCCGCCGTCTTCCTGGCCATCGGAGGTTTCCTCTTTGGCTATGACTCGGGTATCATCACCTCGACCATCGCCTTGGAGACGTTTGAAGCGTATTTCCACAACCCATCGGATTCCGTCGCAGGCGGCATAGTCTCAGCCTTTCAGGGCGGCGCCATTCTCGGCACCATTATCAACATGCTCTTTGCTAACAAGATCGGCCGGCGCAACACCATCTTTGTCGGGTCCGTCATCTCATGCCTCGGCTCTGCCCTTCAGGCTGGCTCCGTCAACATGGTCATGCTGATCTTCGGCCGCTTCATCGGTGGTACCGCCGTCGGCATGGTGACCTCGACGATTCCCATGTACGCCTCTGAATTGTCGGAAGCCAAGTACCGTGGTATCTTGTCCGGATTGCTACAGTGGATGTTGAGTTGGGGATTCCTGATCGCCCAGTGGCTGGGATACGGATGCTCCTTTGTCAAGACCGACTTTTCTTGTAAGCCCCCTCTCTCTCAGCATGGCAGCACCTACAGTATGTGTGACATGAAGATGACATGTGGACTGACACTTCACCAGGGCGCTTTCCTCTCGCTTTCCAGGCCATACCTGGTCTCATTCTCGTCACTGGCGTCTACTTCCTCCAAGAGTCCCCCCGATGGCTGATGGAGCGAGACCGACTTGAGGATGCCCGTCGATCACTTGGCAAACTCCGAAGCGGCTTGGACCAAGAAACCATCGATCTCGAGTTCCGGGAGATTCGCGATGTCATCTTGGCTGATCGCGCCCTCGGCAACATATCCTGGAAATCCATCATCACAAAGCCGTCATGGCGCAAGCGTCTTCTGTTGGGCTGCGGCGTGCAGGCTTTCGGCCCCCTATCAGGTAAGCATGCCGTCGATATCATATCAAATGATCAGATGGAGTGACAAGACTAACACTGGTCTACCTTAGGCATTAACGTGATCAACTACTATGGCCCGCGTATTTACAAAATCCTCGGCATCGACACCCAGACCTCTTTGATGATTATCGGCATCAGTGGTGCTTTGTCAATCGTCTACTGCAGCATCGGACTGTGGCTCCTGGACCGGGTCGGCAGAGTGAAGCCACTCATCGTCTCCGCAGCCGGTCTCGGTGCCGCCCTCCTCGTCAACGCGGTACAGGCCCAGTATCTCAACGAGCACAACGCGGCCCAGCTGCGCAGCATGGTGGCCATGAACTTCGTCTTCAGTCTCTTCTACACCCCGCTCGGCATCATCAGCTGGGTGTACCCTGCCGAGATCTTCCCCGTCGAGGTCAGAGCGCTCGGCAACGCCATCACCACATTCACAAACTGGACCGTCAACCTCGTCTTCGCCCAGATCTCCCCGGAGGCGTTGACTTCCATTGGGTTCCGCTACTTTTACGTCTTTTTCGTTTTCAACCTGATTGCCATGCTGTCCTACATTTTCTTCTTCCCAGAGACCAAGGGAAGAACGCTTGAGCAGATGGATGAGCTCTTCGGGGACCAGCTGGTGCCTCATGCCATGCAGGACTCTGTCGGGGCTGCTGCTGCTGTCACCAAGGATGAGAAGATAGTGGAGCAAATTGACCGCGTTCAAGTCTGAGGTTGAATTGAGGACTGGGAAAGCCTTGGTGTCTATTTGATGTCCTTGGATTGCCTGAAAGGGAGGGGGACGAGGGTCGACACTCATGATATATCTAGCCACAGCCCGTAGCCAGAATGAATAATTTTCCGACGGAGGACACTAGTTAGCATTCAAATGAGTTGATGATGTGATCACGCTCAAGGAACAGACTTCAAGACAAAGTGAGCCACCAGGCTACCGAGAACATTACCTGGATTGAGAGGACCGTGCCGCCCGCGTTTGAATATTACAATCACTGTCATAATTACCCATCCCCGACAGTTTTGCAGAATACCGCCCGCAAACTATCTCTTGGTATCAGCATGGACCACATTATTTGCCAATCTGGGCTTAGTGTCACGGCTTGACGATCTGGCTGACAGGCTTAACACACGCCGATTCTAAGCCATGCCCAAATAGGCAAACAAACTGGTCTGGACATAAGTCAGCAGATGGAACGATGAATTGTCAGAATCAAAGCCCGGTTTCTTCGATGGCAGAATGGATATAAAAGCCAAAGGTCAAGTATTCATTGTTGTGCTGTCTTTGAAGTTCTCTTTCTTCCATGGACAACATACCAGACTGAACCAGAGCTTGATCACTTTCTAAGCTCATCTTCACGGCCAAGTACATCAGCCCCAGTTTCACGGACCACGCCGAGTCCACACAATAAAAATGATCGGCTCCAAAGACCTCCCACCATCGACGGTGTCCTTCGGACGTGTCTTCTACAACAACCAGTTCTGCGCCAAGCCTCAATGGCCCGTCCCAGGAACCAGTCTGTCAGGCAAGACAGCGATTATCACCGGCGGAAATACGGGTTTAGGCTATGAAGCCGCCCTTCAACTGCTGGATCTTGAGCTGTCCCGCCTGATCGTAGCTGTGCGCTCCCTCGAGCGAGGCGAGGAGGCCGCCGCAAAACTTCGTCATCGGTATCCCGCCGCAACTATCCACGTTTGGATTCTCGACATGCGCTCTTACAAGTCAGTCCAAGATTTTGTTCGTCGCATCGACAAAGAGTTGGATCACATCGACATCGCCCTTCTCAATGCCGGTGTGATACGCATGGGCTTTACCAAGGTTCCCAGCACTGGCCATGAAGAGACAATACAAGTCAATTACCTCTCAACCATGCTGCTCGCCATTCTCCTTCTCCCTGTTCTGAAAGCCAAACGGCAGAAAGGTGGCGACCCTGCGCGGCTGACAATCGTCAGCGCCGCCCTGTCGCTGGCAGCCGCATTTCCTAACCGAGATGCCAACCCTCTGCTCCCATCATTTGACGACCCCACGACGTTTGTCAGTGGGGAAGCATACGACACGTCAAAGCTGCTCGCACACATGTTTCTCTGGAAGCTGGTCGACAATATCTCTGCCGACAGTGTCATTGTCAACCTGGCTGACCCGGCTTGGTGTAAGGGCACGAGCTTGGCCCGCGACGCTCAAGGAATCATGAAGTTGGGGGTTGCGGCTTTCGGGGCTGCAACAGGAAGGACACCGCGAGTTGGCGCCTCTTGTTTTATTGACGCCATTGTCAACAAAGGCAAAGAGTCTCATGGGTGCTTTCTGATGAGCTGGAAAATTCACCCGTAGGTGTCTCTCCCTCGCGCGTTCATTTACTGCATCGCTGACATGTTCCAGGTTTTCTGCGTTCCTCTACACTCAAGAAGGCAGTGTCGTTATTGACCGACTTTGGCAAGAGACAATGGATGAACTGGACTTTGCGGGGGCTAGATCTATTTTAGAAATGTTGCATTAAAATACATCAATTTCTCTTCCAGTATAGCTGCTCAACGGTGCCATATGGTTGCACTTAAATGTTGAGGAATGTTTATCCCGCTCGGGATGTGTGGATCGCATCTTGTGAGCCAGAATATTTTCTGCGGGGTGAGATAAGCGTGTTCCAGGTTCAATCGGACAATGCATGTGCCTTGCGTTTGAGCCGATGCTCGGATGCTGCCCAAGGATCAACAAATCAAGTAGCAACCAGATCTGTTTGTTTGTTTGTTTGTTTGATTGTTCAACGCCGGTTCCGCCCGAAAGGACCAGATCTGTTTTTCATGCCAAGCAGCAGCTGGAAACTCCCAGGCGCGCGGTTCTAGCGAGGCAGGCGGGGAAAGGTAACATGCAAGCTCTTATCTAGAAATACCATCACAGCGTTATTTGGTGATAGATTCATGAACACCTCTCGTCCACTTTGATCCTCGGTCTTGTCGTTGAGGCTAGTGAAATACACAAATTATGGAGTATTTACATCCTGACAGCTTCGCGCTCCTCTCGGCATGGCCCATACAGAATCCTCTGACGAACTCGTCTCAAAGCACCTCGGACTTCTATAGGCTCAATGTTCTTCCGATGGCAGCTCGGGCACTCCATTTCGTCTGTCTGGCGGGTATCGCCACCACTATTGTCGAAAGAAACCCTCTAACGTTGTCACATACCGTGAATGGTTTGGATCATGTCTTCCAACTCGGAAATCGGAGCTACTTAGCAACATCCGCCTCACCACTTCATGTTGTTGCTACAGCCGCAGACGCTCAAGCAATTACGGCTCCAGCTCCAGCAACTCATATCATCGTAACGAGCACAGTCATTACTGGACAATATTTACAGGACACGATTGCTCGGTACCTAGCCGAAGATTACGTATTCTCCGGGGACTTTCTCGAAACACTCATCCTGAGCTCCAACTACTCCTCAAGACTCGATGACTCTGCGACAGAATGTGTGGCCTCCGTCGGATCGCGCGTTCTTATGTTACCAGTCTCAGACGCATTTCAGAGTCTTCCCAAACTTGCACCGTCGATGCCACCTCCTGGTCCGCTGCTCTTAGAGTCCGATGGTGGTACAATCAAGCTCTCAAAGGTATTCCGTCTCTACAAGGATTCATACAGCGACTTTGTTCACGGAATCTACGAGTTCAATGGCACTTACAACGTTCTCGGCCTGGCCGATCCAGACTGGGGTTACCCCTTGGTCCCAGTCCCATCTCGCATCTACAGCGAAGCAGACTCCCGGCCCCTGGCTGGGAAAAGAATCGGCGTCAAGGATATCTACGACATCAAAGGGCTCAAGACAACGCTGGGCAGCAAAGCATGGACGCAGATGACCAGCGAGGCAAATGAAACAGCTCCTTCCATCCAACGCATCATTGATCTCGGCGGGACCGTCGTAGGAAAGCAGAAAACGTCCCAGTTCGCGTCTGCGGCTCACGCTTGGGAGTGGACCGACGTGTACTACCCTCAGAACCCCCGGGGTGACGGATACCTCAGCTGCTCGGCGTCGTCTGCTGGCGGCGCCTGCTCCATTGCCGCATATGACTGGCTTGACTTTGCCATTCCATGGAATCGACATTCGGAGCTTCTTTGGGACGTCAGCCCCTGGCCAATAGGGTGAGCTGGGTGAGTTTCGCTGCTTTTACTCACTTTCCGTAATGACCTGGGTGAGTCTAGGGTGAGGCCTAGGTGAGGTCGGGGGGAGGCTAGGGTAAGGCTAAGATAGATTAGAAATAATTAGTATGGTCGGAATTGCCGAAATAAGGCTATTGTCGGATTGGAAGCCCAATTCGACCTCGAGTCAGCGCCAGCGCAGGGGCCATCTAAGGGTCTCTATATTAGCGTTTAACCGGCGATCTAACCCACGGTTAAAACTTCTCTTTTCCACTTTACATAGAGATTAATATAAAAGTAATTAACTTTTTATTACTATAGTTCGATTAAATAAATTACCTTATAATTATATAAATTAATATTAATTAGTAGTTTAATTATTATTATAAATTAATAAAGCTATTATAAATAAAAAAAGCGATCTTTTAATACCGTATAAAATAAAAAAATTGCGTTATTTTAACTTTTTATAAAAATTAAAAAAAATAACTTTTTAACGCTATATAAAATAAAAAAATTTTGATTTTTTAAATTTTTATTAAAAAGAAAGTATTTATTATATTAATAACGTTTTTAAATAATTTATTAATAAAATTATTTAAATTAACTATTAATTATTAAAAAAATCTTTTTTCTATACCTTTTTTAATTTTAAAAAACCTTTTTTTTATTTTATTTTTTTTATTTATTTTTTATAATAAGTATATAAATTTATTTATTTTATATTTATATTAACCGCGACCGGATTATATAATATTTATTAAACGGACTAGGGGGGATATATATACAGATCCCGATAACAAGTTAATAATTAAAAAAGTAATTTTATTTTATAATAATTTTCTTAAGTTCGTATAATAAAAAAAGCGTTTTAAAATATATTTTCGTACGTAATTAAAGTTAATTATATATCGAAATATTTACGTAATTAAATAGAGGTTTAGTTATTTTTAATATACCGTACGTTTAATCTTAGTTATTATTATTTTAATATTAAGAACTTTTTTTTTTATTAATAAACGTACGGTATCCCCTAAATTAATAACTAAGTTAAACTAATTATTGTTTTATAAAGTTAGTTAATAATTAAATAAATAAGTTATTATATAACGGTAATTACTTATTTTTTAAAATAATAAATAAAACTCTTACGCCTTTAGCCTAAATAAATATAATAATAATTCGTTATATAATTAAATAAAAAATAAAATAGTTATTTATTAATTAATAGATAAGTCGATATTAAAATTAAATTTATTAATAAATTATATATATAATTATTGTACTGATTTATTTAATCCGGAGTAGCGATAATAAATTACTTATATAGACTTTTTATATTAATTTATTATTTTTATAAATATTTATTTAAGTATTTATATAAGAGGGTAGATAAAAACAGCTTTTACCCCTTTTGTAGCCTTTTATTTTTTTACTTTTATATTAATTTTATAAATAACTTAAATAATAAGGCTTTTCTTTTTATTATATATTGAGAATAACTTTTTATATTAACTTTATACAAATTAATATATCTCTTATTCTTATTAATTAGCTCGTTTTTAATAACCGGAATACTTGGTTTACTATTTTAATGAGAGCTATTAAAGTTTATATAGATTTTTAAAATATTCGTTACGTTATTTTATTTATTAAGTCTAATTCGAATCGTAATTTAATAATTTCTTTTTATATTAATATTTATATAATCTTTTCTTTATTATTTTTTAATTTATATTAATATTTTTTTAAAATTAAAAGGGCTAAGTTATTTAGATACCTTTATATAATATTTAAATACGTTTTTTTATTAATAAAAATCTCTATTTCTTATTTACTTATATTATTTATTATAAAGGTTATTTTTAAATTATTTTAATTTAATCCCGTAGCTTTATTATATGAAGTTATATTTAAAAATATTAATAATTTAATATTTAATTCCGTAAGTATATACGAGTTTATAACTATTAAAACGGAGCTTATATTAAATATATTTAATAATTTTATAATATTTATTATAAATATATAAATTATAATTTATAAAAAAATAATAATAATTATAAAAATAACGGTTTTAATAAAGGTCGTTTTAATAAAGGTCGGTTTAATAAAAGTCGGTTTAATAAAAGTTATTTTAATAATAATCGTTTTTATAATATAATTAAAGGTCGTTTTATAATTAAAAGTATTAAAATTATTAAAAAATATTTTATTATATTAAAATAAAAGATCTAAGGTTTTTAATTTAATTTATATAATAAGGAAATAATAAGAAAAGATCGATAAAATAAATATATATTTAAGTATATAATATAAATAATAAAACGATTTTAATTAAAATAAAAATAATCTCTATATATATTAATTATATTATACAATTAATATTATATTTCTTTTTTTTCTAACTTATTTATATATATTTTAATTTTAATTTTTAAATAATTAGTTAAAATAAATCGTTTAAATATTATATTTAAAAACTTTTTTATAAAAACGTTTAACGAATTATTTTTCTTATTAATCTATCTTATTTTTAAAATTCTTTTCTTTTTATACAACTCTTTTAATAATATTATATTAATTATAAGTCTTTTTTTTATTTATAATATTTAATTTAATTAAATATTCGTATAACGACCGAGAATTAAAATAAATAATAAAATGAATTTTAAAATATATAAAAATATCTAAAATATTGTTTAATATTATACAAATAATAATAATATTATTAAACTTAATTATTATTTTATAAAACTTATTTATTAAAATACTTAATATAATACGTTTATATTTTATAAAGTTTTAATAAACAGTATTCTTTTTAATTTTAAATTTTATCGTCGTATAAAAAGTTTCCTTATTAAAAATAATTAAAAATTTAAATTAAAAAAAAAGGTTAAAATTATTAATAAATAATTTATTGGTAAAAATATAAATATTTATATAAAATATATTTAATAATATATATTTTAACTTTTAATCTAAGTTATTAATTTATTATCATAATTATATATTTAAATCGTTTATATTTTCTAACGTTAATTTTTTAAACTAAGCCGCTATTGAAAGGTCGTATATAATTTTAAATTAATATATAAAAAATATATATACCTCTTTTATTTATTATATAACGTATTATTATAAAATATTAGGTATTATTTTATCGATCGTATAAAGCTATTTAATTTATCCTTTTTAATTAAATAAAATATCTTTATTTAAAATTAAAATACGGCCTTTATTAAATTCGATCGGTTAGTTTTAAATTAAGATTATCTTAAGTTTTATATAAAAATTATAAAGTTTAAACTATTTTTCCTCTTTTTTTAAGAATCGTATAATAATAAAATTAAAAATATTATTAATTTATATTATTATAAACTTAAAATCTTTTAAGTTTTTTATTATATAAAATAAACATAAGTCGTATAATAATTATATTATATCGAGATTATTAATATAATAAACGTAATAAGTTTTATATTAATATAGTTTTAATTTTATTAATTTGTATAAAGGTTTAAAAATATATTATAGCGTTCTTTTAAAATATTTATTTTAAAATTCTTTAAAAAGTTAAGCGACGATAATTTTATTAAACTTATTATATAATAATATATAAGTTTAAATAATATTTCGTAGTTCGCTTTACGTTTTAAAATCTTATATAAGGATAAGATTAAAAATAAAATTAATTTTTAATTTATTTTTTAAATAATAGGTGCTTATATAAAGATATTTTTTTTCTTTTCGTTTTTATATTTTTAAATAATTAATATCGAACTTTTAATTAGTGTTATAAATTTATTTTTAATTTCTTATATTATTTTAGTTTTATAAATAGGAAAAGATTTATATTATTTTTAATCGTATTGTACGAAAGTAAAGACTTTTTAAATAATAAAAGCATCGATTTTAATAATATTAAATTTTTTATACGGTCTTTTAAAAGTTATAATAATATTATTTTATTATAATTTAATAATTAAGTCGTAGTTATTTATTTTAAATTAAATAAAGTCGTGCCGATTATTATATAGGGCTTTATTATATTATTATTTTTTTAACTTTTTTTTTAACTTTAGTTAAGTTAGTAATTATAGTAATTAAACTTCTTTTTAATCTAAGTCTTAGTCTTTATTTATAGCCTCTTTTTAATAATATAATTTAATATATATTATACGAAATTAAATAGGACTATTAATTATATTTATTATAATTATTATATAATTAATATTTATAATTTTATAAAGTACTATTTATCTTTAGTTTTTTTTTTAAATAAAGGAATTAATATACGGGCATAAACAATTAATACACGGGCATAACTCTTACACAGGCATAATAACTATACATTATTATTAACCTAAAAAAATATATAAACTATAAATACTTCGTCCTAAAGGCGGTAAAAGCTCCCTTATTAACATTTTTTTATTTTAACGTATTTATTTAAATTATTTTATATTAAATTATATTATACTTATTTTTAATTTTTACGCTTTTTATATCCCTTTATTATAATATATAATAAATAGCGAATTAATATTAAATCTTATTAAAACCCTATTTAAATAATCGCGTCTATTAAAAGACGGCCTTATTATTATTATTAATTAATATCTCTTATTTACACCTCTTTTTTAAATATTTATTTATAATACCCGTTTATTAATTTATATTCCTATAAATTTCTTTATATTAAGTTTATTAAATTAATTTTTAGTTTAAAATTATAATAAAGCCGTAGATTAATTTTTTTTATTGCTTTTTTTTTTATATAAACCTTATAATAATTATTTTATTATAGCTTTTTAGCGGATGGCCTTATTAAATTATTTTAAAAATTATTAATAGCGTTTTTTTATACTAAGCCCTTAAATTATTATCTTCTTATATAGTTAATTAATTAAAAATAAACTATATTAAATTCCTCGGCCTATTATAAAAGGATATAATAATCTTAAGATTTAAAATTTAATAATATAGGTCTTTTAAAAACGT